TTTTCTCTTCCTTTTCTTTCCCCCAAAGCAAAATTTGTGAGTAAATATTCCTGACGGTGAAGCTGCCAGTTCGGGCGGTATACAATCCAAGCTTGTCTCACCTGTCATATCATTCCGATCCTAGGCCAATCGCCAACAGGCTCACCTTCGTGCAAATAGAGCTCCGGTTTGTGTTTGTTTATTTCACTGGGTTCTGCCAGGCCCAGGTGTCTGCATTCTAAGGTGACTTGAATTTCATCTGTAGCGTTATAGTAGCTACTTGTCCGGTATGTGCACGGTTGCTTTTTCAATTTGGTTCATGCTAAGCGGTGGCATTATTGAAATGGGCTCAACATAAAAGGGAAGAAAAGCAAAGTAAGTACAAGTCCTATAGATTCCAATGCTGCAACATTGGAACCTATGTAGAAATTTGAGCCTGGCGTGAAGGAAGAATATTTGAAACAAGGACCTTGTAACATCCAGTGATAAGCCCTGGGGATCTAGTAGCTGGAGTACTCAAGTGCTGGACGTCTGGAATGTCAGTATATACCGTCAACTATAACGAAACAATATCTGGCAAGATTTACCTAGGTAATTCAAGAACGTAACATTGATTTGAATGAACACTTCTCTTTACAACCAGCTTGGAAGGGAGGAATCTCTTCCAGGCACTGTTAGTATACATATAATACAGTTTCTTTGAGCGTCTTATGCTTCCTTTGATATCCCATTCAGCAGGATATCCTAATTCGGACGCCTTCAGCACTTGAGTACCTAGCTGCTCGGTCAACAGACAACATTGAATGGAACATTGAAGGGAACATTGAAGGGAACATTGAAGGGAACATTGAAGGGAACATTGAAGGGAACATTGAAGGGAACATTGAAGGGAACATTGAAGGGAACATTGAAGGTTATAACACGTATTCAACTACTCCACCAATTCCCATAGGTCCAACGTCGAATACTAGTTGACGGTAGATGGAATCTTCCGAGCACAGCCCTGGACATCTGGAGGCAGTACAAGAAGAAAAAAAGCCAAGCTTCCTAGACCGGTGCTTGTTGTGTAACACTGTTTCCAAGATGATTCGACTCCGCATTTGCGAAACTCTCCACGTTGAGATGGTTGAGTAATCTCTGTACATACTAGTAAGTATCTCCTGGTCTATTACGTATATCTGTTTCCTGCTACAATGTGATACAAATGACCTCATTTTTGGTTCTTTAGACCCAACATGCTTGCCTATCATTCTAGCCTTGGAAACCAAAAGCAGGTACCCCCATTAAGCGATATTCCACAAAGCGAAACCCCCACGGAGACAACTGAGAAAGAACGATAGTAGATCTCCCGCATGTGAAGAGCTGATCTGAATCTAGACACGGAGTCCCGATCTAGGGAGGAAGGGAAAAGAAAGTAGCGGGGCCTTCTTACATTTCCATTTTCCCATAGTCACACAAAGAGGCGTCCACTTCCCTCACGAGACCAGCGTGAACTATTTCAGTTGCTTATTCTAGGAAGAAAAAAGACATGTCATAAAAAGATGTGCAAGTGACTTATTATGATCAGGCCGAGGTTAAGTAGATGGAAAGTGATGCGTGTGCTTTATCTCGTGTTTGCCGTGGTCCCTCGGCATTTCATACTAGTAGATCCCCGTGAATGTATTGCCAGGATTATACTACATACTCCGATGGGTCCCTCAAACCTCAACACGGACCCCCACATACCTATATAGGTAGACTTGTCTTTGTGTAATCGTGGATCTAACATTGAATGGCAAAGCCCAGATGAAGCAAATATGTAGTTTTGGACTTGGAGGGTGTACAGAGTCTGGCGACTGCTGCCTTTTGTATGCAGTCACACAAGACCCTGTGCGTTTTTAAACTTCTAGTCGCTAAATATGGTAAAGTCAAGAGGCCATGTGTGGATTTTTTTTTTGGATTCAATGTTATTCTAGTCCGAGGTGCTACGAGGGAAAATAGTTATCCAAGCACTTGAGGGTTGTGTATATGTATCCTAGCACTTGAGGCAAGGACGACCAAGCGGCTGGCCAACATTTGAAGTTGATGCCTGGAACATTGAAGGCCAGTGCCTACTACCTAATACCAGTAGGTATTTCTACATTCAAATGAAAACCGTGAAATCAACCAATCCAGAATGGGAGCCAATATTGGAGAGTCCAATTACGAGAACTGATGCGTGGTAGACCAAGAGAGATAATATGGGAGATCATCATAAGTCTTTTTCTCATTGCAACTCAGAATGTTCTAAGAGACTATGTTTTTACATAGGAGTCCAAACAGATTCTTTAATTTTTTTGTTTTGCCGCTGACAGACCAGAAAGACTTCAGCGTTGTCTATCAGGTATTAGAATGCGAGGGTAACCTAAAATTCAGCATCGTCATCGCCAGAAATGATAACGTTGTTAATCTAGATATATATTAGCACAAGGTATAAGTGGGAGATGGGACAATAGATAGTACCTTGAGAACCATACGGCAAAGCTGAGTAGCGAGCAGAAGCTGCTGGCGCTTACCGATCAGGGGATCAATGGCGAAGTGCTCCCTCATGTCTGCGATAATCACATTAGCCACTAAACATAATATCATACAAGGTGGATTGGTCTCACCGTTGCTACCAGTCTGCATGCAGTCGACACCAAGGCGGGAGTTCTTCTCCTTGATCTGGCGGGACTTGACGGAGGCAAGGGTCTCAATAGGGCTCAAACCAGAATTCGCGGACAGGGCCAATGGCACAGCGTCAAGTGCATCAGCGAAGGCGCGCATGGCGTACTGCTCGATACCAGGACTCTGTAGATTCAAGAAAGGTTAGCCGGGTGCATGAAGGTTACAGATGTATAGGTAACGAACCTTGACAGCGGCATCCTCAACAGCGATTGAGCAAGCAATCTCAGCAGCACCACCACCGTAAACAACACGGTTGTCACGAACCAAGTTGCGCACCACACAGAGGGCATCGTGTAGTGACCGCTTGGCCTCGTCAATGATCTGCGAATGCGTTAATATAAAATACATGTTGCTTCAAACCAGAAGGTTTCTTACCATCTTGTTGCTACCACGAATAAAGACAGTGACTGCCCGGCTGTTCGCGCACTCCTCAATAACCAGCATCTTTTCTCTTGTGGTACCGAAAGTCATCTCACGAACAAGACCAGCGGTTCCCAGCTTGTCTGCAGTCAGATCCTCGAAACGGGGCACAATGCGACCATTTGTGGCAATAGCAATCAGCTCAATCTCGGGACCACCAACCCACCGGACGGCAGGAAGCTTGTTCTGGAGGAGCAAGTGGTTGGCCTCATCATCGAAACCCCACTGACAGATAACCAGGTTGGCACCTGAGTCTTTGAGTTGCTGAATCATCTCCTTGAACTTCTCATGTTCGTAATCTTGGAGCTTCTTGAACTCCTCGACTGAGGTAATGTCAAGCTTGTGCTTAGTCTTGGGCTTCGGGGGCTCGAATGGGCAAGTCAAAATGGCCAGCTTGGCATCACGGACTTCATCAGGCATCTGAGGGTGAGAGAAGTCCTTGTCGACGATCACACCCTTGACAAGAAGAGAGTCCTCAAGTGATCCACCGACCTTGCCATCTACCTTGATCAACTCGAAGTCAACATCCTTGCGCTCGAAATCAGCAACGGAGAGCACAGCATCGACAGCAATTTGGGCGAACTGATCATGAGACTTGGAAACACTAAGGATATGTTAGTTAAGACATTGAAAAAATAAAAGCTTAATATGGCCGAGACATACATCTTGCTGCCCAGACTGGTCTTGGCAACCTTGAGCAGGTTGGCGGTGTCATCCTTGGAGAAAGGAATATGATCACTGATCTTGTCGAGCTCGGCAAGGGCAATCTCGCATGCCTGGTCGTAACCATCGGCTATCCGAATGGGGTGAATTCCCTTATCAATCAAATCCGAAGCTTGCTCCAACATGGCCGCAGCCAACACCACCACACCGGTTGTGCCATCACCAATCTCCTCATCCTGTGACTTCGAGAGTTCAACGAGCAACTTGGCGACGTTGTTTGTGATATCCATCTGCAAACCTCATCGTATTAGTATTCGTCGGACCATTGGTTGGTATAGGTATAAAAGGGGGTCGAGGGAGCGGACCTGTCCGAGAATGGTGGCGCCATCGTTTGTGACTGTGATATCACCGTCGGGGGAAATAAGAATCTTGTCCAAGCCACGGGGACCCTATCCAGATATTAGCATGTGACCCGATCGTTGATCTGAGACAACCGCACGCACCAGAGAAGTCTTGACGATGTTGGCCACAGTCTTTGCGGCCACAATGTGCGCTTTCACGGCCTCGGTGCCATGTTGTCTCTTCTTCTTTCCTTGACTGAATGAGAGGAAGTCCACTGGTCAGCTCTGGTATCCCCTTGTTCCACAATTTGTCGGATTGAAACATCCAGGCGTATAGGGGGTGTTTATCGGTGAACGTACTCGCGAACGACGATGAACGGACGACCCTGCTCATCCTTCAACACGGAAGCTGTCATATAGGATTAATACACCGTGATTGCGAAAAGCAGTGTGGAAATTGAATCGAATAATAATCACCTTGAGAAAGATCAAGCTCTGTGGACATACAAAGTCAGGGTCAGTAACCAGCACAAATAATGAGGGGCATCCCGGGGGTCGGAGGGACAGGAGAGAAAGAACATACGCATCGCCATTTTGACGGTGGACAGCCCTCAAGGAAACAACCGGGAGAGTATAAAAGAAAGGGGATAAGGCAAAAGACGAAGTTCCAACCAAACTTCGACGTTGATTAACAAAATGCGGAGGGGTTTTGAAGCTCTGCGGTGAAATGCGTTCTCAAATTAAATTCGGGTCGCCTAATCGGGATTAGCGTGTCGTTGTCCGCCTTTCGGTTTCCAAAGCGCAACCTCCTGCGTGTCTACGCGCCCAATCACTCTTTTTTCTGATGTAGAGGCTTCTTGCCTTTTACCTGTCAAGCTGCTCTCTCAAATATTCAATCTTTTCAAGCCCACTATGCCTCGTGAGTAAATGCGCTTTAATTGTTCGCGTTGCGCGTTGCGCGCATCCGTTAACCCGATCACATAGCTCTTCCCGACCCCGAAGATGCTTCTGACGAAGAGTCCGGAGACGTCCCATTCAGCACTGCCAATGAAGACGCAAAAGCAGAGAACGGAGAAGAAGACAGCGAGGGAGATGACGATGACGAAGAGGGAGTGTAAGTTGACCTTGCGCGTGGTCTTGGCGCGATTAATTCATCTGATTTGGTACAGCTACGTCGTTGAATCGATTTCCACCCATGCTTTCTTAGATGATGTAAGCACTTCAATCTGGTCTGAAACTGGCGATCATATGCTGATCTTACACAGGGAACCCTCTCACTGCACGTGAAATGGAAGGGCTATGAGAAAAAGGAGGATATGACCTGGGAACCCGAGGGGAACTTGGTGTATGTATATGGATATCTGGACACGAGTTGGAATCAATCAATCGCGCAAATACTAAACTCTCACTTCTCCCTTCAGGGATGGTGCCCGGGATGTCTTGATGGCATACTACAAGAAGATCGGTGGTAAACCCGCGAAGCCTTCGGCGTCGACTGCCGCGAAACCAGGCCGTAAGCGCAAGTCCTTGGGCGAAGCAAAGGCAACTCCAGTTGCAGACACAAAACCCGAAAACAAGAGGCAACGAAAGTCTACAGCCCCGACTGATGCTCCAGAGACCCCGGCCTCAATCGAGGAAAAACAAGACTCCGAGGAACCGACCGACTGGCTTCCCAAAGGTAAAAACTGGGAAAATGAAGTGGCTGTTGTCGAAACCATCACGCGCGATGAGAAAAGCAACGGTCTCTTTGTGTTGTTGAATTGGAAGAATGGCAAAACAGCCCGTGTGTCCATTGAAACTTGTTACGAGAGATTGCCCCGGAAAGTCAGTTAACCCCATTCCCGTCAGACAGTGCCAATATGCTAATATCCCCTAGATGCTCCGGTTCTACGAAGACCACCTTCATTTCAAGGAATAGTCACACTTGTAATTTGAAGTTTTATGCTTCCTCGAAGCGGAAACCACCGATGATACTACCGCTGGAATCGGATCGGACGGTAGACATCTTCGGGATTGCATCTCAATATCATTTTCTGCTAATCAGGAGTTGGGGCCTTGAATGTTATCTTCTTTTTTCTGTCTTTCTTTTTAGTTCTGGCCAATCTTCCCCCATGTAACATTGAAGACTGGTTGCACTAACATTCATTTCCCGGTGTTCTGGCGTCGAATTTCACCAACAAGTTCCCTAAGTTCATATTGTTCCTAGTATTTTTTGTTCTATCTTATGTAATGAAATGATATTTACCAGCGGCCCCGGAGTACCAAACATCCCTGTGTCTTGTAGAAACTGCCCAGGTGGGTAGTAGAGTCCCATGATATTTACTCCAGTGGAATTCAACTTCGATGTTTCAAATTCCGTTCAATGTTCTCGGCCCTGGAGAATGAAATCCATGAATTCTACCAAATGTTTTGCACATCCATGCACATGTGCATGTGGGTGCAGATAACGAAACGCCTGTGTGTCTTCAAACATTCCTAAGTTATTTCCAAAACCTTAGCTTATGTATGCATGTAGTCACTAGTATTATATGTATGGATCTAAACAGGCGAGCGCTCGCTGTAATAAGTTAAGAATTTTAATATTCATGGATGTGAGCAGTTGGATTGCTAGGCACATTCTTCGTCGTGGCATCGACGTGTGGGGTATCATCATATCAAAGAATGTCTTGTGCTCAGAACATGCCGGAGCTTCACTCTAGCCTCGCATGAGGGCGAGAAACTCGAATCTAGCCTCGCATAACTCTTCACCATGTTTGTCAAATAATGCTTTGATGTCTCGTTGATTTGAACCTTCAAGACACTTGTCATCCTCAGCTGTCCATACTCCTGGCATATCGTAGGGAATCCCCTTTCCGGCTGCATATTGCGCTATCACCTTCTCTGCGTATTCTGGATTCATACTTGTACATTGTAATGCTTCAAGTACGATTGGCAATTCTACATCGCCTCGGGCTAGTCGAGCATCAATCCAGCTATCGATGTCCGGGTAACTGTCGTATTCATCTTCATCTTCATCTTGCTGCGGCTCCGGCTCCGGGCTAGACGGTGGGAATGGCATCTCAAAAAACAGGGAGGCGACCATTTTGGCTTCGTTTTGTGGTTGAGCAGTCTGATTATGCTTTGTAGTTGGACTCAGTGGTATGACTGGAGTCTCAGGATACAGGGAAGTGGTTGTTCCAGACTCATTTTCAGATCGGGTAGTCTTATTGTTCGCCAGGATTGAGCTCGTTGGTGGATTTGGCATCTCCATAAACACCGCTTCGGACTCGTTTTGAGTTTGGACAGCCTGATTTTGTTCTGGAGTTGGACCCGGTGGAAACAGAATCTCCCAAAATCGGGGATGGAAAGTGTTTTTATCCTTAATTGAAGATTGAGTGGCCTGATTTCCGTCCGATGTTGGTGGTGGAGGAGTAGCTTCAAGTGGGTTATTTTGAGGTCGACTGGTATCTGAAGAGGTCGCTGGATCTGGAGACCGACTCGGTGATTGCCTTGGCGACGCGGGCTGTTTTGACCGACGTTTGCTATGTGAAAGAATCATAGCCAAGGAATCTATAGCATCGGATGTATCTATCAATCCTCTCTTCGTAGGAGAAACACGCTTGTCACGCTTTTCACGATGCTGACGTGAAGACGTTTCACTCGTGGAGTCCCACTTTCTCTTGGCGTTTCCCGAGTTAGTTTGTGACCGAGAAGATTTGGAGGAATCGGACTGTCTTTCTGCACTAGAATGTAATAGAGCCGGGGTCAAATATTGTGATGGTTCTGCAGCAAGGATGCATGGTGGAGCTGAGGTTGAGGTTTTCGGTGGATCTGCGATGGGATGTAGTGGCAGCTGGGGTTCTCCTGTAGAGACCAAGCTGGGCATCTTTGGGCCACCAGGGCGGGGCCTCCCTCTGAGAAATTTGAGGTATCGAGCGCGCCATGATTGCCAAGTATGTTGAGGAAACTACATAACAGGAATTAGCTGGATACTTCAAGATATTAGAATAATGTCAGTGACCAAGCAACACACTTTGTCCTCGATGCTCTTGTAGATTTTGTTGCCACAAATGGGTGCATTTCCATCTAACTCCAGGGGTAGCATATGATCAAAGAGAACCTGATCATCTTCAAGGGTATAATCTGTTTTGGTGCTCTTCTTGGGAATGTGCGCGGCGCCCACAGGTCTGTTGTCCGAAGGACCAATCCGATAAGGCTCAATATCCTCAAGCCTTCCATTTTCCACAGACCTTTCCACAAATTGATAAGACACACTGCGAAAATTCCTTAGTTCGATGTTCCTCTTTAGGGGCTGGTGGATGTCATACGAATCAGCAGGGAGATTCTTTTTCAAATGATCGACAATGTTGATAACACTGGAATCTGCCCTTTTCTCAAATAGAGCAACCGTGCCCCCATGGTTCTGTGATGATTGTTAGAAATAACATGGATCTTGTTGTAGGATTTGATCTAGGATATAATACCTGAATTTGCTCTTTCAACGTCACACGCCGAGGGACAAGGGCGGACACCCAGAACTTCATGTTCTTAAAGATGGGACTACGAGTCCCCGTATCTGGATCCGAAGTCGCCATTTAGTAGAACGAAAAGATCACCAAATGACTGCAGATCACAGTATCGAGATTCTTTTTTCGCCTTTGTTCAATGTGAGCTGTCAGAAGGATCTCTGACGCGTTGTCACGTGCTAGCGTGTCATGCAGACGGCAGGTGATTACTATCGTTTTCTGGTCTGAGGTGAGGTTGATCAAATGGGCCAACAGCTTCAAAAGCTGAAGCTGGTGATTCCGAAGAAGCAAAGTTCAAGTTCACTTTCAAATAATGCTGTCAACGTCGGGGATGTGAAAGCCAGGAAGCATTTGGCGGCTCGCGTTTCGCGGCGTTTGTGACGGATTCACGTGACAGCTGTTCTTGACTTGGTTCACGAGTCACGACTCGCGGCGGTAACAGTGAACACCGACATTCTTACAAGACAGAGCGGGGATAAGTTTAGGGCGCGCAAAAACAATGAAAACGCGATAATAAATTAGGCATTTCTCCTTTTAATTGGCTCGAGGCTTCTCGAGCTAACCATCGGGGCCCAGGGACCTACCAGTCTGATCGGGCGCTACAATGGGGGTCATCCGCACTATCGCGCTGACTGTTCTGAGTATCTCCGTGTTTGTTTTTATTGCACTTTTTGGTCGACTGCCAGCATTCAGGTGAGCACTGAACCCCAAGTTATTGAGTTTACCTACGACTTATCATCCTGTTCTGTGAAGGAAAACGCCGATCGCCTTTTTGCACCGAATCGTGTGGCTACATATTCCCAACGGGGTTGCCTTTCTTGATTCCCGCCTATTTGATGGCCGTATTGTACGAGCATGGACCCAGTCAGGTAGCTATATGTGGAATGAAAATCACCCAGTGATCCTGGTCAGCAACCGATATCGAACCATACTAGCGATTGTTTATTTCTAACACTGCAGTTCAGATCTTTTTTGTGGGCCTTCTCGCCATAGGGGAAATTGTCTTCCTTCCGCCGGCATGGCCTCGCATGTCGGGTGCTCATAAACTGTGGGTTCCCATGGTTGTCGTTGTTCCTTATGTACTGCTGTACAAATGTGTGACGACCAAGTCATTCGTCACACTCGACAATCATGATCAAGAGATGAAGCGGTATCCATTTGATCGAGTGCTCTTCCATCCGGGGCATCGTTGTCGCACTTGTGATTTGCCTAAACCGCCGCGCAGCAAGCATTGCAATATATGCAAGGGCTGTGTTTCTCGACATGACCACCACTGTGTCTGGTTGATGAATTGCGTCGGGGCCAACAACTACGTCTATTTTATGTCGCTTCTACTATCCTTGACAGTGTTGTTGGTGTATGGAACCTTTCTTGGTTATCAACTACTAAGCCAGACTCTTGAGACACGGGTGACAGCGGAGGGAAAAGCAGCCATGCAAGCCTGGACGATGTACTTTCATATTTGGGCATTTGTAATCACCGCCGACTACAAGATTGGCACTGTCACGTTATTGATGCTAATGACGGCACCGCTGGCCGCTGCCTTCTTGATCTATCATAGCTACCTGGTTTGGGCGGGTACCACAACCAATGAAAGTGCCAAATGGTCGGATTTAAAAGACGACGTCGAGGATGGATTTGTGTTCAAAGCCAAAAGAAGCCAAATCGAGAATGCACCGCCCTACACGGATTTGGGCGATGAGCCTTGGCCCATACAAAGTGACCAGATTTTGGTCACGGATGACGATCCACCAATGGAAGGTTACATGCTGGCGGCGGATTCAAACCGTGTCTATTATAACAAGGGTGGAGAGGTACCTATTGATGCACAGTGGAGACCAGTCCTAAACATGAACGATGTGGATAACATCTATGACATTGGATTTTGGGGTAATTTCAAGGACGCTATGGGGATGTCGGTGCGGCGGAAGACTTCAAGTATTTAGACAGGATAATGTCTGACAAGTCTTGGCTTTCCTTCAAGTGCTTCAAGTGTTCAATGTTTGCGTTTTAGTGCTCGATTCCCGCCACCTCAAAACATACTGTCAAGTGATTTTCTTCTCTTTTCTCATTCAAATGTGGACCGGCACATGTGCACTACTAGTATGTATATAATATACCAGCTGACATATGTATATCCCAAGTAAAAGAAACCAAGTAAAAATTTTAGCCATATAATCCCCTCCCGATTCCCCGCTCAAGTCCCCTCTCAAGTCTATTTTACTATGTAGTTTACACATGTGCATACTATGCATAACCATGTATGATTTATATACACTTCTTTCTCAACAATAATATCAATACCTTAGTTATTAAGAAAAGGGGGTACGTGGACGGAAATACCACGATTTGTTATTGGCTAGTACATCAACCTTTTTGACATGCGCTACCAGCACTTGAGTGTCTGTGCGTGCCTGTGCGAGGTTTTATACAGCCCCTCCAGATGTCGTTTCCCCTCGTAATCGACAACGACTTTCCCGCCTTTCTTCTCCCTGCACGTTGTAAATAACGCAAGTTCGCAATTGATCCAGATCACCTTTGAAGTTCCTGAGCTCCGCCAACCCCCTTTCCCTATGTGACTCGCGAATGGACCGGCTCCGCCCACGGGGGCTACGTCCGCGACCTGTTCCCCGAACCAACCGAGACTGTCTTCCTACTCCACGAGTCCCTACGACGACCAGCAGGTGCTGCCCTCATTCAGATGCAAAGTGGGAAGCTGGCCCTGCCGGCGTACTTGTCAACCATCACTGCTTGACGTGAAGAGGCGGTAGTTCAGGCGCTCGAACGCGGAGCCCCTGATTGGAACCCCTGACTGCCATCACGGTGAGCAAGGCGAGATACACACGCAGCATATCCTGCTGACGTGCGCACGCTTTACCGAGCTCAGGGCTGAGATCCTCGGCCCGAACCGAGCCCCCTGGGACTGGACGCGATGGCTGACAACCCCAAAGCAGCATCTTTCATGCTCGGAACGCGCCTACTCAGCCAGTTCAGCTACTCTCCAGAGACGTTCTATAACACAGTCGACTCAGGGGCCACGGGTGTGGCTTGAAAGCACACCCCCTTGGAGTACTTGCGGGCCTCAAGATACCATTATTCCCACCCCCTTATACTGTTTTCGGTCGTTCGAGGATATTCAATGTTAAGATTTATCGAAGTCGAGAATTATGCGCGGTTGGGTACCATAGGGAATACCCCCGACGCCCTGGATCTGTTACTGTTGGTTAATCGAGCATATCCAGCCAAAAGCCTGACAGGACCATCAATGGCCTTAAAAAAAAACAAAAAAAAAAACACAGAGGGCAATGGTCAGTCCGGCCACAAACCCCGTCACGGAAAAAAAAAAGTCCTTGAAGAATAGTCGATGTCGCCGATATAAGTCCAGGTTAAACAGCCGCAGATCGACATTGCCTGCCAAAAAGTCCGATGGAGGAACCGAAAGTTTCTTGCAGGATGATTTGGAAATTTTACACCGGTTTGATAATCCCAAGACATATACACCAAGCCCTGCGGAAGTTCTGAAAGCAATCAAAATAGCGTACGCTAGATTGTACCCCACTCACAGAGGACCATAATAGATGACTACTCAAAGATTGTCTGGCCTTGCTTCTGCAGTGACTTCTGGACGTTCCATAGCAATTCCCGAATCTCATGGATAAAACCTCCATATTCTCTTCCACCGCAACCACATCACCTTCTATTACCAAAAGTTCTGCCAGTCAGAATACCATGCAAAGTGCTGCAAATGACGTTGTAAAGAGGCGGATACAATCTTCCTCTCCGGACAACCACCGGCCCCTGGATTACCCGTCGTCCCATGGCCATCACTTGTTTATGAGGTCGAATTGTCTGAGTCCCGCCCCCAGCTACGGACTCCCAATGATGGTACTCCAACTCCGGTCATAATACACAACTTGTGGTTCTCATCTCAGCAAAGCCTAATCATGACGCTGAGATTGAGACATGAACCCCTGTTGTTAACCAGAGATCTGGCTTCAACGGCAGGAATCGAAGTGACTATATCCTGGTCTGTACACAATCAGTCGGGCTGTGTCCGGTGATGATATCGAACTAAATTTCTCATGATTAATGAGACGGCCACCACAAAATCTGCAGGAACGAAATTTGCATCTCACTGCGACGCAGATAAGCAGCATCTCTCAATAGTATGTGGTTGAAACTATTATGTTTCTTGGAGAATATATTCGCTGACTGGCTCACTCTAGTCATAATCAGCCGCTTGAATGACTGCTGCGATGGATGTAGCTGTCTACACTCTGACCCGTCGCCACTTGCCTATCGACACCTAAAGACACATTTCTAGATGAACAAGAAATAAACTCATGCGTATGAGGCGGCAACCACTGACATCAAAAACGTACTACAGTGCCATGTGAACGGACCTACCAATTTGGCCCAGGCAAATAAATAAAAAGATATTTCTAAATAATTAGAAATTGTTATAATATTGATAGAAATTATTGCTTTGACTTGACCTGATACAAACTCATATTCTTATTGTCTGTTATGATCCATAGACTCGGAATATTTTCTAAATTTGCCACTAATAAAACATTTCATGTGTTTACTTACGTTTAGCCAGATTGGATGAGTAGATAATTCATATCTTGTGTTTCGTAAATTAATCATTATCCCGAATGCTTAGCTCGATTCAGGACCGATGTATGGAGGAACTCTTACCACTGTAACAGTTTTCTCCGTACAGTCGCTGAATCCATGGTTGCCGAATGGCTAAAATATACTATCGCACTGGGCTGGTCGACATCAAATACGGGCAAGAAATGTGACAACCGCGCCGAAGCGGGCACATCTGTATAGCTTGCCACGGCAATTAGCCCCTCCTCCTCAATATCGATCCATTTTTCTGCAATGGTTGCAACAAGGGAACTATTCCAAATTCCTTCCTGGATAGCAGCGGTGCGAAGAACACGAACAGCACGCCGTCGGATGTGCGGGTCGCGGCATCGTGCGGCGACGTTAAACATGGCTGCGATAATGTTGAGATCGAGAGAAAAGGTCTTTGGCGATAACGGAGACGGCAACGAGGACGTAGAAGAAGAAGCATAACAGGGTACGATTGACTCGCCTAGGGATACCATCTGTTCGAAAAAGGGACAGTACTTGTCCCACTTAACATGGTCGCCTGCCTCAAGTCCGCCCGTGGGCTGGGAGACATCGAGCATGATAAAGCAGTCAATATGGCGCAGCTGGAGGACTGCGGCCCCGCGGCGCTCACGGTCCGTGAGAAAGTTTCCGCGCTCGAGTAGGAATTCATCTAGCGCGGTTGACCATCGCGTTAGCAAGGAGAGCGAGTTATCGCGCAGACTGACGGTTGCGGGAGTGATTTCGTTGTCAAATTCTGCGGCACTGCTCTCAGGTAGTGATTCTGCCTCAATATTTAGGTCCTCCAGCTCCGCACTGCGCTGCCGGTAGTAGTATGCGTATATCTCGAGCATCTCGCGTGCGTCGGCCAAGGAATGGAACACGACGGGTTGATTCAAGTCAATGGCTACCTCAGGCCAGAGGTTCAAACGTGTTGCACTGACTTTATGGTTTGTCTGTATCGAAATTTATTTAGAATATTCTATGGGAATATGGGGGTATGGATAGGAGGGACATCCGTACCACAGCCGTCTGTGCCTGGAGACGCGTGAAAAGACCACACAGGATGTTCATTGGTACATATGGTGTGCGCCATGAGCTCAAGCCTGTAAAAGATCTGGATGTGTTGGTTCGAAGCTCACCGAGGATCTTTAGTCCGCTGGTGATATGGGCAATGGCCGAACCGTAATGGCCGCGCATGGCCTATAGCTTGGCTAGTACGCATCGCTCGACAGCAGACATGGCAAAAACGCACCTCAAAACAAACAAATAGCAGACACGAGATCAGACACACGTCAATGGGCTGAGAGCTGTCCAGTGAGGGCATTAAACAGCGCATGGCGCGCATGTACTGGCGCAAGGCAAAGGGGTTGCGGATAGCGAGAGCGCTGGAGGCAAAGGGAGGTCCTGTATCGTACTCGAAATGCTCATGCAATGAGCCTAGAGCAACTATGACATGGCGAATGGCCGGCTCGTGGTGTGCAGACTGCAATAGCAGGCGTTCCCAGAATGCGCACTCAAAGTCGCCAGCCAGCTGCGGAGCGGTCTTCAGCAGGAAGAATTGGAAAGACTGGCGCTCCTGGTCGCAGGAAAACAGGTCAAAGGATGGAATGCTGCACGGTTGGGTGATGACCGTCTCGGTGAATGGGCTTAGTCGCTCGATTGCTTGGATAGGAGTGGTAGATGTCAGCTCGTTATAACCATCGCAGACGCGGCCTGTTGAGGTGCATCGCCGACAGGCCGGTCGCTCCTCGCCACACTTCACCCGTCGTTCTATCCGTCTCGGTCAGTAAACATTTGACAAATCTTGAAAAGTTCAACTTTACTCCTGCATACAGTCAGCAAGGGTATTTCCAGGATATGGGGGACGGACTTGCAGGTTATGCAGCCGGTACGCGTCTTGGGCTGAAAGGCACGCTTCCGGTCTTCCGAAGCGACTCGGGGCATTATTCAAGCGATGCCCGATGTGGTGGAAGTGATTTGGACGGAGATTGAGTGGGGGGAAATGGAGGACGTTGGAGTGTGGGGGTCAAGCGACTTTGTTAGCGATAATATGGGTCATCATTGATCAATACGGATGTTGAAGTTGGTTCCACTCCGTACGCAACTGAACGCCTTATCGGCTTCTCTTCGGACTAGTCTCAGGCTTCAGCATTTCAAACTTGAATGTTTCGGGTTAACTAGCAAGTATCTAAGCCATAACAGATTGAATCTCAATACTCACCAGATTCATTCTAGATCTGAATTATCTGGTTGATCAAGACCACAGAAATACAATTACAATGAAACATTGAAGTGCAAAACAACCTCATTGATCCATATTTGAACCACCGGGTATGGCGGCCGATAGAGGCCACCTCTAGGTCACATCTCAATTTCAATTTCTAACTTCACCGCCCTGTTTCCTGCCTGTATTTATATTTATCATACATAGGAATATCTTAAGGGATTTGATCTAAATACGGGTCACTTTTAGAATAGACTTGAGAATAGACTTGAGAATAGACTTGAGAATAGACTTGAGAATAGACTTGAGAATAGACTTGAGAATAGACTTGAGAATAGACTTAAGAACGGATTATATGACTAGGATCTCAGCCTCTCTTTCTTGCCAATGAATTTGGAATTACTCGTAACATTGAATTTACTTTCTGCTGGAAAGTTGAAATTGGGATGTGAGTCATCATGTGACCTAGGGGTGGCCTCTATCGGCCGCCGCATAACGTAATCGGTAAGCGGATGGCCAGTGTAAGTAGGCGGCCAACCTCAAAACACATAGTAAATATGATAAATTACAACTTCATTTCTCAACCAAAAAAAATCAAACTCAGTTCAATTTTATAGTTTGAGCTATTAGCCATATCTCCAGTGACATCCAGAATTTTGGGCCCCTTAAACGAAGTATTCGTCGTGTTTACCAAAAATACATTGTATTTTTCGTCAAATGTTGTAAAATTAGTATATTTAAGCTGCCAGAAATTGGGTTACTTTAAAACTGGCCAGGTCCATCTGAAGATAGATATTCAATAACACCCTATGATATGGATCTAGTCTGACTTGTTGTGGTTGAGAAATGAAGTTGAAATTTATCATATTTACTATGTGTTTTGAGGTTGGCCGCCCACTTACACTGGCCATCCGCTTACCGATTACGTTACTGGGTTGATCCGTCGGGTACGATGGATGACTAACACTTACATTTGAACGTTGAACATTTCACCAGTTGACAATTTGACAATTTGACTCTTGATAACCTTGGAATAGCGTCCTTGTTGCTAAGTTTGATTATGGATTCCCATATAGTATACAAACTTGCAAAAAAAAACCCCCCCTTCATCATAGCTAAAATAAGAGGTTGAGAGACATCTGGAGAATCTCACTACATTTTCAATGATCTGATTCACTGTCCGTACGAGCGGGCCAATCGGAATCGCTCCTCGAGACTATGAGGGATCCAGTCTCGTATGGACAATCACAGCCACAACAATGAAATCCTTTTACCAGGCAGCGATATTCGGCTGAGATGGGATATAAGATGAACAATATACCTCGTTGATCATGGTTTATAGCCCCCTATCAAATCAGGCACAATTGAAAGTCCTCATTTTTGGGCAATACTGCCATCATGACGCAATGCAAAGGTACGCCTTAGGTCTCCACATGTCTTTCTAATAGCACAATGGCTCATAAAGAATAGCTTTGACGACTCCTGATACCATGTGGAACTTCTGTCCCTCAATTGGCGCAGCATACCTTTTCATCGTGCTCTTTGGCCTGACAACAGTCGCCCACGTCGTGCAGGCGGCCCTGCACCGCAAGCTCTACTGCTGGGTGATCGCCATATCTGGAATGATCCAGACAATAACTTATATCTTTCGTGTGCTAAGCATCCTTAATCCAGCTAGCTATGAAGAATATGCCGCATGGTTCGTGCTGATTCTCGTCGCGCCGCTGTGGACCAACGCTTTCGTTTATATGATCATGGGGCGGATGGTATGGAATTTCACTGATGATGCACAAATTCTACGTTTGCGACCATGGCGATTTGGTCTAATCTTCGTCATTCTTGACATAATGCATGTACTGAATCTCTTCTATTTTGACACCCAGGCTAACCATGACATAGCGCGTTTATTGTTCAGGTATACGGGGCGGCGCAGGCGGCTGGCAACAATGTATCGTATAGCACGGAGATGACAGGCTTGCACATTTACATGGCTGGTGTGGGAATCCAGCAGTTCTTTGTCCTCGTCTTTGTCATCTACGCAATTTCTTTCCACCGCAAGATTCTCCGACAGCAGCGCCCGGATCGGAAAAAGGCCTTACTCCTTCTCTATATACTTTATGCATGTCTTGCTTTGATCACGGTAAGCCAAATCTCACAACCTTAGCTTGGAATATTTTGAAAATAGACTAACAACTTAGATGCGTATCGTCTTCCGTCTATCTGAATACTCCCAAGGTCTTGACAGCCGGTTACCCCTCCATGAGGCGTATCAGTACTGCCTAGACTCATTGCCCATGCTTTTAGCACTTGTAATGGTCAACGCCGTGCACCCCGGGCGTATAATGCCGGGCAAGGATGCCGACATACCGAGCCGCAAGGAACGAAAGAAGTTGAATATTCTTAATAAGCCAGGAGTCCTGGGAGATGACGTGATATGTCTTGAACACTGCTAGAAAACTTGAATGCATGTAAATAGTTGATACATAATATATGTACTCAGCAAGTCCAGTCGCATGTACAACATTGAATGTCATAATGCCTTTTATTTTTCTAAGGTTATGGCTTGCAAGTTGACGTTGGACCTGGAAGGTTGAGTGTGCATAAGATCACATGTGCACTATATATTAATGTTAATGTTGAGTGCCTAGTTGTGGGACTTGATATCTGATCACTTCAATGTTCCAGATGTCATTTGAAACATTCAAATAGAAGATCAAATTGATCAGCTTGAGAGAACTAGTGCTTGCATGTGAGCGGAAAGATACCGCTTCTTTCTTCTCTATATAAGTGACATAATATACATGTTTCCTCCCCATATTCAAACAAATGACAGTAAAATGACAGAAACACAGTACTGATTTTGAAGATGGATCTTCAAATTCTAGCCATCAATATTCTTCACATCGAACGGAGCCTTCTGTCATGACAGATCGTCTTCCTTTCCGATCTTAATGTCTTCCGGCCATAACATCTGACGTCTGGCAACAGCAACTATCGTGGCACCTCCCACACCCAACCACATAATGACTTGTACTACTGTCAGAACCGACGTGACCCACAAGACAGCTGGCGACTGCAAAACCTGACCGATGCTGATTGTTGCAATGATAAATCCCGTGTTGGGGAATACCATACCCCAATAAACGACGGACATGGGAGGAGCTCCTTCACCCCCAAAAATTCTGGTAGATGCCAGAACACTAACAACAGCGATGCAAAGATGAAAAAAAGCCATAGTCCAAATAAATATCGCAAAGAATGTGGCAATCACTAGTACAATATCACCGGTGCTGACAAGGACATTTCCAGCGGACTGGGAAGCCATGTATGATATGATGTATTGATCCGGGAATACTTTGACAGCCTCCTTGGCCATTCCAATCAATGCAAGAGCAGTGAAACTCCACGGTCCGACAGCAATGAACATTTGTGGACGTTTAGGTAGCTCCGGAAGACCATGTTTCGCAAGGAAATACTGGTATTCGGCATATATAAGGCAAGACATGATGAACCCGAAACCTTGCAGTGTGACTCCACCGATGAGGATGGGTAGAGCTTGGTCTCGTGGTTGGTTTGCAGCAATAGACGATGCAATCGTGCCGGAAAGCATTGCAGGAAAAGAGGGCAGGAGTTGAGCGATTGGGAAAGGTTGGCGCTTGGCCATAGCGAGGTGGTACAGATACCAGTTGTGGAATATCGCTAAGAGGGTGGCACATGCGACGTAGATCCAAAAGATAATCCGAAGGGCAACCTGGAGCCAGGGGCCACAGGAGTCGGTTCCATAGCTCTCTGCTCCGAGGATGATGGTCGCGATAGCTAGCAGGCAAGTGGGCGCGTAATAGCTTTCATTGCCATCTCTGAATGACTCCTTGAGGGCAGACCGTTTGGAAAGGAAGCGGAGGACCATGCAGAAGGTGATCGCAAGAAAGAAGGCCAAGTTGAAAACGTAGATAATTTTTCCAATGATCTCAAGTCCGGTGAATTGGTGAGGTGTCCGGTAGAGGAGAACAGCGATACCTCCAGTAGCCATGGACATTGAGTACCAGCCCCATTTGATCTGACATAGTCTCTCGTTGAGGGTGACTCTATTGTCAATGTTCATATTGGCTAATGTGGGAGGTTGTGACTCGTGAGATTCATAATCGCAACGAAGGTTTGGAAAAAATTCGCCGCATATGCAAAAAAAGGGTATCAACGTGGATCACATAGTGGATCACCAAATGACCAAGTTTGAATATCAGGTCGATCAAGTTTGTTGGACGAGGTAGGTTGCGTGCTCGTTCAATGATATCCACTGGGTAAAACCCACAAGGCACAAAATTTGTTGCGTTTCGGCATGCCGAGCTCGGGATCTTTCCGATCGTGATCTACACCTGAAGCTTAATTAGGCTTGTACTCCGAACCTTGTTTTACAGTATGTGTGAGATTATTGATCGACCGTTGCAAATACCAACCTTTTCTTGACATGGAATTAGAATTGAATACTTTTGTGAGATACACAAGAGTTTGACTAGCTATTCATATGGGCATTAAAACACTATAAGCAAAATAAACCTTGGAACCTTCCGAAGTTGGAAATAATTTCATTTCTACTAGGTATCGGTCTCCAAATTTCCAAATACTGGTTTGCCTCAAATATGCCGAAGTGTTTCCGATTTCCTAAAGATCTCGGCAAATTACCTAGGTGGTATAGTGTAGTATGTACAGAATTATACATTCCAGTGGTCAGTACATTGGAGTATGCGGATTTAATAGTCTCCACTTATGCACACATTGAACCCACTATTCATTGTCTGGAATGAGGTTTGTACATTGCCTCTGCTTGAGTTCCTGCACGGCATCCTGAATAACGTTCTTCGAGAGTTCCACGCTTGATTGGCATGCGTAGCAGATTTTTATGAAAATGGGCTAGCTTGGCATTCATACATAGGAAGTTCGGTGAATTATAACATCTAAAGTACCTATCGTTCAAGTATCAGGTGCTGGGCGGCCCTTCAATGTTCCCTTCAACATTGACATCGCAAATATTTGGCTAGTTAGGGAGAGGATCCATCAACTCCAGGGCTCAACACCAATGCCAAGACATCAATCCTTGGAAGGTGTAAAATTTCAACAGTTTCTTGGAAGACTTTTCAGTATGTGTTGTCCGTGCTACTGTTTTCTCTATTTCTAGGCATACATATATCTATGTATAACCGATGTCAAATGGCAAAGAGAAATCGTTTAGATCCGTCGAATTCCAAAGTCAATCATCCATGCACATGTGGACTCCGAGGTCAAGCCACGCGACTGGAAATATCAATTGGGGACATTTGGAAGGGAGAGCCCTGGAGTTCATAATTACTAACATGCAAACACTGACCCCTAATGGACAAAACCTTTTAAAGTTGGAGGTAAGTCACGATTTTAAATGTTCCAAATGTTTCAAAGTTCAAATGTTTTCGAGACTCGTTTGATCTATTGTCGGTTAGTATTTGGGTCCAATATTGTAACTCATAGGCATTGAAAAAAAGCTCTACTTGAACACACCATCTACCATTTCATGAGATTAATCTTCGTTCTTCTCTTCCGTATCGCCCTCAAGCTTAACATCGGTCACTAGGAAGTTCCCTATGAAACACAGACAGATCAAGGGTACAAGAGTAATGAAAACGACTCGGAACCCAGCCATATTTGCATCTAGCACCCGAGGATCATTTGATGGCGGATTCAATCTCTCATCACTCGGTGTATGTTTAGACAAGTCTGTGGATGCGAATTTATTGTACAAAGCCGTATGTGTGGCAGCACGCTGCGCCGCAGTTGAGATGGCAATGCCGAAAACAGCGCCCAATGAACGCAACAAGTTGCGAGTACATGTGGCTACTGCCCTATCTTCAGTTCTTGCGAGTGCTTGAACTGCGACCAATCCTTGTTCAAAAAAAAAGTCAATATACTGCTTTCTTCATTGTATCTGAGAAAGTTATGTTACCTGGTTGATGCGTAAAGCCAACGCCCGAACCTTCGATAGCAAGGACGACGACATAAACTACGATATGAGTATTGCGGTCAAATAGCAGTCGCAGACCTGCTCCGCATGACCACAGAAAAAGTCCAATTCGCAGCACAGGTGTGAATCTAAATATCATGAGCAAGCAGAATATCAGGAGAAATTAATGCCTTTGACAAACCTAGCGAATCGACTCATCAAAATTCCGGATATTGCCCCCGCAATGCTTTGTCCCAGAACATATGGTAAAGTTAAAATGGCACTCTTAAGGGGTGAAAAGCCCAAAAGTTGTTGAAAGAAGAGAGGCATAAAGTATTGCGTGGATTGCCACACATAGTCGTGCAGGACACCAGTTATTAGCATGACTGTCAGAGATCTTTGCCTGAACAAGTTCAAGGGCATTATGGGGAGTACGGCGAATCGCGCCTGTACTATAAGAAAGGTCACGATGGAGATAGCTCCAATGACCAACAAGGTAATTATAAAGCCGCTGTTCCAAGGCCAAGAACTTCCACCAGAGCTTATTGGGATCTGGGTTAACAGGGTTAGTATTATCTGGGATTAAGATTTGAGAACGAAGCAGGAAGGTTCGCCTATGGAATGGATGTGGTTCACGAATCACATACCAAGAGAAAAGTAATCCCCATAGTAGACAGCAAAACTCCAAACCAATCGATTTGTTTCACTTTTCGTCGCCAGCTTTCTCCGACTTTTTCCAATGGCAACAGCAAAAGGAGAAAAAACACAGATATCAAAGCAAGAATAGATGGGACCCAAAAGGTCCATCTCCAACCATGAGGTCCTTTCTGTATTAGGCTGGCTGCAAGAAAAGGGCCAGTTACCGCTCCTCCTCCAATGGAGATACTCACAAATCCCTGGTATTTTCCTCGCTCTTTCAGACTCACTAAATCGCTGATGATGATCGAGACCAGTGAGCTTATGCCCCCTGCCCCAATCCCGCTTATTGCGCGCGACACATAAAGCCACGCTGGGGTTTTCGCCCAACCCGACAGGAAGTTGCCAAGCATAATACAGGCAACAGAGACAAGGAGAACCGGCTTCCGCCCAGATATATCGGAGATGCGACCATATAAAGGCTGAAATATCGCCTGCCCGAGGAGAAAAGCAGTGCCAGCCCAAGTGATCGTTGTCCCTGCCGACAAGGCATTTGAAACTGTAGCGAGCGCTGTCGTTGTGGCATTCATATCCAGATATGATATGAAATAGCAAAAGCAAAGACAAACATAGGAAGCCACCAGACGAGGGAATGAAAGCCTTAGTGTCTGATCGTCTAGGGCAGTGAGCCTATTTGGTGAGGTAGAGCTGGACACCCCCTTTTCGGTAATCAACATCAGGCTCGTCATATGGATCAAATGAGGTTATGGATCGAGGATATTCTAGAAGCCCACATCTGAAAATCAATTGTGTTCAAATGTTTTAGGGGTCTGGACATTTGAACTTTCTTTACTGAAAGTCCCTCCATATTTTGTCAATTGAGCATATTGGGACCGTGCAACGTTGAAGAGTTACTTCAAAAATGCTACCAGCCCTCCAAACAAGAAATTCTTCAGCGGACCTTCAGAGGACTCGGTCTTTTCTTTTTCTTTTCTTTTTTTCTTTTCTTTTTCTTTTGCTCGACTGGATCGTTAGTAACATCTTGGAGTTCAAATTCAAAACGATTTAACTGGGGTGAGACAAAGTGGATCGGAGTCGTCTATGTCGTCCCGACTCCCGATGATTGGTTACGGCCCAAGAGTTCCCAGGTGCCGAGTCCTGCACTCAAGTGCTGATTTGGACTAGCGCAGGGCCCTTTCTATTTACGAACGTTGACTTTATTTTGTCCCTTCTATTTCAATCTTGTATCGGCATTCGGAGACTATAGTATTGTATTTCCGTATGCATGTGGTGCTTGTGTAGCATTTAAGCTTGAACTAATAGACCGAATACCACTGTATAATCAATTTGATGCGATATGATTATGAATCGCATAGATGCCTAATGTACGCTGCCATGGTCACAGTGCGGATTCGGGTCCAACATTCAAAGGTTCACAAGGATATTTTGCAAGACCTCGTATACACACTGTACGGTTTCTGGATTCTTCTCAAATCAATCCAGTGTGAACCTTTCCAACATTGAACCTTCCTATGGAAATACCTGGGTACTAATTCGGGAATCGGTAATAATATTGGAACATGAAAAGATAAAATTTCATATTGCTGGTGAACAAATTTGAAAAGACAAAAAAAGTATCCACATGCAGATCTAGACTGTCGCTACCTGGATCGCATTGATACCTAACAATCGCTTCACTGGAATAATCCGCGCATCAGCCTCGCATCCAGACTGAGTTCCTAGAGCTAGTTCTTCAACAGTCGCTCCCATGTTCTCAATGGCGCCCTTCTGTGCAGCAACAAGAAATTGCTTCACTTCTTCGTTCTTTCCATTTTCAAAATCCCGATCGAGTAAGATTCGCAGGAGGCAGCCGTAGTTTTGAGCTTCAAGGCATGCCTTTGCTTCTTCATCCTTGAGAAATAAGCCCGGACTCTCAGCCAGCAAAGTCTGCGCAATAATCTCAATTGCTTGGATCTTTGCGCGCATCAGATGATTGGCATAGATTATGATATTTGCGCCGGCATCAACGAGGCTTGTGCGTGGTGTAGTGCTGTAAGTAGTTGGGACTACTACAAGAGGCATTGTGCTGTTCTTTTCGCGGAATCGTCTCATGAAGCTCACTACCTCAGAGGAACTATGGCTTTTGCTGTGAATCATGATGGCATCCACACCTGCTTCAGTATAAATCACAGCACGGGACAGTGCATCCTCAAGGGACTTTTGGATAGAGGCAGAGTCTTCGGTTGGATCATTTTTCTTTATGCGGACGTTGAAAGACTCGATCCTAGCTGTCACCATCAACTCGCTTCCAATCGCACATTTCCTAAAGGCTTGGATTCTTTTGGAAAACTCCAACGGATCTGCTTGCAACTGTGATCCGTCCGCGGATAATAGTGAATTGACCTTTTCTCCTGGGGCGTTCAGATCTTTATCTTCAATTATCACCATTGAGATCCCAGCATTGACCAGGACAGTCACAAGAGCTGGGATGTTCTCAATATCACCACCGCTGTCGGCATCGAAAGCTGCACAGAGAAGACGTTCGTTTGTGGAGTTGGATTTGACCTTTGCCGCCTCCAAAATTGCTCGATGGAGAGGAGATATAAGTTCCGTGTCTGGAACCCCCAAGTAGGTAGTTTGAGTGAGGCCACTAATCCATACACCTTCAAAGTAGTGATCATCTCCACCAGCATTCCGAATGACTTCTGTAGAAAATCCATCGTGCGCTTCTATCAAGCGGATCACGCCATTGTGTTGTCTCAGAGCGGACCGAATTGACACAGACATCGCGTCAAGTCGTTCCAAACGGGGCGGCCAAAGCAAGTGACAAGTCTAGATAGAGAGGAAGATCAGTCGATGTAAAAGAGAGTTCTCGTGATTGGGGAACATTGAAAAGGCCAATATTATTTCTTTCTGGTGTTTGAGCCAGAGCTTTTTCTGGGGATTCACACTAGTAATCCTTGATCAATCGTAAATAGAATGCTTAATGAGCATAATAAGGGAGTGACCATAAGGAAATAGGAAAGATGAGAGGGATAGAAGGTGACAAACCAGGAAGAGGACCGTGTATATCAGTTAACAGATGAATTCAATGTTTGATAGTTGGCAAGTAACGTTTGTCAAACAGAAGCAAGCAACAGAGGAGTAGGAGAAGGAAGAAAGAACGGAAAGAAGCACTTGAGGAGAAGGTATGAAATTTCCGGGAATGAAACCTTCTTCAAAAATTGATCTACGCTAGTAAATATAGTATCATGTATACTACTACTATACATATAATATATATCACATGCATGGTAAAGCTCTTGAAGCCGTTGAAGGTGTAAGTTGGTGGTCATCACACACGTCACGTGCGAATATACTTCTTCTACTCATTTATCGGCTTTCTTTTATCCCCCGAAGGAACCACGGCTCGTATGTTCTGAGAACTGATATACCGGGAAACCGCAGCAAACATTTGAAGAGTACGAGTTGTGTCATTTTTCGCAAGGTTTCACTGGAAGTTTGTTTCACCTCTCAACACACCTGGTACTACTACTAGTATCTACGGCAGGTGCTGCCCCCAATGCCTAGTGACCTTTCAATATTCCTGATATTCTCTTGGAGAAAGAACTCCCAGGCTGTTCACGCAGATCCAAAATTTCGCGCAAAACTATTCAATATCTCGTTACCGCGAACATGGGATCCTCTTCAATTTCGTCTTGTTTCTCAAAGCTTGATGAGGTACCACTCGATCCTCATTACTCACTGAAAGAAGACTTTGAAAATGATGCCGATCCCATCAAGGTGATCTTGGGATCGGGTATCTATCGAGACAAGAATGGGAAGCCATGGGTATTGCCTACGGTTCAAGAAGTAAGTCTATAACTCCAAGACTGCAATGGTGTGATGCAAGGCGATTTCTGATAATTGGTCATGAAGGCCGAAGTTCTAGTCGACAATCTACAGGATCCCGCCCGTTACGACTACCTTCCCATCCCAGGATATGCACCATTTTATACCGCAGCACGGGATTTATTGTTTGGGAATCTGGAAAAGCCAAAAAATTACATTGTCTCTCTCCAAACTGTGGCAGGGACAGGTGCAAACTCCCTTGGCGCCCGTTTCGTATCCGAGGTCTTGAGGCCATCTGCAGTGTGGCTATCAGACCCGAGTTGGATCAATCACGCGAATATTTGGACATTGATGGGAGTGGAGGTGAAATATTACCCGTACTGGGACGCCGAGAATAAGTGCTTGAGTTTTGAGAAGATGGTTCAAGCTCTGACACAAGAGGCCATGCCCGGAGATGCAATCGTACTTCATGGCTGTGCCCATAACCCGACAGGGGTTGATCCAACGAAAGACCAGTGGAAAGCAATTGCAGAAGTTTGTGAAGGCAGAGGGTTGTTCCCTTTCTTTGACTGTGCATAGTAAGTGGGGTGACTTGCACACGGGGTGGCTATTCTTTTAATTGGAATGGAGGCTAACAGAAGAGAGATAGCCAAGGATTCGCTTCCGGAGACTTGGACGAGGATGCTTGGGCATTGAGATACTTCGCATCTCGCGATAACATGGAGCTCGCAGTAGCCCAATCTTTTTCAAAGAATATGGGCCTCTATGGAGAACGCGTTGGGGCCTTGCATGTTCTCACGGCTTCACCAGACGCTGCATCAAAGGTGAAAGGGCATCTCCTCCGTCTTCAGCGAGGGCTAGTCTCTCAACCACCCCAGAGAGGGGCAATACTGGCGTCAAAAATTCTTCGAAATGACACACTATTCAAGAAATGGTTACTGGATCTTTGTGAGATGAGCTCGAGGATGAAAGACATGAGAAAAGCACTGCACAAGGAGATGGTTTCTTTGGGAACGCCGGGAAACTGGGACCACATATTGAGTCAAGTGAGTGAATCTCATAGTTTGTTTCGAAGAAGATTGACATTTCTAATAACAGATAGATTGGAATGTTCTCCTACACAGGCCTCAGCGCTGCACAGGTAGAAGCCATGCAGTCTGACAGTCACGTTTACATCTTGAAGTCGGGACGAATCTCAATTGCAGGCTGTAAGTATTTGAGCACATGCAATCATAAGTCAGAAATTGAAATTTTTTGATTTAGATGGAGCTAAATTGTAAGTCGATAGTAAACGATTCAAACGTCAAATATGTGGCCCAGGCAATCGACCGTGCCTTGAGAATGGAGCTCAGATAGCTCGCCCATTCGCTGTCCGAACATGCCTCTTACTTTGCTCATGATTCTTCATTGCTTGATAAATCCTAGTAAAAGTTAACGGGGCTTAGTACATCGCCGGTTTTTCGAACAACGCCGTATAGCGACATCCTGATGTCGAAATACCCCCAGTAGGTGAAGATCAAATGTTGCGAAACCTTGGATGAGAACGCCTGGATGACCAGAGCAGACCTCGGGAGTTTTATTTCCCAGAATATCCATGAAATCTGTAGGCTGTAATGGTACGGAGTAGTACTAGTAATCTACTAGTAATCTACAAGTCACCTACTAGTCCCCTCAAAGTCAACGTAAATCCATGCTGTCTCCTTAAGAGGCTTAATCCACCCTGGTCTTTGCCACTATGCCTTAAAAAAAAAAAGGAGTGACACGCCACGCTCTTCAATGTTTCAAATGTTAATGAAGGGCGTTGTCGACAAATGTGTTTTGGAGGCTCAAAACTGAAACTGAATACCTAACAACAGCCAAGTGAGAATCAGGCTGGGTACCTACTAGGTAAAAACCCGGAACTGTTCAACTCCTGTCCAATACTTCAAACGTTGCTACCAATACAAGCTGGACACATGCATGGATTGATCTCATAAACCTTTGACAAAATTGGTACCGTGATGTGCAGGTGACGGCAAGCTGACGATGCATTTAATTTTCAGCTTGTGTAGCCTTGGAATACCTTGCAATCCCTGGAGGTCACAAGACCATCTACGATACATGTAAACTGGGATGCATGAGTACTGGCACTTGAGAGCAATATATGTCTAAGTAACCAAACTACCTTGGAGGATTACAACAAGGTCTCATTGACTTGAGAATACAACGTCGGAATGCAGGGGCCGGATAGACCGGAGGTTCCCGGGGTCATGGAATGATCAATATGACCAAAATCCCCCGCCCCCAAAAAAGACTCACCGTGAAATAATCGAAATCGAGAGTAAGAGATGTGAAAGAGGTTAAAAGAGATCAGGGTTGATCGATGGATATCGATGACTTCATCATCGTTGAATCCGTTGTTCAACCTTGGGATTTTCGATGTGGTTGCATCGCCCAGATCGGGATATGCACCTCACATAATCGGAAATAGCAAGCTGACTTTGCCAGAACAAGAACTTTGGTCGTTCCTTTCCAATTTCTTGAATTCTTTAACTCCTTTTGGAAACAAGTGGGTACAGGTCGGTGAAGTCGGTCAAGTCAGGTCGGTCAAGTCGACACTCCGATGCCGAACACGAGAACCTTGTCATCGAGGGACCTGATATTTGACGTAATCATATGCATTCGTCCATCTCAATATTACTGTGCTGAGATACCTGTGTGTTCTTAATGTAAGCAACAGCTGCAACACCTGTTCGACAACATTTGAAAGGGAACCTCATGTTCTTTCTTCCCCAGCAGGATCGCAACATTGAATCTCAATGAAGGAAAGTGCCAGACGCGTAGCAATAAGAAGCAGTTCACCAACACTTAACCACCCGACGTCATTCTCTCTATTTTTCGGGAAATGGATCGAAATACTTCCATTCATAGCGACAAAACCCTCGCTACTCCCGAAGAGGCAGATTATCTACGAGAATCCAGCTCCGCGGTTGCCAGCATCCCTTCCCAACCAGACAGAGAAGAGGATTTCGCAGAAAGCCGCAGTGTCATCTCAAAGGCATCCGACGATGATTCAAATGACGCTCACCTTAGCCGGGCTGAGCTCACCCAGACACTCACCCAACGAAGAAGCCAAGCTTCGGGTCACCAAGGCGAAGAATGGGCTCAAATTGAGAAGCTGATTTCACGTATGTTCGGTCATGAACGGAAGGCTAGCTCCAAAGAGGAAAAGACACGACATGCAGGAGTGGTTTGGAAGAACCTCACCGTAAAGGGCTTGGGCCTTGGAGCAGCCCTGCAGCCCACCAATGGTGACATATTTCTTGGTTTGCCGAGGCTCATCAAGAGACTGTTCACTCGAGGCCAGAGAGGAGCTGGGCAGGGGAAGCACCAAATCCGAACCATTTTAGATGATTTCACAGTATGATACATTTCCCTTCCGATCAAAAAACCCCGTATTCTGACTTTTTTTTTTTCTACCACAAGGGCTGTGTTCGACCCGGAGAAATGCTTTTGGTTCTAGGCCGACCTGGCTCAGGTTGTTCTACTTTTTTGAAGGTCATCGGCAACCAGCGATATGGATACGAAAGCATTCATGGAGATGTTTTATATGGTGGAACGGACTCTGAAGCAATGTCCAAAAACTATCGTTCTGAAGGTATGCGGCGAAAAAAAAGAAAAGAGGCCATCATCACTCGTGAAGCTAAAAAAACAGTTTCTTATAATCCGGAGGATGACCTTCATTACGCTACATTGACTGTCCGAGAGACCCTGCTGTTTGCGCTCAAGACCCGAACACCAAACAAAGAGTCACGGATTCCTGGAGAAAGCCGCAAAGATTATCAGCAAACATTTCTGTCTGCAATTGCAAAGTTGTTTTGGATTGAACATGCAATGGGAACTAAAGTTGGCAATGAGCTTATTCGCGGCGTTTCAGGAGGGTATGTCAAATTATGGCTATTTAAGATAGACACATTGAAGTTTTGCTAACATTCTTATTCACACGAGAAAGAGAGAAAAAACGTGTCTCAATTGGAGAGGCTATGGTGACCAAAGCTAGCACTCAATGCTGGGACAACTCTACCAGAGGACTTGATGCGAGTACGGCATTGGAATATGTGCAAAGTCTACGGAGCTTGACCAACACGGCCCAGGTTTCCACTTTAGTTGCCCTTTACCAGGCCTCCGAGAATTTGTTCAATCTTTTTGATAAGGTTGTGCTTATCGAGGACGGAAAGTGTGCATTCTTTGGTCGTTCAGAGGATGCGAAGCCTTATTTTGAACGGTTGGGATTTGAGTGCCCGCCACGATGGACCACACCAGACTTCTTGACATCCGTCAGTGACCCGCATGCAAGACGTATCAAACCAGGATGGGAAAACCGGATTCCCCGTACAGCGGAAGAGTTTCAAGCAGTATACCGTCAAAGTGACATTTCCAAGATCGGACTTTCGGACATCCATGATTTTGAGAACGAGTTACAAGCCCACGAACACGAAAGAGAGATGCTGAGAAAAGACACCACTACGAAAAACTACACAGTCCCATTTTGGAAACAGGTCATGATCCTCACTCATCGTCAATTTCTCGTGATGTTTGGAGATCGAGCAGCCTTGGCAGGCAAATGGGGCGTGATTACCTTCCAAGCTTTGATTGTGGGAAGCTTGTTTTACAATCTTCCCAATACCAGGTTGGTCCTTATTCTATAATGTCTTGGATGATTTAATGTTGATTTGATACTAGTTCTGGGGTTTTTACTCGAGGCGGTGTTATGTTTTTTATCCTTCTATTCAATTCTCTGCTTGCACTTGCGGAACTTACAGCTGCTTTCCAAAGCAGACCCATATTGATGAAACACAAAAGCTTGTAAGTACCGATGTTCTGGGAGTGTGGAACAAGAGCTTACAAGGAAAATAGTTCATTCTATCGACCAGCTGCATATGCCTTGGCCCAAGTTGTTGTAGATGTGCCATTGGTGTTTATCCAAGTTGTCATCTTCGACATCGTAGTATACTTGCAAGTATTCCGCATTCTTTTCAACTCCAGAGCTAACAAATAGATTTTTAGCATGGCAAACCTTGCCAGAACACCATCCCAGTTCTTCATTAATCTGCTATTTATCTTTATACTTACCATGACAATGTATTCTTTCTTCCGTTCTCTGGGAGCGCTTTGCGCTTCATTGGATATTGGTGAGAGAACATTGTTCTTTTTTTTTCTTTACTTTGATGCTAACAATCTCTAGCTACTCGAATTACCGGTGTCGCCATCCAGGCACTGATCGTATATACAGGTAAATATCAAGTTTCCACTAATTATCTTTTTAGACACATATGAAGCAGACACTGACAATATCGGATAAGGATATTTGATTCCGCCCTGGAAGATGCATCCATGGCTCAAATGGCTTATTTGGATCAACCCAGTTCAGTATGCGTTTGAAGCAATGATGTCCAACGAGTTTTATAATCTGGCGATCCAATGCGAAGCACCATATGTTGTCCCATCTGGGCCAGCAGCAAGTGCTGGCCATCAAGGCTGCACAATTCAAGGCAGCTCTCCTAACAATCTCACCGTTCAGGGGTCCGATTACATACTGGCAGCCTACACTTACTCTCGCAGCCACCTATGGAGGAATTTTGGCATCATTATTGCTTGGTTCCTTTTCTTCGTTTTTTTGACCATGCTTGGAATGGAAATCCAGAAGCCTAATAAGGGCGGTAGCTCAGTTACAGTCTTCAAAAGAGGCGAGGCCCCCAAAGCAGTTGAAACCGCCATCGAAAACTCAGGAAGACCCGCGGATGTGGAGACCACCGAAAAAGAGGCGCCATCGGCAAGCTTGACAGATGATGAAGCCAAGGAGAAAGTCCAAGATATCGCTAAAAACACTTTGATTTTTACTTGGCAAGATGTGAACTATACCATCCCGTACAAAGGTGGACAACGGAAGCTATTGCAAAATGTCAACGGCTATGTCAAGCCAGGTCGGCTTACAGCATTGATGGGCGCATCAGGCGCAGGGTAAGTTTGCCGGATATTTGACCATGTACGGGCACGAATCAATTGATGCTAATTCCTTCGTTGTTTTTCTTTTTCCAGAAAAACAACACTTCTGAATGCACTGGCTCAGCGGATCAACTTTGGCGTGGTGACCGGTGATTTCCTCGTTGATGGAAAGTAAGTCTGGTTCATTGGAATATTTTCAAAGCATTTTAAAATTTTTTTCTCTACCTCGAGTGTCCACAAAATCTAACAAAAGATGGACATAGCCCCCTTCCGAAGAGCTTTCAGCGTGCGACCGGATTTGCTGAGCAAATGGACATTCACGAGCCAACTGCTACAGTACGCGAATCTTTACGGTTCTCCGCTCTTTTGAGACAACCCAAAGAGATTCCCCTGCAAGAAAAATATGACTACTGCGAGAAGGTGATTGATCTGCTTGAGATGCGATCTATCGCTGGCGCAACAGTAGGATCTCCTGGATCGGGATTGACCCAGGAACAGCGCAAGAGACTCACCATCGGGGTAGAGCTAGCTAGCAAGCCAGAGTTGCTTTTATTCCTGGATGAGCCTACATCGGGGCTTGATTCGCTAGCAGCATTCAATATTGTTCGCTTCCTCCGAAAACTAGCTGATGCTGGACAGGCCATTCTGTGCACAATTCACCAACCTTCGGCCGTTCTTTTCGAAGAGTTTGATGAATTGCTCTTGCTTCAGAGCGGTGGACGGGTTGTTTACAACGGTGCTTTGGGGTCAGATTCGAAGACACTGATTGACTATTTTGAACGAAATGGTGGGAAGAAATGCTCACCACATGCTAATCCGGCTGAAGTCAGTTTCATTTATCTATTTCATACATTTATCTGCATTATAAACCTGACATTTTCATTTTAGTACATGCTCGAAGTGATTGGAGCGGGCAATCCAGAATATAAAGGTCAGGATTGGGGCGACGTATGGGACGCCACCCCAGAGTCCAAGGCTCTTTCTGCAGAGTTGGATGAAATCATTCGCGATCGTCGTGGCAAAGAAAATGAGGATGCCAGAGACAATCGCGAATATGCCATGCCCTTGTATGTCCAGATCGTGGCAGTGACCAAGAGAACTTTCGTGGCTTATTGGAGACTCCCTGACTACATCCTTGTAAGTCCATCAATAATTGAAGTCAATGCACATTTGGAGCCTCTGTTATATATACTGACGTATGACACAGGGTAAATTCATGCTTCACATCTTTACCGGTCTTTTCAACACCTTCACGTTTTGGCACCTGGGAAACAGCTATATTGATATGCAGTCAAGGCTCTTCTCTGTTTTCATGACACTTACTATCTCACCACCACTTATTCAGCAGCTGCAGCCCCGTTACATTCATGCTAGAGGTCTGTACCAGTCTCGAGAGTCGAATTCCAAGATTTATTCCTGGACTGCTTTCGTTGTGAGCACGATTTTACCCGAGCTTCCATATTCGATTGTTGCAGGATCTGTGTATTTCAATTGCTGGTAAGAAAGCATGCATCGGTTAAATTTGAACTTAATATATTGCTAATAAAAGCTCATCGAATCTAGGTACTGGGGAGTCTGGTTCCCGCGCGACTCGTTTAGCGCCGGCTATACTTGGATGATGCTTATGCTGTTTGAATGCTTCTACGTTGGCTTTGGACAATTCATTGCAGCCTTTGCTCCAAATGAGTTATTTGCCTCCTTGCTAGTTCCTACATTCTTTACTTTTGTTGTCTCATTCTGCGGTGTTATTGTCCCCTATGTTGCCCTACCCCACTTCTGGCAATCGTGGATGTACTGGCTCACCCCCTTCCACTACCTGCTAGAGGGATTCTTGGGTGTAGTAACTCATAATGTTCCTGTCCGCTGCGTGGAACGAGAAGAAGCTCACTTCAGTCCGCCTTCTGGACTGACCTGCCAACAATATGCAGGACCTTACGCTCAGGAAGCTGGCGGCTATGTCAGTGATGCCGGAAATGGGATGTGTGCTTTTTGTCAATACTCCACAGGAGATGAATTTGTGAGTCCCCAACTTTTGTTATTTACGGGACTGCCTAGAACTGCCTCTGACTTTTGTTTCCTAGGCTGCTGGGTTCAATGTCTTCTATTCACACAAATGGAGGAACTATGTGAGTCACCTGGCCACCTCGGATTGCCTCCTGAAGTCTCCATTTGATAACGAGAACTCTAACAAATATCTTTAGGGGATTTTCTGGGCATATGTGATCTTCAATTTTATGGTTGTCTTCCTGTTCTCTTGGTTGTATCTCCACGGGGTTCGGGATATGAAACGGTGGTTTAGTGCACGCAAGACAAGAAAAGTAGCGAATGCTTGATGGAACACGAATATCTAGAGTCTTTGAAGTCTTAGTTTGAAACCAAATCAATTATTATGTGGTCCAGACTAAAGACAAAGATTGAAGATGGAGGAACGTGGTTAAAATGTTGATCCAGAGTCCAGACTATGTAGAATACTAGAAATCCACTTGTTATATGGGCACTTGAGCACTCAAGTGCTGGGTAACAGCTCTCCGCGCTTGAAAAGCTTGGCGCCTCCTCTTCTCTCTCCGCCCCCAATTTTCCAAATTCAATTCCCTTTTACCCCAGCGATCGCTCGTGACAATAACATTTGAAGCTAGCAGGGTTTTCTATCATGCTGTGATATATACATAAATCTTACTGCTCGTTCTGTCCTCTACCCGACCCCCCAACACATCATCCTGCCCTCGAAAAGGTTGACTATGAAGGAAGAAACCCCCAGGGAGTCGCCTGAAGGCTCGCGGGCCGACGACCAGTCGAACTCGAAATCCGGTGCCAATCTAGGGTCCAAGGACCGAAATTGCCAGTATTGCGGTCAGCCGTTTACCTCATCGTCACTTGGTCGCCATCTCGATCAGTTTCTGTTCAAGAAGAAGCCTGATGGCGTTCATGATGTCGAGGAAATTCGTCGCATCCGCAGTGGGATCACTCGTCGGCAGGCCCGCACGAATTCTGGCAAGCATGACGAGAGCCCCGATCACGTCCAAAAAAAGGGCTCCGTCGACCCCTATACTACCACTGGAGAATCGGCATCCAAGGCACGCGAACCCCCGCCGCGCATGATGTTCAATACGCCGACTTGGCATGCAACCGGCGTCATCAACGATATTCCAAACCCAAGTCGCGTGCTAGACGGGCCACGAGTCATGCCAAATCAGTCGCGGGCGGGCTCCTTGCAGCTGCCGGATTATGCGAGCCGAGGTGCCAATGCCAACAACCCTGATACCATGAAAGCGCTCGAGCTGGCGTTGCACGAAGTGCTCGATAATATTAAAGCTGCAACGTAGGTCATTCCCTAGCCTGCCCTAACCTGGCGTTGTCGCACGCTAACAATGCCATTTTTTCAAGTTCGCGTTTTCGGCCTAGAATATCGCCCTTCGATTTCGATATCCAAACCCAGACGTTCCCCTCCCTATGCCTCCAACTCCTTCCCCCTCCGCCGAGCTTGTTCGCTTCTCACCCATTTTCCTCGCCGAATTCGTTTCCACTCCAACCACCTGGGATGGAGCACCTTGAAATGATCCGTCAAGCACTCCGCTCCAAGGTTGCGCAGTGGAAAGCCGACCAAATTTCAGGGGATTCCAGCGCCCACGCGAAACTGGGGGTGACAATGGATCACAACATGATCTATCGGACCGGAAGGCAACACGAGGAAATCGGATTGAGACATCTGGAGCTAGCTTATAATCACTGGAACTCCCTTCCCCACGAGACTCGTCGTGAATCATGGCAGTTGGAGATGACCCGCGCATTTGCCCGGGAAGCGGAGCAACGTAAGTCGGTAGATGAGCAGCTAGCCCGGGTCCAACAAGAAGCAAATCAACTGCGAGCCCAAGTGGAACGACTTGGATCATGCCAGTGGCCCCGCGAATTCGCTCTCTTCCCTCCCGACGCTCTCCCAATCTCTCGAGATGTCGCTCGTGAGTTGAATGCGAAAGAGAGCCAGATCACTCCGGATTCCACACGCTGGGACTACGACCACGTCGTCAGCAAATGGAAACGCGTTGTCATGCATGATAAGGGTATGGGCCGAATTGGAGTCGGCTATACTAGTGGCATTCCAATCGCCGATCTAGATAATAGCCAGCAGCAAAGTCCTAATGTGCGACCTCCCCGACCGGGCGAAGATACTTCATCTCATCCGAACCGCCTGCGACCTCTGCAGTCCGCCGCCGCTATGAGCCCAGATGCGGGTACAGCATCCACGCCTGCTTCCTCGGCAAATTACGCTTCTCCATATTCGCATGCCGATCCCCGCAGCCCACCGGGTGGCAGCGTCGGCGCCCCACAGGCTAAGCGTCCTCGTTTGATGAATGGAGCTGACGGCCCAGCCGCGCCGTCTTCTGACTCCGCTCCTTCATCGGCTAGGCCATGCGGCCCTTGGCCATCTTCCTCCACTCCCATTCTCTCTAATCTGGCAGCTCCGTCCGGCCAAACGCCACCTTCCGCTTCCAGATAAATGATTTCTGGTCTTTTGGCCATGAACATATTCTTATATTTGAGAGAATTTTGGTGGCCTCCTACGAATGGATGATCTGACAGCATATACCCTTTGTATAGTTAACCTAGCCATGGATTGGTCTCACTTAGAAACATCAGTCGAATAATCTTAAGCTGAAACATTGTTATCACGCTATCTTCATTCCCACTTGTCTGGTTTCTTTATTTCTGCTCTTGGGCAATCTCTTTTCCGATATACTCGGCAATCGTCAGAATTTTCTCCTCCTGCAATCGCCTCCCTATCAACTGGACCCCAACAGGAGCACCATCGTATGTGACCGCATCATCTGCTTGGCTGTCAGCGAAAAGAGCAAAAAAGACACACCTCGAGAGATTATATCAATGACCAGCAGGTTTACTTACAATCCCATTCGATATGATCTTCTAGCTCGGAGACAGATATGTCGGCTGGACAAACATCCACGGACTTGTCCGCAAAAGTCACTGGAATGGACACAGTCGTGTAGTCCAACACATTCACAAAAGTGGTGTATCCGACATGACCGTATTGGCCAGGAATAACCGCGGCATGTGGCGCTAGTGGACAAAAGACTCCATCAACGGGACGTCCTGTGCCGGTCAACTCCACAGTGCTATTCCAGTAATCCATGTACTGTTTCTGGTACTCCCGCTTTGTAATGTTGATGGCAGAGATTGCCGAGGCCTTGAGCTCGATTCCTTCTTCGGAAACAATGACCTGTGTTGCTTTCCCCTCCCCAGACAGACTAAAATGGTGCCTCATATCGATGCCACCATCCATTTCAAAAACTCGGGCCTATTCCAGTCAGTGAGAATTCAAACCCCAATTCTCTCTATTAACGAGCCCGGGCATACATACAGCTAAGTCATGGGCTATAGCATGAGAGGGTGGGCTCCAGGTGATGATCTTATGGCCCAATCGTCTTAAAGTCTGTTCGACAATCTTCATGCCCCGCGCAATCGGGGGGTGAATGCGACCCACACCGTCATAGGCCATGAACCCGAACGCAAGACTCGACTCACCACTTCCAGCGCGTTCGATCAAAGAATGAGTCTCTTGAACAATTTCATCCCGCCATGGCAGTTCCAAGACCAGTGGATCATGATACCAGGGCTCTTGGCTTAAAACCGCCTTGAAAAGCATTGTCAACGAGCGTACCGTGGGTGCTAATGGCCCAATAACAGACAAGATTGAAATCTGACCATCCATCGAATTAGCAGCACCCTCGTACGGGATCCGTCCGGATGACGGACGCAACCCATATAGAAAGTTGAATCCGGCGGGGATTCGGACGCTGCCCCCGATATCAGTGCCGAAGCCGACAGGTGATCCTCGAAGAGCGATTAGTGCTCCTTCACCACCAGAGCTTCCACCACAAGATAAGAGTCTGTTCTTCGGGTTCCAAGTGTAGCCGATGATGTTGTTGACTGTTTCACCGGCCATGAGAGTTGCAGGAACACTGGTCTTGCAGTACAGTACGGCGCCGAGGCTGCGCAGCTCTCGGGTCAGTTCGCTTTCCTCTACTGTCCGACGTGGGTCGTTGGATTTCCCTTGGAATGTGTTGATCCAGCCTACGTATCCCATTGTTGTCTCGACTCCTTTGACATGGAATTGATCTTTCAGACTCACTGGGAGACCGTGTAGTGGACCAATTGGAGCTTTATGTTCTGCGAAGTAGGCATCGAGTCTCTTGGCGTCTTCGATGGCTGCGTCGAAGAAAATCTCATGTAAGCAGCTGACCTTTTTTGATGGCGTTAGTCCTTGGTGTCTGTAATTTGTTTGCGTATGGCTACCACTTACTAACTGATGAGCCAGTGCAGCACGGTGACAAAAGGCTTCTGTGACTTCAACAGCTGACCAACTACCGGTGGTTGTTTGTGCTGTGATATCAACAGCATCAGATTCGGTGATCTCGACCTCACGCTCACTGAGATATTGCTGGATGTAAGCTCCTGTGACATCCGGGACTTTTGTCGCAGCAGGCACGGGCTCTTGGAATCGCCATTTCTCCGGAATGGCATCGAGAATAGCTTGACGCTTGGCTGCGCCCTTGGATCGCCAGGTGGAATCTCCTGCCATTATAAGGTGAAGGGACCAGTTGACAGTTTAGACGGGGACAGAGTTTGTGAAAGGGAGATTTATTTTTGTAAGCATTCAAGGTCTCTTATCATTGTGAGCGGGGGTGTTGGGGTCATTTTGGAGAGGGGGTAAGTACCTACAAAATCAGCGGGGAGTACTAAGTACGAACGAGTGAGTACGAGTTACAAGGAACATTGGACATTACAGATGTTTACTAGTATGTATAATATGCAACTGTTCATATTATCTACCAGTTGACTAAATAAGTAGTAATGTCCCTGCACAAGTATCTATAAATCACACACCTCGATATAGCTTGATTCTCCAGTTATACCAGCATATACTAGTACTGTAGTACATACTGTAGTACATACTGGGTCCATGTTCCCAACTTCAAATGTTCGGGGGACCATCAGCAATTTCAGGCTTCAAGTATTTTCAATGTTGATAAGATCGATACAAATTGAATTTTTTCTTGAATATTTCAGACAACACCTTGCAAAAGAAAATCCACCAAAACATTGAAAAGAGTCAACTTCATCTCTTCCATACAATTTAGTACACTGACCGCCTTCACGACGCGGGGGCCACTGTTTGTTTTTCTCCCCACCTTGAAACGCAAACCAATTCAATTCTTGCTCTTTTTGTCCAGGTGAAAAGAAAAAGAAGTTCCAGACGAACAACAATTCCTGCTGTGGGGACCTGAGCTGGAACCAAAGAGCATCCCCCGTGGTTTCATAATTTCTTCATTAACATGTACGTCTCATTGGCCCCATCTCCCTCTCCTTGCTTCCTCCATCCTTCTACCCATTGCTCCCAAACTGCTTCCTTTCAATTTCCCCAACCATGGCGTTTTCTAACAGGATTGAGAATAGACCAGGATACAAACCCCCAGCCAGCATGGAAAACTACCAGAAAATCGAGAAGATTGGCGAGGGTAAGTAATTCTGGACGGTGTTGCGTGGCCGGATTGATGATCCCTCCCAAGTCTGCTTTTGCTTTGTTTTGACCCGAACTCACGCGTCGTCTCCGTCTCCCTAGGCACCTACGGTGTTGTTTACAAGGCCCGCGAGCTTAATCACCCCAATCGAATTGTTGCTCTCAAGAAGATTCGTCTTGAAGCCGAAGATGAAGGCGTCCCCAGTACCGCCATTCGCGAGATCTCTCTCCTCAAAGAAATGCAGGACCCCAACATCGTTCAATTGCTGAACATCGTTCACGCAGATGGCCACAAACTTTACCTCGTTTTCGAGTACCTGGATCTCGATCTGAAGAAATACATGGAGGCTCTACCAGTCAGCGAGGGTGGCCGTGGAAAGGCTCTACCCGATGGCACGATGATGGGTGCCAACCTGGGTCTCGGCGAGGCCATGGTCAAGAGATTCATGGCTCAGCTCGTTGAGGGCATTCGCTACTGCCACAGCCACCGCATCTTGCACCGAGATCTGAAGCCACAGAACTTGCTGATCGACGTTGAGGGTAACCTGAAGTTGGCTGATTTCGGTCTCGCCCGGGCATTCGGTGTACCCCTGCGAACTTACACCCATGAGGTCAGTATACCCGCGCCTACCACTGGATTTAAACAGGAAATATGGGATCAATATCTAATCGGTTGGTACAGGTTGTTACTCTGTGGTACCGCTCTCCGGAAATCCTGCTTGGTGGTCGTCAGTACTCTACCGGTGTTGACATGTGGTCCGTCGGAGCTATCTTCGCCGAGATGTGTACTCGCAAGCCGCTATTCCCCGGTGACTCGGAAATTGACGAGATCTTCAAGATTTTCCGGTCGGTGCTTCTCTTTTTTTTCTCTCTTTTCTTTTTCACTTTTCTTTTTCACTTTCGGATTGATCGGTCGGACTAACTCTTCTATAGTATCCTTGGTACTCCTGACGAAGACGCCTGGCCCGGTGTCACCTCTTTCCCCGACTACAAGGCTACCTTCCCCAAGTGGAAGCGTCCCGATACCCCCCTTGTCCCTGGTCTGGAGGCAGCTGGCTGTGAGCTTCTTGAGGCTTTACTCGAATATGACCCGGCGCATCGACTTTCCGCGAAACAAGCCTGCATGCATCCATACTTCCGTCACGGAAGCTCCCACTACTCGGGCCGCAACCACAACGGCACTCACTGAACGACTTTGACTGGAATGATTTTTAATTTCGTGTAACCTTATTCACGACGGGCTGGCCTGCAGACGCTCCCCGGGGACATGTGTTTCATTTTTTTTTCTTCTCTCGATTTTGATTCTGATTTTTGTACTTGGCGTTCATCGGGGGAATGACCAGGAGGGCGGGGATTACTTTTATCACCGGTTTTAGTCAATGCAAGGCGTACATACCCCTTTTCATGCGGGTTAAAACAATCCAAGTATGGAGTAGATGTTCCAAGGTTCTAAGTGCTCAGCACAGCCAACTTGAATGTCATCTTCATCTATTCCTCCAATCAGGTCTCCCTACTCTATGCTAATCGTGTGCCCTTCCGTGTCAGATACCCAGAGCTGAGCCGGGCCCCACATCAACACGAACAAGTGCTTATATTTGGAAACAAGTTTAACCCAGAAACCCGGACCTGGGCGTATGAGAATCTTCTCAACCCACTTCTGCGTCCCCATTAATAGATGTGTTGAGGCGAAGCTCTTGGGGGCGGATTATGTTAAATCCTACCCTGCAGCTATTTGTACGCAACAGCTGAACCTGAGATGAAAAGTTGGGGGCCATCAGCGCCAGGCTTGGCCTAGACGCTTGTTCATTCGCTAGTGCGCTATGAGTCTAACGCACGCACCTGCAGCCTTACGACAAAGATCCGAGGGCATGAATGGTCGAATCCCGTGTCTGCTGATGTACGCGATAATGTACTAGTCTCGGCACCGGCGACGCCGTGGGAGGCCGTGCAAAGTATATTGGGGTTGAAAGTATTTAATGAATTGAAACGCAACTCTGGGGAACATTTGAATGAGACACGACAATCTCTCCCCACATTCAGCTCTCCAGGTACGGAAGCACTGTGAAGAGCCAGGATCTCCAAAGTTGAGCTTCGTTTCAGGTTTTGATGTGATCGTCAAGAAAAAGCTACATACAACAAACAAACCATGGAGTTCGAAGATGAAATGTACTCCGGCGGTGCTGCTTCCTCCCGATCTAACAGCCGTCCTCCGCACCGGGCCCGCTGCCAGGCCCCACAGGAATCTGTGAAGCAATTCTGGGAACAGTTCAACACAAGATACCCTGGCAAAGTCTACACCGTTCTACCGGACAACGCCTATGCGCGCACACGCGCAAAGCGTGTCCCCAATGGTGTAATCCAGGGTCACCAGGCTGTTAAGTCGTATGAGCAGGCGAAGCTTGAGTGTCAGAAGTCCGTGGATCGCATTGTGAAGGAGTGTCAGCGGGCCAACCAGAAGTATACGGATCCGCATTTTGACATTGAGTTGGACTTGAAATCCGGGCGCAAGAATTATTTGTTTGGGCTTGATAAGACGAACGAGGAGATGATGCCTCTGGGTGTGAAGAGAGTGACGGTATGAAGAGCCAACGTCATCTTGTTTGGGAGCAAATGATGTGGACTCATGTTGATGATGCATCTAGGAAATCTTCAACGACCCCCAGTTCTATGTCAATGGACCGACGGCGTCAGATGTGCGCCAGGGACGTGATGGGGATTGCTGGCTCATGGCTGCGCTGTGTACCATGGGCAACAAGGAACATTTGATTGAGAACATCTGCGTTGCCCAGTGCCAGGCTATAGGAATCTATGGATTCGTGTTCTATCGCGGTATGTTTTGGATTGACGTCTCCGATTGTCGGTATAGACTTGGTGCATTTATCTCTGACAATTAACAGATGGAGAATGGCAACAATGCATGGTGGACGACAAGTTGTATCTTCGTTCGGCTGATTATGATGAGTCGATTGACGAGCGTCCGCTTTGGGATGACAGAATTGGCACAGATGCTGAAGAAGAGTATCGTCGAGTCTGGCAGACAGGTTCTCGAGCTCTGTACTTTGCACAATGTGCTGATCCAAACGAGACCTGGCTACCCTTGCTAGAAAAGGCCTTTGCCAAAGCCCATGGTGATTATTCCGCCATCGAGGGTGGGTTTGTTGGTGAAGCCATTGAGGATTTGACTGGGGGTGTCACTTCGGAGATCCTGTCGAATGACATCCTGGACAAAGACCGGTTCTGGAATGAGGAGTTGATGAAAGTCAACGAGGAGTTCTTGTTCGGTTGTGGAACAGGAATGTTTTCGAATTGGTTGGATCCACAGTATAAAGGTCCTCCACGAGATCGAAAGGGGATCTCAGAGAACCATTCATACTCCATTATGGAAGCGCGAGAGATCAAGGGGAATCGCCTTCTTCGTCTGAGGTAAGGAATGCTTATCTTTTTTCTTCTGTACCATTTTCTTCTTACTCTTTCTAACGTGTATAGGAATCCCTGGGGCAAGAAAGAATGGCACGGTGCCTGGGGTGATGGATCCGAGGAGTGGACTGCTGAATGGCTGCAGCTGCTAGGCCATAAATTTGGCAACGACGGGGTATGTGCATTGCAACACGGTGTGAGATAGACTGTGCTGACTCCTTGAATTCATCTAGTTCTTCTGGATTTCTTACAACGATCTTCTTCGAAAATATCAACACTTTGACCGCACCCGACTTTTCGGACCCGATTGGACCATCACGCAACAATGGACGACACTCAATGTTCCCTGGTCCGCAGATTATCACAGCACAAAGTTTATCATGAATGTTACCCAAGGCGGCCCAGTCGTTATCGTTCTCTCTCAGGTATGTGGCATCCGATCGGCTTCACGAGATGTCTGTTGACAGTCAGAACAGCTTGATACCCGATACTTCAAAGGCCTCGCTGGCGAATATACGTTTGTCCTAAAATTCCGTGTCCAAAAGGAAGATGACGAGGAATACATGGTGCGCAGTCATAGCAGCCATTTTATGGGCCGATCAGTCAATGCCGAGATCAACCTTGACCCAGGCCGTTACCATGTTCTGATGAAGATCACTGCATTCCGAAACGAAGAGGTCGAGCCTACTGACGAGATTGTACGCCGCCTTGCCTCCTCCAGAAGAGAAAAGCTGGTGCAGGTTGGTCTTTCGTATGATCTTGCTCATGCCAAGGGTCTGGTTAGCGATACGGAACAAGAACGTTACGAGCAGGAAAGACGAAAGGCCCTTGAGCGCAAGAAGCTGCGCGATGAAACCAAGAGGAGAATGCAGATCCAATGGATTCGCGATCGCAAGATGGCTGCAAGGGAGCAGCGCATGGAGGCTCGTCAGAACATTTCTATGGCCAATGGAACAATGGACTGCCCAATGCCCTTGCCAATCACTCAGATTATGAGTGAGAAGCCCACCGCGTCGCCCACAGAGAGTGTCTACAGTGATAGCAGTGAGCCGCGACCAACTCCTAACAGCTCTGTTCCAACAATTCAGTTCAATGGGCTGCAACCTAGACACGCTTCCGGTGGGCCTCATGGTCGAAGGACGGAGTCGCCGCGACCCAGCTTGAACAAACGTCTAGCTATGGATCATCTGGACGTCAACGACCTAGAGTTGTTAGAAGGATTTGAATTCGACAGTGACATTGACATGCCGCCTGATGATATGGACAACAAATCTGCTCGCCAGATGTCCCAGATTGAAGGACCTGCTGCGGATCCCTGGAATGCTGTGTGCGTGGTTGGTTTGCGTGTTTATTCCAAGGACCCGAAGCTCAGTCTCGAGGTCATACAACCAGTACCAGATGACGATACAGAAGCGCCTCTAGATATAGATGACCCGGCTGCATCTGCAACTGTTGGAAAGTCTCTTGGGAACACTTCACATGGACATTGGTGATTGACTTAATCCCCGGGCTGCTTAAGGCTCTGGCAGATTTGAAAGTTTGCGTCTTCTGTAATGTGATGAATAGCAGCAAACAACTTGAAATAATTTTGATCTCAATCCTGAAAGTAATAAAAAAGCAAAGTTGTAATCTATAAACACAGCATGGAATAAGTCAAGTTCTGGGGACGTTTTCGCGTTCCAAAGGGGTGATTTGGCGGTGTAACGAGTTGGGTATTTTGACGGAAACTTGAACCAATGACTGCAAGTCTGCAAGTCTGCAACTACTGATGCGCGCTTTAATTCTTCATGCACGCGTAAAGCGCCTAAACCGAACTGGTTTCCAGTCCCATCTTTTCCTTCATAGAGTCCGGTTTGTATCAACCTGCCGCGACGAGACATTCGATCTCCCGATCGGAAACAATGGATCGGTATCAATAAGGTACATGAGATAGGTCTAAATCTGATTGATTACCAGGGCATCTATTTACGCCGTTGATTCTACAGGGTGACGCGACCAGCGAAGAATCTTAATAATGAATCACCTACATCAAAGGTGATTCTTTACCTCCCATCGGGCCCCGTATTCCAGGGATCCGAGGTGAGTGAGCAAACAGGAAAATCCGATCCTGATTCTGAATATCGACTCCGCTCTCGGTCGAGGGGAGAGTTAGGGGCTCTTGGGCCCGTTGGGGCTTCCCTGCAATCCAATTTAGCCTCCATGACTTCTGCGACAGTTGTGACTGTGAATTTTCGCCTCGGAGAAACAGAGAATGCATCCTCTTCGATTGGAAGCGCTGAACCAGCGCCAAAGTCAGAACCAGAGCCAGAGCTAGTATCAAATTCAGAATCTCACTCTACAAATTTTCATAAATATCCAACTCCGATACATGACACCCTCGCCGGCTTTGACTGGATCCGAAAAAATCTTCAACCTTCTAAACTCGCAGTCTTCGGCTCCCATATTGGCGGTTCGCTGGCACTGATGCTAGCACTCACAGAACCGCAATCTGTACACGCTGTGGCTGCCTACGAGCCTATTTGTGACTGGCCTGGATTAGACGATCACTGTGCCCATGAAAGGATCACAGACTCGGAATCTTCAAGCAAGCAAAAACGACCACGAAGACGGAAATCCGCAGCACCAGATCTAGTCCCTCTTCTTGAGGCCCGGGATCGACTTTTCACATCCTTTGAGAGATGCTTCGATGCGTTCGCCTCGCCAATCTTATTTCTTCGCGCCGCGGGACGAGATATTCCTAAGACGTTTCCTCAGTATCTTACTGGCCTGAACTATCCCATTCCCGTTTTGAAGAATACTACCAAGGCAATAACTACCGAGGGTTCAGATTCTCCTGATGGCAGTTCAAGGGATAGGAATGCATACTCCGACTTGGTCGCAGATGAGGATATTGATCTGCCCGTTCGTCGTCGAAAAGCGCTCTCTCGCTGGCCACCACATGGGTTAGATTATGGCCTCAATAATGAACCTCGGGTAGGACCTGATCATGGGATTGATAGACTGGAAATAACTTTACCGTGGGTGCGGGTATTTTTAAATGGACCTGTGGGCTCAACAGAGATCGCTGCTAGCAGCAAGACCTCGGCGGTGAAATCTACGGTCCTTGAGCAGCAGGGCGAGGAGATGGTGTCTGTTATGCGAAAGGCGTGTTTCTGGGGTCACGAGAAAGGCCTCGGAGAGCGAGTGGTGACTCTTTCGAGAGTAGACGATTTTTCTGGGCAGGAATTGGCAAGTTATTTTGAGGATGTATTTGATAAAGAGAGTAGTGATGATCAATGACTACTAGATAGGTGCATTGTTCAATAGAGCCTAGTATCCAGCCATCCCTGAAGCACTTACTATGTAGATGCCGGTCTCATTACACCTATTTAAAGAAAGAAAAAAAGAAAAAACCAAATAATAAAACATGAGTAGCTATCCACGAAATATGAATGAAAGAATCTATACAAATATACAGCCACACTCACGTGGACCCCCTCTTATAAATTTGGCCCTTTCATTCCTGAATTAGCATTCGGCGATCCCCACCACCCTTCCATATCTCCTAGATCCGGCAGCATGCTCGGATCACCAGGAAATTGTGGTGTTGATATATCTCCCAGGGGATTGCGGTCGCTACAGAAGCCTTGACTTCCGGACAAGAGGTTTAGATCAGAGTTTCGAATCCAATCAAAATCTCCAGTTTCCTGTCCCGTAAATGCCTGCTGGACATAATGATTCTGATGCTGGTTTTGCTGGTTTTGCTGGTTTTGCGGTTGAGTAGATTGGTATGAAGTACCAGCAAAGGGTACAGAATTGTTGTTTGACATGGAATTCGGTTGCGAGGTGTAAGAATGCACATCTATATCAGCGACCCGAGACTTCTTGCGCGAGGAATCTGAGCCTTGTCTAGTATGTGTTTGGGTTGTAGATGACTTTCGCTGTGCAGAGCCCGATAGTAGGTTCGCACTACTGATCTGCCGCTTGGCGCGGGGACCGGATCGACGCATGTGAGCTTGCCAGCGTCGTTGAAGGGTTACGAGGTAATCACGGGTTCGTTTGGCGTTCTCAAATGACTGGCCTAACTCGTCGAGTGCGCGGAAGCAAAGATTCAAATACGCAACCATTTCAGCGTTACGGGGGTGAGGTTGGCTCATTTCGCCAGCCTTGGTGGGCATTAGCGGGGAGCTGGAGACAGTGACGAAGAGTAACATGAGTGCGGCACTGAAAATGATCGCAACCACCTGGTTGGTCATTCGTCTGAACGTGTAATGTTTCTCGTATATTTGTAGAAGGCGCGCGACGGCTGTGGCGGACTCAATGCACATGCGTCGGGCGTGGTGGTAGCCGGGTCCTTGGCGAGGGCTGCGAGGTTGAATGTAGCTTTTCGAAACCCAGGGACGATGAAAGAAAATGATTATTTGATGATATTGCATACTGGAAAGTCATTAGTGTCCGTTGCAATTTTGATACAAAATCAAGCGACTTACTGGAGGACAAGCAGATGAGGGAGTACTGGAGTGGTATCGTTGTCGAAATCGATCTCAAGGTTGGAGGGCAGGTTATTTTTCCAAGCAAATAGATCTTCAGTCACCTGGAAACATAGCCTTTGTAGATCATGACGAGAAATATCGGAGCATCCATACCTAAATCAATGTTAGCAATAGGACCGAATTGAAAGGGTTCACGAGAAAGCGCACAGGATATGACCGACGGGAGAAATCATCTCCCATAGAACAATGAACTGTCTACAAATGAGCTCCGTGGGGTCTTTTAATAAATTATCAAAATCTTTGTCTTGAAGCCCATATGGCTTCCAAACCGTCTCCTTCTCAGGGCCAAGACTGGACGCAGGCTTCGACACACTGACGTCTCCTGCGTTCATACGGAATGGGCGACCGAGATAGAATCCCCAGAAACTATAATGGTCAGATTTTTACCCGATGCTGCTGGTTCTTTGTCAACTTACTGGTCTGCAACATAGCTTCCCCAAAACACCGTGCGTCGCACATCAGCCTCACGCACACTTATATCGCCTTGATTAACGTATGATGTCATATCAATATGTAAACCAAGATCAAAAGCCAAGCGCATGGACATGCCTAATTAAAGTATCCGTTAGCGACTCACGTCTCTGAACATGCGCCCCATGTCAAAACACTTACCGCTGTACAGCCAGCCTCGCGCATCCCGGTTCGATGCTCCCTCATGACAGCTCATAAGCACAAGTGCCTGAACAGTGGCGACGCAGGGTGAATCAAGTTCAATTTCTAGGAGTGCCTTGGCTCGGTCTGCGAAAAACTCGGCTAATGATTTTGGGAATGTGATGAATGTAGGGTGGTAACGCGCCTCAAACGCACTCCCGATGGCACACCTGTGTGATAAGTTAGTACCCAAGGCTGGTCAATTAAAGCAAAGAACAAAAGAACCCACATAGCATTAGTGAGAACCTCTGAATAAAACGGTGTATCGTCAAGTTCGTTACGCCACTTTAATCGTGCGGTCATGTACATATCTTTATCAACCACATAGATGCTAGGGTTCTGCCAAGTAAAGTAGAGCTCGACAAGATGGTCCTCTAAAGCCTGATCGACCGGTTGACCAACTCGAAGATGATTGAGAATATCCTGGCCATCGTGACGCACAGTGCGTGCATCTGGCCTCTGACGTTGTTGCGTGGCAGACACATCGACAAGGTTGAGGTTAGAAGTCGCACCATAAAACCGTAAATGGCCATCTCCTGCGATTTTCAATGTTCCAATCCGATTAGACAGCTGTTCTATAACGTCATTTTCGGCCTCATTCTCATCGTCGCTGTCGGAGTCTTGGGGTTGTTCCATTGGGAGCTGACCCAGCAGCACACCAGGCTGCTGTGCCATGTCCATGCCAAGCTGCAAGCTTTCCGGGCTCAGACCCGTATTCAACTGCATGCTTGATCCGCTGTTGATATTAGCATAGATGGTATCAAGGCTTTCCGCGGTAGGGAGCGTAAAGCCCCAATGCACGAAGTTTTGGTTGTCAGGAGGACCCCGTACCATATCAAATGGATTCCAAGGCTCTGCGGTCGACGGAATTTGCTGGTTCGGTATCATTCCTTGTGAAGCATTCGACTCGGGGGTCATCGAGTCATTTCTTGGTCGCATCTGTCCATTCGGAGATATAGGAGGTGGACTTTGGATTGAAGATGTGCTTGAGTCTCCCGACGCTTTGGTCTCAATTTCGGATTGACCATCTCCTACAACAGGAATCTTTCCTTTAACGACCCCACGCGGGATTTGGAGAGTGTCTAGCACCCTGTCCATGCCGGCCTCATCTTCTGGGTCCATCGGTGGGGCTACTAGCCCCTGGTCGTGGATAAATTGACATAGTTGATCTATTCTAGCTGAGAATAGCTCAGTGGCAGCTCGAAGAGATACCCTAGTGGGGGAAATCAGCTCTGCCCATTTTTCTCAAATTTTGACTTTACGTATCTGCCCCGCGTCTTGCTGGACTCAAGTACCGCGTAGGGCTTCCAGCTATGCATCAAAAGCCATGTTGAGGTGTGTCCTTACTTTCGTTTATCATCGCCATGTTGATACTTGCAATCTTTACCCTTGCGCTGGCAATTCTGGCAATGTGGCGTTGATCCGTCACACTGCAAGGAACCAAGAATTAGATACCGCTGATCTTTGGGCGAAATTAGGGGGGGGGGGCGAAGACATACCCGAATCTTACTTTCGCGACAAGGTACACATGCTGTAGTTACGTGTTTCCTGGGTGCCTTTTTCGGCTTCTCAAGATCGGGCGACATGATGAAGATTTTCCACGAGGGGAGTTTGCCCTCCAGATTTCGGGATCCCGCCGGTCGATTTCAAGTGTGGGGGTGGCGGATGAGGACCGTAGCATAGAGAGCTCGAGTCCTCGGTCAGATATCAACGAGAATTTACCGGATGTGGCGTGTCAGCTCATCCTGCATCATTAACGTATGCATCACGTTTTAAACAGGTGTGATTTGATCTGAATCTGGGGATAAACGGGGGGTTCGGAAGGTTTCCTTAAGGCAAAAGTTGAAAAAACGCCTCGTTCTGAGTTCCAACTTGGGGGGCGGGGAAGGTCCCAAGGGTCCACCGTGTCCGCCTATGAGATAATAGCTATTAAGCTACCCCATCCAACATCTAGAAAACGGGGGTTATTAGGCGATTTGAACATTCAAATGTTGGACCTGGATTCAATGTTAAGAATGTTTCAACTTGGAATGTTTGTGAAATAATATCCAAAATTAGTATAAGTATATTATATTCACAAAATGTTTCCCAATAGGTAACAACTACATGTAGCAGGACTGTTCTACTATCATAACTCAAGTATTATGGCCAGACATTATTTCCAATCCTACAATTTTAGTTGCTACCAGTTGTTGGTAGGTTTGATCCGTTCATTCTGGATCACTTCAACCCAGTACTGATCGGGATCAAGCAGAAACGCGACCGTGTGCATCCGACCATCGGTCAGGCGCTTCTTGAAGGGGAGACCCAGTGACTCGAATCGCTCACAAGCTGCTGGGAGATCATCCACAGTGATACCTGCGGAGGGAAAAGCAAATTAATATTGAACTGGTCCAAGCTTATGATCCACGAGGGAACCCTGACAAAGGTGAAACTTACAGATATGACCGAATCCCTGAGGCTCCGTGTTACCGTTATGGTAGACTGGGCCCTCCTGCTTCTCAGTGCCATAGTTCCAGGTCAACTCCAACAGACCTTCCCACTCAGAGACTGGGTTCTTGGCACCTTCCCGAATCTCGGGGTTGGATTTGGCATAACCCAGGAAGTAAAGGTTAAATTTATTCTCCGGGTTCTCGCTAGTGCGCACGAGAGTCATGCCCAAAGACTCGGTGTAATACCTGAGACTCGCCTCGGCGTCCTTGACGCGAATCATGGTGTGGTTGAGACGATAAGTCGATGGGTCGGTAGTAGTGCCAACATCCTCGTCACCGCGGCGGATAATCTCAATCCAGTACCCATCGGGGTCCTTTGCGAAGGCAATGTGACGCATGCGACCTTCGCTCAGCTTCTTCTGAAAAGGGTATCCAGCATCCTCAATGCGCTTGCATGCGGCTTCAATATTGTCGACCGAGATGCAGAGATGACCGAAGCCTCGGTGTGGCTCGGTATTGCCATTCACAACGCTGTAATTGGGGTCGTCCTCGGTACCGTAGTTATGGGTGAGCTCAATGTTGGCGTTGCGGTCGGTAAAGTGTGTTTCTCCCTGTAGTGATTGGGGACCATCGTAGGACAGGAAGTAATTGCAGAATTTCCATTGTGGGAAGTCCATCTTCTTGATCAAACTCAGGCCAAGGAACTTGTAGAACTCCAAAGATCGTTTCGGGTCCTTAACCCGGATCATGGAGTCTATAGAGCCATTGTGTCAGTCTTGGAGAGGGGTAAAGGAGAGGAAGGAATGACGAACGGTTCAACTTATAGGTGGATGGATCGGTGGCCATGGTGTAGGATCGTGTAGCTGCTGCCCAAGCTGGTCAATATGATTGGCTCAACACAATCCGGGGGATTTCCAAGCTGAATCTCCTACCAAAAAGACGAGGTGTGAGGACTCTTTGAGATGAATTTAATATGCGAGACCACATTACCAGGTGAAAAATGACGGTGTTTTGTCAGCGTCCGCAGGTGAGGGGAAGAAAGTGGGGCTTTGGTGCATCTCCGAGCATCAATTCCATTCCAAGGTTGTATGTAGTAGTGCGGCGGCCGATAGAGGCCACCCCTAGGTCACATCCCAATTTCAACTTTCCGACCGGCAGAAAGTAACATTGAAATGACGAGTAATTCCAAATTCATATTAGTTTTTGAACTCCATTATGTTCAGCGCTCATTATACATTAAATCCTTGAACTCTATTATATATAATGCTACATTATATTACTTCTCTTTCTCTAGGTAAATTATCACAACAACTAGCAAGAAAGAGAGGCTGAGATCCTAGTCACATGTGCATATAATCCAATGTTCTTAAGTCCCTTCTCAAGACTACTCTCAAGTCTACACTTAAGTTTATTCTCAAGTTTATTCTCAAGTTTATTCTCAAGTTTATTCTCAAGTTTATTCTCAAGTTTATTCTCAAGTTTATTCTCAAGTTTATTCTAAAAGTGACCCATATTTAGATCAAATCCCTGAAGATATTCCTATATGTGATAAATACAATACAGGCGGGAAACAAGGCGGTGAAGTTAGGAATTGAAATTGAGATGTGACCTAGGGGTGGCCTCTATCGGCCGCCATAGTTGTAGTCAATCCCTGAGTACATAAGTGGGTTTGTACACCAGTTGACGGCATTTGGTGAAAGTGACTGAGTCAGCTTGACAATCTAGTTATGGTTTCACGTGATACTATTGGCAAGCCTCAAGCCCTAACGTTTGACGAGGAAACCACATACTATGCATGAATACGGAGTACCTAACACTGGAAGTTGAACTTCAAATATTCATGATGACTCTCTGTAGGATCCTAGTCTCAAAGAGCATTTCTATAGATATGGGCCACCTGAACAATCCAAGATTTAATGATGGCTTCGGACAAGTACACCAACATTTGGGCCTTGGAATGTGGTTAACAAAAAAGAAACGTTGAGCTCAAAGCTGTCCCCGGGTCATTCATCTGTCCATAAAGCCTATCATCGGCTTAAACAAAAAACGTAGGCTGATTTTCATAGTATCAATATATTAAGGCACACCATCAATCTGGCAAAGTTGGTCTAGATGTTAGCCATAAGGGTGTCATTTCTGACGAGTTGAAAGCAAACATTGAAAACGATCATGGGCCGTTATTTCAACATGACAGGTTTGATCGCCAGTAGGGTATTTCTTGTCGCAAGTAGGGTACACCTGGTCACTGGGCAGTAGGGAACACCGGGTTATCACAAGAGGCAATAAATTCGATCATAGAAACAACACGACAACACGACAACACAGCGACGCAAAGACATACATTGAGCGAAAACACGACTTGAACCCAATTCATCAGATCTGTTCGCTCAACTTCTTTTGACGCAAACAAGAAGAAATCTTTTCGTTTGTGCGTATCTTCTTTGTTGTTTTGTTCCATCCTACTTCGATTCCTATTCTTTTTCTTCATCCTTTTTCCCAATCAGAAGCGCGATCACATAATCCTTAGCCATCACCTAGCCTGCGTTCACGATTCATCATGCCGAAGCCTGTTAAGAAAGCCCACCCTGCCAAAAAGGCCCCTCCTGCCAACAAGGCCCCTCCTGCCAAGAAAGCTTCTCCTATCAAAAATACTCCTCCTGTCCGGCCTTACCTTCTTTGGTGTATCCCTTGTGCACGCAAGTACGCCCTGGATTTTGATCCCAATAAAGGCAAGATGTTTCGAATTGACTGCCTTTTCGACCCGGAATCCAACAACAGCAAGTGCCTCGCCTGCCAGACACGCCGTCAATGCACTTGCATCATAGTAAGTGATTCAACTCACCCCAAGCCTCACTGTCGTTGACTGATCATTTCAAGACCTGCCAAGGTATGCATGGCAATGCTTACGACATGGTCCGTCTTTTGGAATGGCTTGCCCCTCTGTTTGAGGATAAGACTGGCCGACTGGGAAAGGAACAACGCATCGAAGTCGCCGGCCTCGCCAAGAGACTTTGCTTGGACTTCTTGGGTCTGGAGCTCGAGCACCGAAAGGAACACGATCTCACCGGTGAATGCATGGTGGACGGCCAAAGAGTAAGTTGATGTGTAATACCGCACGGCTTGGAAAATATGGATAGAATGTCATAACTGACCCAAAGACAGGGAGCCGAAGCGTACGTCCAGTTTGTGCTTGGCCGCCATAAAGTTCTAGCTGAGACCCAGGCTCCCGATGTTGAGGAAAACGAACCCGAGTATGTTTCATGGAGCCTTTTGCGTCTTCTCCGTGGTGACGGCGGCTACGAGGACTGGTTGAAGTCTATGCAGAAATACGAAGAATCCGTGAAGCCATACGTGGAGTTGTATTACGATGAGGGATGATGAGGGATGGTGAGGCTCCTATGGGCTATGGGTATGTTTTAAACGAAACAATCTTTTTCTGACCTATTTGTATCAGTTTGCTCTTATTTTTGATGTTCTTTGATCTTCATCAGCGAAACGCAATGTTGATCCATCTTCCTGATGATCATCATTTACTCCGTCTCGTGTTGCATCCAGTAATTGCGAAAGAGACCAATCAATGATATTTATGGTTAAGAATGTCCATGTCTCCCGTCCAATTTTGAATGAGCGTCTTTCACCTAGTCAAGCTCTTGAGAGAAAACAAAGTGAAACACAGATCGAGTCAGAGAATTGACGGATTCTCGTATCCACATGTTGGAGTGTATATCATAGTCTGGTGGATCGCCGCTGCCCCTACTGCCCCGCATTACGTAGGAGCGGATGATGCGCCTGTCAGAGCATGGGGATTTCGAAAAATCAAAAAAAAAATACATAAAATGCAGTGACATGATCACAGTAAAGAGAATGATCAGGCAATAACCAGGGAATATCACAGCTACTTTTAGAAGGTACTAAAGAAGGCTTTTCGTACTAGTAAGCCTAGATCGTGACTACTGTAAGCCCTTGTGACTCTTATCTGCAAGAATAGCAGTAGATCACCTATAAGAACCCAGCATCTATGAAAATTACATGATACTATATTCTAATAGCTTGATAGATCTTCATGTTTTTGGATTGAGAGAAGGAGAGGGAAAAAAAAAAAGAAAAGAAAAGAAATTCTATTACTTCGTACAGTAAACTACTAGTAACACATTTTCCCTCTCGGGCCCCGCGGTAAAAGCCAGTTGCGGATCATGACTTCCCCACTCTCTCTCTCTCTCTCTCTTCTCCCCCTCTTTCAACTGAGTCAACTGAGCCAACTCTCAACCCAGTCGCATATCCCACCACATCAGACTTTCAACTTCGCACAGGCCAGGTTCGTGCTCTCTGAAATTTCCTGCACTCCACATTCCCCAAGCCTACCCGAATTGATCACCATCGGCCCACTCGTGTTCGAATACCTCAACTGGATCTAAGGCCCTTTCCCCTTATTTCTTTTTCTTTTTCTTTTTTCGATTTCTTCTTTTCCCGCGCTTAGCACACCTGCATATGTTGCCTAACTCCTTCCTGTTCGCATTCCCACTCCTCCAATCATCGTTTCACATATGCCCACGTTCCTCATCCCAAACCATCCTGCTCTACTCGATGATCGTGGCGCCCCAGCCGGGGCGCGGAGCCTCGCGCGGGATCGCATGACTACACTCTTATCCTGGCATGCATAAAACCCCCCGTTCTATCCCCCGAGCTAGGCTTTGTGCCACCGGGCGCAGTGGGAATTATCGTGACTTGTCATTCCGACCAGAAGTTCTGAGTCAAGGAGATAGAGCAAAGTAAACAAGAACCCGAGGCGCTATACAGTCTGCCTAGTCTGCCTGTTCTGCCTATCCTGCCCATATCCCCGTTTTTACTCCCTAGAGATGCACACATACTCCTTTTCCATATCCCGCTCGAATCTTGTTGGAAAGGAAAGAGATAATCTCTCTGGTCCCCGCGCGTGCGCGTATCTGTCCCATCATGGGTCTGAAGATGGCTGAATTCGATCCGCTTCCAGTCTACGAGTTCTTTCCTATTAAACCCGATCTCGCACCTCGCGCCTCGCCGTTTGTTCCATATTGGGCTCGCTCTCACGTGCAGTGTGCGCAGAACCTCCTCCCCTCCTCCGACGAACCTATCGAGTACGACCACGACGACGAGGACTTCCAGGATAATTGCTTCTTCTTTCCCGAGGACTGCTCTTATACCCCACCTAAGGACTGGGCTGTGGATTCCCCACGGCAACCTGTCAAGAACACAGAGTACCAAGTCGGATTGATTAACTTGGCTGCTCACAGCGCCACCGACGACATGCTTCCAGAACTACCTGATATCAAGATGTTGGACTCAGAGGCGCTGGGCGACCTTCTGGAGGATAATCTCTGTCCACCCGAGATCACAACAATGATGTAAGATTCCACCGCTCTCTGCATTTTTAGTTGTCTGGCCATGGCTCATTATGATGAATATAGTGTTTTCTCAACCAACGGCGCAGTCTTCGCCTATGCTTCCTCCCTCCCATCCCGTCAGCTTCGCAACCTCAGCGCAACCTACGGCGCTGCATACACATGCTACGCCAAAAATGCATCGAGCGGAAACCTCACGGGCGTAAATCCGGCCAGTCATCCATCATCCTACGTGACAGCTCAGTCAATGTCGCTGGGGGACGTAGGCTCCATCGTCTTCGAGCTTGATGACTCGGTGGCGGTAGTGACTCGTCTCGCCGACAAGGTTCTCCTGGCCGCCATAGGCCCAAACAAAATCGATCAGACCACCCTCAACGGTGCCGAGCCCGATTCTCTAGGAACTGAAGGTGGGGCTCCGGTAGACCCATCCGCCGTAAATGGCGCCACGTCAGATGCGTTTCAATTGGAAGGGCAGCGCACACCATCGGCAGCACCCCCATCCCCGAATCCGCCCACACGCAACGGCGCCATCGATGCCCAACACGAGATTGACCGCAGTGCTGATCTTGCTCGTCTTGCCAGTCTCAATCTTTCAGCTTCCCCCTCTGTGCTGCTGGCGTTGGAATCAAAGTGTGCCGCGCTCGGTCGGTTCCTTGGACAGAAATTGCATGATTTGGAGAGTCCCGAGGATTTCTAATATATATATAAAAAGAGATGATATCCGGGATTGCAGATCTTGGCAGGCTGGTCTTGGGATCTGTTACGGGAATGCTCGATCTACCGAGTGCTTTGATTCCAATGTTGGGATCTACTATCTTTCAACCAATGTATCAAGTACATGACTTTATGACCAATTTGGTTGTTCCTCGACCTTATTAGCAATATTAGCAAGCGGACCAAGAAATTCAAAGTGTCTGTTGCACGTACATCAAAAATGTAGTTGGATTTATTTTGATTCCAGATGTCAAATGTTAGTATCGTGGAATGCGGACCCTGCATGCATGTGTGCACACACATGCATGTGGGCATGAATTTTTTTAAAATATTCTTCTATGTTCACATGTGCATACTCGGACAAAAGACCGGAATTGCCCCCGACTGGTACTTCGAATTCAATGCTGTCAAAATCAATGTAGTATTTGCGGGCTATGTATTAGGTCAATCAATATATATCTCCAAACTGTACACCCGATGGCCACCAAAGAACCAGCTGAATGGACTCAGGGCGCGCTCAAGTCTCGCGAGCGAAATAATTTCAAATTCAAAGAAAGGGAAGAAAGAGAGACAAAAGAAAGGAAAAAAGTAGTAGGAATGCATCATGGACAGACATAGGATGCATGTGCAGTCCAGGGTAGCATGGACAAAATAAATGGCCAAAAAAAAAAGGCATAAATGTTAGATACTATTCAAGTAATATATCTGGCTGAAAATGGGCTAAGATTTGTCTCCCGCAGCTGTACCAGTAGGTCCTGTAAAGTAGCTTCCTGAGCTAGCGGTGCGACTGAGAGGCTTTGTCGAGCCGGGGGTGGTAGCACCAGGTGACGAGGCATCCTTAGCCGTCTCCGCGCTCTTCTCCTTCTCGGCGTATGTAGGGGGCTGGTTAGCCTGTCCCGAGACGCTGCCAACGGGGCTTGTGGAGCCATTGACAGGCGAAACAGGGGACGCCAGGGTGGTCGGGGCAGCAGCAGCGACAGCGACAGGAGCAGCTGCACCGTTAGCAGCGGCCGCGGGGGCCGAACCAGTGGAGTCCTTGATAACAGACCACCACTTCTCGGCGTTGCTAGCGGTGGACGCCTTGAACATCAGTTCAGTGGTAGCGTGGAAAGCATTGCCGACCTTGTTGCTCGAGATATCCTTGCCCTTGACGTTGAATTTGACACCGTCGATAGCGCCGACGATACAGTCGGGCAGGTAGAGCGACAGCTCCGGGGAGGGGTCACGGCGGAAGTCGTCATCGTCCTTGAACTCGTGCAGGTAACGCGCGGGCGTGATGACATAGTAGCCCGAGCTGTATCCCTTGATAACGGCTCGAGAGCGACGCTCGAGGGATCCTTCAAGGAGGGCTTGGGTGGATCGATGATCTTGGTTGGGGAAGGTGATGTTTGCGAAATCGCGGGGAGGGGAGTCAGGGTTCACGAGTTTGGCATCGTTGCTTACGCAGAAGTTGATCCATTCGAAGTCTGGGGGGATACGCTGGGCGGCGCCGAGGACGTCGGCGTACATGGCTCGCTGGCGGTCGAGCTGGCCGCCCATGATCTGGTGGAATTGTTCCAAGGCGGCCTGAACAGTTTGCAGGACGTGAGCCTCAAATTGCTGGAAGGAGTTTTGCACCGTGAGAATGTCCTGGCGATGGTTGTTCTCCTCGGTCACCTGCTTGTTGAGGCGGTGTCTGATCTGGCGCCTAAGGATGTAGGGGTCGTGTGCTTGCTCGATCTTGGTGCCCATTGCCGAGTCGTGTGACGCCGAGTGTTGGCCTAGGAGCTCGATGTGCTTCTGGGTAAGTGTGCGAGCCTTGTCGACGGCCTTGGCTCCCTTTGCTGCTCCAGACTTGAGCTCCTTTGACTTGTTCTTGATTTCTTTGTGGAGACGCTCGAGGGTCGGGAGGACGGTGGCCGTCAGGCTCTTTTCGGTTTCGAGGTACATGTTGACCATTCCCTGTGCCATGATAAATTCATTAGGACCCGAAGTATTGGACCGACAATGTGCGTGTTGGTGTTGTTGTATGGTGAGCTCGTACCTGAGAGTTGTTGCGCATATTATTGAAGAGGCCTGCCATGCCGCCCTCGGATTGACTGAAGTGATGAGCCTCCTTCAATGGCTGACTGACCGTCTATTCAGCCGCCGTGATTTCTGGTCAGTCTTCATATTTTGGATCCGGGGAACACCGAGCACCGACCTTGAGGATCTTCTCATGGTCCTTCGACTGGGATTTTGACAGCTTGGCGGTGGTAGAAACATAGTCTTCGAGGTTTCCACACATATGCTTCCATGCACGAAGACGTTCGATCAAGAGGTTGCTAGTCTGAGAAAAAGAAGCCAGGTATTAGCCCTTGAGCACTTTTCACCGCGGGGTTGTTCCCCATAGCCCAGGAAGCGGTGGGGGGGGGGGATTTCCAGCACGATAATCTTGAACTGACCTCACTGCTGTCGGTATCCGGAATGGCCTCATCGTCACTGAAGGAAGTGCGACGGGTGAAGCTGCTGCTAACGGTACCCGTTCGCTGGGGGAGCTTGTGTTCCACGGGGCTTGAAGTTGCAGACATGGTGGGCAACCAGTAACGGATAAGAGATGGACAGGAGGGAACCGAGCTGGCGGAATAAACACAAGCAGTCACGACGGAAAACTGCAGGCAATTTTTTTTTCTTTTGTCTTATTCAAGATTTCGTGATCTTCAAGATCTTCACCAGGAGAGATGGAGCATGCGGGATGCGGGATTCACAGTATGTGGATTGTGTTCCTGTGGCTGAAGAAAAACCGGGAGCCTGGAAACGCTAGTCTATTACCGACCTAGTCGTTGGATATAGTGAAGCGCGTTTCGTAGGACTATTTTTAAATGGTCGGTGGGTCAAGATAAATTGCTGTGGAGAGTACGAAGTACTTTGAAAGTAGTAGGATCGCGGGAGAAAAGAACGGTGGAATATTGAAGGTGGGAGAATCGCATTCTTAAGCTGTGTTGATCGACCATCGAACCGACGATGAAGTCATTGCCCGCATTTGTGGCGCTTTGCATCGCCCAACGATGTGATTCAAAGTAATTCAAATATAAATCAAATGTACAGGATTCTGGATTGAAATTGGAATTAAAACCTTAGCAAAAGCCATAGAACAGAATACAGCATGAATACTAAGAATGAAGGCACCCCTTTGCACTCGTTGACTGTTGATGTTGACATCAATACGCGCTAGAAATTTAGAACCATCCATTGTATGTTCTTGGAACTGAACGCCACAGGTGGATCCTTTCCATTGTTCATTTGAATGTTCAGTAATTCGAATGCGGGACCTCAGGTTGCATTGCTAACAATCACTTTATTCTTGACTTTTGGCCGGTTGCAGCAACTTGTCTGTTTTGAAAAAAAATCCCAAATGTTACAAGATCTACAGTGGCTTTTACCAGATCGGGAGAAATGAGGGGCATCTGCTTCAAAATGTTCAAATGTTGGCGTAGTATATACCAAAGTATTGATCTTCCATATCATATTAAGAGTAGTGGGCAGTATGTGATGTTCGATGAGGAGTCCTGGAAAGATTCCAAGATTTGAACATTGTGAAAATTAAAGTACATAAAATTGAATAGTAAGAATTCGGCATTGATGCGTGACTCGTGCTGTGGTCTAATAAACTCATACAGCTGGCTCGTAAAAAGAAAAATAGTAAAAGCAAATGATCATGAAACCTGCTATGAGATATCCCAGTCCTGCCCTCTAATGTTGCCCGAACGCCGAGAAAATAAAAATGGTTAAAACCCATGTCTGTCGAATGCTGGTGAGAGGATCAAGGCCTCATGCGGAACAAGAAAAACGAGATAGGTCCCGAGAAGAGAGAAGAGAAAGGCGGAGATGTGGAGTTGTGAAGATGGGTTCCAATGTCCAGCACTGGAGATGTGACTTTTAGCGTGGGGTGGAGATGGCGGGAAGAATAGAAATCGAAGCCAAAAAAAAAACAACAAAAAGGTTGCGGCAAAAAGCTGTACAGCCTCCTGTGCTATCTATCTAGCGCGGGCTTGCACTAAGCGGAGTCTGCGGTCGGCATCGTCAGTACTGACTCCGTTTGTATTGAAGTAGCCGGGACGATTCACCTCTAATGGGGTAGAGATTCCACTGGCCCGGCCACTATTGCGACCACTTCGAAGGTATGCCTGTTGCGGGGATTGGAGAAGCGGTGTGCCCGGTATACTGCTCGCAATCACGGCATTGTAGTCGGGAAGGTGTGAGTCAAATGAGCCTACAGCCGCGCGAACAGCCGTTGAGTAGCTCGGGACTCGACTGAGTGTCTCCACCTCAGCATATTGAGGGTGGAAAGGAGTCGCCATCCCCGAAGGAAGATGTTCGGGATCCACTTCATCAGATGTTCGGCGAGAGAGCTCAGGGCTGCTGGGACTGTGCGAGTTCGAACCAGATGAGGGTCCAAAGTAGTCATTGAAGTGAACATTCAACTGTCGTGAGTTGGGGTGGCTCTCCGAAGGGGTGTCATGTGATGGCTCGTTGGGCGACAGGTGACCCATGCGGGCGGCGTTGTTCAGGCTCGAAAGACGGCTATGCAGGGCTGAGGCCGAGATATCAGTGTTGGTCAGGGCATTCATGGAGGCCAGGTTATCGGCTGAGATGTTGCGACTGAGAGGACCGAAGGGTGTGTTTGGTCCACTACCGGGACCAGGGGTGCGGTATCCATTAGGATCCACCTCGCTGTATAATTGATCGAACTGGTGTTCGCCGTATAGCGGAGGTGCCTGGTGAGCAGCGAGCTCATCTGCGGCTCGTCGTTGATGGGCGGAGTGGGCAGTCTGTGCGGTCGTGTCTCGGATTTGGTTGTTGTCATCAAGTGCGATATTAGGGGAGATAAAGATCGAGACCGGGAGAGTAGCACGGAGCTAGTTAAAAAAAAAAGAGTTAGCTTGAGTTGACAATGGAACTGGTTCATGTTGGCTTACTTCGCTGATGTGGCCGTCTGGGTTATGGAGTTGAATGCGGAACTTCAATTTGTGGCGAATCTTGATGCCTTTTGTGTCTGTATCTTGCAGACACCGAGTCAATGTTGAAGGCATATCCAAATAACGGGTAAATTGGTAGCCCTCGGCCGCGTCGTCGATGAGCTCAACATTATTTTCATCCACACCGTGCTCATCGGTCAGAATTGTGCGAGTAATCTTGTAGGTATTCCGGATGGAGTCGGGGTCTTCGGGATTGAGTGTAAGGTCGTGACTTTCGATCAGCTGGGAGGTAGTTTGTCCGATGCGCAAGCCCTTCAACAGCGGTATCAACTTGAAATCCACCCGAATCGAGGTACCGAAAATGACTGCTTTGTTCGGTGTGCTGATGGAGTATTCGATCTTGTTCGGCCAGATATTATCCACAGACTATAGACGTCATTGTCAGTGCCCCGCTTAACCCCACTATAGGAGTAAGAGAAAGGAAAATCAAAAAGGTGTGACTCACCATGGCATGCGAGAGCTCGAGTGCGCTCGGGTCGAGTGTTCGGATGATGCGCAAGGGCTTGCGCGCCACAATATCTTTGGCGTACTTGCGTCCAATCTCAGCCTTGAAGCGGTACATAACCCAGGTCTCCGACAGTCCTTCCACGCTCTCCGGCATGGAACCTTCGAGGACGACGTCAAATGGGTATTCGTAGTTGCCCGCCGCCAGGATCTCGGTCTTGCCCTTGCCGGGGTCTCGGAATCGCCATGTCTTGTCGTAGAACACTCGCTCTCTCCAGGACTTGCGGCCGCCGGCGGTCGAGCTGGAAGGTAGGTGCCAACTGTGACTCAGTTAGCTTGGATTGGGGGTGGGGTTTTTTGCCGTTATTTCTTCTTTCAATGCTTTGAACTTACCAGACACGAGACATGCCAGTCAGTTCTAGTCGAATGTGTTTAATCGCGAGGGGCTCGGACAGGCAGAGCACCAAGGTTCCCTTAAGGTGGGCGCTGGCAGCCTCATGCTCGCCGCCACGGAACACGATGTAATCTTCGTTCAATCTAGAAGACTTGTTAGAATGAAATGCTAGACACATGCCACTGATAGGTTCAAAACCGAGTCCACATACCGGATATCGAAATACTTGGCATTGCTTGCGCTTCCGCCACCACTAAAGAAGCTGAGAGCCATTTTGAAGTTATGGCCGCCACGGCTATCGGGGCAGCCGGTTTAAGTTGAACAGGTAAATGGAGCACGTTGGCGAGAGATTGAGGAAAGATCTGAGAGAGGAAGAGTTGAGGAGTAAATATGGCGGAAGAGGGAAAAAATAAACCAGGTATGACAGGTTTTTTTCCCAGCGAAGACCCTCTATGATCTACCGGACAATGTCCAGAATCGCAGGCCGGTCCGACCAAACGGGTCCCACTGTAGGAAAGTGGAGAAGTGCCGTTTCCGGGCAAAATTGCAAAAGAAAAATCGCAGAAAAAAATTCGGTGGCGATAAAGAGACGATAACGAACGGAGATGATGCGAGGTGACTAAGCCACGATAAGAAGCGTTTTACCGTGAATAGGAGAAGAGGAGGGAATAGGGGAATAGGGGAATAGGGGAGAACAAGAGATATGTTTCTTTTTTTTTTTTTAAAAAAAAAGACAGAACTTCGAGTGCGAGAAATCAAGTGAGCAAAGTCAGCAAAGCATAATTGCACAATTGTTGATCTGTCTCTTGTTTACGTCAGCGATGCATATGAAGGTCAATCATATTACTAGTAACCATCGCATTCAAATGTTCTATGTACTATACTAGTATGCTATTTACTATGTGTTATTATTATTACTCTCATTGTAGATGTTATTTCTTCCATTACCCACTTTTTAATCATATTCCTCTATTTTCTCTATTTTACCTCTATTTTATCTCTATTTTATCTCTATTTTATCTCTATTTTATCTCTATTTTACTGAATTTTCTTGAAAAGGATAAAAAAAGATCATTATGACTCGTCCTCTTTTACCGATAAGTACTTTTCTTTTTCGGGTTCTTTCTTTTTGATTTTCTATTTTTCTATTTTTCTAATTTTCCAATTTTCCAATTTTTAATTTTTTTTCCCTAATTATTTCTTTTTTTTCTTCCTTCTTTCCTACCCGATACTCGGGGGCCCTTCGTTTACCCAGAACCAACCATCACGCCATAACCTCGGGATCGCCCTTCCCGCGATCGATCCTCTTTTGGATCGTGCCTGAGATGCATATCATGCATGTTACACTTATCGGTATATTTTACTCTGCACTCCACTCAAATGCAGGTTACTCTGCAGAAAATAAGAACATACATACACGCATGGTGAAAAGCAACACTCCTGCATCATGTCTCGGGCATATAATGTCTGTGCACCCACTTCCTATAGTACTGAACATACTATTTACGACGAAACACATGGCCAAGGTCAAGGTCGAGACCATGTTGATCACAAACATAGAATGTGACTGTGATGAGTCGTTGCCGACTTTTGTCATTATGATCATTCCCCCTATTATCAACTCACACAAAGGGAAATGTGCAGAAGGTGCAGCACATGGTACGTACCATGGAGAATGTGATAGCTAATGACATTACTACTGCAGGGGTTCAGCTATCACTATGTATCACAGTCGAGGAGCTGAAGAGAGCCATGTGGTCAGGGCATACACGTATGTGGACCAGATCTGTGACTGGCTTGATAGTGGAGGGTTGGTTCGTCTCACAATTGGACGACTTGTGCTATCAATGATTCAAGCCCCCACCTGCAACGACTGCTCTTTGATTCTGAGTTGGATTTTCATCTTTTTCTTTTCGGAACTACCCGTCCTTTTTCTTTTACTTATTCAAATTCTCGACCGCGGTTCGAGCGGGAGCCGCCCTAGCAAGTGTAGATGTTCCGCCAATGGGCTCCACTACACAGGTGTCAAACTGCTCACCGGCTACACCGACCTAAACTGGTTCAGTAGATACGGATACAAATGACGATATGGCTGACATCTGACGTGGGTGGTTTCTCTTGAACCTTTTACGGATACTTGTACTCCGCGGTATAGACAAGGCTTACGGAGTATTGTGCCTGGTCCTTCCCCCCCCACTAAGATAAGGGATTGCGCCCGGCTTGGACCCTTCAAGGATGTAAAGATTTACTCCAAACTTCCCATGTGTTTATTGTGGCGTCTGCACGCCCCCTGCAGTAGGTCACTCATAGGCCTCTTGAGATCATGACCAACATAGAGAAGCATTGATAGGATTGGTTGTTATGCCATGTCAAACAAAGGTCTCGGCCTGGTCTGCCGATTACGGGCGCGGTCGGGATGCCTTTACAGAAAAGCTCGGGCATTCCCGCTTCCATCGGAATCCCGACTGCCTCCCGATTTCCCTGCCCGACATTGCGCGTCCGTGTCGCCATCGGACCTTCTCCTGACGATCTAGAACGGAAAATTGTACTGTTTCAGATTTCAGATTCCAGATTCTTTGTTGACGTTTCCCTGTGGCTGTGAATACTGATAGGGATTTTCTTGTTCGCTCCTGCCATGGAGTTGAACACACAAACAATGATCATCGATGAATGACAAAATGGCCCCTCGAAATGACACAATACACTCGGACAAACATGCTACATATATACGCATTTACTAAAAGGGCACATGAACGTGGCACTTTTCTTCTTTCAAATAAGGATATCTGAAAAAGTGGATATTCGTTCCAAGGTTCTCTAGGCTTTTTTTTTTTTTCAATTTTCTTTTCAAGCAATTGAAATTTTCTTGGTCTGCGGGACCCATGACCCACAAAGTAGATCATTGACGGTGAGCTTTCTGGCAGCGATCGGAGTTTCTCCTGGCCATTGATTGTTGTGTATCCATACCCGCTGGATCCAGCATTCGGTGAAACTGGGTTCCAGAATCAGATCCTGTTTCTACAGCAAGTTGGGCTGGTACGTACAACATCATCCCATCTAGACCCATCTATTGATGATGCTGCCTTGTTCTTATCATTCTACCGGGCAATGTTGATGCGTTGAAGCATGTATTAGGTACACATGATTTAATTCTGTACTCAAGTGCTCTCACTCTTGGTTTCGATTTCTAACTTGTGGGAAAGAACCTTAAAGCATGAATGTACTCAGGATAATTGGAGTACCATTGAATCACATTTAATAGTACATACACTGAGCAACTTATAGCTCCATCTAAAAGCGGAGATATCCAAACTCTGGCCTTCGATCGTGTTGATCTACGGAATACTATACACTATAGATGAACTCCAATCTTAAAACCATCTGCAGGCCTAGACCTAAATGAAACAGCAAATCAATTACATGCCACAGCCCTGTCGATAGCTCACAAGCTACCACTGCAAGAACAAAAACCCGGACAGGAAAAACCGGAGAAACGCTTTTCATGTGAAAGAAAAAGAGGCGAAATCTCTTCTCGGTGCCCAGCCCGAATTGACCAGCCTTATCGTCTGAGCGGGTAGCTGCCTGAAACCATACAGAGATACATACTCAGTAGGTCCTGCGACAGCAAGGTGGAGAAGCAGGTGTAGTAAGATCCAGTCACCAATTGCCATTCAGAGATAGCGCACGCGCCAAGGAGTACAAAAAGATGAAAAAATTAAGAAAAATGAAAAAAAAAAACGAAGAAAAAAAAAATTCAATTCCAAAGACCACAAGCTACATTTAGCTATGACCCATAGCTATGACCCACCACGGAGCTTTCAGGCGCCACAGGGTTTTGACGGGCCTGGATTCGGACAGGCGAGAACCGGCAGCTACAGAGCGAACGCGGCAGTAGCAGTCAATAGCCACGGAGTACTCCGTGGTTCTCCGTAAAACACAATGCACAAGACCCCTTGTAAGGAGGGTCAGAGCATTCAATTGTTACTATTTGGCCCCTCGGTAATTGATATGCCGACTTACGGGAGTTGGCGAGCCCTTTTCTCGCCGTGGTACTTTTTTGTCGGTTTTTTTTCCGGCCCTCCGATGATCGACGCGATATCTTCAAGCTCTGGAGTCAACAGCCGAGTTTGGACGGGAACTAAATGAACTAAATTGAACACAGCTTGGGGGCGATCGTTAGTGCCAAGGAAAGGGGGATAAAGATTCTTGCGCTGCCGGACCGCCAATCGTGCCGATTTATGGCGCCACATGGTTGGTCGAGTCAAAACGAGCATTGTGTGTTACTTGCTCGATCAGGCAATTTGTTATGCTGCATTTGCATTTGCATTTGCATACACCGTACAGCTCTCAAGTGCTCGCATCATGCAATGAAATATGCTGGTTTCTCAAGCGGTGGTGCTGAACAATTGATGTGCCTTGTCTCGTGTTTGAGAGCAAATATAAACATACATACACACATGCTAACCTTCAACCTGCCCATGTGCACACCCAGGTGGCAGTGACATGCATCTATGGACTCATACAGCAGCTGAGCAAGATTGCTTGATTTGTCCTGGTGATAATTAAGATCCCGGGACATATTATAGTCATACTTGTACAAGTGGAAAACGTTCCAAAGTTGTACGACACCAGACTCGTTCCCTAGTTGGCTGTGTGGAACATGAGGATGCCATTCACATACTGGAAGTACTGCTTCGAGTCTCCAGCCATACGTAAGGCGGAAAAGAAGTATGTTCAAAGTCAAAAGCATAACTACTAACACAGTACCGGGATTGAAGTCAGGAGCCTTGGGAAATAAAATGCAAGATCAACAATGTCGCATCAAATAAGAACAACCCCGCGCGCATGGCTGTATACAGGTCGTTAGAGCATCAATCTAGAGACTTGAGGCTGTTGTCGAGGTCGGTGGGAGTCGCTTATATTCAAACAAGCGGGGGCCCGGGGCCCTTGATCCCAATTAAAGGTAGTAGGAGTGTAGGAGTGTATTCGTCGCGGTTTGGGGGATGATCTGGCTGGGGATCGGGTACATGGTGTGGGGATTTCGGGGCGCAAACATAGCTCGGGGTGATGGGGTTTGGGATGTCGAAGAAAGAATGGTGTTTATCTCGAGCCAGCAAGAGAGTCCTCGACCATGGTGTGGGAGCGTAGATGTAGAAAAGGAAGAAATACCGATGACGGATTACATCGCAGTGTAGCTTGTCTTTGAAGGTAATCTAGAAGATCCAACCCAAGATGATATAGAGCAGGATACCGGCCCCGATCACCATGCCTGCGATCTTGAGCACCGCCACTGTGTCGCCTTGTTTCGCCATCCTTGTCAGCCTGGAAGCACTGCCCTTCAGATTCGTTGACATGGAAGAGAAAACATCGTTCTGGACAGATAGAAGAGCGTTAGTTTTTGGTCTTCTAGATGCCCTTCATGTATGAACTCCCTCATGGGTATCCCTTCGGTGAAACATACCGAGTTATCGAGCGAGTCCTGCTCCCGCGCATTGTCATGGATGTCAATCGTTACATGTCGGAGAGCAGAGACTTTGGATGAAAGGGAGTTGAGGAGCGCATTGTTTTGCCTAGTAGGAGACATGTCAGCGAAAAGGTGATCACAGAGACGAGAGATACTTCGCCCAGCGGTGCCAGGGGCAACATACTGCTCACGTTCGTAGGCGTCACTCATGTTGTTTTCAGTGATGAGGGTGTCCTGAATATTGGACCAGGGAGGATTGGGAAAATCCGGAGAATGTGGGTATGGCTGGTGGGGAGGAAGCAAGAATGATTGGGAATCTGGGATGACGAGTGGCTCGTCCGGGGAAGCAGCGGAGCCGATGGGGCAGCGGGCAAGTGATAGGTCAGGTGACCTGCATCCATCAATTATCAATAGCATATCTTGAATACCTTTATTTTGAGGCTCAGGTTTCTGAATCTGAAATTTCCATTTCGGAAAACAAATTAATATCTTAAATTCTATAATATCAGAAAACAGCACGATTTCATCTAAGATCCGGGGGATATGGTGCTGGTATAGCCATTGTGTCATGCACCATGTAGAGAAGCCGAGAATAGTTTGCCATCCAGTGGGTCCCCACTTCGTCCAACAGACCTGCAAACTCCAATAATATTTGCTGGGCATATCGGGCGCCGTATTCATATTTCTTTCCGTCAATCAGAATTGGTCCCCCAAACCGAATGAATTGTATGGCGGCATCTTCCGATTTCGCTGGATTATCTGACCCCATTCTTGATGGGTCATTATTTGATATTCCTTCATCGCCAATAGCCTTCCAGTCAACAACCGAATTAGCAAGATCAAATTGGTCCCAGTTACTTGCGTGTTCCTCGCAGGGATTCTCAGGACTCGCCAGGAGGTAAAATCCGAGAATCAGGGCAGACATGAACAAAGTTCGTACGGATTGAAATGCAGTCCCATCTGTTGGTTTTCGGTGGGACAAAGTCCGGAATGTTTGGGCTGCATGAAGACATGCTCTCCGTGCAGCAGGAGTGTATGTCCAGCAGGAAAGATCTCGACGAGCATCAGACATGGATTCCGGGCCATCGCGACCAGCAGCGCGGGAAATGATATTGATATCAGTGGTGATCAGCATACAGGCACTATGCCAGATCACAATGCAGTTTGGGTTGGTATCACGGAGAATCCTTTCGTATAATTGAACCAAACTAATGAGAAGCGGGGTAACAATACTGGCTCGTTTATCAAGGCGACAAATGTTCCATGGAACATACTGATGTTGCTCGGCTGGAACCAAATCCGAACTAAGAATCAATCGGCGAGTGTCCGTGGAGACGCGTAGGAGGACAGAGCAGAGCAATCCATACATAGAGAACACATGTGTGGGCTCTTCTAGATTAGGTAGATGGAAGTGATAAGATGATAACTCAAGCCTTTGGTTTGCGTGAGGAATACCAGTGAGCAGTTGAGACCATTTCTGCGGTGTTGGGGCTTGGTAGAGGTCGTTTTCGAACGGCAATGAAAGAATAAGTTTATCAGTCTCAATTACAGGACTCAAAGAAAAGATCTCTGACAGCCATGAATCGTGCAAAACCAGGCCGATGATCAAGCTGTTGTTTAATTTGTTAGCCCTTTGAGACGTCACAATCACAGAAAGACAGTTATACTTTTTGGTTGACTCCGCTCGTGTCCATGCAATCCATCGAGCACGTTCCTCCATTCGTGATGAGAGTAGTATATCATAAGTCTGATCAAGATTTGAACAGAAAAAGCCACATTCTCTTGCAGTCTGTTTGAAGGAGGAGTTAGCTCAAAGAATACACTTGAATTTCAGATCTCTTACTGCTGTAGCATGCAAATAAAGCAATCGAGACTTTTCTGGGCAAAGGTTTCCCTGAAAATCTGTTAGAAAGCGCGATATTCATAGTAAGGGTTATATAAGGGTTATAGCTTGGTGACAAACCCCCGTAGATATGAAAAGGAAAAGTGTGTGATGTGCCATCACAAGGTAATTAAGAAGGTCGGCGGGGGTCTGACAGTCCGCTGCAGCAAAAATGAACTGATTGTAGACCTCGTTCAGTATGCCCTATTGAGTAGAAACGGGGTTGTCAGCTCTGATGGTAATGGGCTTCATTTGGACCACCTCATACCGGGTATGTTTTTCGAATGAAGTCCACGGCATCGTCTGTCTTGAAAAATGAAAGACCAATCATGCACATAACAAAAAGCAACAAATCAGAAATTTTATCTGCGTTGAAAGTCGCAGAATGAAGAACAGGATAAAAAGGTTGGTACTTGCGGAAGTAAAGGTAAAGACCTTGTTCGAAAACTTCCGTGGTATTGATGCAAAGATACTCATGGCCACATTGAATCTCATCAAAAAAGTCATTGCAACCGCAAACTAGAAGTTTTCTTTTGAGTATTCGAAGTCGCATCTTTGAACTGTCCGTTAGACTGATCTCTAACGCATATGTTTCATCGGGGATCTCTAAGGCCGGATCTACCAGGCCCAATGCCAGATTGCTAGAAAAAATATTCTCTAATGACCCGAATGCGACTTCCTGCCAGAAATTAGGTCTGGAATTTGAGCCTGCATGGTGTGGGCTTATTGGCCATAGTCTTTGAATTCGTGTTGTGGCTCCATCAATACCGCCTTGGTTTGGTATTGAACCCACAGGACTGAAAGGTATCGGACTTGGAAATATGGCACCGGCTATATTATGGTTCAGAGTTAAGCCTGGTATAGTCCCCGATGGTCCCAATGGATATGATTGATCAAAGGATTGGTTGAAGAGAATGCTTAACGTATCCGTGTTCGCGGCAGAAGCACCGAGTGGTAGGCTCAAGGACGGGGGCATAGTCCTAGAGATAGCATCATCGGGTTCAGCTGTTGGATTCGATATTCCCGTAGGGATTAGAATGTCATGATCATGGTCGTCAATGGCAGGATCGCAAGCAGGGCCACACATGGAAGTCTGTTCAAATGGATCTATCGGGAATACCTGTCAAATTCAATTAGCACTTGGCCTTGGGCCAGGTATGTACTAGGATAACTGACAGGAGAAATACTCGGTTCACTCTGGACCACATGGTTTCGACGATGTCGCAGGAGAACATCTCTAATACGAAAATCAATCAAAAGAAGTGGACATATGACAGCGATTCTTACCGTCGTGCAAACTGCTTGGTACAAATTGAGCATTTGTATGGCCTTTCCCCGGTGTCTGTCCTCAATTTAGAACAATGTTTTCTCATTTTCTCATTTTGATCATTGCCATCACAGAGTGGGGAACAGCGTACGGGCTAATTGATGTCGATTGAGGTGTTCTGTCTTAGAGAAGGTCTTGTCGCACCGCGCGCAGGATATCCTATGCAGATTTGCCTTGCGTCGCTGCCGCATGACGTTAATGCGTGGAAGGCATGAACCAAGAAAAAAAAGAGAAAAAAATTCAAAATCGGCAAAAAGGACCAGCTGACGGAATTTCGGCCAAAAGGATTGCACAAGTGCAAAGTGCAATGATGGGCGATTTGCGGGGTTAATGTTAAAATCCAAGGCCTTGCTTATCAGGCATTCATGGAATATCCTATCAACTTTTAGTACTAAAATTAGTTAACTAACGTTGTGTCGAGAGCCTGGGAATCAGTTGTGCTTTTGAATAAGCTCAATGGTTTCAGTGATGTTTAATGTTATTCTGCAATGATTTCAATGTCAGTGTTTTTTCTTTTTTTAAAAAAAAAAAATTGCTGTCGGTGTTCTTGCGAGTCTGCAAGGTCTGGCGCCACTAGAGTTGATTGAGAATGACATGATACTTTGATAAAATTGAGGTAGAGCTTATGATGCAAGTCAGAAGCCAGCAGATTGATATCCAGCTCAGATCGAAATGCGTGATCGATCTGGAACGCATTTGGTTGAGGGCCTGGTGGGAAACAAGGTGGGGAGGAGTGCACGTTTCCCCACATCTTTGTAGCCAAAATGCGGGGGGAAACGTGTATTCGTCGGAACTCTGAAGCTTCCCTGGATCTAGGTAATACTGTGAACATTTGCTCATGTGGCAGTTCCTCGTAATCTTTTGTGGCTCTGTGGGGATAGCAGGGGATGGAACTATCAAAGACGAGGAATATAAGTAGGTGGAAAACTTCCCATTAACTGAAATGAAATCGAAAGGAATTCTTTTCTACATTTGACAACACTTCACAAAATGACAGTTTTTCAATTTTTTGATTACCCTCTTGAACTTGCGGTGGGAGCTATACTTCTGTATGCTATTTCTTACATCATTTATCAACGATTCTTCCATCCACTTGCAAGATATCCCGGACCTTTTCTCGCCTGCCTTACGGATTTGTGGCAGGTGCATCAATTTATGACCTTGAAGCAGCCCTATCACCTTACAAAGCTACATGAAAAGCACGGTTCAATTGTTCGATATGGTCCAGATAAGCTCAGTATAACTGATGAAGAGGCAATCAAGTCAGTATATCAGTCAGGGGCTCGATTCATGCCCAAGACCGAATTCTATGATGCCTACGGAGCAGCTCATCCCAATGTTTTTGGAATGCGAGATGAAAATGTACTTTTTTACTCCACTGGGGTTGCATTTCCTTGATCTAATCAATCATACAGATTCATTCTATTCGGCGACGCCAGATGTCGCATAGCTTTTCGATGAGCTATGTTAAAGAAATGGAGCAGCATCTCGACGCAAATATCGAGATCCTCCGCCAGAAAATATCATCATACACCTCAACAGAAGAGGTCTTTGACCTCAAGAAGATCTTGAACTTTTATGTGATTGACACATTAGGGGAATTGGCATTTAGCCAGACCTTTGGGGTTCAAGTTTCTGAGGATGAATCCCGTGTTCCGCCTGTTGTTGAGCATAGTCTGCTGGCCGCAGTCACAGGGGCCTGGCCAAGTATGACTGCCTGTTTGAAGAAGTGGCTCCCTCTCGTTCCACACCGAGATCTCCAGGCCTTGTTCAGCGGCCGCAGGGCATGTGCTGAGCTTGCATCGCGATGTGTTAATACGCGGCTGAACTTCATCAGGTCTAAGAATGGATCAAATGATACATCGTCTAACAGAAAAGATATTCTCACGAATCTGATTTTGGCAAAGGACCCCGACACGGGTGAGCATCTGACACAAGCTGACCTGGAAACGGAAGCATTTGGTTTCATGTACGTAGTCTCCTGGATATCCCATTAAGGTGGACCAAGTCTGTTTAAAACCGTTGACTAATTCTATATGGCGATTTACTAGTATTGCGGGAACTCACACTACCAGCGCGACTACCAGTCTGCTTTTCTACCATCTTCTACATCATCCGGATATTATGACCAAGTGCGTTGCAGAGATTGATACCAATCTGCCAGCTTTGCAACCAACTGAAAGTGCTTACTCGGTCACCATGGCCGAGGCATCTTTGCCATATCTACGGAACTGCATGAAAGAAAATTTCCGAATCACACCAGTTTTCACGATGCCTCTCGCGAGGCGGGTCATGATGCCTGGAGGACTTTCTGTTGCTGGAAAATATATTCCCTCTGGAGTGAGTTGAGTAACTGTTTTGTTTAAAAACATCTCCAATTGGTTCAACATTGAAATGTTCAATGTTCAATGTTGTGGGGATATATTTTTCTAATGCATATTCTCTACATCAACATAGACATCAATTGCGGTCTGCAACCATGCATTTCACCACAATCCGGTAGTCTGGGGTACAGATCACAATGAATTTGATCCATCTCGATGGAACAATCCGGATGTCGAGAAAAAGTCGAGGCTGTTGATGCATTTTGGGCTAGGTGGCCGTCAGTGCATCGGCAAGACGGTGGCCACGACCAATATTTACAAATTGATGAGCACTTTATTAAGTGAATTTGAATTTATACTAGCCGATAATACTGAGAGGGAGCGAGTGAGCGAGAATGCTTTCTTTGGAAAAATTCCAGAGTTGATCAGTGTAGGTATTAGTGATTTAGCTGGGCCCTTAATGGTTCGCGCTCGGAAACGCGACAGGGCCCCGCTTTAACACTTGGAGAATGCATATTAGTTTGGCCAATGGAACGAATTCATGAAAATGAGGGGGGAAATACAACATTTGTCACTTTCATTACTTATTTTTTGTCCTGATATTGGATGATCTTTGAGATATTCAGCAAATTGAGGCAATGATTGCATTTGGTGTGCGGCCCGGGGCCGCCCCACTTGGCTCCAGATGTCTACACGGGTTTTCTTCGAGTTATACAAATCTTGATTCTTGATTCTTCCCCTCGACACTCTCAACGGAGCCGCATCTGCATTTCGCAAAGTGATTCTACAAGAACCACAAGAATTTTGAGCATACTAACTGTCAGCCCTGGCATGGTTTTGATCTGATCTACTCCCAAAACTGATGGCGTCGATCGATGAGCGGCCGTCGAAGCGCGCTCGCCAAGCATGTGAGCCTTGCCGGTAAGCATCATACAGTCACTTTTTTTTTGACACCCGAGCTCATCATGGAACAGGCGGAAAAAGTCAAGATGCCCCGGGGAAAAGCCAAGTTGCTCTTACTGCGAGCGCCTGGGCCAAAACTGCGTGTACACAGGCGAGGTAGTAATAGACGAGGCGTCGGATTTCGCAAAGAATATAGTAAGAGTTACGTTGAATTATTTTAACAGTCCCAGCTTACGGTATTTTTCCAGGACGATCGTGTTTCTCGCATTGAAAGAAAACTTGAACAGCTGATAAATTGCATTGCGTACGTTTCTGCAAGCGCGCTTCTTTGACGGCGACCTGACCTTTCAAGTGACAACCAGCAACCCCAAGCCGAGGCTAGATCTCCGGACACCAGAAATCTTTCAAAATTTTCACCAGCAACGTTTGCTCCACTGCTCACCAACCCAGCTCTCATGTAGGCACCCAAAAACTTTTTTTGCATCGTGACCTCGCTAACCAACGACAGGGGAAGTTCGCGTGATTTATCAGCTACGCAATTATACCTTACTTTTTGCAACTCGCAGCCTCTACCCTTGTTTCCACAGCGGCTAAGTGCGGAATGTCTGAGTAACCGAGACCCAGAGCTTGTGCTTTCAGTGGAGGCGTCGGGTCTTCGGTTTAGAGGAAATGGGGTCAAAGAAGGTGTAATTGAACAAGAGATTGTAGCAAAAACAGACACAGCCTGTCAATTGGTCATGAAGCGAATTGCCGATGGGAATGTCGAGATCTCCACGATTCAAACATTATGTCTGCTGAGCATGTTGGAATTCACTGGTATGAGCTCAGTCGTAATCTCAGCATTGACCGCGTACTGACACTGTGCCACAAAGCTGGAAACCTAGTTCGAGCAGGATTCTATAACAGAATGGCAGAGTACTTCATGCGCAACATCAAGCTGACAGATTTCGAATTTCTCAAATACCTCGAAACCGAGCAAGATGAGCGAAAGCTATGTTATGCAAGCGTGATAATACTCCAGAATCTCCAAGGATATCCACAGCAATGTTCAATCCAAGAGACTTCTGATCAATCGGTTCTTACGGGACTTGCCACTCCTTCTTTTGAGACGTTAATACCAAAAAAGGATTCTCGAAGAAACGGCAATGATTCCAAGCCAGACATTGGTATACATGCCGCCGTCATGCATACTAGTGACTTGTGGGCCCTTGCCTGTAAGTATGCCATGAATAATGCCGGAGATGACACAAATCCTCCCTGGCACCCTCAGTCAGACTATGCAGTGACCACATATTGGCATACCGAACATGAAAGTTGCATGCCATTGAAATTCCGGCTTCATGCTAGTCGGTTTCCAGACTACACTCCGACAGAACTAGAGATGAGTCGTGATTATTGGGGTCCTTGGTTATTCTATCAGATAGCTTGGCATGCAGTTCCGTGTCTGCTGAACCACCCTTTTCTTCTCTCCATGCGACTGAGGAATTTTAGGCGAACGATGCCGCAGTCATTTCTCCGCAACTCCTTTGAGCAACTGACATTCCATTCAGGCTGGATAATTCATTTTCTCGAGCTTTTTGAAAGTAAAGGCTTTGAAGTATCGGATCCAACATTAGGACACTGTGTCGCCATCGTTGCGACGATCTATCTCCAACATAGTTTTGCAGACGATCACACTTTCAGCAGAAAGGCACAGACAGGTTTTGAAAAGTGCCTTCGATTCCTGCGAATAATGGGGTGTCGCTGGCCGCATATCGACCGACAGGTGAAGTTACTTGGTTTCGTCTGTGGCGTTATACTAATTTTAAACTAGGTCCGGCAACTGGAGCAACTTCGTGGCAGCATTTCGCCTGGGAGTCAGACCACAAATTCAAGTGCACAAGCAATATCCGACCCAAAGTGGTCTGTAGATTTGCAGTTAATGTGGAAGATCCTTGCCTATTCCAATGCAAGCAGAGCTCCAGATCCAACTGGCGATATATTTGGCCCGATATTGGCCAAGGAAACCACCCCCAGTGATTCAGGAACATCACCAGCTGATGCTATAACCGATCGTGATTTTACTCTCATTGGATCAGCTGGGATTTCAGGACACAAAACTGTTGCAACAGAATGTGTTACATATCCTCCTGAGCAGGCAGAGCATCAAGAAACCGGCCCTGGGCCGTCTGCGATGGACTTTCCGGAATCACCGAAACCCCAAAATCTGAACTTTGCCGGTGGAGACACACTTTTGTTGCAACTACAGGATTATGATAAAGCATTCGAGGATTGGCTGAGCCTGAATCCCACATGAAAGGATCTGAAAAGATGTGACTCTTGTCCGGACACGGCCCGCTTCCGTGTTCTCCGGATGCCAAGAATCCGGCCCTGGGCCGGATTTGCCATCCGATTCCCACCTCCCTCCACACAGGATATATTTTATAAGATCAGATCCTCAGATAATTCTTATCTGACAGATTGTATTTCCCCGCATTTTCTCGGTAGCTGGAAACAATGACTATATCAAAGGGCGATTCCGTCCTAATCGTGGGCGCTGGCGTTTTCGGCCTGTCCACCGCGCTGGAGTTGAAACAGCGTGGATACACCGACATTACAGTGTTGGATCGGTATACGCCACCGGTAGTAGATGGAAGCAGTGTTGATCTGTCTAGAATCATCCGGATCGACTATGCTGATCCAGTTTATTGCCAGATGGCTCGCGAGGCATATGCAGGCTGGACAACAGAGTACAAGGAGGAGTACTTTGAATCCGGATTCGCATTGCTGTCCGAGACCCCCCGAAACGACTGGATCGAAAAATCAAAGGCTACAGTCTTGTCAATTGGCGGCACCATCGAGGAGCTCAAGGATGCTACGCAGCTGCTCAAGTCATACCCCAACATTCAGGCCGATCTCTCGGGCATGAATGGATACCTTAACCGGAAGGGCGGCTGGGCCGATGCCGCTGGCAGCATCCAGAAGCTTGCTTCACGATGCAGTGTGGAGGGCATCTCTATTATCTCCGGACCTCGCGGAACCGTCGGTTCATTGCGTCGAGAAGGGTCACGCGTTGTGGGTGTCAACCTAGTTAGCGGAGGATATTTGCTCGCATCCCAGGTCATTGTGAGCACAGGTGCCTGGACCAACCAACTTTTGGATGTGGCACACGCCGCCAACTCATCGGGCCAGCCGGTTGGCTTCATTCAATTGACACCGGAAGAGGCCCGGTCCTTGGAATCGACCCCTGTCATGATCAACATGAGCACTGGAGTATTCTGCTTCCCGCCCACCCCGGCATCCAACATTCTTAAGCTTGCGCGTCATGGATACGGCTACGCAAATGAAGTCACTATCAAAAACGATGGTATCACTCGGAAAGTATCATCGCCCAAGCTTGAAAGTAGCAATGCACAGACAGGATACCTTCCCGAAGACGCCGATGAAGGCCTGCGCCAAGGTCTCCGTCAGTTTTTCCCCAAGTTCGGCGACCGGCCATGGATGAACCGTCGACTCTGCTGGTACACCGATACACCAAAGGGCGACTTCATTATTGATCACCACCCAGAACTCCAGGGTCTCTTTGTGGCCACCGGTGGAGCCGGACAGTAAGTTACCCCCCCCCCCCCCCCCTTCAATATGACTTTCTTTCCCACCGTGAGACATATAACGAATTCCTCGAACTAACGTGCAGTAGTGGGTTCAAATTTTTGCCAATTTTGGGTAAATATATTGCAGACTGCTTCGAGAACAAGGCCTCCAAGGAACTGCGTGAGAAGTGGCGATTGGCCCCGTCGCCCGCTAACTCTGTTGCTTATGCTATGAAGGGCGACGGAAGTCGGGCTGGACCTCCCTTGCGACAGCTCACGCAAGTTGAGAAGGCCAAATTGTAAATTGTGATATGTTGAATACTCTCAGTTAAAAGTCAATATTGTTCTTTACGAACGCGTCTTCTAGTGAAAAGCAACGTTTCCGGACCACCTTGCCATCATATCGCCGCACATGCCCTTGAGCTTCAAATATTCAAGACTACTGGTATTTTTCGCCAGCAAAACTCAACTTGATTCACTTCTTTTTTTTTTTTCCAAGTCACGTCCCAAGATCCCTTTCAAATGGTCAAGCGTATCTGCCCGAATGCTCAATATCTCTCCCGCAGCAAGCAAACATTGAATGTTGAATGGATTTACATATCATATCAATCAATCAATCATCCTTTGGCTATTATTTAGCCTCTGGCCTTATGATTGTAAGTAAGATCGTACTGGCCTCGACGAACGCTTGAACCATCCCGCATGCCAATTGTCCCAACGTGAGAGTCACCAGTCAAATTCCATGTACTAGCAGCATCCACATGAACAGAAACAGTTCCTGTAGTGTTCAAAGTGTTGACAGCACCATTCCAATGTGACCGAGTCAAATAAACATTAGCCTCACTTATATCATCAACATAGATATCACCAGAGATACTTAAGTCGGTGAGAAACAAATTCACAGTTCCTCCATTGACCCCTGCCGTTCCGAATTGGTCATCTGCAGTGATATTCGCTAATATGCCAGATTTGGCTTTGATATCTACTGCCGTGAAGTAGACATTTGCTTGGATATTTGCGACGAACAAAACACCGTAAGTTCCATTTGTCTCCACAACTGAGCCGCCTGTAACATATGCATAGGCCGTATCCACAGTGCCGTTGGTCGCGACAGTGCTCACAACCTGGAATACCCCATTGTTTTGAGTGCCAGATGTAACAGACGGATTATTCAGAGAGAAGGAATTCGAACCATCGATACAAGCAACAGGGGCAATTGCAGATACACCGGATAGAAAGGATGTGGTAATGTTGCCCGTTGAGTAGACGAGGGCGGACAAGGCTCCATATGTATTGGCAACGGCGTTCTTGACTTCGATTAAACCTCCGCCTTGATCGGTAGCAATTGCACTCCCATGGGCATCATACGTATTGATCATGAGGTCATTTCCGTAAATGGTTCCCCCGCCCGTGTAAACTCCGTGAGAAAAGTCTCCTTTGGCGTGGATCTCCACGTTTGAAAGATGGGCTATTGATCCATCCTCATAGGTATGAAGTCCATTGGCGCCGACTCCGTCGGTGATGATTTTGCTGTTGGTGATGAATATAGTTCCATTTGTCTCTACTCCAACAGCCGCATTCAAGTCTGTGAAGGAGCTATCGTCTTCAACCGTTGTGTTTCCAGTTTTGATCAACGTGGAATCAGAAACATATGCGACGCCAGTTTCTTTCACAATAATCACCCCCTCATCTGTGCCGGTGGCCGTGAGTGTCGTGCGGGAAAATCTGGCGGTAGTACCATCCACAAAGTAGGCAGCAGTGGTAGGTAGTCCGGTTGTTGTCGATAGCGAAGCTACCGTAGTGGCTTCAGATGAAGTAGAAGTAGCAGATGTTATTCCGAAAAATATAGGGATACTCGCAAGGATCAGGGCACCCAAGCGATGACTCGTAATGGAATCCATTCTCGAGGGACAAATTGCAAGATCAGCTTCCAATGTGTTTAAAGTGAGGGAGATTTGGAAAGATCAATTGATCAATCTTTACCCCAGATAAGCCTCAGGATATCTCATTCCAGCTTCCGGGGGAGCAAGCCTGGGTATTTATACCACTTCTCCGTATTCTAATACCTAAGCCATGTCAGCTTTGGGACCCGGGCTGGTACCAAGCCTATCACAGGTCTCCAGTTCAATCATAGTGTCGGAAATGTGGCCATCTGGTGTTGTACATTCAATGCTTGTAGAAAAAAGGCTTCGTCCAGGATGCTCGAAAGCAAAGCGGTATAAGAGACATCCAGCAGGGATTAAATCGGCTCCACATTAAGATGGAAAGTGAACAGTGAGTAATATCCATTTTCACGTACTTTTCGACTTTTTGAACTTATTCCAAGGTCGAATTTTGATTGTTGCAACATTAAAAGCAAGCCACTCTTCATGCACCCCCCGCAAAAGGGCTCCGGGGGCTTCCGAGGTCCTTTCAAGCCTATTTTCACGATCTTTATGCATCCAATAATTGGGAACTGTTGTTGCAAATATTTAGATCCATATATGAAGATCCGTGTATTCGATGATTTATAGAATATATGGGAATTCAATGAACTTCAACATTTGAAAGATTTCAAATGCCAATCCATCCGAGGCTGCAGGTGTTGAAGAACAGAACTTGACCTAAGTTTCCAGGGTTTCATACCTGCATGAAAGGTTCTGATCCCCGCACCCCGCATTGTTCATTGTTCAAATAAAGATGAAGGTTCCCAATATCCAATTCGGCCCCACGCAGATCTAGACGAGGATGAAAGCGAACATTGTTGCCGGCCCCACTCTATCAATGCTCGGAGCGTTGAGATGGTACCCGAAAGTGGGAGATTTGGGGATATTGTATCATTGGACTTCTTCTGACGAGAGAATTCTGAATTGCTTTCAAATCTTTATAAAAGGAAGGAGATAAACCGAGTGGGGCTTCATGGATTGAGCCTCACTATGGATAAAACACTTCGTACAGAATGCCATGTCCTTCTCGCTGCAGCGCTCCACTGTCTATCAGCATCTTGCGAAGCTGCCCGAATTCCGGAGCGGCGTATTTCCGGTAAATGGCAGTGATTATCTCCAGGGCAGAGGCTGACGGATCCAACTTTGTCTCCACAAGCAGCCCATTTGGGTCAGCACCATGCTGAATAAACAGTGATACAATCACCGCCAGGCGATAAGTGCCATTTTCACTGGTATCGTAGTACTTAATCCATCCGCGACGATCTGCTTCTCGAAGGTACTCCAGAACAACCAACCAGGGAGTCCGAGCCTTTCCATTCAGATCTTGGTAGGTCTGGTTTGGATCGCCACCCCTCGTGAGAATTTCACTGATTATTTCTGGACTGCTCAAGGGGTATACGCTTTTTCGCCGATTGGCGAGTAGCTCAATACAGTGACTGAGCAGTGGTATTTCGCTGTCACTACCGCACAGCAGTGTTTCATCTTTCAAAACACGATCATGCACTAGAGTTGCTAGGCCAAATTTAGCAGAGAGTGAGAGAAAGGGGTCCCGGAATCTAAGATTCTTTCGTTTCTCATAAGAAGAAAAGAGATTCCGAGCCCAATGATCATGTTTAGTCGACTGGCGGGACACCCAGTGCTGACACAGAGCTCGGTCCAACTCGGGAATAAGCATCAGCTGAGACTGTTGACTATTCAGAGACAGTCGTGCATGGGTGAAAGCGAGGATTATGTTGGGCCACCGGTCATCTATTTGCCGGTTCGGATAAAACTCATCCAGCGTCCACCTGAATTGAAAGATAACAGAGATGAGAAGGGATTTGTGGGCGTCAAAATTCGATCCCACCATGACCTCCAAAAGGCGAGATTGGACATGAGACAGGGAGATAAAGTCCTTCACAGTTCTATGCACATAAGCGACCTTGCTATAGCCTAGCTGCTGTGCTGGTGATGGTGTACTGCGCCGAAGCATGCCTATTGATGAGCCCGAGCTATGAGCCACTATCAACCCTGCGCACTTCGTGGACAGTCGGGCCTTGGTCACTTCGCATATGGTAATGATGTCCTTCTCGCTCGCTTGTTGCACATATTCTGGAATGTAATCCACGATATCCTCAAATTGATCGGCAAGAGCAAATTCCCAGAGGTTCATGGATGCTGCATCCTCTTGTCGAGTAGCATAACAAGCCTCTTGTCTGGCCTGAATGAGTTGAAACAGGCGCGAAGCAGTCAAGGTTTGATTATCAGATGCGGAGTCAAAAATGAAGTAAGCGAAAAGGTCATCCAAGTCAGTGGGATGCTGGGCCAGGTATTGATGAATTTGCAAAGCATCTTGATAATTTTCACGGCGAAGTATGGACTGAACCGCAAGAATCACCCAGAGAAAGACACCGTCTGCAGCTTTAACAATGTCCTTGATCAGCTTTGAAGCTGTCTCTTCATCTTTGGTCAGAACTTGGTTAATCAATGGATCTCCATGTAGATTATCCTGGGCAAATTGAAGCATATCTCTTCGGGTCAATTCATGGAGCTCAATGCCAGGATTCGTTCCAAAGGCCGCACGAAAAATCGAAAAGGGTCGGCTAGATAGACATATTTTGACGTGGGGGTATGAGGAAACGCAGTCCTTGAAAAATTTCACGATTTGCTGGTGGTCGCCTGCGAATTCGTCAAGTCCGTCGATAAAAAGACACACCTTACCTCCCACGCCTGCGTAGTCCAGGAAGGATTTCAGTGCAGCTGTAAGCTCAGGAAGATCCCATGTGATCGAAGCCCTCACACGTTCTCGCGTGCTTAGAGAAAGAAGGTGTTTCCACCTCACTGGCAAGACCATTGGGATGAGATATCTTCGTTGATCCAGCAGTTGGGCCAGAAGATGTCTTAGCAAGCCGGTCTGAGACCTCTGTTCCAAAGTGCCGCTAATCCAGAAATAAAAGCCGGCAGTGATGAGTTGCTCATTCCGTGCCCATGAATGAAGCAAACTCGTCGTTTGAGCGTGCTGCATCACAAAACGCATCAAGGTAGACTTTCCGGATCCTGCTTTACCGCTAATCCAGTAAATACCTTCCTGGTTTTCTCCGTCTCGTAGCCAATCACTAAGATAATTCTTTGGTTGCAACCGCTGGGAGACGGGGCTGGGTTTATCGGAGAATATCCACTCGAATGTTTTTCCATGTGCGACAGTGACACTCTCCTCTCGATCCGTCATGGACGAAAACTTGATAGCCTCCATTAGGAAATCTTGAATAGTCGTTTCGTGGTCTGTAAAGACTGTGTCTTCTGAGTAGGCTTTGTTGACCTCAACTGCCACTGCATCCTGTACTGTAGCAACTTCTTTGCCGAAAAGTGTGGTAATGCTAGGCTCAAAGAACGTTTCGTTCTCCTCTGATATTTCTCCCGATAATTGAAGATCTTTTGGAGTTTTTTTACCGCGTGAAATGTCGAAGCATAGAAGAGCCTCGTTGTCCATGAATGGGCTGTTTGAATAAAATCATTGGTTAACCAAAAGTTTCACAAGAGGGGGGGGGGGGGGGGGGTGAATGAGAAACATACCTGTGTGCTGATGAAGCCGCAACCTCTAGTTCCAGCTTCAGGGAGATTATATGTTCTTCCAATACTTCCACATCTGCTCGGGGCCAAAATATTTTCAAGTCCCCGACGCGTAGGCGCGAAACGGGCTGAAAGTCGCGTAATAGCCTCAGGCGAGATAAAATAACCTGAAGGATAAGGTGACAGGTACTGCGAAGGCCATCCAGTGCCTGGTCCTGTTCTGATAGAGGTCCGATCTCTCTCGGGCAAGCGCCCACTATTCTGTCACTCAGTGTGGTGAACTGAGTGTGCAAGCTACATTTACTCCATCCTTCAACAAGCTCTTCATCATTGGATATGCTGTGGATTTCATACAGTTGGCCAACAAGCTGAATGCCTGTATGAAGAAACTGCACAACTAGTGTTGGAGCTGCCGGAACACTGACACCCTGATCGACCTCGGCCATTCTGATCAGGCTCTGTAACTTCTTAAAGCTTCAGAGCTTCGCGACCTCGAGTGATATTTTGACAAAGAAGGCAGTTTGGCCGGGGACAGAGACACGAAGATTGTGAATTGGTGAATTGGTGAATTAGTGAATACCAAAGAAATGAGTCAACAAAAGGGGGCTGATCTAAATTAACGTAAGCGTCGTATCGCATAATCTAGCCAGTGGGCGACATCTTCATTGGTTATAACTTGTTGTCTGTTCCCCTCCTCTTTTCTTTTCTTTCCAATCTTCTTTCACTGTCACTCGCGATTTCGTCAACAATTTCCAATTCATCTTTACTGACATGACGTCTATTTCCAATGAGATTCATGATCCTCGGCTTTTTTAATCAATTATATCTGCCAAGGTCATGTTCTTCCAAAACACTCTAAGCTCCCGTCTTATTTCCTACTGATTCACCAATTCCCGTTCCTGATCTTCTATTTGAGGCAGTTCTCTCCGCAAAACTCCCATCTTGACAAACCGACCACTCCCGAGGTCTCATCCAATAGGGGTCATGAGAAGGTTGACCCTTAATCGTACCTTGGAGGTCAAGCGGATCAGCAAAAGTCTCCCATCTAGGCCGGCGATCCACCCAACCGGGCCCATATCGCTCAGTACACTGATCAGTATCAAGGTACCGCGTCTTCTCTCTCGGCAAAAACCGACCAGGGTGCAAGAGATTAAGCCAATAGGTGAAAATCAACATTGGCCCAAGCTCAAACGCATACAGATACCATTCATTGCTAAGAATGGGTCCGCAGTTCTCGCGACAGCCCAGCTTCCCGAACATCTCAAATGCCTCCACGGCACGACAAATACAACGCAGCAAGACAAATGTCGAAGTGCCGTACAGAGTAAAGCAGAGAGTCTGAATATTGCGCGGGACTTTCCCAGTTCGGGCTACGCGCTTATGAAAAGTGGCGACGATGGCGACAACCAGACATTCCACCACGGCCTGTAGAACGAGGCCGGCGGCGATGAGGATCCCGCCGGACTTGTGTTGGTTGAGGTCAGTGCCTGCGGCGGCGTTTTTGGCGGCACCTGCCACTGTGATGCTTTCGACGGCGGCGCCAACATAGACGAAGAAGATTAGGACGCGGTTGGGATTCAAGACGGCGTGCATGGGGGCGTAGTTCATGAGTCGGCCGACGAGGTTGTATGCGGCTGCTGAGTAGACAGGCGGTGCTAAGTAAATGAAGACGGATTGGGCGATGTACAGGTTCATATTTCCGGGGTGGTAGCTGGAGATACAACGGAGAATCCAGCCTGTTGTAAAGAGGACTCCTCCCCATGAGATGAAGAAGGTGACTCTCCAAAATCTATAGCGACTATATTGATAGGCTTGTCAGTATTAATCGTGCGCAGGTCTTCGTTAAGAATGGAATCATTACAAGTTTTGAAAAACGTGCAATAGCATTGAAAAGCCAACAATTGCGGCGAAAATTGCAGGTAGCACATGGCTAGGGCTATATGGATAGTAGCTGACCAGGTCATCTGTATGGGACTCGGAGCTCATGATGTTGACTGATGTGGTGCTTAAAAGCACAGCCAAATAACGATCAGGAAAAGGATTTTAGCATTGGATGAAGAGTTCCGGGTTTCAGGATCTCTTCATATTTAAGTCAAAAAAAGAGAAAAAATGCAATAATCTTCTTCAATCCTGTCAGTGGACCGATGATTTGAAGCAGCGCTACATATGCCCAAGGAGGGTAATGATCAACAATATCCAAGGCTGAGTTAAACTTACAACTTCTGGCCCCACGAGAAGCCTTGGAAGTTCAAATCTCACAGCCACTCGGTGCTGTCCATGTGCATATCAGCCCGATAAAAGTCAGATTCGAATCCAATGGGAAGTAAAGTCCCCATTGCCAATTCTAACCCCAAGTTCTGGGCGTATAGTCATGTACACTGGAGCCAATCAAAGCTGTCATGCTCAGCCTCCTTACTGGAAGCTTACTCAGCCTTGACGATGTGCAGCCTTGCAGCCTTGCAGCCTCAGGCTTACAGCGGCACATCAAACCCGATCCGGTTAGTCCGGCGCTACTCCAGCTCTCCCCCAGGAGTCAGGCTCTCTCAAAAGTTTCAGCCTTGGAAAGTTGGAAAGTTGGAAAGTTGGAAAGTCCTCGCGGTCTTTTAAGAGTACTTTCGCAGTGTGACCTCAAGCACTTACGTGGTGGCTAAAACCAGTATCACCCAGCGATACTGGTACCTCCAATCTAGAGGTCTTTCAATATTTACACGATTGATCGCGTCTCCCCCGCCATTCAGGGCAGGGACTCGGGCCCCACAGGTTTTATACCTAACGATTTCCCTTAGACCCAGGAAATGCCCGGGGTTCCTTCAGGGCGTGCATGCGATGGATGTCGCAAACAAAAGAAAAAAGTAAACATTGGAATTTGAAACTTGAAATTTGACCAGTACAATCCATGGACGAGAATTTCAACCTCCAACAAACGTTGCAAGATAGACTTGTTGCTTACAAGTTCCTCTAGTGCGACGAAAAACAACCCTCCTGCTCACGCTGCATCCGCCTCAAGATCAAGTGCGTGGGGTCAGGACAACAGCGGTTTAAGTTCCAACAAGAAAAAGGCTATACTCCAATACTATATACCACTCACACTAAAGTCTCAAAACAGGAATCTGACTTCCCAGAGGCCATCAGTAATGCCTCCGAGTTCGATTTCATAGTTACTTTGCCGACGAACCCCAAACAGATTCACATTGGCCTTCCACCAGGTTCATCTCCAGCTGTGGCTCTTAGTAGTGACCTCTCCTCACTGGCAATCCGCTTCATCAAAACCATTGCCCGATCTACTGATCTTCGCTACAATCTTTGGTGGAGCTTTGGCGCCTTTCTAGAAGATATCCCTCGAAGACTGGGCGCAAATGAAGCGCTCGACCGCTCGATCGAGGCATTAACGGCTGCTCATACTGGGTTTTGTGGTGTAGACCGGCATGGAGCAACAGTCGAGGCCTTGACGAAATATTCGCAGGCTCTAAGGACCCTTCGCGTATACCTGGATGACCGGGTACATGCACAATCATCAAACACTCTTTGTGCGGTCATGGTCTTATTAGTCTGTCAATTGTTCCTGGGCCAGGGTACACAATGCTGGTCTGGGCATGCGGAAGGGGCAGCGCGGATCCTTAAGGCGCGAAGACAATGTACACCGCGTGATTTATTCGAGAAGAAATTATTCCTCTCCCTACGCGGTAGTGTGGTTGGTTTTTTGTTTTTCTTCTTTTGCCCCCACATTCCCCTTTCCTTTCCCCAGCATTCTTTGACCTTGTTCCTTGACGTTAACCTTGAAATTAATACATATATCCCCTTGCATAATTCCCGTGTTTCAGAACGCTAAGGACGTCATAGCTTATGGAAGGTCTGTTCAACGAGCGCATAAACCTCACTCAGAAAGAATGGGACGAGCTCGTCACCAATGAATTCGATCAAAATACACCTGAGGGCCGAATCCTTCAATGTCTCGCCCACGGCCCCGATTTGGGTCGCCGGGCCCGACACGTCCTACAAGTAGGAATGGACCCCACATACACCCGCGCCGAGATCTGCACCTTATACCAAACCTGCAAAGAAAACCTGCATGAGCTCAAATCGCGAGCGATCAACAACGACATCTCAGCAATTGACATGACAAATGTCCCCAAGGCTACCGAGAAACACGTGAGGGAATTCTTTTACGCCCACTACCAACGCACGTATGGCATCGGATTGGTAGTTACACTGTTTTTTAATTGCATGCTTGGTGCACTTGTCGCGGACGATTTAGGGGATGAATCTGGCCAAATTGTTTCTGCTGATGGGACAAAGCTCGCGGCAGAGGTTCTTGCCCTCGCGGACCGGTCGGTCATTTATCGACCTATAGGTGCTGGGTATCTGCTTATTTGTCTTACGGCCGCGTGGGCGGCTACTAGGGAACCCGTTTTGAAAGCAAAAATCATGACTGCGTTGAATGATTTTAATGGGGATTTTAAAGTGAAGGACCCGGGTCATTTTAGGCAAGAACTTGAGTGGACGGCTGAGCGTTTGAGGCTCGGTGTTCCGTTTCGGATTAATGGAGAGGGCCATTATTCGATTCAATCATAGATGTGTACTATAAAGACGTGGTGAGATATGAATACCAGCTCCATTCAGTAGACTGAAATACAGTCTCAGTCAAAGAGGACACAAAGATAGCCCCAATTGTATGGAAACAAGAAGTAAGATACTCAGAACCAAAAAAAAAAAAGAAAAAGAAAAATGGTAAAATGAGATAAAGACAAAACAACGAACCCCAGGCGCTATGCGAAGAGAGAAATCAGACCATGTGTGGGATGAAGCTATATGGCAGTGCATGGGAACTAGGGCCACAGTAGACTCAGTTGGCTTTATAGAGTCAACAATGGCCAAGTTAGGGAACCAGTATAAACCATCCATCATAATGCCCAGAATGTGTTCCCCAAATGGTGTAGCGCAACTGGCATGTGCGTTCAAATAAGGATCCATGGTGGGTTGTTTTGGTGCTCCAGTAACGCTATTGAGAAGTGTCAAGGGGTTAAAGGGATGGAGGATATGGAGGGAAAGGTTGGAGAGAATTGGGCTTGTAAATGATACAGGCTTCTAGCAACAACCATTACCTCCAAGTTCATGGATACTAGTAGGCAGTATTTCTGTGGACTGCAGAATAGAAGGGTGGGATGTGTGTGTGAAGGGGAGGTCAGAGAGAGGATATAGGGGGCTTGTATACGGGCTTCTAGCAGCAGTAACAGCAGCAGCAACCAAGATTGACAAACGCAAGAATGGGTATTTCTGTGGATTGCAGAAAAGAACAAAGCAGAATGGCTGACAAAAGAAGTGAAAAGAAATCAGTGGGAACGCCGGCGCTTGCTTCACCACATATCATCGTCATCGTCGTCATCCAGTTGCGCATCATCACCAAAGGACGAGTGCTCATACTGGTAATGGTCTGAGCTGTAAGAGTGGCCATTCTCATAACCCTGCTTGCTCTGCCCGTTAGCCTGGTAGCGATCGCGTGGATCGTCATCGTAGTCGTACATGGACGACTCATCATATGCAGAGTCGCCGTAATGTTCTTGCTCTTGCGCCTGTTTCACCAAAATTTCCACCGGTCAGTCACTCGTCTCTATCTCGGAGGCACTATCTCTTCACTTACTTCTTGGTATCGCTGGTATTGGAGGTACTCGTCTGGCTGTTGTTCTCGTTCCCGAGACCTGGACGATCTGGACGATCCAGAAGAAGCCGCCATCTGGGGATGCATCTGCTGCACCTTTTCCAGATATGAGTACATGAAGTTACTCAGCAACACCTGAGAGTGAAGAGCCCGGCGAGGATTTGCCAGCTTAATATGGGCCATGCGGTAGATCGCTCGTTCTTCAAGAATTGTGAAGCGAGTCCAAGGGTAGTCGACATCTGCCCGAAATTCGCGCATTGGAGGATCAGGCGACAGGTTTCGAGAAGAGTTCTTTCTATGATGGGAACTTTCTCCACCGTGCTTCTTTCTCCCACCACCGAAGATAGAGGAGAAAATACCGTCCTTTTCTTTCTTATCACCTGAAGCTCTGCGAGCACCATCCTTCCGTCGCTCTTCCTCCAATCTAGGGTCCAGGCGGTCTATAATCAGACTTTCCCGACCCTTAGGGGTACTGTCCAAAGACGACTGCGATGAGGCTTCTGGGCGATGATTGCTGCTGTGGACCTTATCGGCAATCCTTGACTTCGCTTTTCTCGAGTCGCTGTCTTTCTCTTTCTTCTTATCCTTCTCTTCACTTTTCATTAGCCAACCCCAGCTGGACTTGCGGCTACTATCGTCCTTCTTTGACTTTTTGCCCTCCGTCTTGCGGTCATCAGATCTGCGCTCTTCCGGAATGGTCGGAATGAATGATAGGCTATCTGTACGGGTGCTGTTACCAGGTATCATCTGGGGGTTGTTGGCAAAGTCGTTGAGAGTTTGGGTTGTCTCTCGACCCTGTCGACTCGGTCCCATTAAGGATCGCTTGCTTGGGGTGGTATCCACTGACGAATTTGTTGACTTAGATGAGTATGAAGATGTTGTTACATCGCGGTCCGCTGAGCGACTGGATTGTGATGATGAAGTAGATGGTGGAGGATTATGTTCGGTTGCTTGTGACTCGACAGTGGAGGGGGTAGCTGCTGGTTCAGTAGATGGCGTATTTGTAGGTCGGCCATTGTGGTCGATACGTGACTGCCATTGTCTGGCATAGGTAGCAGCGTTCGCTTGTGCCTCGGCGTCAAGTTGACTTGTGGTATCCGGATGGGCGCCAGATGACATCGCTTCTTGTTCGGCCTCTGGGCTGTCAAGAATCGAGTCAAATGTTGATCTTGCTATGGAGCCCTGAGTGTTGGCTGTCGCTCGGGATGATGTGGATGGGGTTCTGGCTGTTCGGGTTGATGGGGCAGAATCCGACGATATACCAGTGAGACCAAGGACGGCTTTATCATCGGGTGGGGGAATAATCGCTGGAGCCGAGTCGGCTGATTCCGAGAGACCCCTGCCTATTCGTTTGGAGTAGGGAGGCTTTTCGCCCTTTTTCAAGCTGCCTTTCCGGTATTGTGTCCGGGTTGATCGCCGCAAACTATGACTTGCGGGTGCTGGCGGTAGAATGGGTCTATCCTCGCTGGCATTAATGCTGGCATTTTGCAAATCCCGGATCAATGTATCTTTATTTGTTGGAGAATCATCAACCAGAGTTTCTAGCTCCTGCAGATTCGGGCTCAGCATTCCATCTCGCCTACTTGCTTGCGAGCGCTGGCGCTCCAGCCGCTCTGCGCCATCTGTATAACCAGCAGAGTTGTCGATCTGCTTCGATAACATCGACCTCTTCCGGCGAAGGCTGCTCTGGGAACCTGGGCGTTCGGGTCCGAGAGAGGAATAGTCGCCAGATTTCCGTTTGATCAAGTCGGCCTTGCTATCCAGAAACGACTTGAACTCCCCTGGTGCCAGCTCGGGGTGCAAACTCGCCGGAACCCAAAACAACCTGGATGCATCGTTCTCGTCGGCGGAGGGAGAAGGTGGGCTGGGTGGAATGGAAAGGTTGCTGCCAAAGGATGGAAGGTCAGGATCGCCAGCAGCCGCAACATCCATGGACATGCGCCGAATGGCAGCAAGGTTGTTCAGTTCCTGGACTACTGCAGCGGGATCTGATTCATAGTCAACATCGTTTAAAGGGAAGGAGGCTGTCGCGGTTTCCGATGGCGATCGAGTTAGCTCAGGTGTGCCAAGGTCGCTGTTCCGATCAAAGGACCGGGGGGAGGCCAGTGGTGGGCGGAGATGTCCATTTGTCTGCTTTTGACCCTCGACCGGCGAGATTTGTTGAGATGCGTGCGATACTTCGGAATTTGCGGCTCCTCGCGGGATTGTTGTGATGGACTCGGCATGGGGAGAGGATATATAACTCAAACGCCTAGGATCGTTTCGGTCGTAGTCGTCGTCGTACATGTGTCCGATCGCTTCTGTGACATGGTGGCTAGGATCGCTAATGGACAGATGGGTTATATGGCCTCTCCTCGTCGCGTGTCCTCCGCCAGCCTCAGCGGCACTGGTGGAAGCCTAGATTTGACAAGAAAAAAAAGCAGTCAGCCTGGGAAACAATGCTTCCTTTTGAGGTCATGGGTCCCATTCAATGGAAGGTGATCACGAGGCACGGGTGGGATGGGCGTTGGAGGGGTCCCCGGTGTGGGTGACGAGGGGGACAAATGGGAAATCAACACAGTCTTTCCTGAGGCTTTCAAGACGAGGAAACAGACAGCAAAGAGGGTCATATAAAATCACAAGTACATACCTGCATGGGAACCAGCTCCACAGGAACCAAAAGAGCCCAAATTACCTTGAAGACAGAGGGATGCCTTCTCAGGGAGGGGGGAGGGGGGGGGCAGAAGGCTCAATGTACCACGAGAAGCAGAACGATCATCGAAGCGGGGGGAACGGAACGAAGAGCAAGAAATGCACTGGACCAACCGTCATTAGAAGAAAAGGTGGAAAGGTCCCCAGAGTAAGAATGGGAAGAAAGAATGGAGAAGTTGGGGAATGAATGATAATTTAGCGGGCGGAGTTGGTCACAGCACCTGACATATTTAATTTATGTCTGTTTTTTTTTCTCTCCAGTTTTCCTTCTCTCTCTCTCTTTCTTTCTGAGTATCAAGCCTTTATTTCTTCTATCAATTTCCCCCTACTTTTCTATTCTTTATTGGTGATCTTGCGCGACCATCTTTTCTCCATTTTCTCTTTAGAGTCTCCACTTTTCACAAGAAACGAACACAAACGGGCCATAGAGCCTAGCCAAGGGACGATCACTTACGGAGTACGAGACCCGGTTGTTGAGGGTCGATCGACAAAGAATAGCTATGGCCCATATATACAGGTTAAAGGGACTTTAAGCTACAAGATTACTATATACCACCTTTTGAAATCCTACAATTTAATTGGAACTGCAATACATACCAGTATGTATACTACTCCATTGGATACTAACTTTAGGCGGCAGTTGATGATTCACTTTGGTTCAGATTTCAACCTCGTCGGAAGGGAGCCAAGTAAGTACGACCTATTCCAGTTGATTCATAGATGACCTGGCCTTGTGGTTGAAATATACCCTGTCATAACTAGTAGCTATGGCGAAAGATCGATTATATAAGGCAAGACCGGTAACTAACTACTAGCAGTACTAGATACTAGTCAGTGCTTATTTACTTTTTATGCTGCTCTATTTGGTGTATTTTCTGCATTTTCTGCATTTTCTGCTTGTTAACTTTTATCTTTACAAGAACAAGACCCCTTTAGTAGTACAGATCTTACTACCTGACACACTGATGGGACAAGGGTCTAGGGCTCAGGGGCCGCTTTTAGTGTTTCCTTGTCTACAATCATCATCATAGGTGGGGAAGAACCCGTGATACTCTCCCTTTCTTGATGGGAAAACACTCAAAAAAGAAAAAAAAAATACTGGTAAAATCATCAAGATTAGAGTCATGAACACGTACTATACTTATGCCATCTGGAGTTCATGCATTTGGACTAAGACCAAGGCGGATACTTAAGAAGGTTATTTGCACGCGATGATACATGAAACAAAGGCGGAACGAGACTCTAAAAACGTGCATGCCTGAACGGGAGGATCCACTGCGTAAAACGCAAATAACGTAATCCTAACGCACCTAAAAAAAATAACCCGAGTGCTATGCCGGAGCAGAGAGGAACGAGAATAGAAAAAAAACCCCCTAGCGCTTGGGTGAGGGAAAGAAGATAAAAACATAGAATGAGAAAAACGCAAGTGGGAATTTGAAAATGAATGGGGACAAAAGACACAAATCCACAGACGCCCAACATAAATATTCATCCCTAATCCGATCATATCTCCGTATGCCCACGGTTCGTAAGGGGTACTAGAAGATCATATTTGCACACTGCAAACTTAGGAGGTAGTATCGACGTAGTTGCTGAAAATCCATACCATTAGTCTCTTCAACGTTGTATCAATCTCAAATCATACTAGTAGGGAGGTCGTCAACACTTACCTAGGGAAAATACCGACACGATCGCCGACACGTCCAGTCCACCAATCCTCTGCCTTCTCAGTTCGTTTGATGATCGTAATAATCTCGCCCTTCTTGAATCCCAAATCACCTTCCTGGTCCGCATCAAATGTAAAAAGTGCGACCACCTGGTCCTGCCGCAGTCCCGCACCTGCACCTGTCTTCTGCCCAAAGACCGGCTTAGGAGCGCTAGGTCGGGTTGGCCGACGGTCTGAGTAGGAATAGTCGTTGTTTTCATATGTGTTGCTCCGACCACGCCCAGAATTATCATATGTATCAGGAGGCGGGGCTCGTGTTGTTGCTGAACGACCTAAGCCTCCTGCTGGCCGATCATAGGTATCATCCGCCCAGGTGTTTGTGCGTCTTGGGCTATCGCGATATTCGTAGTTGTCCTGGGTGTTGGATCGTTCCCGTTGCACACCTTGGCCGAAGGCTGAGCCCTGTCGACCCTCCCAGACCACATTGTCATGGCTATCATCATAAACTGGCACATCGTTATACATCGCAGCGCCCTGTGCTCGGACGTTGCCTTGGAAGATACGTGATTCGAGGACGCGCATCAGGGCATCGGTGGATGGTGGTGGTCGAACACTACCAGTGAGAAGCTGACTGGCCGAGACTCGACTTTGATACATCTTCTCGTTCGCATCCTTGCGCTCCACCAGCATACTTCCCTCCAAACTTACACCCGCAAACAGACCCTTGGTCTTCGAGTACGAGAAAACAGCCGCGACACCCTTGGTGCTAGCTGCACCAGCGGCTTCGGCATTTCGACCGACCGGTCCTGCGGCGAGTGAGACATTGCCACCCAATGTAAGTGTGCCGAATTGTGAGAACGCGCGGACGGCCGAGGCATCGTTCAGGATGAAGACGAAGTCAGTCAGTTCGAATCCGATCTGGCCACCAACACCCGCACCGGCGGTGATAATGGCTGATGGAGCCGACCAGGTGCCATCAGCAAGGCGAGCAACAACGATACCCGATCCGAATCGACCAGAGCCAATGAATCCGGCTTTCAAAACCGTCAGAATCGCCAAGCCCTGGTACACGTCGTAGAGTCAGCCGGGACAAATCCTCCTCCTCAAACCCCGCATTGAAGGGGGGGGGGGGTTTTTTACTCACCTTTGCATTTGACAAGACATCTGGTGGAATGACCTTGTCTGGACCAAAAGCCTGCTTTGGGTCCACAAAAGAGGTCAAAATCTTTGCCGCCTTTTTGCATTCACCTAGTCATCGGAAGGTGGTTAGCCGGATATGCCGCAAGCGAGTGCGGGGAAAGCGGGCAGGGCAGATCAGGAGATACATACTGCTCAAAGACGACGGTAGGGGGTTATGGATCCCGAGAGGCATCCTGTAGGCAGTCGTCAAAGGGGAAATGAGTGAAGACTGAGGGGAGAAAAGGCTGAGAGAACGTGAGAAGACTGTTGATCGGACTTTCCCAGGGTCGGGTGGGTTAGTAAGATGGGGCTGAATGTGGGCCCAATGACGGACGCGGGCGGTTTGTGCTTGTAAGTTGTGTGCCTGTACAGTTAAGTACTAGTTGAGAAGTCTCTGAGATGCTCCTGTAGATTCTATCTGGTACTGATATTAGAATGTGTTGAATAATATTTTCGGCTTAACTAATCCAAAGAATTCCCTCTCAAAATGCCTTTCCCCCCTCTCGTACTGATGGTGGCGCAGCCGTAACCTGTACGGCCGCGCTTCAACCCGTGGCCTCCGAAGGCAGTCTTTTCAACCAATAGAGTCAACATGATTGGACTACGTTGCTAGAGTTTTTCAAATGCACCAGATTATTTAATTACACTTCAAGGCATCAGTATCAAGTGGACATTGTAAACACACGTCTATTTTACCTCGACTATCCCCCGTCAACTGGCGTACCACGTATTATGTACTAGTACGTATTCAAACCTTGGAACCTCTCAAGGTTATGTTTGGTCAATTATACTTACTAGGTACTACCTCATAATAGATATTATTGATGTTAGTTCAGGCTTCAATAGCGTGGACGGTAGTACGGCACAAGCTGTTTTCATATCCATGGATCTATCTATCCACGTACCATGATTTCAATTTTCACATGTGCAGGATATAGGTAAGCATTCGTTGGTCTTCAACTGTTTTCTGTATACATGCCATATACCAAGTCCATCCATGGATTTTAAATGCTCGCTTCAAATCAACTGATATATACCCAAGTGACCACTAGCTTATAAGTAGTCAATTGACCTTTTGGACATCTGGAAGATATTTGGAGTTCTGGAGGCTCTTGGACAGAACTCAAGAGCAAAATGAACCAATTAAATTTCAAGATTTCATCACCTACTATAGGAAACTATCCGGTACACATGTAGACTGCATGTGTTTGAATCACTATTATTTGATTCCGTTGCTGATATAATTTTGAATTACCGTCAATACCACGCTTGGTATGAAATTACGTAGTTCAGACTAAAACATAAGGCGGTGGGAGTATTGCCACGATCCCTCTTTCTTAGTTATCATTCCTACTCATCCTTGGAACCCCGGATTTATCGCCGATTACCTGGTTACTATGCTAACACGGTAACCAAATTGTCGCCTTACGATGGCCACAGGTATGGTTAATTCTATTCCAAAAGAAGGAGAGAAAAAAAACAAGGAATGTGCTATTGACGCGTCAGTCTTTTTTTTTAGTTCGGATTTCTGTTTGCGGAGATGAAGGCACTGGCAAGTCCAGCCTGATCACCTCGTTAGTTAAAGGCGTCTTCGTCACAAACAAGATCCAGCCTGTCCTCCCTCAAATCACCATCCCTCCTACAATTGGAACTCCCGAGAATGTAACGACAACTACTGTGGTGGACACGTCGGCCCTGCCCCAGGAAAGGACCAACTTGGCGCGCGAAATCCGGAAGTCCAACGTCATTCTCCTAGTGTACTCCGATCATTACAGTTATGAACGCGTCGCCTTATTTTGGCTACCGTACTTTCGGTCGCTTGGGGTCAATGTACCAGTTGTGCTATGTGCCAATAAATCAGACTTGGCAGTGGGCCACAGTGAGGCACAAGTCATTGAGGAGGAAATGTTGCCTTTGATGTCCGAGTTTAAGGAAATCGATTCCTGTATTCGCACAAGTGCTCGCGAACATCGCAATGTCAACGAAGCCTTCTTTGTCTGTCAAAAAGCCGTCACCTATCCTATCGCGCCATTGTTCGATTCAAAAGAAGCCGAATTAAAGCCCGCTGCGGTCGCAGCGCTACAGCGCATCTTTTACCTGAGTGATCAAGACCGCGATGGATATTTGTCGGATAAAGAGATTGGAGATTTTCAGACTAGGTGCTTTGGGAAGCCTCTAAGCGAAGAAGATCTGGCCCACATCAAGGAAACCATCCAGAAGACCTACCCCGAATCTGTGATTGAGTCTGGCATTGACTGCCCAGGCTTCATTCATCTAAATAAATTATACGCAGAGAAAGGGCGCCATGAGACAGTTTGGATTATTTTGCGAGCCTTTCAGTACACCGATAATCTTTCCCTTCAAGAAAGCTTCCTACATCCTCGCTTTGAAGTCCCACCTTTTGCATCTGCTGAACTATCTCCCGAGGGTTATCGATTTTTCGTGAACCTCTTCCTTTTATCGGACAAGGACAACGATGGTGGTCTCAATGACGCCGAGTTGTCATCTTTATTTGCACCCACTCCTGGTCTACCTGCGTCTTGGGCCGACGGCTCATTTCCCTCTTCCACCGTCCGCAATGAAGCTGGGCATGTGACCCTTCAGGGTTGGTTGGCCCAGTGGAGTATGACGACTTTTATGTCCCCAAAGACCACGTTAGAATACTTGGCCTACCTAGGCTTTGAGTCTTCCGACCGAAGTAACCCTTCTACCACAGCCGCACTGAAGATGACAAGACCACGCAAACGGCGCCGGCGCCCTGGTCGAGTCGGGCGAAATGTGGTGCAGTGCCACGTCCTTGGAGCCCCCGGATCAGGGAAATCCGCCCTACTTGATGCTCTCCTTTCGCGTGGATTCAGTACGACCTACCATCCCACTATTCAGCCTCGCACTGCGGTCAACACGGTCGAACTTCCAGGCGGTAAACAATGCTATCTTATCATGGATGAGATGGGCGAGTTAGAGCCCGCCATCCTTGAGAACCAGACAAAACTGCTTGACCAGTGCGATGTGGTCGCATACACATATGACTCGTCGGACCCAGATTCGTTTGCTTACATCCCTGCGCTACGGGCCAAGTATCCCCACCTTGAAGAACTTCCTAGTGTCTTCATTGCTCTAAAAGCCGACCTGGATCGTACTACCCAACGGGCGGAGCACCAGCCCCATGAGTACACAGCCATGTTGAACATGCCCAGTCCACCATTGCATGTCAGCGTCACTTGGACTTCTATTCAAGAAGTTTTTGTTCACATTGCCGAAGCTGCGATGGAGCCCAGCACAGCGTTTCCTCGTAGTGAGGAGGATGTTGAAGGCAAGTGGATGTCGTGGGGCATCGCGCTTGGGGCGGTGGTCTGTGCCGGAGCGGCTGCCGTGATGATTTGGCGTCGAGTGAGTGGCAGCGGGCACTGAGCCTGGTATGACTGCATGTAGAAACCATCGTAACATTTAATACCCCCTTTGGAAATATGAACATCTTGCTCTTTTGGACTTTTTTTGGTTTTATTATAGAAAGAATAGATTGTAAAGTAATGTATTTTTTTTTATAAAAAAAAGAGAAAAAATCGATGCTTTTTCAGTCGGTGTCGTCCGGAGTTAACCCGGGAGCCCCGCCCAGGCACGAGACTTCTCCGCTCGCCTTTTACCCCGGACCATTTGTCTCGCTCCAGGCTCTTTGCCGTCTTCTCCTCACTCTGTTGCCTCTTTCGTCCCTCGTCATTGAGAGAAACATCCAGGCCTAAATCCCTCCCCACCCCCAACTTGACAGTATTCCTGCATTCTCGGTCTCTTTTCAACTGCTCAAGACTGACAACCTATCCGACTGAAGACTCAACCAGCCTGTGTGCATCAACTGTTTGAGCTAGGGTGTGCCATCATCATCTGTTTGGCTCGGAGGAAAAAAAGAAAGTCAATTCGGGTGCTATACTCCCCTGCAATACTTGCAGTGACAAGTAGACGGCTTTGTCGAATCACAAACTGGTCTCTATTTGCGACTCCGAAGCGCAAGTCAGTTGGTTGCACAGGTTTATCTGGTCAAGACTGGGATTAAAGTCAACAGACCAATCACCATGTTGTAAGACAAGCCCCCTTCTTTCCTAGCTCTCCCGTCATTTCCCGGTGTTGTATCGCTATCGCTGGCGAGCTATCGCTATCTTCAAGACGTCATAATCACATTTCCATTCTAAGTTACGCCAAGTGTCAGCACCAACGTCTACGCGACAGCGGTCTTACTGCTGCCACTGCGACTGCTGTTTTTCGTTCTTTTACTTCCTTTGCTCTCAACTAACTAAATCAACAGTGTTCTTCCACCCCCACCTCCCCGCTATACCATTCCCATCGCCTACGCGGCGGGGGCAGCAAATGGTATGGCGGTCCCAGTTGTCGAGACGAACAATACCATCAGCCACCCGGACTGCCCATTACAGGTTGGAGAAGGTATATGAGATATTTTCCTGCTCCACATTCTCTCGCCAAAGATTTAAAAAAAAAAATTCCCTAACAGGTTTGCTGACTGTGGCGCATCACATAGGAACCTACACACTCAAAGATGATCTCCTCCTAGCAACACCTCCCCCTCATCCATCCGAGGCCCCCATTATCAATCCAAACCCTCTTGCGACTGTCCCAAATCCTCCCACATCCGGTGTTAAGTTGTCGTTGGTTAGCCTCGACCCTCGCAAGAAACCTCCAACATACCTCAAAGCAGTCTCCGCTCCCCAATTTGGAGACGGAAACCCCGCGCTCGCCCCACCAGCACCACCAGCTAAGGATGCACTGAAGCGCCGAAAGCCGAAGAATAATATCATTAAGAGCAGCTCCTCCTTTGTTTCGCGAGTTATCACCCATGAAACATCAGCCAAAAGACTGGGTGATCGCGACCCAAATGGAACATTTGCATTCGCCAACATCAATCGTGCATTTCAGTGGCTTGACATCACATCAATGTCTAAAGAAGAACATCTCACAAAGGTCCTGTTTACTAAGTCCCACATGTTGTGCCATGATATCAATGAATTGACCAAGACATCCTCTCACTTGGATATTGTGATGGGATCTTCTGCTGGTGACATTATTTGGTATGAGCCATTGTCGCAAAAGTACGCTCGCATTAACAAAAACGGCGTGATCAACAACTCACCTGTAACACATATCAAATGGCTTCCTGGATCTGAGAATCTATTTATGGCTTCACATGCGAATGGAGTCTTGGTGGTCTATGATAAGGAGAAAGAGGATGCCTTGTTCTCGGCAGAGACCATTGGTATCCCAGAGAGAGACCCCAGCCAGTATCCCTTTGAGATTCTGAAATCGGTCAATTCGCGAAACCAGAAAACTAACCCTGTTTCATCGTGGAAGTTGGCAAGTCAGAAAATCTCTCACTTTTCATTCTCGCCAGATCAGCGACACTTGGCGGTCGTTATGGAAGATGGCTCTCTCCGTCTCATGGATTACTTGAAGGAAGAGTGAGTATTCAGCAGGTTTTTTTTTTTGAAGGGGGGCTTCTTAGCACTAACGAAAATGCAGAGTTCTGGATATTTTCCGCAGTTACTACGGTGGGTTGATCTGTTCCTGCTGGTCCCCCGATGGCAAATACATCGTCACGGGTGGTCAGGATGACCTTGTCACTATCTGGTCGTTCCCCGAACGCAGAATTGTGGCTAGATGCCAAGGTCACAATTCTTGGGTGTCGTCAGTAGCCTTCGATCCTTGGCGCTGTGACCAGAAAACCTATCGATTTGGCAGCGTCGGTGATGACTGTAGGCTCCTTCTTTGGGATTTCAGTGTTGGGATGCTCCATCGGCCTCGTGCGGTTCGTTCTTTTTGTCTCTGTTTTATGTTATTATTTGTCTAATGAATTTGAACAGCATCATCAAACATCTACCAGGCAACGCTCTAGCATTGTTGCGCCGAGCTCCCAATCCACTCATCGCCACCGTGCCGACAGCTGGGGTAATCGCATGAGATCTGATTCCGAAAGAACCGAAAACACCTATGACGATTTGGAGCCAATGACCAGCCATCCTGTTGAGCCTCGATCACGGACAGCTCTCCTGCCTCCTATTATGGTACGCTCTATATGCCTATATCCAATCCCACTCCATCAGATGAGCTAACTATTGAATTAGTCTAAAATTGTCGGCGAAGATCCTATTTGTTGGCTAGGATTTCAGAGGGATTGCATCATGACATCTTCTCTTGAAGGTAAGTTTCGGGTTCTCAAGGCTTTTTGTCGCAAATATACTAATTCGTTTGATAAAGGCCATATTAGAACCTGGAATCGCCCTAATGAAAGCGTGGTCAAGTCATGAGCAATCACCGTGCTTAAAGTTGGAATTTTTTTTTATGCACGATGGTGTCAGTCTCCATCTACTTTGGATCTCGTTTGTTTTGTGCAATTTTTCCCCAGCGTCCAGGAGTAGGCTGTCTCGTTACCCATATTTCCCAGATACCCAGCTCATGAAAAGCTTTACATCTTTGCAAAATGTGTATAGTACAATCGTAAAACCACTCCTAATCTCAAGCAAGGTATTTTCTATCTCGCAATTTATTACAGCTTCACATTACTCACTTCCTTCACGTCGAATTATGTTATACACAACAAAAACTTGTCACAAAGAGCCTAGTAGACATTGCTAGTCAGTACACCAACAGATATCTACTAGATACAACCTGTCTGCAAATCCACACATCTAACTCTAATTTCGCATTCCCATCTTGTTTCCCTGCAATCGTTCCAAACGCCTACCCATACTGGTAATAACTTTGCTTACCGTTGGGATGGTGGAAATGTAACAAATTTAACATTTCCACGGGCCCTGGGTGTGTTTTCCAGACTGTATTCATGAAATCCAGAAGCTCGGGCGAGATTTCTAAGTTTTGTGATGCACTGGTGGTATTTAGTAATACTATATGGTAACATTTGAAAGCTGCAATCAGTTTGGTGTGGTCAAGAGAAGTCACAATTCAAGCCCTGGAGATGACAAGAATATGCATGTTCCCTACGAGATTAAATTATTAATGCATGATCGACGATGCGAGAAAAAGGGCCACGGTCGATATCAATTTCTGCCGATGTCCAGATGAATAATCTTGAATGCTTGATTTCTTCAAGCTTTAGAAAAGATTCACGAGATTATTGCAATTGATATTAAGATAAAGGACATAACATAAGGTCCCGGATTCACGACAAAAAGAAAGAGGGGGGAAAACTAGATCTCAAGATTCAAAAACAGCACAAATAAAGCGCAAAGCAAATTACATCTTCTCCATCATTATCCCGAACATTATGTTAGAAGGGCTCATCATAGACATCACATTCTTCCGTCATATATTTTGATGCAGGTAAAACGAAGAATTTGTCGCTCCCGGTAGACCCGTAAAGGATTATGACGACACTCAAAGGGCCAGGGCGAAGAGTCCCAGAAGTAGGCTGCCGGCTTGGTTCGGAGGCATAAGATAGCCAGCTGCGTTTGAGGTACTAGTTGCCGATGCACTTTCAGTAGAAGTCTCGGTCTTCGTGTGCTTGGTGGTGGTTGACGTTTTCGTGGAAGTCGTGGTGAAAGAGCTCGTTTTCGTGGAAGTCGTGGTGAAAGAGCTCGCTGAGTAAAATAGAGTCAGCATTTAGAAAACACGATATGAAGTGGTCAAAGAAAGTAAATAAACATTGGAAACCAAAAAGACATGGCACCATGTACTCACCACTCATAGTGGAGCTGACGGTGCGAGAGGAAGAAGGAGTGAGGGAGACAGAAGATGATGACAATGAAGAAGATGGGGTCTTCGTAAAAGAGAATGAAGCCGAAGACATGGTAGAAGATGGTGTCCATGTGGAAGACAAAAGTGAAGACGACATAAAGGATGAAGGGGCTGGTGTAGAGGAGTGAGTCTTGGAACAGATTGAAGAAGAACTTGAAGCTGCAACGGTGCTTGAAGGGGTTGTGATCCAAGAGCTTGAAAGGGTGCTTCTTGAGAAAGAACTGGACGCAATAGGGGTGGACGCACTGGTAGACGACTCCGTCATAGAAGATGAGGTATGGGCAGAAGTAGAAGTAGGCAAGGTAGTAGATGGAGAAGAGGTGGCAGAGGTAGACGCACTGGTGGAGGTGTGAGTAGCGCTCTTAGATGCAGTAGAAGAAGCTGTCGGAGAAGAAGTATAAGAAGCAGAAGTCGAAGAACTCGTTGTCACAGCAGAAGACGATGAGATAGAAGTGGAAAGCACGGAAGTCGACGCAGATGTAGAGGCAGAGGTAGTTAAACTTTCACTAGCAGTACTGGTTTCCTTACCAGAGCTAGAGGCTTCAGCGGCCTTGGATGGAGTCACTTTGAACTGCTGCGATTGAGCCAAAATTCCACCACCGGTCGTGGACACAAAGTTGACCTGGTAGCCACCCCTGTGATATGAAGTCAATACTTGCAGAACAGCTTTTGAAAACTATAAGCTACCACATACCCAGTGTCAACGTCGCCAACGTCCTTCGCTTTAATGACATACTTGCCAAGGCTGGTGTCTACACCTGTAGCTACCACCTCTTGGGTATTGGGGTATGTATTCTGGTTGACTAGATAGATATCCATCTTTGGGGGGTCGGTCCTAGAGATTTGATTAAACCTTCCATTGGTTCATGAAGTCATCAGAAGGAAGTTCACTCACGACACGGATTCCCATCTGACTGTGATGGTGTCATCTTGAGCCACCTTTTGATCGATCGCTGGGCTGATAATACGAAGACCTGTCAAACTATTCATTAGATTCGAAACTTGGGAAGATTATTTTCAGTCGTACCTGCAGCTGTGGCAGCGAAAGCCACCAGCGAGGAGGAGAAAGCGATGCGCATTGCGATGGATTAGGAGAACCTTGGAAGTGGTAAGTAAAAGTAAGTAATGGGATCTCTAAATTAAAAGATAGGCCAGGAGGTTGCGAGGAAAGAAACAAACTTGAAGAAACGTCCGAAAGAGCAATATCTTATAAGATTTCTAGAGATATGGGAAGGCTCTTGGGTCTCTCCTAGGGTCCACCTGCTGCCATGTCAATCTTTATTTTTGGACCAAGGTACTTACTATGTTCTGATGCGTCATGTCTCATGCTTCCAGCTTTGAAGGAGTACAGGAGCTAAGAGGCAAGGGCTGTATCTTCTGAGCCCAATGTTAATGTATTGTTGATCGTTGAAAAGGCCAATATTCTGAACGCTGTAGCTTGTAAAAGATTGATCTTAGTTCAAATTGAAATCTCGAACCGGCGACTTCATGCCACACAAGCTACGTAACTGAGCCGGTCGCGCGTCATAGTCTCTGCGCGGTGCCTGTCTTGTATCAAAAGTCAGATTGTATGTTGCACCTTGGGCCTTTCCACTGCCAAGGAAATCGGTTAGGGTTCATGGTCCCTAGGGTCACCGCTGCAGCCCATTTAACACAACCAGAAGTACCCATCTGATCACAGGACTTGGATCATGAATGAATGGGGTTACTCGATCCTGGTTATGTAAAGATGCCGAATTCTTTTCTTGGTTTTCAATTTGCATTGCCTGGGCACTCCAGACTAAAACCACATGGATATTTAACCCAATTTTGTCTCTACACACACTAAAGTACTTTATTTCCACGATCTTTTCAATCATCCAACCGTACTAGTATACTAGTAGGGATTCAATGTTGAGAGAGCTGCTTATCATATCAAAAGACCCTGGTATATTGCATGGTCTCGGAATGTCACAATGGAACATTTGAAAATTGTAGTACAAACTTTTGGAAGGCAAGGGCCAGGCCCAATTATGTTTTCAACCTGACGCCTATCCTCACACAACCCGGAAATAACATTCAAAGTTGTGAGTTCATCAACACTTTCCAAAGCTCGAAGATCTCAATGGCTGTCATATGTAATGCATATTACAATATTTAACACTTTGATTGTTATCTTTGATGACTCAAACGCAGTTGCCTTGAGGCTAGTATTTTCTTATGTAGAGCAACTATACTTGTACTGTTCTACAGCATGGTCACAAAATTCGGAACTATCATAATTGGATGACGACTAGTAGAAACTAAAATCCTTCAAATTTACCTAGGCAAGGTTGCACTGCGGATCCTGTTATGAATCTTCAAATGTTACAAGGTTCAATAAATGTTTCTGGCAAAAGTGGAATTTCTGTTCGGGTTTGACGCGTATTTGTGTCCTCCGACGCCTCCATCATGGTCGGACCAACATTAGATATTAAAGAGACTCCTCTCAAGGATCCAGCTATACGCACGGCTAGCCATATCCATGTACCTGGCCATTTTTATACTATCTATCTTTGAGGAGGTCAAGGCAGCCCTCTGGTTCCGAGGTTATATATATGAGGTATGTACAAAGGTATTGACACTACCAGTTGACCAGTTGACCCACAAGTGCTTGTCAAACATCAATGTTTGCAGGTTTTCATGATCAAAAGTTGCGACATCTGGACATAGCTACTATACATATGTATATTGAAACAGGGCAGAGTTTCCCATAATCAGGTGCCATGGTCTAGTGGTATGACGAATCATTGTGGTAAACACATTCGAATCTGATTTAGCCCCGGTTCGATTCCGGGTGGCGCCATTTCATTTTTTGCCTTCTTGCACATGTGTTTTTATTCCTAACAATGATTTTGGATTCGAATAACTAGTAAATAGTAAACACTCAATCAAGATTACATGCAAATATGACACAAAATTCACCTACTGACAGCAAGAAACACGACAAGATGTTCAAATATGGGTTTACCAGTATCTCCCGTCTCCTTCCCTTATCAACTAATTATATCCAAAGCAGATATTTATGTAAACAATTTCTAGCCACAAATTTTTGGGGGCACCTTCAGCGGTTTGACCCTAATCTAAGCAGATTTTGAGCCGCATTACAATAAAGTTATACATGCCAGTGGTCAAAACATTTGAAGGAACTTCGAGCGTTACGCTGGGGCTATCCATAGATGCGAACCTTGAAATGCGTTCCATCTGTGGCGGTCACTTTCACACGGCAAAAAAAACAACAACACGTTCTTTCTTCCACGCCACTTCTCCCGAAAGACCTCAAATTCTCGCTCCTGTAAGCACCACATTACTTTGCTATACTGCTTATATGCTCCTCCATATTTTATTGTAAAACTAATCTTTACGTGCCAGTGAATTCTTTCTTTCCATAACAAGCAACAAAGCTTATTTCCGGAATGCATATTCTTGTACCCCGCTAAGATCCCCTTGACCGCTTTTGTTATCAAGCCATGGGGGACCCTGTTGAGGAGGATACTTGGACAGTGAGTAGCGACAATTGAGTAAAAAATGACGAACAACTTGGAACTAACCTATCTTTGCCCTGAAGGAGCTTGAGAAGAGCTATTGTCCACCTGTAGACTCTGCCTTATTTGCCGCGATTGCCTCCGAATACAATCTGTCCTTACCTGATCATGTCAACCAGCTGAAACAATGCCTGGATGCCATCAAGGAGCTAGCCACCGAGCAAGAGAATCTTCCTTTTGATCCCTCTGGTACTGCAAATGACCCCGATACAGGCGGGTTTTGTTCAGAGAACGAAACATCAGTCCATGGCTACACCGCAACCGATGTCACAAGCATCTCTGGGGATGGACGTGGTAAAAGTGGTAACCGCGCCACATATACAGTAGCGGCTGATGGATCTCTAGAGCTTACCGGAGCAACGAACGATGACAAAGTGGATGCTCTGATGGAGATGTTCCCCACCATGACTCGCTTGGATGTGGACCAGACGCTGAAGAAGAGCAGTGAAGATGTTGACAGGGCAATGGACGTTCTTTTGAATTTGTCATTCTTTCACAAAACCCAAGCAGCTGAGGATGGCGACGACGATGATCAAATATTCATTCCTAAAGGCATCGACGGTTTTAAAGTTGGCGGTGACGATACCAACCGTCAATCTGGACGAAAGAAAAAGCGCAACAAAAAACAGAAAGCCCATCTTCTAACGGAGACGCCATATATGGAGTCTCCGATTGCAAACAAGTGGGAGGCTGGTATGGCTGATATCGCCTTCATCTGCTCCCGGGCCCCAGATGTACCAAAGGAAAAAGTCAATTCTGTTTATCATGCCAATGGAATGTCCTTGCCAGCGACCATTCAAGCAGTGGCCTTTACTGAGGCCCCCAAAGACGCCATTGAGATTGATGATGACCCAGTCATGCTGGCACAAGTAATTGAACTTTCACAAGATTACCCTACAATTGCGAGGATTGATCTGGTCGGGTTACTGAGGATTACTCGCAACTTGATCTCTGCCGCAAGTGAATTAGCGGCAGTGATGGTTCAACAGCCTCAGTTTTTAGCCAAAGATTTCATCAAACTAAAGGTCGCCCCGCTGGAACTCAGTGAAGACGAAGAAGATTCTGGGCCGAGCCGCCGAAGGGGTGCTCCTAGTAACCCGCTTGATTACGAACAGGCACGGGCAGCCGCTGAAGTGAATTTCGCGGCAGGATCCGCAGCATATCAGCAAGCAAGCCAGGCCGCCCGACGTGCCAAGTCCAATCCCTTGTATGCTGGTGCAACCGCGGTATATCGCCAACGGGGACAAGAGCATCGTGCGCTCGCTATGGAACAACTGGCGACCGCCTCCGATAGGCTTGTAGATCGGCCGTCGGTCAATTGCGACCTCGATCTACACGGGATCACTGTGGTCAATGCCATTCGCATCACCCGTGAACGGGTTGGGGCCTGGTGGGACAATCTGGGAGACACCCGGCATGTCCGCGGAGGCGGCAAGCATGTGCATGGTGGTTACAAGATCGTTACCGGTGTCGGCAATCATAGCCATGACGGTACATCTCGCCTGGGCCCTGCCGTTAGCAAAATGTTAATGCGGGAGGGGTGGCGCGTGGAAATTGAACGGGGCTTCCTTGTTGTTATAGGGAAGGCACGGAACTGAAGGTTTCCTCAATCAGATTTGAGTCATGTGTCTATCTGTGCGACTTGTTGTGGATCTATACTGTTCGTCTCATGTTAATGTGTTTGGTCGTTTATATGGGATACCCGCAATGTGGCACTGGCGTCGTTGAGCACAAATTTTTATGTAATGGAAGGTATCTGTCAAATTCCAATTTGTATTGCATTTACTTTTGCTCTTCAATTTGATCATCAGTAGATATCTCTTACTTGTTAACTGATTAAAATCCGGGGAGGGGATTCTGGACATCTGGGATTGTTGAGCATTGAACTGTTGCATGCATCATGCATCTTCTATAAACTACTAGTATACAACTCTTAACTACGGTTCTCATAGTTAACTAGTTATTCGCCCCCCGCAGTGATGACGTAAAAGGGCTGGACCTCGAGTCCACTTGCCCTTTGAAAGCTTCACCAACGAAACAGATATCTGCGTTCAATTTCCCCTCAATGCGATCTCAAGCTGCGCGTATCTTAAAGACCCCTCTTAGGCATCGTCTCCTCTTTCAACCCGCTACATTACTCAGACCCCACTCTACCTTCCGCAACACTCGTTCAATTCCGGGCTACAAAGCACTACGAGCAACCCCAACGATCCCATTCTTTGGCGCTTTCTTCAGCTCAAACAAGCCAGACGAACCAACAGGCAACATGTCATACCCCGATCAGCGAAGCGAAGCAGAGTGGAGAGCAGTTCTGAACCCTGGTGCGTGTTTGCCACCCACACCTGCTCCTGAGAATTCAACGACCCATGCTAACGCTATATCGATATATAGAGCAGTTCCGTATTCTGCGTGAAAAGGGTACCGAGCGCCCTGGCACGGGTGAATACGATTCCCACTCCCCAACGAGCGGTGTATATAATTGCGCTGGTTGCGATACCCCGCTGTACAAGGCCGATCATAAATTCAAGTCTGGATGTGGATGGCCTGCCTACTTCGACTCCATTCCAGGGGCCGTAAAGAGACATGTGGATAACACCTTTGGAATGAAGCGCACGGAGATTACCTGCAGCAACTGTGGTGGCCACCTCGGCCATGTCTTTGAAGGAGAAGGGTATTCGACCCCGACCGATGAACGGCACTGTGTGAATAGTGTCAGTCTGCGGTTTACGGAGGATGAAGGGACCAAGGGGAAGTCGAAGGCATGATTGGAGTCAGGTAAACAATGAATATTGAATGGTAAATTAAAGTATATTCTGGAAAACACAAGGCTTCCAACAAGGCACTTTATACATACTACTAGTACTAGTAGTACTGTTAGTTAACAACGAATGCGGGCATCGGGGGATGAATCAGCCGCCAATTATGTCTAGTAGTAGTTAACATGCAGTAACGTATATACTACTATTGAACCGATCAACCCTATCTCAGCAATTGACTTGAACACAATTCAGCTATATAATTTAAATGCTTCAGCAGACTGGAAAATCCCACATCTTCAAAAGCCCCTCACCTTCACTTTCTCTCTTGATTTTCAATTCAATTTACTTCGAACTGCGGGGTTGGCAGCCTCCACCCACCGTAGATACCCCTGCCAGCCAAGGTTAGGCCGCATTGTTCAACTCCAGTTCCCGTTTCCCGCCACTTGCGCTTCCTCCTTTCCTTGCTCAGTCTCCGAGAATACTACAGTCATGTCTCGACGCGCAACCCCGGGCCAGGCTGCTTTGAACCAGCAGACAATCAAGAATCTGCTCAAACTCGAGTCCAACAAGATCTGTGCCGACTGCAAGCGCAACAAGCGTGAGTGTCCACATTCCCCAATTGCCCGCTCATGCGCTACTGTTTATAGCCCTGTTGGCTTCCCACAAATGCAACATGACTGATTAATCTTTCTTCCTCAATTCAGATCCGCGATGGGCATCATGGAACTTAGGTATATTTGTGTGTATCCGGTGCTCGGGAATTCACCGGGGAATGGGCACACACATCAGTCGAGTTAAGTCCGTGGATCTCGATGCCTGGACCGATGAACAAGTCCAGGGCGTGCTGAAATGGGGCAATGGGAGAGCGAACAAGTTAGTTACAAGCAATTGACTACTTCCTATACGATGGTGCTAATAGTGCAAAGATACTGGGAAGATAAACTGGCGCCCGGTCACGTTCCATCCGATGCGTGAGTGAACCACACCGTTCCAAGCTATGATCTGTGTGATTACTGACAGCGCATATTAATAGTAAGATTGAAAACTTCATCCGCACCAAGTATGAATCCAAGCGCTGGGTAATGGATGGACCGATGCCAGACCCTGCGACTCTCGAAGGCGACGACGATGATGTGGTGAGTGAGACATGATCCGGTCTCCCCATGACATATCCACACACTGACCGACCAGCCTCTTGCTGTTGTACAGGAAAAGGCCAAGATAGAACGTTCTGCATCTCACCGAGTAGCCGCACCCAGCCAGCCCCCAGTGCAGCGCCGCCCACAACCATCGATTGATCTGTTCGGTGATGATATCTCTCCCCCAGTGCGTCCCAGCACCACTTCGCCAGCCCCTCGTCCGCCACCCAAATCCTCTCAGCCTGTGCCCCCGACAAAGACCCATAAACCCGCCGATTCGTTGCTTGGACTGGACTTCTTTGGGAGCACCCAACCAGCTGCGGCCAACCGCCCCACGAGCACTGCATCCACACCTGCTGCCCCCAGTGGTATGTCGCGACCGGATCTAAAGCAATCGATTCTGTCTCTATATGCGAAACCTCAGCCTGCTCCCGTTCAGCATGAGCGGAACAACTCCTTTGGTGATATGGCCTATCCAGCAGGCCCGTCCGCATCTTCCAACATGGGCGGCTTGACAGACGCCTTTAGTGGTCTGAGCTTCCCTTCCACTACATCTCCTCCCCCGGCTAGGTCGACTGAGAAGCCGTCTCCTTTCGCCAACCTTACTAGCTTCTCGAGCATCAAGTCCACTCCCGCTGCCCCCAAAGTTACTTCACCTTCAGGATCGGCCAGCAATGACCTCTTTAGTTTGAGCTCCCCCACTATGTCCGCGCCCAAGCCCCAATCACGAACAACCTCCATTTCCTCGAACTCCCAAGATTTCGGCTTCGGCGGGTTTGCCTCTCCTCCGCCACCAAACCACTCGAAGCTCAACCCTCCTTCATCAGCTCTTTCCAACGACCTCTTTGGCTTCTCTTCCCCGCCCCTTGCTCCGTCGGCACCACCGAAGCCCACTGCTGTCTCTCCACGGCAGGAAATGAGCTCTGCATTCAATTTATCTGGTCCTTCTTTCCAGCCTCCTGCGCCTCCTAAGCCTCAGGCTCCAACTGCCACGGTAGCGGCGGCGGGTATGATGGATCCTTGGGGTGGTAACGCATGGAACACACCTGAGCCTGCTCCCGCGCCGGTTGCTTCCCCGCCGGCTTACTCAGGTGCATCTATGATGAAATTGCCGGATACACTAACTGCCAATGATGTTGGAGCTGGCTGGGGTGCCCCCAGTTCCGCATCCAAGCCGACCCCCACCGTGGCGGCTGACGAAGATTTTGGTGGATGGACTAGCGCTGCTCCTGTCTCCTCTGGGCCTACCGCTACTTCCAACAACAACTCATCCAAGCCGGCTGGCGGGTTTGGAGGATCAGACGACCTCTTCTCCAATGTATGGGAATAAAAGAGTATTTCATTTCGATAGGAAATTGAAATATTCATGGCACTTTGCTCGGTTTTGTCTTTGCATTAATGGTAGTTCTCTATGAGTTAGGTTTGCACATACTGGTGTCCATATCGGTCGGTGTACAGCCTTGATGATTTCAGACCACTGCTTTCTGCTCTTTCACTTACCCTGTTGAACCCCTTCCTGTCTCCCATTAAGACTTTCTTTTGCATTGATTGGGTTGCGGGCATATCCCAGATGCAAATGGGCTGGTCTCACCTGGGCATCTCTATATATTTTGTTTTGGCGTGTATACTTGTTCCAACATTGAATGGTCTTAATTTCTTCCCTAGAGCTTACCGGAAAATATTTGTAACATTTGAATGCATCACGAATTCCACCAGTTGCCATAGCTGAACATTAATGTTGTTCTGTTATGTACCCACGTGCATGGACATCTGGATGTATGTAGCTTATTTGTCAACTGGTAGTAGTTTCTTCAAAACATTGAATTGATGTTGCTTCAATGTTGTTATAATGTTTGTTTGTTTTTCATGATTGGAAAATCAGAATTGATTATGAAATCATTTGGTACAAATTAAATAAATTAAATAAATATTATAAACATTGAATGTTTTCTTGATTGTTATAGATCAAGTCGGCTCTGCGACGGGGTATACGCAAAAAAATATATAGAAAACCAACCCAGCCAATCCAACCCGACGTAAAAAAGTCATTCCTTCCAGGACCAAGGTATATAAAAAAAAGGGTGGTCCAAAGACAGTAGGTAGTAGTAAAACATGAAGTGGAAGAGAAAAGAGAAAGAAGAGGAAAAGAAAAGGTATCTCGTAGAGGAAATGGTATAAACCAAAGATATAAGGCATAGGGGAAAGATTTCAACCCAAAGAAGTTCATGAAAGAGAGAATGAAAAAGAAAAAGGCGGGAAAGAAGAAGAAAAGAAAGAGGTATATGGATATAGAAAGAAGGGGTAAACACGTCAGAAACTTTCTCGATGTGTGTGAACCAACTCCTTTGTACTCCCGGTATCATCGTTCCCAGCCGGAGTGGAAGTTGACTCCTGCGTAACGAAAGTCGTAACCTTGATTCCGGAGAACTGGGCTTTAGCCTCCTGTTCCTTGGAGAATTCCTTGAAGGACGAGCCAGTTGGGGACAGGTTCTCCAGATCATAAGTTCCATCGAGTTCGCGTCCTCCGATGACGGATGCTTGGATATTGGTGTGTGTGCCGGTGAGAACGCTGCGGCCTGTGCGTGAGGGACGTGTCTTGCTGCGGTAACCATTGGTTCCTGTGGAGAAGACGTGGGGGAGCAACTTGGAGAGGAAGGCTCGTGTGCTTGGGAGGGCCGCGCAGATGATTGCGACATTGCATTCAATTGCGGACCATTCGGCTGCGCCAACGTTGTCGTCTTTAGGAGATTTATTTGATTAGATAGTGCTCAGATAGGTTCAATCGATGGATGGTTGGAGGATTTCCAACGCTTTTGACTCACGGGTTGGGTCGCTGGAGTGGGAGATGACGAGGAGACTCTTCAAGCGGAGAATACTGGTGATGACAACACTGGAGCCCTTTGTTAGTGGATGGATACATAGATATCGAACGGGGGGAGGGGGTAATTTGGAAAACGCACAATCCTCCCAAGGCAAAGACAGCCATCAAAGCATACTTCTGTCTGGTTGGCAATTGAAGGGATCGAATGACGGGCATGGGGTAGATGAGAATTAAGATGTCGGTCAAAATGTGAATTGCCGAATTGGAGAACCATAGTGCCTCTTTATCGAAACAGAAGCCGGCGACTGTCGGGTCCCAAAACTTGGCGATGGGGATACAGTTTGCCCAGGCGCTGATGATCGTCCAAGTGCCGTAGATGACCAGGAAGCCGATGAGTAGGTTGCAGGCCAAGCGCATACGAGGTGTAGTAGAAAAGACTCGTCGGTACTGCAGGAGAATGGACATTTTGGTCGAGATCAGACTGGTCTGGTAGATTGGGACGGAGGCCCAGAAGCATAACATCTGAGTGACGTATGTCTTGTGGGGGATGATATCGTAGTCGGCACCCATTCCGTGGTAAACCTCTATTCTTGGTTGTTAGTAGCTGCGATTTCAAGATTGAAAGGTTGGTTTGTTTTAGGGCTAGGAATCTTACCACCCACGAACAATCCATAAAAACCCCACGAGAAAGCCTACGAACAGCAGGGTCAGTTGAATATCTTTACATTGGCCGACATGGTATTGGGCTGCGGTCTTACCAAAGCAACCAGAATAGCATAATCATCTTTTCCCATCTGCTTGACCATAAAGGCTCGGGTGTAAATACGAATGCACACCAGAACAGTAGCCAAACTGGTGAAGACCGTGCTGACTGCAAGGGCCTCACGGCCTCTGACGGTGGATAGAGTGGTCATTGTTGCATGAAAGAGTGTGGATGATTGGGGAGTGAATCAAAGAACGAATGCAAGAATCCACCGAGGTAGATCCAATGGGCCTTGGACAGCAAAAAGAAAAAAAGAAAAAGAAGTCCAAGAGGGGGGAGATCAAAGCCAGGGCCACTTTCTTTAATACTAAAATCCCTAAAATTCCACCTAGGAAACGGATCAATGGGATGATCGTGGGGTTTGGTTAAGTCAAGCCCCCCTCTCTTTCCACCCGAAAAGGAAGGAATCGATTCAAGGAATTTTAAGGATTGGAGGCGCTCAGAACCAGATTTAGGATCGCGTAGTTGAAAATCCCAGCAAGCCACGGTGGAGACTAGGGAAAGAAGACTCCGGAGTATTGAAATCCAAGAGATACATAAAACATAAACCCACACGGGCAATGAGTTGGTCTGTGTCATATGCAACCTATGCCTAAGGAGTAGTACATTCTGCACTTGAAGTGTCCGCATGGTACTCCGTCCTCCTGGACGTATCGAACAGGTCGAATAGAGTTTGACGGTTGACTATCGACGGAGCCCACGGGCTGTATATGGCGGATATGATCCTATCATATCTGTGCATGGTGTCTGGAGTACGCATTCTTTGTTCATCAGAGGGCGCTTCATAAGTGGAGTAGGTGGGCAATGAACCATGAAAATCAAAGTCATGATGCACTGACATGACTCTTTCGGAAATTTCCCCCTGTGTTCAGTAGGTAGAAATTCAGCCTAATTTTATTTTTTTCTTTGTTCGATATCATTTAATCATTTAATCATTTAATTATTTGTTTTCCTTTTTTTTTCTTCTTTGGTGCCTGGACAGCTTCGGTTCCATGGTTCAAGGTCAATCCAAGGTTTGTCCCGCTCAGAAGCATAATTTTAATTTTTAGTTTTTTTACCGTCTGTTTACCGGTAATGTTTGGATGTTTTATTCACTATTGCCAATTCTTTAGTGGATCTCTCGAATTCCAACCACGAGGTTTGTCTGTTTCAAAATAGATTTGTAAAACAGATCAATTGGCAAAGGGTTGTTAGTGGAAATCGAGGGAAAAGAAGAACAAAACCATACTAGTAATTACCAATATTTTGTAACCCTCCAGATGTCCCATATTGGCCCAAATTTACCCAAACCTTGGAATAACCGCTCAGTTCGCAAACTCCTTTGCCCAGACCGCGTCTACCACCATTTCCTTAACAACGCTAACACGCTATGTCGGGACTCTATTTCCCTGGTTGGCAATTTCCAAATATCCATTTTCCCGCGATCAAGGCTAGCGTTGCCTGTCATCCAACCACAAAAAAAAAAAAAATACCCGCAACCAAGAAATCGTGGCGGGCGATAGCTTCAATAGCGTGGATATTGGTGGCGGCCAGTCCAACTAAAGAATTTCCTTCATCCCTGCACAATAACCATCTGTGGACTAGATCGGTGCGCTTGTTACGAATACGGGCTACGAGGTATGGAAACAAAGAATTCGGCTTCTGATTACTTCGCTTCCACTGTCAGCAAATATGGCCTCAAAAATTGGTCTTTTTTTAATATTTGTAAAAAATAAAAAAAAAAAAAAAAAAAATAAAAATCTTTCTGACATCTCAGGGTTTCGGGGGAATCCAACCCGCCTTGTCCGGTCATATTTCATCTGCCATGTCGATCAAGGCTTCCGAGTGTTCTGTTCTCCGTCAGGAAACAACAGCCGTTAGCCGCGCACGGTCCGCGTTTCGTTACCAGAATTCCATTTGCCAGTGGAGCTGGTCTCGGAGTTGAACTTGGCTGATTATCTTGGATTTCAAGTGCCTGACTCCAATTCATATCCCCACCTGCTGTTCTTCTCGATTTCTTGGCCGCCTGAATTATACTCTTTTGGTGAAGATCTTCACGGGAGGTGCCCCGCTGCTTGGCAGCATGTGAGGTTTCCCCCTTGCACTAAAGATGGTCGTGGAAGGTTTGTTGGATTGTATGTATGTATGTACATACACATCAGAACGACGATCTATTTGTTCTTGTGGAGTATTCAGCCACGGCCTTTTGCGTCGATCTCGGTGGAGATGGTCCGAAAATGTCTCGCATGGATGATAATTGACCTCGTGGTCATGGAATTCAATCCATTCTTCTTGATCTTTCTTCTTGTGGTGGATACAATAATGCATACTATTGACTCCGGCGTTAGCTCGGATGTCTGCGGCATTGTGTCATTTGTCATATCTTCAATGTTTGGGGTAGACAAAGAGCTAGCCTTGTCAGAGCTTGTGATCTTCATTATTTCCAAGTCTCTCTCTCTCTCTCTCTCTCTCTCTCTCTCTCTCTCTCTCTCTTTCTCTCTCTCTCTCTGCTTGTCTTTTGAAGAATGATAGAGAAGGGAATCAAAGAGCTGACTGATTCAGACTATTGCAAGATCGAGCATTGACTCAAGCAGCATGGAAATATTAGCAAGCATTGAAGTTACAAGATATAACTATTCGTCTTAACAAAAAAACAGACTATCGGCATGGCCTAGATAGACTATCACACGCCTTTCAAGGTTCTGAACTCCCGTTCATCCTTAATATCCATCAATTGCACGCCACCGACGTATAAACGATCAAGCTTCCGGAATACCAATCCTCGGGCAGTGGAGTCTGAAGATCTCATTGTTACCTACAGTAGCTGGTAAGAAGAAGCTCTTCCCATTTCATAACTCAAGTCACAGACATCTTCTGAAGTTTCAACATTGAAGCGTTTATTATCCCATGGAAGATCAACCTTGGAATGCATAACCATTATTTTTAGAACAAAGCTCTTATGATTTATCCTACTAATTCTTTCCAAGCCGACATTCAGATCCTCGTGGCTCCATCTTCCTGCATGTCAATCAATATAGCTCCACGTGAACCTTATTACAATCCCACGATTGTATTATTGTATGGAGTAAGGTTTTATTTTTCACTGCAAAGCCAAGATCAAACGAAACAACATTTGAATAGGCGGGTGGGGCCTTGACCACGAAAAAGATAGTGATAATCAATGGAGCAGAAAAGATGGATCAATATTAACTATTTGAAAAGATATGATACATACTTATGCATCGATTTTATCATAGAACTAAGGGGAATCCCCCCCCCCCCCCCCCCCCCCAAAAATTTAAAGCGAAGGGCAAAAAAAAAGAAAAGAAAAAAAGCCACTCGATCTGGGGTTCGAACGCGGAACCTCTTCTATGTTGCCTGCTGATTAGTCATCACTCCTAGTTCCGACTTGTCACAAGTAACTAACTAATGGGACCAATGGTATAATCACGACGGAGTAAACAAATGATATTCTTTTGTATTTGCCTATAACCCCTGACCGCGTCAGATACTATATCTGGTCAATCATAATTGGATTCGACAGAAATCGAGGCAATCTCCAGGTTCGAAATTATCAAAGTACCTAGTACTTGGCCTGGGCACTAAAACTGTATGTGAAAGTAGGTACCGGTGACCCACACACGGCCCAGATCTCAAACCCCAGCCACCGTCAGCAAAAAGAACATGGCTGGGGATGATTGATCTTGCTTTTTTTTTTTTTTTCATTAAAACGCCGTGAAAGCTCCAGCTACTTGATCTCTTTTCTCTATCTCTTCCTTATATTCTGCACCTCCAGACAATCTCATCACATCTTGATCTTGCTATTCCGAGCGGAAATCAGGTGCAGCTTTTATTATCTACTTGTACCATCAGGAGTATACATACAAAATACTTCCCCTACCCCTCACGGTTGCCAACACACAACGAGCATTTTTTAAGAGATCAAAAAAAAAAACCGACTTGGGTCACATCATCAAATTGACCTGGCGAATCGCCGACTGTCTTTGTAAACCACAAAGCCCTTCATCTCCAAGGCTGCGATAAAACAACACCACCAAAGGTTGACGGCCCGCCGGGGTTCCTGCTTGCCAATATGGTAGCGCGCAACATTACGATCGCGATCATTATCATCGTTCTCTTCCTCATTCTCGCGATTGCTGGATTTGCCATCTATGCTGTCCAGAACCATGTCACCTTCTTTTCAAAGAAGAGGGAGATAGATGAAGAGAGTGCTGAAGGGGGATGATCCCTCTTCAAGAGATCAATCCTCGAGCGGATTCGACCAATCTGCACCTGTGCATAGTATGCCATGGCCTCCTATCGCACACACTAGATGCCCCAGCCTTCTATTTACGATCGTGATGCCCAATCACGTGCCTCCCGCAAACGAATCACACGATATACCCTTTTCTTCCCCTATGCCGCCTCTTTTCAATGGTTTTCTTTCTCTTTTTCTTTTTCTTTTCTTTTTTTTTCTGTTCTTCTTTTCTATGACCATTTCTTGCAACATTCGAGGCCACCCCTGAGGTGAAAATGGAGTTTTCAACACAATCTTGGCGCATTTCTTTGTACAATGCCGAGCCTGCTGGGTACATACCTGCATGTATGTTTTGGTGTTTTGATCGGAGTTTATATTTTGATGAGGTCATATGTTTCTTGATACTTGGTTTGGATTTTTTCGGTATTTTTTTCTTTTGCGTCTTCTGTTCTTGTGTACTTTTGATGAGTGTTCCAACATGCACATGTGCTTCCCTGCCTTTGAAACTATATAGTTATATGACTTCTGTGATGAATACATACATGCGCCTGCTATAATATTCCAAGCACATAAGGGCTAGGCTTGTGGCAAGTTTGAACATTTGAACGAGTGTATTCTGTAAAAGTACACAACATTGAAATTGAAAATCGTGAATCTGGGGTTAAACAAAGAGTTCAAGTCTTCAACTTTGAAACTGGTCAAAACCCCTTGAAATTAGTCAAGATCCATACTTTTGCGGTATTTAACTGTAGGTGAGAGATTTCCAATTTTCTGTTGAGCGGTGTATCCTTGGTCCACGTAGCACACCGTCTGTATAGCTCTTGTCTTTTGCTCTAGAACGAAGTTGACCTTGGAATCTTTCAAAATGCGGGGAATATCTCGGTCTCCACAGCAAATTAGATCAGAGGATTCAAGTCCGGGTGGTCTGCCGAGTCATTTTTCCTGCATTTTTCCTGCATTTCTCTGAAAATAGAAACCCATCGAATAAGAATAACGTAAAATTGATTAAGGAGAGAGTCGAGAGACGCCATTCCCGTGCACGTGTCCACGGTCACTTGACCCATTTTGCGTGATATTACCTAAAAGTTCGCTTTACCTCGGGCTACACCTTACGTTTTGTGATCACTGAGTCTAGAACTCCTTACTTTTACGTGATTTTTTACATGGATCCCATGATGATCATGATTATGGCCCAATATTAGCATCCTCTTTGTTGATCAAAATAGCGTCATGGGGATCTACCTCCCCCCGCAACATCTTTTTAAGATGAGAGCTTTCCCCGGACTTTTTGGGAGTAACAACTGAGCTTCTCTACACATTCTATACACCGAAACATCTGCATCTGCCTGGCTTCTGATCTATCTTTTTTGCCTCAGCTTACCGTCAATTCTTCGTTCAACGTGAGTAAAAGAAAGCCGCCCAACCCTGGATACCATTAAAAGTGTATACATATCGCTACACGCATCAGTTACTGATTCATATCCAGTCAATCCATGTTTCAGAGCCCACCATCTTCCAAAATGACCATCCAACTCCTCCACGAGCGTGCTACACAAGGCTGGAAATGCCAACAATGTGGACTTCCCGGAGTTCGTCTATCCACACGCCCAGGTAGCTCCGGTGTTACCAGTCGAGCATACTACAAATGCGTCCCGTGCAATCGCTCCTTGGGCCTTTGCCCTTGCACCACGCCAGGGGACATGACGACCTCGACCTGCCCATGCAGTGACTCGGAGAGCAGCGACGTCGAGTCGCCAGGTCTCGAGGACCAGCCTGCCGGCTTCTCTTTGCTTTCTGTGGAGAAGAAGCAATCATTCAACCCACACAACCCGAACTCGGGATTCGATGAAGACTGGGAAACAAACTGCAGCCCAGGCTACATGGTTTCAAGATTCAAGGCCAGAGGAAGGGAATTGCTTTTCTAAGTCCAAAATTTGTTCATCATCTGTTTTTCTTCTTTAAATAGCGAGTCTTGGCTTCACTTCATCATATCAATAGTCCATTGCTGCTATGTGCCAGTGGGCAAGTGAGGTCGGGTTACATACATACATACTCAGGGACATCCTCAATCTAATTTATTACCTCAACATTTGAAGGATAGGGGTCAGCATTTCAAATGTCAAGTCTTACATCTTCGCCTTTCAAATGAATTCTGTTCAAACATATACTTCAAATGTTGGAAATCCTTCAGATCTTCAAAGTTCGGAACTGGATCCACATCTCTGAACATTTGAATGGAGCCTCCTTGAAAACCAGGTCAGTGTTGGAACATTAGAGAGGTAATGTGTATTTATTCTTCAAATGCTCTTCAGTCGAACCCATGGATGTACGAGGCCCCGAGGTCAAAGGTTTCATTAGAACGTTCCCTCAAGTGCTTTCACAAAAATCAAATTCGTGCCGCCGATGGTATATATCCAATTTCCCCGAAGAAAAATATGCATGCAATGCACCCATAAAACCATCATCTACACATACTAAAAAAAAGCAACGCAATGAAATGGAACCAAGGAACCAAGGAACCAAAAGTAAACAAACAAAAAAGCAAGCCGAACGCCGCCCAAGCCGGATATGACCATGATCCCGTCCCTTATAAAACATAACTGAGAAGCTCCTGAGCGCGTAAAGCTGTGGCAACATGCCAAGGCAACGTGTTACCTTGGACGCTGCGCATGCCTCTTGCACGGGCCAGGGATGCGAGATCCCGGTACATCCCCAAGATCTCCCTAAGGAGAGCTTCGTGAGATGAAGCAGGCCGCTGTGAATAAATAAGATTGGCGGTCATCGTGAACACGCCGTCGCCATCGGTGGTGCCCCTGCGGCGAAGAAGATATCCGCTAGCCAGCGCAGGGCGGAATTCGGTGACGTGTGGAGAACTGTTAAGACGATGAGTTAGAGTAACTGCCCAAGACTCATCGGCGACATCAATTAATACGACATCCGAGTCGGGTTCAAGGGAAAGCTCCGTTGGGGTGGGTGCGTTGTACGCTGCGTTAGGTGTGAGGGCGTTGCCAGTCTGCTCAGGCGAAGCAATGCTGACACTTGGGTTCGGGGTTGAGGCGGGGGTGGAGGAAAAATGTGGGTAGAGAATATGGGAATTCAGTTGAGAGGCAGCTGTTTCAAGTACCAGGTCGGGAACGGTGTTGATAGCCATGATAATCAACTCCATGGACCCTGGCCGAAGCTTAATCTGTTGCTCGGCCAAGTTGCTCCAGGCTAGTCAGAGAATTAGTAAAGTTTCAAAGAAGTGGGAACCAATATTTGCAAGATCTCACCTTCCACTTCATCCGGATCGATGGGTTCGGTGTTTACTAGGATGACTTTCCATTGAGCCTGGAATTTTTCTATGATATGTCGTGTGGTAGCCCATATCTCATTTCGCACTTCTGAGATTGGCCTAGCTGTACCCCGGTTGCGATAACGCAGACAATAGGACATGCTTGTTTGGAGACTGCCGCTACTATCAGACCATGCTACAGACAGCCATCGTTGATCTGAGCTTTTGGAGTACGCGATATGGAGACTTCGCCCATCCTGCAGAGGGGATCCCTTGTCGGGTGCAAGGCGGAAATTGATGGCCTTTGGTATAGGATCAGCCAAAAGGAGCGCTGGGGCACCAAGCAATAGGCTCAAGTCTGAGTCATTCGGGCGGCAGCGACTGTAAACTTCCAGAGCTAGGTTCAGATAATCCGTCTGAGGAGGCACTACCATAGAGTCTTCAGACATGATGAACTCCATCGGAATAATCTGCAGCGCAACCTCATTGATTGGCTGGCCCTGCTGACGATCGACATCGGCGGCCATTTGTTGGAAGAGATTCCAGAAGGCGGCACAGATATCAGTAAGTGCTGCGGAGTGAGGGAACGGATTAACGATATAGACGACACAGTTTTCTGTGCTGGGTGAGTATTGAGATAGATCGGTTCCTGATCAAAAAGGTAAGCAAAATGCCATCAATTTTGTGTGGAAGGATGAAAGTATCTGACGTACCGAGTTCTTCACATAGACTCTTCAAAGATTGCATCATGGAAGCGTAGCTAAATGACTCGGAATCCCATGATCGAAGTCCATTCTCAAAACCAATTGACTTGTCCCCTCTAATGTGGCTTCCTAGGTTGCAACTCTGATAGTGAAGCCCGAAACGGTTTAAAAATGCATCGGCTGCTTTGGTCGCAACATAAGGGTGAATGCAGTAGGCAGATATATTTTTTGGTCCATGAGCAGGCTCGAGACCAAATGTATCCCAGAAAGAAACCGCAGGAGGGAGCGTCTCCAAGTACTCCTTACCCCGACGCATGCGTACATGCGGAGCACCTATCCTCAAGATAGATCCCTTGGGAGAATCCTTCGGCGCTTGTTGGGCAGGGGGTGCACTTCCCTCTTCTGGTAATGACGCATATGTCTTGAGGTCAAGCTTGAGTACCTCGCCGAGGAAGTTGGCTTCTTCGAGGCGAGTTCGCCATGTCAAGCCCTCGTTTTCAAGTCCAAAGAGGCCAATACGACCACCAAGTGGATGATCTAGAGAGGATTGTGTTATTTGGTCAACCAACAGCTGGGCAATAGGAATTTGGTCTTCTCTCCGCACAAGAACGGGAAGTTGCTGGGGTTGCAATGCAGAAAAATAACCAATGAAGGTCCAATCCGAGAAGTTGGCAAGGAAATTGCCAAGAAAAGTAGAGTTCTCAACTTTCAGGTTGGAGTTTCCATCAGGCACACCAGCGGACTTGGCTGGGGATGCGGTGGATTGAATATCGGACTCAGAAGATACCCGCTTTCTCTTCAAAGATGGGACCACGATTGGGGTGGGGGCATGTTCGGATGATGTCTCATCACTATAATCACTGGTTTCACTGTCTGATTCTGCAAGGGCTTCGAAATCATTCTTTGAAGTGACAGGCGAAGCGTTTTTGCCTGCGAGCTTTGTGTGAGCACCATTGGCCCCAGATCGACTTCGATGGGGGATCCCAATTGTGGGAATTGAATCCGAGGCTCGATCTGAGGCATCTAGGCCACTCCCAGAAGCAAACCAAAATTTACCCGCAGCTCCATACTTTTCATTCCAGTCTCCGAGTTTCTTTTCGAAAGCTACGGGATGATAGTGCCCTTGCAAAGCACGGCTGTCTGGAGGTCCTCGATCGTCTTCTGTTTTCGCACCCGGAAATAGTCTCTTTTTTACTTCCACGGGGCTTAGCGGGGGGCTGATAATGGCTGGACTTTTGGGATCCAGTGACACGCCAGGTGATAATCCAAGACCCATAGATTCATCAACTGGCTCCGAGATATGATGCGTCTCCTTGGGTGGTGGTTTCTCCAAATTCACGCCTTGGGTGAGATCTGAAGTATCCGGTGGAGCGCTGGTGAGCATATCGTCGGGATCGGCTGAGTCCTCAGGCTTGCTTTCTTCCAAAACGGGCTGTATATTTTCCTGATGAGGGACCGCAGGGGAGTCGTCGTTCACGTCCTCAAAATCCGGATCATCGAAAAAGCTGAAATCAGCATCGGTGATTCCATTCGTCCCAAAATCTCTCTCATTCATCTCGCCAAAAAGATCCTCGTCATCACTGGCATCATAGCGACCCGTTCCAATGCCAACCTCGGGAGAAAGCTTGGGATTGGGGTGATTTTTCAGATCTTGCTGTGCATCTGGCGAAAGTTGGAAGTCGCTATCCTCGGGAAATTGGAAGTTTGGATTCGCGTGGTTCAGCCCAATCGCTGCAGCTCCTTCTGGGGGAGTTGGATAAACTAAGTTGGTGGGTGGCAAGTCGGGGTATTGGGCCATTCGAGAGAGACTCTCGAAACCGTCCAAACTGTCAAATTTAGGCGAAGTCATGTCTTCGTCTTTTGATTGAGGTTCATCCACCACACGAGCGGGTGTTAGATTATCATTTGTCTGGAGAAATTCAGTTTCCAATGGCCATCGCTCTGCAAAGTCGAGTGGGTCGTCTGCAAGGCCCAGAGGCCAGGAAGTTTCATTTATGAGAGGCCGGGCTTCCGAAGCAGTTCTTTTGAAGCAGAACCTTGCAGGCCATAGCATGCGTTTCAAAGGGAGTGGGGATTGGGGCTCATCGCTTTGCCGCCATGCCTCCCCGGCCAGCCTCGCGAAAAAGGGTTCCCAGACTTCTACTTCAACCCACAGTTCTTCGTCGACAGACTTAATATGCAAACCAAAGTTCACTAGCCAGTGCACTATGTCCAATTTCCATTGTCTTTTTTTGGTTGTGATATTTCCAGAAAGCAAAAAGCCAGGCGAAGGAGCCGTTGGTGCCTCAACATTAGTCGTAACAAGCCGCGCAACGGTTCCATTTGGACACAGCCAGAGATCAGTGCCTGGTTGTACTGGGAGAATGTCTGAAATTCTGTCACGGGAGCTGCAGAGACGTGAAATTCCAACTTGAGATATCGTTTGCGTTGAAATCATCAATGTCCCCGAGGCGTTCAGTTGTATATTTAGTGAGGTCAGGCAAGCTTTGGAAAACGGGCTGTCGTTATCGATACGTGGGCTCTCGTAGCCCAAATTCTCCACCGCCGTAAATAAAGTACGGGAGCCAAGTGGAAAGGCGCCGTGAGAGCGAATTATATGTAGGCTGATTGCACCGGTAACGGCAGAAATAAAGGAGGCATAGATAGCAGCGGAACTGCTATGGCTTTCGGGTCGTCTCGGGGTTGATTGGCCTTGTTGGGGTCTTTGCTGCCCGGCTTGGTTTTGTGTCTCTGACGAAAGGCTTCTGATCAAATCCTGGGATGCGATGCTGCCCGATGCGGAGACTAGTAAATCGGAAGTTAGTAAACATGAATTGTTCACAGTTCAAGGCGCTCTATTTCAATGGAACCTTACCTTTAAGAACGGTTGTATCAAGTAGTATCTTCTTGGAAATTTCATTTCCCTCCTTCATATACAAATCATGTAGACTTTCGAAGTCCGGAGTGGGGGAGAAAACCCATAACCCAAGACGCCTCGGGCACGAAGCCAAGCAGTTGAGAATTCGCAACTTGGCTTCTAGATCTTTGAGACGACTAAGATGCTTCAAAATAGTATAACCATTGGGCGGACCTTCCGGTGGGTTGTTCGCAATGCCTGTCTCTTCCGTGTATATCCTCCAGTAAATCGTGGAGAAGCCATCCTAGAACAAGGTTAGAAATATAATTTAATGGATAGCGTGTAAATGGCTTACAATGAGATGCACATTGGTACTGGCACTTCCGGGAAAGTCCATGATTTAACGTCGCGGACAGCCCCGGGAGCCTTCACAAAACGAGAGGAGGTGGTCGCGGTGTCGAATCTGGGAGTCATTTCCAGCGCTGGAACATCATCTGTTGGGAACCATACACAAATACAGCCAGTAATCGCAAGCGCAGACCCATCAAGTAGGTTGAGTCATCTTTGTATTGGCCAGCGACGCGCTCATCTAGACTGTCGCAAATGCAAAACACCGAGATGCTGCGCAATTCCGGGGGAAGTTCACGGGGACGCTCGGGCCAATCACCGAGATCCGCAGCGGTCAGTCACGTGCTCCCTATCGGTTTTATCTTTTTTTTTATCTTCGACTTTTTTTTATCGCGTTAGTATCTAACTCGCTGGGAACTTCGCCGCCATGAAGCTCACTAACCAGTCTGAGGTGCCTGTTTACACCATCTCGGGATCTAATACTGCTAGACCACTCCCAGAATGGCTTGCGAGACGCCGAAAGCGCAGTTTGAAAGATGATCCTGAGTATGCAAACCGAGTGGAGTTACTCCAAGATTTCGAGTTTGAGGAAGCTAGCCACTGTGTTCGAGCCAGCGACGATGGTGACTGGGTCATGAGTACAGGTAAGGCGTATCGCTTACAGTCGGTAATGATGCGCATATAGTTAATACGTCGTCTCAACAGGAACTTACAAGCCGCAAATCCACACCCATTATCTCCCCCAATTGTCTCTGTCCTGGGCCCGGCACACCGAGGCTCTGAACACAACTTTCATCCTTTTATCCTCTGACTACTCCAAATCCCTCCATCTCCAATCCGACCGTTCTCTTGAATTCCACACACCGTCAGGATGTCACTACAAAACCCGTCTGCCTCGATACGGACGGGATCTTGTATATGATCGACAATCGACCGAGGCGTTCATTCCCTCTGTCGGTGTGAATCCGGATGGTATGGGTGAAGTCTTTCGTTTGAATTTGGAGCTTGGTAGGTACATGCGCAGTTTCGAGGTAGATGTTGGTGGAGATGATTTCCATTCTACCGGAGGCGGTACCCTGCAGGGTGGTATTAATACTGGATCTATCAATACTGGTGCGATTGCCGAGGAGAGTCATAATTTGCTCGCCTTTGGTACTTCTACTGGAACAGTGGAGTTGTGGGATCCTAGAGCTAAGGGCCGAGCGGGTGTACTGTTACCGCCCACTCAACAGTTCAATGAGGGACGGTCTGGAATTACCGCGTTGGAGTTCCAACGCTCAGGTCTGACTCTCGGAACCGGCTCCTCGAATGGTCTGATTCATCTTTACGATTTGCGGTCCCCCATTCCCCTCCTGAAGAAGGACCAAGGATACGGCTTCCCCATTCACACACTCAAATTCCTGCAGCCCTCCACTGAAACCCGCGAAGCAACTTTGGACCCCAAAATCATGTCGGCAGATAAGCGTATCATCAAGATCTGGGATCCCCGTGATGGTACCCCATGGACTTCTGTTGAACCCGCGGTAGATATTAACTCGGTGGCCTGGTGCAAGGACAGCGGAATGCTCCTTACAGCCAATGAAGGCAGACAGCAACACTCGTTCTTTATCCCTCAACTTGGACCGGCACCGAAGTGGTGCTCTTTCTTGGACAACTTGGTGGAAGAAATGGCAGAAGACCCCAACGACCCGAACGCCTTCAGCAGTGCTCAAGCTGGTGCTGTTTACGACAACTTCAAGTTCTTGACGGTGCCTCAGCTCAACACTCTGAACCTGGATCACCTCATTGGACGTACAAACCTATTGCGACCATACATGCACGGTTACTTCGTGGCCCAGAGGTTGTACGAGGAGGCGAGATTGATCGCCAACCCGTACGTCTGGGAGGAGGAGCGCGCCAAGCGAGTCAAGGAGAAGATCGACAAGGAGCGCGAGAGTCGCATTCGCGGAAAGAAGAAGGCTGCCGTCAAGGTGAACAAGAGGTTGGCGGAGAGATTGATGAACGCCGAGGAGAAGGCTGAGCGCAAGAAGGCTCAGCGGCTCCTTGCACGCGGTGGCGATGAAAAGACGGCCGATGCTGGTGATTCTGCCCTTACCACAGAGGAGCCCAAAGAGAAGGGTGTTCTCCGCGATTCCCGTTTCACCAAGCTATTCGAGGACCAGGACTTCGCTGTCGACGAGACATCTCGCGAATTCCAGCTTATCAACCCCAGCACCGTGCCCGACCAGGCCACAAGAAAGGAACGTGGTCTTACTGCAGTGGAGCAAGAAGATGTCGATGACGTTCCTGGATCTAGTGGCGACTCCGACTCCGACAGCGAACGTGAAGAGAGACCTGTCAAGGAGAAGGCTTCCAAGAAGATCTCCTCCGCTGACTACAAACGAACAAAGCGTCCTCCTCCTCGCATGCAGGTTTCTTCGTCGGCACGCACCAACTCCACACGCGACCGCTCATTTGGCTCTCGTGCTCAGAACATGAAGTCAAAACCGAGACACGCACGACAGGGTGGCCCTGTTGGCGAAAGGGAAGTCAGCTTCATGCCCGCCTCCAAGTCCAGAAACCAGAAGCCCGAGGTTCAGTACGACAAGACTCCTTCTTCTTCCTTCCGTTCAAAGGAACGCCGCAGTGCTTCCAACAACGCCTTCCGCGGTATGTAAATTGCCGATCCAGTGCTGGTACTACAGGTGCCATGTCATTGAGATCTCACATCACATCACTACACCCCCCCCCCCGCTCTTCTTGCAGGAGTCTGTCAGCCAGCTTTATATCCACCAAGAAATGCTCGTGAACCAGCCTTGGTGGGCCCAGTGCCTTTTTTCCTTTTTGGAAATACCAAGAGCTTTTCGGCTTCCGAATACTGCGTTAAGAAACACGTCCTAGCCCAGTCTGATTGGAGGAGAGCTGGATTCCCTTTATTGTCTAGCATGCGAGCTGGATATGTACTGTTATTATGCATACGTTGAATGATCGGGTCATTGTTTTTCGCATCTAGAGCCTAATTCGTTAGATACCTTTTTCTCGAGTTTGGAGAAATAAAAAGTCTTTGAAGTTGTTGAAGTTCCAATATTAATCCACCAGTCTTGTTCAACGACAATTTAGCAGTAAATGTAGTATGTACTGCGGGTTTTTGAACTCTTCTGTATTTTGGGATTTTGACTTGAGATACCAAACATTGAGCTGACGTTATTGAAATTTCAAGTTGTGGATGGAGACAAACCCTCGTCATATTGAAGCTGCCTTAGACACAATCAGATCAGAAGATATGACGAAAGACCATGCTAATCATGAGATAGAAAAAAGAAAGAAAAAAGAAAACACCCAAAGCCGATGAAACGATAAGCAAGCCGCCGGGGTCTGAATTACCATAAATTCGTCTCAATCATGCAGTTGTCGAATAGCAACAAGTACCAGAGAAGAGCGAAGCGCCCTTTAAACAAAAACAAAGCACGAAGATGTTAAAAAAGACCGAAGGAAAGAGAAAGAAAGCGCACGATGTCTATAGACGAAATGATCGATCGCGAAACAGAGTATTCAATCTATGGATAAGTCAACGGTTAATGAGAAAAAATAGGTGTTTTGGATAGGAAAACAAAACAGCAGATGGAGCGCAGAAGTAATAAATGGGTATTCGAAAATAGAGGTGGGACGGGTGAGCAAATCCAGTAACCACTGGCAGGAATCAGAAAAATCAATGGGTATGTGGCGATGAGATCAGACGATAAAGAGAAAAAAAGAAAGTTAGTCAAGACGCCAAATAAATACTACTAGGTCCATCCAGGAGGTCCAGCTCCACGCTTGCCACTGCCACGTCGAGAACCAGCGCTGGAGTCAGCGCCACCATGATTACTATGGCGGTTCTCTTCGAGGCTGCGACGAGAGGCGCCGAAGTCACTCATAGCGAACAGCAGCGGCTCATCATCCTCGAACTGAGATGGCGGTGGGCGGCGTTGGAAAGAGCTACGTCTGATTTCCATAGTTGAGTTGCCACTGTTGCTTCCACTAGCATTGCCGTCACGGTCCTCACGCTCAGCCATGTACTGGGGGATCGTGCCTCCGCGCGCAAGGCTGCTGGATGCCGAACTGAGCGAATGGGGGCCGCCAGAAAGGCCTCGGCCACGAGCAGGAAAACGGGGCTGGTAAAGGTTGGTGTTTGACGAGGTGGATGTTGCAGCCGGGACAGAAACAGCCTGGCCCCTGAGGGCCTCGCCGTCCCGGTTCTTTGCGTTGGCAGCTGAAGCGGCAACACGAGCACTAGGGTCTTCCAAGGAGAGATTCAGCGAGCCAGGTTCTAGCAGAGTATTTGCATCCGAATTCTCCTGATGAGTTTGACGAGTGAGGTGTGATCTCTCCTCAATCCCAAGGCTGACACTCCGCATACCGAATGTGAAGATATCATCTTCATCATTAGTAGCTGGTCGTCGGCGTTGAGCAGCAGAGCTTGAACGGCGGAAGGATGGTGCGAAAGGACGCGGGGAAGTAGGAATATCAATTGCAGCTGCTGTAGACGGAGCTCGTTGTGTTGATTCAAGGCTAGAATTCTCCTCGAGCGGAGAGCCATGGATATCATGCTCAATACGTGGCTCTCGACCGCTGTGCTCGGGGTTGATGTCATCAACGACGCTGTTGGAGCTCAAACGAGATCGAATGGCAGGCGTATGGGGGGTATGGGGAGAAATTGGCTTCCCGGGGGAGGAAGCGGTGGAAATAGAAGTGCCAGCAACCATGGGAGGAACCCCAGAGAGCTGTTTACTGGAGGAGATAGACAAACGTTGGAGTTGCACGGAAGCTGACATTGAATCTGACAGCGCGGCGTTCGAGTCACGCATTTGCTGAAAGCGAGCAAGAGCAGTGGAAGTGGCCGTAGGTTTGCGAGAACCAGACAACTGGGAGCCAGTGCTAGGCGGGCGATTCATTAAATCCTTCTTTTGATCAAGAAATTTGAGAAACTCGGAGATATTTTCATCGTCTGCGTGAATTGATTCCGCACTTGTTCCAGTAACGTCTGCAAGAAGACCAGAGCCTGGCTGGACGTTGGAGGATGTCGCACTTGCCTTGCCGCTGGAGTTGTCGTCTTCCATCTTGTGGGTGCCTCCTGAAGATGGGCGAGCTCGCCGATGGCTGAAAGAACTACTGAACCGGGAAATCGGTGCAGGCTTAGGGGAGGCCGAGGTAGATGAGGGTATCGCTTGATCGGTCATCAAAGTGGGGCGCCGTGCTGATGCCGCCGAGGAAGGAGGTGGCATTACACGCGAATCAACAGAGGTTCCTGTAGAGCCACGCGCAGAAGTAGTGCGAGGAGAGACACCCAAAGGATGGTCGACAAACCCCGGAGAATCAGAAAGAGAGCCAGCTTTAAAATGGGGGAAGGAGACAGAGGGACGCCGAGTAAAGTTGGAGCTACCGCCCTCACCTGCAAGTCTTCCACCTGCTCGTCCTGTCGCCGCGATTTTTGCAGCAGGCAATAACTTCTTATACTCCGAGTCCGTTGGCGAGGGAGAACCCGCACCGGCATCTCGAGCGGCACGCAGAGCAGAAATAGGACTTGCACCCGCAGCTGGACCGACTTGGTGAAATGTTGATAAGCTCCCATACGCTCGTGAACGATCCGGATTTTCGACTGTCCTCCTTTCCACTGGTACTGACCCAACTTCAGGATTGGGGCGAATTGTTTCCTCCTTGGGCAATGAGGGTCGGAATATCTCATCATCAGCACCCATGAAGCGGGAGCTTAACAAAGCCTCGGAGTCATCAATTCGGAAATCACAATTCGTTCGGTATGAGACCTCTACCGAAAAGGGCCCCGCCGGTGACTCTGTGACCCCAAAATTGTAAGTGTCCGCCACTTTGCTGTCTCCCTGAAATAATGGCACTGTCAAATTATCTAGCGGTGCGTCACGGTAAGAACTCCCATCAACCACACGATACCTAATCTGCAGAGCGGGGCTTCTCCGTGCCTTTGTATTGCCACGAGAGAACTTCCAAGCCGGGAGAAACTTGGAGTACGTGAATAACGAGCGGAAGAGAACGATGCTTTTCTTGTAAACCGTTGGCAAAATGGAGCCCAAATCAGCCGGAGGTCGGCTAGAGGAGGCCCCCAGCTCAATCTTCCATCGCTCCAGAATGACCTCCTCGGACGCCGATTGTTTCGAGCCCAGCATGAGCGAAGCCGCAAGTGATTCCTGCACATCCCAGCGTTTTCCGTTATCATCCAAGATCACCAAGCTTTCGTTATTTGTGAGGCCCTTTGTGTCTATGAAGGTTTCGATGATGAGGGGTGGCGGTCGGTTATCTGTGGCGTCGCAGGTTCGCCAGGTTTGCAGCGATTCTCGCAAAACATCGGTTTCATCCAACTCGACATTAAACTACAGGCCAAAAGAAAAAAGAGGATTAGATGTGGACTTTGGGTTATATCTCTCATGGAGCAGGGGGTTGAAGCTGAATAACGTACCCATCGATTAACTCTGGGATGGTTGGAGCCTTTATTGAAGGACTGCGGCAACTCAACCCGGGACTGAAGAATGATCAAGGCCGCTTTGGTATGGTAATTCTGAAGGAAAAATCACAAAGAGGAAGATCAGCATATGAGACCCAGGATGGCTCAAAAGACGATTTCCGCATCACATCATACCGATATAATCTGATTCAGCTTGGTCAGAGCTTCTTGACCAGGAGCTGCGGCCTTGGGTTGTTCAGCAGGGGTTTCTCCACCGTCTATCCCTAAGCCCTTGGTCTGATTTGATCGCATATAAACGGTTGGGGATGCTGGTGCCGATTCCTGGTCTTTGGAATCGTTCCGAGGCGGGTGAAGTTTGGGGGGAGCTTGGACCCCGGCGCCGATGGCACTGCCGGTGTCCGAGGGTTTTGGTGCATGATGTGAAAGGGTCTTTGAATACAATCAGTGAGACAGGTTGGAAAGGCTTTGATTTAAGAATGGTCAGTCAGAGCTTACCCCGACAAACAGAAGCCGGGGGGGTCGGGTTTGGCTATCAGCGGCAGATTCCGTTATCAGGAGTGCAGAAGAGCGAGTGGGATGCAGCCAGTGGAGACGGCCATGCTAACAGCACCAAGAAAGAAAAGGACGATGCCCATCTAAGGGAATGTGAAAATGAAGAAGGATAGCAAATCGTGGATCAAACAATGGGAGAAACTGAGTACATGGTAGCCGCCTGGGCTTTGGGACGGAGCCTAGGAGCTTTCAGAGAGCTTCTCCGCATTCAAATTCACGAATACGGGGGGGGGATTGACTGTATACACTGTGAAACCTATGGAAAGCCAGCCATTCTAACGGTTTCCAATGGGGGTTCAAAAGTTGGATGAGAAGGAAGTATTGTGGATTAATGAAGGGCTGAAAGTTGCGGAAGGGGAAGAATTGTGGAAGATTGTGTTCTGTGACGCACATCCGGTGACTCGACAGGTCTCGAGTGTGCAAGAGTCAGCCTTGGGAACGCCACTTTCTTAAGGATCATGAATGCCCACCGTTTTATGGATTTTCTTTTCTTTTTTCTTTTTTTCCTTTTTTTCTCTTAGTATTTACATGTCAACTGGATTAGAAATATCTACGAGAAAAGCAATCATACATTTACATGTTTTCTTATGGTATTCAAGGTAATTTTTGGTCTTTTTGCTAAAGAAACAGACCGCTTTATTGAAAAGATAAGGAGCAGCTGATCACGCAGATGATCAAAGTCAGAAGGCTTTAACTCTATAACCTTGGAAGCTTCTAAGTAATTAGACTCAAGTGCTGATTATATAAAATATTTAGTAAATATTCAAGCCAATAAAAAGAAAAACCAGAGTTAATCCCAGACGTTTGTATATAGATCCCATATTAATATACATTAGGAGGTCAACTGGTCACTCGAGCCCCTTCACATTCGGCAGAGCCGCGCAGAGATGACGCAATCACTGAGTTTACATTGAAATTCAAATAGCGGCATTATACAGTTATAGGTATACTAGGTATACTACTAGTAGTTATACTACGAGTATGAATTATTATTATGGATATATTACTTCAAAGGTAACTTAATTTGAATATTTCAACATCAGAGATCATCCTCAAGAGTCAACATGTATTAGATCCCTCCAGATCTCTTCAATCAGGACCACGACGGTTCAAATGTTGAAGTATAAGAATATAGTACCTTGCTTACCATTTGACCACATCACTCAGGATATTTAGATTCTCCTTCACGTTCGAATCACTGGTGCCAAGGGTAGTAAGAACCTCCAGCAATTTCGTCAAGATAGGTTCTAATTCCACCCCGAGTGCAATGGGATTAAGAAGACTAGCCAACTCGGTGTTACTTGAGCAGCCACTCTGAGTGGTGCCCGCAAACGCCGCCTCAACAAAGTTGATGGTATCCGGTAAACCGATGACCTCAGTGGTCGCATGGCCACCATTGGCAAATGTCGTGAATTTGACATCGGCCCCATACTTACACCATGAATCCACCAATGTCGATGCGTTCGCATAAGGAATGATTTCATCCTGCGATGCATGATAGACAAATACTGGCGCAGTTGGTGTTTCCGTCTCGGTCACCCCCATGCTACACTTTTGGAGGATGGACTGGATGGTAGTCTCATAGAGCAGATTGTCACCGAGGCTTTGAATGCTGGTAGAAAATAATGACTTGTCGGCGAAATTGAGGATATCCTCAACGGCGCAGACTGTCTGGGCTGTTTCGACAATAGATCGGCCCTCCGAGGTAAGAATCTCATCAAGAACGGGGTTCAACGAAGCACCATATGCACTAGGTGCAGATAGACCGGCTACGGCCGGAGGGAGGAAACCACTGAATGTAGTATCATCGATGAACAACATAGTACCCGTCAGATTGGCTGGTGTGCCACCTTGGGCCCAGCCCTTGATGTTCAGTTCGGGGGCATAGCTGGGCTGCAGAGAAGCCGCCCAACCCGTTGCAATCGCACCACCCGAATATCCAGTGCCGACAATCATGGGCTTGGCACTGGAGAGACCCAGTGCATCAAAGTTACTCACGGCTCGCATACTATCCAGAACTCCCATTCCTGCAAGACGACCAGGCCCAAAGGCTGCATCGGGACCCTCGTAGTCGGGCGACACAACAATGTAGCCTAGAAGCAGGTAGACCTGCAAAAGTAATTGTTCCGCAGAGGAGATAATATCGGTCTGTGCCGCGCCAAGTTGGTAATTATAGCTGGGGTCACAAATTGTGGCAGCACTATCGTATGCCGTGTGGAAGGAGACAAATCGATCTGTTTTGGGGATGGTAGGCTTGAAGATCGTAGTCACAGTTGCAATAGCTGAGCCATTGATGGCAGTTGTGCGGTACAATAGCTGATAGGCCTCCACTGGGTCTGGGATGAGGCCCAGGAAAGCGACCGATATACTCCGTTGACGTAGAATGGTTCCGGGTTCCTCAGACTCAAAGCCAGCCGGCGGTTGATAGAAAGGATCAACGCTGGGGGCCTCAGGAAGTCCACGAGATCTATAAGCCTGGGGCACCGATAGGGATGCTGGATAGGCAGACACAAGGGCCAGCATGAGGGCCATAAAGGCCGCCATGGCCAAGCGCACTGAAGAACCAGATGAAACCATGGTGCCTTGATACTGCTGGTCTGATGCCCAACGGGCGGGAATTGGGATAAATAACTGAAAAAACCCCCCAGTGAATGTGATTTGAAAAACCTTGCCGAGGCAGCGCAACTTCGGAGCTAGTTGATCTTAGTGCCCCTGAGGCTATCTGGGCTCTTCCTCAGAAATTAGAATCCATGTGGACTGTGGACCCATAATAGGGAAAAAGCGAAACATTTTCCGGGCACTCCACTTCATCCACAAACTCGGATCGATATATTCAATGTTTGTCGCAATACTCCCAGCGTTTGAGCAAGAAAGATGCCATATCCAATGTATGTATTGTTCCCGAGCCAGCAAGATTTGGACTGGCGTCTTGCATTCTGGATCATCACACCAGGAACGCCTTGTAAGCGATTGGAGAGATCTGCTCTAACCCCGCACCCCCCGGAGTTCCCTCTAAGGCCACGATCGGCGGGGGGGAAAGACAGGGAAAACAGGTCATTGGCTTGACTGACGTGATTCTTCGTGAAAGTTTTTTTCGGCCAGGTCGATGCTACCCAAAAATCCAAAGGCCGCAATCATATGTGAATCTGGAGCTGGCCGAGTGTTGTGATATATCTGCATATGGATGAGGGTGATGTCCAAATCTACTGTAGGTGGACGTGACATCAATGTTTATAAACATTTGAACCGCTCAAGTGCTCAAGTGTAGGATACTATATATTAATCATGGGAATTCAAGAATCAAGTGAAAAGCTCCAGTCAATGATCACAAGAGACTCATCTCAAGTTTGATGAAAACAAGCAATAAAATAAAAAAATAGTAAAAAAAACAAAATAAAAACAATATGTATACTATTGATTCAAATGTTCAAATGTTCAAATGTTAGTTATCAACATTGAACATTGAAAGCTGCCCACGTGTGCAGGTGGGTGACTCATGATCAGAATACATGTATTGATATATTACCAGTTGACGGGTTTATACGCCTTCCACCTCCACCCTTGAGCACTTGAGGGTCTGATCAAAGGCCTCAGCGTCCGTTCTCCCAACTTCGAAAAGGAAAATAAATGGATTTTTCGAGGTTTAAAAAAATGCATTTGTTCCCGCCTAACGTCCCAAGCTTTGAATATACAAAATCAAATGTTTGAAGGTAATCAAGATTCAAGATCTTCAACTGTTGTGGGGCTCCACGACCTCGGGAGGTGACAGCCTGCAAGGTCTGGTGGCTGTATCAAACATTTGAAGGATATTTTCAAGAGAATGCTTCAAACATCCAATAGTGCATTGCCTTCTACCTAGTCCCTAGATTCGCTAGGTAGCTTTATTTTGATAGGCCATGATCTTTTCACATGTACTATCCAATATGTAAAGTCCGGGATCTCGTATCTGCCGAGGACCCTCAACTCCACCAAACATCTATGGAATTGAATATGATTTGTTACCCCGCGAGAGTCTGAAGACTCGGTCATTCTGGTCTTGACGGCCAATCACATTAGCCCGATGGGGTTAGCAGTGCGAGGCTGGGGCCTTCGGTTGCGATACAAAAATACGATAAACGGAGTACGGAATACGGAAGGCTTTCGGATTCCAACATGTTGGATAATTCCATAGTTTGATTAGTCCACTCGGATCAGCATCCATTTGCCCCACTTGACCGATGGGAAGATATCTGAAGATCCCATAGTGCAAAGACCACGTCTTTAGTTGATCCCTAGCTCTTCAATTTCGAGGTCCATCCCGTCACGGTCAGTCCGCGTAAAACCGGGGCTCAGCCTAGCGCACGGAATCTTGGAATTATGTCGGTTCACAAATACGGTATACCTGAAAGGCAACTGCGCTTGGGTATATAGCGTGAGTGGTGGTACATTTGGATTTAAACCCATTCAAATGTTCTTTTCCCTGACCATTTGAATTTCGAATATACAAGTGGAATTCTTTGTCAACTAGTCAACCCTTTCAAGATGGCAGACTGCCCCTTCGCTAGTTGCCCCACTGAGATCGTTCAATCGATATTAACGTATCTGGGTTACACATCTCCAGCTAGCATACGTGCGCTAGCCTACACAAGCAAGGACTTCTTGTTTTTGTCTTCACCTTTCATTTTTCATACTGTCAAGATTCAACTGGACCGAGAGGACAAAGAGAGTATTTGGAAACAAACCGACCAGCTGTCTAGGAAGTTGAAATGGGTGAATGCCTTTTCTCAAGTACGATGCCTGATTATTGAGTCTTCACGATACGAGAGAAATTCCAACCGCGCCTTACCGACACTGAGTAAGCGGGACGTTGATGCCCTACGACAATATGCTCTCGACACTCCCTTGGTATCCCACCGAGCCACCGTTCAATATCCCACCACAACACAAGAGACAGACGACATGTGGTTACCAATAGCAAACCTCCTCAGAAAATTGCCCTCATTGAACGACTTGTTGTACGATGGTATGCATCAGCTTGCCCCATGCATGCTCGAGGCCATCAACGAGGATTCCTCCAGTTGTCGACTTTGGATGAACAGATTCAAGCTGCATAGCTTGGGAGCAGAACAAATTGACCCACACGAAGTCGCTTTGCTCTCGTCACCTCGCCTTTATAGCATAAAATTCGATGACTCCATATACCATAGGGGTAACGCTTCGGGGGGTAACTACTACCTTGGAGAAGAAAACAAACAAGACGAGGAGGTTCTCTATCGTACTGTCGCCAGCCTGTCACCGTTTCTAAAAGAAGTGCACTCGTGTCATCATGGCGACCAGCCTTACTCCCCCACAGATGAGTCAAGCGAGTTACAGAATCGGATCAGCAGTCAAACGATACGGAGCTCTCTTCACTACCTCAGTATCTGTGGAGGTGAAAATAAAAGCATCAAGAAGGAGACAATGACCATGTGGAACGACTGTACTGATTTCTCCACAATTCGCACCCTTCGAATTACAAGTCCTCTTCGCTACCAGGCCTTGGAATTTCTAGCCAACGACTGCAGCTTTGAGACTCTTCAATCACTAGAACTGAGCCTATCCCTGTTCGCTACTCGCCTCGCATGGCGCCTCGGCCAATCCGATACTCCCGAAGCCCGCTTCCTTTGCAGCCTCCGCCCTCTAACCAACCTGACCATTCACGACTGGACTAACAAATATCCTCTCGAATGCTTTCTGCCACACCATGGTGGCAACTTAACAAAGCTTGTCATCTCAACTGGCAAGAATACGCACCTCTTACCATCTGATCTGAAACAAATCAGCGAATATTGTCCAAATCTTCAAGAACTCGAAATCACCCTACCTCGCACCCAAGGATATGCCAGCGAAGTGGAATCCTATCGCAATCTCGGCAGGCTCCCACGGCTTCAGAGCCTGACCATCAGGCTGGACCTGATGACTATCAAGCTACGAAACTCAAACTACGGCGGCACGGAGACACCCACCGGTTCCAAGTGTGTTATCACCGCTCCTGATGCATTGTTTGATGAATTCGATTTGAAACCTTGCATGAGGCTAGCAAAGCCGGCCCCTAGTGGACCTCTTTACTGCAACGGCGACATTCGTGAGATGTTGATCAACAATGCCATGGACGAAAACCTGGCCAAAGCTATATTCGAAATCATTCAAAGCCAAAAAGAGCCCGGTACTAAGCCCCTTCAATCTTTAAATCTCTCGTGTGTCGGAGGAGTTAATTTGAAGAAAAATTCTATGGGCGGGTTGTGGTATTTTCCACCTCAAGAGGTATATTCTGCTCTGAAACGATCATGGCGAGTCACTCGTCTTTCGAAGGGTGGACTGGAAGCGGAAGAAATTTGCACTTCTTCAATGAAGGCTAAAATTGGTGAATCAGGAAGTGACTGGTTCAGTGGTTGGCATAGTCTTCCTCTTGATACCATTTGAAGACCCGAGTTGTTTATCGCGTTGACGTTCAGCAGAACTTCAATCGTCTTGTACTTGATAGTCATTAATAATTAAAATGTGGCAACGAAATTGTATTCTAGTACTCGATGATGCAGATTCTTTTCATACACTTGACATATTCATGGATCTATCCTCAATAACAAGGTAAACACCTGGTAACACCTATTCCATGGTCCTACATTGTCACACATCGTGTCAGTCATGTTACGAGTTGACAGTTGCTGCTAAATTTGCTGAGAAGGTTCCCTCAGAGGTTTCCTCAAGGGTTTCCCAAGGGTTTCCTTTGTTTCAGCAAGAGAAGGTTAGGGTTAGGTTTAGTTCCTGTTGCCAACCTTAACGTACCAGGTACTTAAGGCTGACTTTCCCCTGTCTTTCTTCTCCTTCTCTTCTTTCCTCTCTGTCTGTGTTTTTCTTGCTTTTAGGACCTTAGAACGAATACACTGTTTTTTGCTTGCCTCGTCACATAAATAAGACATAAGGCCAGAAGGATCGACTATTATGATCAATTTACACCAGGTGAATTTTCAAAAGCTTCAATAGATTTTATTTTAATACGTTCCACATGCAAGGCTCTGGTATACTTTTTCTTTTTGTTGAGACAAATCTTTCGGCACTTCTTAACCGTTCTACTCGGCTTGAGACCGTTAGTTCCACCAATTGCAACGTTTACCACACGCATTCACCTGGTAATAACCCGAGACTAACCAGGAGATTAGATCTCTCGCTCCGACTTACGGTCATTCCAAGGTTGTAGCTTGTTGAAATCTCAAAACTCTGAAATTCTACACATGCAAGAACAAGTGAATACGGCCCGCAACTGTCCCCATTTAGTCGTACATTTTAGCCTTCAAGCCGGGGATGATATCAAGATCTCCCTTTCCATAAGTGAACTTCCCGTCTTCGGAGACTTTGATATCCCTGTTACGACGTTGTTGCTGGGTTTGTCGCACTTTCACCCACTGTTCAGTGGTAAGATGCTGACCAAGCTCGGTGAAAGCATTTCGGGTGAGACCTAGACGATTCAATACAGGGCTGTTCTCGATAGGATCCAGAACAACATGGTTGTTTGGTCTATCCCACATATCAATTAGTCTTGCCCAAGATTATATAACAGATGAAGCAGCTCGGGCCACTTACCGAGCAAAGTACAGCACGCCCAAACGATCGACATGGGCCTGATCCGCGGGAGGGGTGTGGACACGGTGAATACTCGACTTGATGTATCCTCCAGTCAAAGCCGTGAGAGCATCACAGGTGTTGATTGTAATAGTCCCGTCTTGGGGCTTGACCCACTTCCATTCTCCATCAGAGTTGAGGATCTGCAAAGCAGCCACGGGCTGGCGGAAAAGCAGGGTGATGGAGCCCAAGTCTGTGTGGCCAGCGCTATATAAGCCACCCACTTTCTTGTTCTCTTCGGCACTGCGCGTTGCGTAGTGCATGTAGCGCAGGTGATCTTCGCCCTTGACATCATATTGATGATCGCGAACTAGCTGATCCTCTTCTGGAAGTTCGAGAAGAATGGCGAAGAGCCGGAGCAATTTTTCTACTACTTCGGTGTGACATTTCTAGAAATTATTTGGTCAGCAATGAAGTACAGGTTATTATTGAGCACACACTTGACTTACCCTACTGAAAGCTTCAATCTCTTCGATGTGATCAGAGATGACGGGGGGCTGTTGTCGCTGGTGGAAGCCATCGAATTTCGGGATATTGTAGACCTGCACATTATCCTTGACACCGTTACCCATGCTGATACAAGTCAGTAGTGTTGTATGTGATAATATTTAGACTTGTATCTCACACGCGGTGACCCGCAGGTCTGTATCCATTATACTCGCCATTGACGAGATCATTGGCGCTGTGGTATTTTAGTTTCTCCTCTAGTGGGAGATCATAAAACTCGCGACCTAGAGCGAATTGGCGATCAACTTCGTCTTGGCCGATGTTGAAGCCTTTGACATAGAAGAAGCCTGATATTAAGACAACGCCGATTAGTGAACCAGCCGGTGATAAGATAAAGATGAATTTAATATTCAATCCTCACCAACATGTTTCACAGCGTGTTCAAGCTGCTTAGAAAGCTGCTCTTTACCGCCAGGTTGTTCAAAGAGACTCAGATCGAGGGTCACAAGTTCAGCCCAGTCCACTGGATGGCGTTAGTCAAAGGCCGAAGGCGCATTCAATGTTGGTCACTAGTGTGATGGTTAAAATTGACTGACAGTCTTCCTTGGTCACTGGAACGTGATCGTATTGATCAATAATCTTGCCGGGCATGGTTATGGTTATGGTCTGTGAGCCTTGTTTGTAAATGAATGGTTGAGGAAATTTTGATGTCACGGGAGCTCTGGAGACGTAATAATATGAAGACTAGGCTACGCAGCATCCGTGGACGTATATAACCTACGAAGCTCCATTTAGGCTGAGTATAACCCCGCACTTATTGACCTCTAAGATCAAAGGTTGATAATCAAAGCACGTCATCTAAGTATAGAATGAGACTTGGTTCGATAACGGTTGATCGTCGGGATTCAGTGGCCGCGGCCACGGGCACGCCATCGCGCCGCACCATGTCGCAGTCATTGACATTGACAGACAAGGGTCTCAGCACCTATCACGACACAATATGACCGATGACCCCCCGCACCGGTCTGACTTGATCTGAACAATCTGGCATCAATAAGGAAATGTGTCTCGGCATTCCTCCGATAAAACATGATCGCGACAGGAGGTGGAGAAATTGCACCCGCATAAGCCACTCATCTAGACCTTTGATATCTGATGGAAATTCAGGGTCCTAAGCATATAACAGCCGAAAGATCGGCTAGACTATAGGGTATGGTCGCTTTATCTACCAGAGAGCGTTGATCTAGGGAATTCTTTTTGATCATCATGTCTGAAATCCACAAGTCAAAGCCTACAAGGCCGACCCTTTGGGGTTTCTTCAAGGAAGTTTTCAATTGGTATCCTTCTTCTTATTCCTCTGAGGAAAGAAGGTATGTAAACCAACCATTTGAAAGATTGATTGCATTTGTTGATATCTGACATTTCCTTTAGATTATTGTTCAAACTCGATGTCTCAATCCTGGTTTTTGCATGCCTATGCTGTGAGTCAAGCAGACCTTAACAACCATGGGAAAGTCATGCTAACAGCCGAATTTAGTCTTTGTGAAATACTTGGGTAGGCTTATTTGGAATATTGCTACCGACACAAAATTCGAACAAGAATGCTCACAAGAATTCTCCAGATCAAACAAATATCAGCAATGCCTACGTGAGTGGGCTTAAGGAAGACTTTGGTCTATATGGTAACGAGCTCAATTACTTCAATGTTTGTTACTATACAGCATATGTGGTTTTCCAGGTTCCGGGTCTACTTTTGATGTCCCGCCCAAAGCTGTAAGTTTCAATGGCAAGAAACCATGAAAAACACGTTCTAATGCGAAGTTAAGGGCTCGTTGGCTTCTTCCCGGACTTGAAGTCCTATGGGGTATCTGTACATTTGCCCAAAGTCGCGTTACCAACGTCCACCAACTTTATGCCCTCAGATTTTTGGTTGGAATGCTCGAGGCTCCTGTCTTTGCTGGAACTCATTTTATTCTCGGTAAGACTGCAATCGCACCCGAAAAGAAAGAGAGATAAAGAAGGAAGAAGAAAAAGCCCAAAATTATACTAATGAATTTCTTAAGGATCCTGGTATTCCGGCCCTGAACTTTTCAAACGTGCGGGTACTTGGTTCATATGCAATCCGCTTGGTAGCATGATCAGTGGATATCTGCAATCCGCTGCTTATACCAATCTTTCGGGAGTTGGGGGCATGCCTGGATGGAGGTGGCTGTTCATTATTGATGGCATATTCACAATTCCCGTGGCTTTGATTGGATTCCTTATATTTCCAGGTATTCCTGACTCGCCCCGGCCATTCTATTTGACCGAGAGCGATATTGTTTTGGCGAAGGAGAGGACGCGAAGGGCCAACATCCGCCGACCTGGTAAACTGGGACTTGATGTATTCAAGCGGTCTTTGAAGCGATGGCATATTTGGGTCTTTGTCACTTGTTACGCGTGAGTCTTTCAAAGTTGAAACTTCTCAAAGCTATGGCATTCCTACATGTGCATGAGAGAATCCGAGATGGAAAATGTACGCTGACATGTTAATTTACAGGTGCATGATCATCTCATCCTATCCAGCATCTTATATGAGTCTATGGCTCAAGGCAGAGGGATACTCTGTCACTCAAGTCAACCAGCTACCAACAGTGATTTATGCGGTCCAAATTGTCGCATCTTGGTTTGGCACGACTGTTGCTGCCATTTATCCTTCTTGGATCATTTATACGATTGCTTCTCTTGGATGCCTTTTCTCGACGCTGTGCATGATTATTTGGAATATTCCCAAGGGTTTAAAGTGAGTGTCTCGGAGCCCATGAGTGATGCTGTGATTACTTCCAACTTTGGAAAGGCTTTGCGGAGTAAATTTATTGATTCGGATACTACAGGTTTGCTGCATGGTATATCCTCGGTCTCTCGGGTTGTTTAAGCCCCATTTTATATTCGACGGTCAACACGATTGTCAAGGATGATTCTGAAGAACGAGCGCTAATCTTGGGATCCATGATGACATTTGGCTACTCATTCCAGATTTGGGTTCCACTTCTTGTGTTTCCAACCGCTGGTCACTATGGTGCTCCCCAGTGGATCAAGGGATGGCCCGTGGCATTTGTGTTCTATTTCTTGCTGTGGGCGGGATTTATTACTTCTCTGGTCATTCACAGACGGTAAGCACTAATTATGCCGTGTGATATATGCGCTCGGCCATGCAGCCATACTAACCTTGAAAAACGTATGATATAGGGACCAAAGTAAGAACGCCACCGTGGTGGCATCGGACAGCAGCGAGGATATAGAGACCATCGTGGACCGAGCGCCTCCGAAATCTACCGGGGAGGATTGATCCCATAGATCCAATGACTTCAAAAGCTTTAATGATGTATTATTATGGTACTACAATAAATCCCAACCAACTTTCCACCAATTGAAGACCCCCCAAAAAAAGGATTGAGTGGGGAAGGAGGGGGCATATGTACTTACGGTACTACTAAGTATGGAAAGATGAGCGGGGAAAAAGAGAAGATTTGAGGCTTAGGAAGAATCTCCTGTAGATCCAAATATGAAGAACATTCAACATCCTATCGCTTCTCCACGAGGTCCACGCTCTGTAAAGCACCGAAATGACCCGCACCTCTCGTCCGGGGACATGGAGGGACGGGCGTCCTCTCATTGGTCCACACGTCCACTACGGGTTCCATTGGAATATGACATAGCGAACATTGAACTTTTGGATTCTTTGAATGGCAGTTTTTCTGTTCTTTTGGAAACTCCTTGTACAAGCCGTGACCATTCCACTTGTACCTTTGCATAGGATCTAGTTCGCGACATAGATCTGGCCATCACAAACGGCGTATATTACCCCCTCGGCCATTGCCACCGCGCGCGATCCCGAATCCCACAATCGATTTCAAGTGTCACCACGCGTCGTTATACTCCCGGAATCCTATCGCTCACGAACGCGTCAATACATCACGAATCGATCCTTTCCACCCTTCTCTTTCGAACCGGAATCGTCTTATCACCCAGCTCTTCCGTCGCAGTCAACCCCGGTGCGTTGACAGCGACGCTTCGGCTCGGGCTTGATAAGAGATTCGGTGACAGAACAACATCGGGCACATATGAGTAGCAAACTTTGGGAGTTTTTCATTCAAGATGATGTGGAGAGCTTTCAGCTGTTCCTCACAAATGCGACATTTGCGGGGCCGCGAGCTGCAGGGGGTTCTGGAGGTGCTTCCATAGGTCCGACAACAGCCAGTTTGACATACAAAGGTGGAAGCCCCGGATCGATTATCTCCCTGTCTCCCAACCCCCAAAAGCAGAAGAAGAATCTTGGCTTGTCCCCCGGGACATCCGCACCTGAGCGACCGGGTTTTCAGCGAGGAAACGCCACCTTGTTGCGCGCCGATGTCAATGCTCGAGATCACTATGGCAGGACCCTACTACATCACATCGTTTCTTCACCAAAGGCCACCGCGGCTAAATTCGCACATGCGCTGCTCAATATTCCTTTTCTTGACATCTATGCGCAGGATTGGGAGAATGGATGGACGGCACTCCACCGGGCCCTTTATGCGGGCAATGCCACAATCGCATTGGCATTGATGGATCGGGATCAACGTGATGCGACCGATTTCAGCAAAGCGGATAAAACAGGACAGGCTGGAAGCTTGATTAAGATCAAGGATCGGGAGGGCTACAGTCCATTCGATGTTTATGGAGCGACCATCACCTCTCGCGATATTAAACGGATGACTTCGTCGAGGCCATGGAATAATGGTCCTGTGATTGATCACTTTCATGATGCTGAGATTGGCTCGAGTCATGCGTCCAATGATGGTGAAGACAATGAAGACGATATCTATGTTCCTCGAGTTTCCCTGAAGTCAACCACGGATTTCTCCGCCGATGAAGTCTTTACCCTTGGTAGCAACAAGAACCTGAACCTTGGGCTTGGAGACCAGGATGATCGCCAGTTTCCTGAACGGGTCATTCTGAAGCGCCCCGAACATCTTTTGAGTCGATTTTATCGCGAACATCAGGAAGAGATGGGCCTTGACCCTGTGCTCACTGATGAGCTGCCATCGCTTATTCGAGACAAGCCGATGAAGATCCAAAATACTGCCATGTCGAAATTACACACTGCAATCATTACAGATGATCCGGAAGCAAATCTTTTCATCTGTGGATTTGGACCGGGTGGTCGCTTGGGAACTGGTGATGAAGCAACCCGGTTTACCTTTTCTTGTATCGAGACTGGTGGACTGGCTGGCAAGAAGGTTATGTCGGTTGCCCTCGGTCAAGATCACACCCTGGCCGTGACCGAGTACGGCGAGATCTTCAGCTGGGGAAGTAACAAGTTCGGCCAGCTAGGATATGGCCTACCCAGGACCAACAACAAGAACGATGTTCCCACTCAGACAACACCCCGTCAGATATTCAACCCGTTCAAAAAGGAGACAATCATTGGTGCTGCGGCATCTTCGATTCACTCTGTTGTCTTTAGCAATTCCGGTCTCTATACTTTCGGTAAAAACGAGGGCCAACTCGGATTAGTAGATTCGGATGCGCGATCGCTTGAAGTTCAAACAACTCCCCGGCGGGTTGGAGCATCCCTCTTCAACTGTCCAATTCAAATGGTATCTGCTATTGATCAGGCTACCGCTGTGCTTTTGCAAAATCATGAGGTCTGGGTCTTTTCGCAATATGGTTACTCGAAGCTATCGTTTCCACTTGAGGCCACTTCGAGGTTTATCCGAGACAGCTTCATGGCAACCAGATATGATTCTTCAGTGAATCGAATCGTCAAGCTAACCTCCGGGGGTAACACTATTTGTGCCTTGTCTAGCTCTGGCGACGTTTTTACTGTCCAGGTCAATAAGCCCGAGAATCCATCGACTTCAACCTCCACAACAAATCCGGCTAAAATCCGCAACTCTTTGGCCTCACCTGTCAGAGCCTGGTCTGCCAAGCAGTCACACATGGCTGCTAGCGATGTGGATGTGGGTCAAGACGGATCTATCATTATTTGCACAACATCGGGTTCTGCGTGGAGAAAAGAGAAACGGACCAAGAAAAAAGAAGGCGCTTCCAAAGACTACAAGTTTGCTCGTATACCGGGCCTATCAAGAGTAGTCGCTGTGCGCAGCAATGCCTTTGGGGCTTATGCCGTGGCCCAGCGCGACTACAATGTGACCAAAGAACAGGTTCATATTGCCCAAAGCACTCTTTTGGATGACCTCTTACCCCTCTCTCCATTTGGGCTCCCTGCCCCAGATGGCGTAGAGACAATGTTTGATGACGAGAGCAGTCTGGTTAATCCCATGGAGATGTCTTGTGCAGCAGCTATCAAGAGATCTATACTTTTGTCTACAAATATGGAAGAGGAATATCTTTCATTGCGTACTGAGGGAACTGTTTGGATTACCAGCTCTGTATCTGATGCACGGATTGCTGTACACGAGTTCTTGCTGAGTGGACGCAGCCCCGTTCTCAGGAAAGCACTCCAGGAGTTCCGGTCATCGTATTACTCTTCTGTTCCTGAAATTCTGGATATTGAATACGGCAAGGATGGCCACATGCAGGTTCAGCTTCACGGTGTTGATTTCCTCACTGTTTTGAACCTAGCACTCTTTTTTTATACCGATAATGTTCTCGATGTGTGGCACAAAGTGAAAATCTCGCCTCAAAATGCCACTCGATATCGGCAAGTACGCACTGAGGTGATGCGAATTGCCCTCCAGCTCGGCCTGCCAACCCTTGAACGTTCCGCAAGATTAATGCTTGACCCCGAGCCAAGCCTGAAAGATGATATGGCCCTTGCCATCAACCATAGCTCATTCTTTGACGATGCCGATGTGGTTGTTCAGCTGAGTAATGGTGATACTGTCAAAGTACATAGCCAGGTGGTGTGCCAAAGATGTCCATTTTTCGATGCACTATTCCATGGCCTCTCTGGTGGCCGTTGGCTTGCTTCACGGCGGGTGAATCGGTCAGATACCGTTCATGTTGACCTGAAACATATCGACCGATCCATTTTCCTTTTCGTTCTGCGCTACATGTATGCAGACACCGAAGAGCAGTTGTTCCATGAAGTGCGGACCAAGACTCTTGATGATTTCATTGAGTTACTCCTTGACGTGACCTATGTTGCGAATGAATTGATGATTGACAGATTATCACAAATTTGTCAAAATATGCTTGGTCGATTTGGTAAGTTTGAATCTGATGGCACCTGCTGTTCTTTTCTTTCTTTTTTTTATTAAACGTTAAATATAGTCAACACTCGCAATATCTCATATCTTCTTAACTCTGTCTATCCTATATATATGGGAGAATTCAAACAGGCAGCCCTTGAGCATATCTGTCTCGACCTCGAGTCTATGCTTACGAACAGGTAATTTGACATGATTCGTTTTACTCCTATGATCTCTAACTCGATTATTAGATATCTCAATGGCCTTGATGATGATCTTCTTTCTGAGCTTGATAAAGTATGTCAAGAAAATCAAATGGCTTCCTACCCTATCTCTCGAGGGCGCAATACCGAAGCATATGTGCTCGAGAAATACCCGGAAATTGTCAGCTCGATAAAATCCGACCAGCAACGACGAATTGACGCAATGGCATTACAATCCCGCCTCAGTCAAATTGAGTCAAATGACGTCCGATCTCGGGCGTCTACTAACGAAAAGTCCAATGCTTCTCCTTCTGTTCGTAAAACAAGGGCCAGTGTGTCTAGAGAGATCACTAGTCCCGTCACTAGCCCTATGCTGAAGCCACAACAGTCTACGGGAGATCTTATGTTCCAGATGGATGACGAAGCCCCGCTTTCTACACCTGATGGCAAGGGAAAATCAGCCATGCGTGGTATTAGATTTAGCGAAGATAGGGGCCGATCTTACCCAAACTCTCCGGCGTTGGGGGCAAGCATCTCGGAGGCTGAGTCGCTTGGAGATCGAAGTTTTTTGGACCAACAAATGTCTTCTCCGCGTGGCCCTTTGCTTGCTGAGTCTCCGACCGAATCTCGAGCCATTGCCATGCACCAAAAGCGGGGAGCGTCATTGGCTTCGCCAACTGATGTATCTGCGGCGCCTTGGAGTTCACCTATCATTTCTGATGGAAAGAGGAACCTGGAAGATATCATGGGCGAAACATCCCAGTCTCGTGTATCCAATCTCACGCTGGGCATGGCAGACAGAAGAGAAAGTAGTGGAAATTTCACGCCGAAGATCTCTCAAAAGGAACGGAAGAAGATGCAGCAACAACAAATGCAAGAAAGATTGGCAGCACAGCAGAAAACCAAGGACGCTCCATCGAATCCATGGCAAATGCCGACGTCCGCTGCGTCGAGTATGCATGGCAGATCTGACCCTATCCCAAGCCAGAGCGGGCCCAGTACGCCGGCTCCTGAGCTTTTCAAGACCCCTCAAAAGCCCTCCATGACTCTCCGGCAAACTGTGGCTGGCACGCCACCACCTCGGTCACAACCAGTGGCTACACCAGTTCAGACCCAGAGCCGTAAAGTCTCGACCAATCTCCCGCAATCTTCTTTCTCAAAATCCTCTCCCTCTGGACCTCCCACCTTATCCCCACAGGCTGCTCCCAAACCATCGCCCCAGCCTAGCATTCAATCTATCCGCCACATCCCACGTCCCGATGCCCATCTTCTCTCTCCATCTTATGGGTCATTCTCTATTGCAGCCATCTTGGAGCAACAACAGGCTGAGAAAGACGAGATTCGGGAGGCAGCCACGGCCAAGCATAACATGGAAGATATCCAGGCCGAGCAGCAGTTCCAGCAGTGGTGGGATCAGGAAAGCAAGCGTGTACAAGGCCTTCAAGACCCTCCTGAGCCCGAATCATCGCAGCAGCGGACCGGAAAAGGTGGTCGTGGTGGTAAAGCCGCCGGCGCACCTGGAAATACACGCAAGCGTCGTGGAAATAGGAGCGCGGCTTCTGATGGTGCAGACTCTCGGAGCCAGAAGCAAACCCCGGCTCCGGCTACGGGTCGTGCTACGCCCAAGAAGAATACGAATGGCTCTGCCTCGCCACAACCGCAATCAAATGGAAGCGGAAATCATGTCGCTACCGGCGGACAGGGGAGAAATTCTCGTCGAGGGGGCCCTGCCAGTCGTGGCAAAGGGCGGGATAGTGGATAATCGTGTTTGATATTTCATCCCACTCTATTTTCGTTGTCTTGATTTTGGATTGCCTTACAAGGTTCCAAGGTTTCTTTTCCATTTCAACTCTCCAGCTTGTGCATCTTGAGAGTATGTATGTGCTATATTCTGATAACACACTGCCTATGTAAGCCCTTTCGGCTCTCGCCTTCTTGGAAGTTTCCTGTTGTTTTTCTAGCGTCTAGAGTTCTGGTTGTATGGATCCATACACATGACCGATGTCAACATTCAAGGCACGAAACCTCTGTCCCTTTCAAATGATCCAAACGTTTATACGTATCAATTACTGCATGCACATGCATTTGGGGGGAATGTTCAAATGAATATATGTAACCTATCAGCTATTGATTATTATTACTATCAATTGATTGTTATCTTTGAATAGTTATTTCTGCATTCAAATGTTTGAGATACACAAAACTAGGCATATTTCAAATATATCTTGAGGTCACTCATGCCGACGTTTCCACCGTATGGTGGCAGGTTGCACTGGCCTTGAAAAGAGAGACTGTGAACAAAAAGAAATGTCAGCAAGCAAATGGAGAAAGGGCAATGAATGATAATGTAAAACAGCGTACCGAATAATCCGTCTCTGGAACCCCAATCCTATCCCTGGGGTTTAAAAACTTGAATTCCCTCACAAGAGTCGTAACGATTACCGCCAGGTTCATATACGCAAACTTCTCCCCAATGCACCGGTGCCTCCCCGCTCCGAATGGCAGATACGGGCTCTTGGTCCCCTTCGACACAGCACCATACCCATAATCCACAGTATCAGTCTTATCAACCTGATCTTCGACACGCGATTCCCACCGGTGCGGATCCCAGGTCATGGCATTCCGGAAGTACCGCTCGTCACGCGCAGTTACACCAGGAGAAGAGAGGAGCGTGTGGGTCGTGGGCACGACGTAATTTGTACCTGGCACGGGGAGAGGATTCTTCACTTTGCGCATGAGTGTATGGATAGACGAGTGGATACGAAGGGTCTCCTTGATAGTGTACGAAAGAAGGGGCAGTTTCTCCAAATCACCGTATGTCAGCGGTGGAAGCGAGCCACAATCATCTCCCAGCGCATCAATCTGCTCATTGTAAAGCTTTTCTGCCATTTCGGGCTCCGATGCCAACCGCAGCAGAATCCAGCAACTGATCGCTGACGAAGAATGTTGACCGGCCATTAACAGCGTGATCATCATATGCGCGATCTCTTTATCCGGTATAGGGGTTCCATCTCGGTAAATGCAGTTCATGAGGTGCCAGATCATGTCTTTAGCTTGGGGCCCTTGGGTAGTCCCGGTCGCGGCTTGCTGACGACGCTCCTTGATGATATCGAAGTAGATTTCACGCATGCGCACATGAGCTATGTCTCGCTTACGGTTGTGAGGGAGGGGTGCCCACGGGAGCATGAAGTTTATAGGGGAGAAGCCGAGATCGAGGTCGTGATAGAGGTCAGCGAACTCGGAGGTGAGATTTGCACGGACTTCGTCGCCTTGTAGTGTACGCCCTGCTGTAAAGATGGTAATCTCGGCCATTGCTGCGCCAAGATCGATTATTCCCGAAGTGCCTTTGAACCTGCCTGAGACTTTGATGTATTGTTCAACCTCTTGCTCGATTAGAGGGACGTATGCCTCTAGGGCTTCTTGGCTGAGGCCGAATTTGACGAACTAGGGACTCGGACAGTGATGGTTAGAATCACACTTACAGCTAGCCAAGGGGCGAAACCAAGAAAATTGGAATTAGGAATTAGGAATTATCTTACTTTCTTCTGTTCCATTAATTTTGAATTTGGACAGTCGTACACCACATCGGACCCAAATACTGGCGTGGTCAACTTGCCATATACCTCTTCGGCGTTGACATCCTTCAGTTTGCCGTTCAGGATGAACTCGTTTCCTTCAATACCTAGATAGACGGTGGTTTTCTTTCCAAGCAATATGAAAGTGAAGATGTCACCATACTAGATATCGATGAGTATTTGAGACTCAACCTCAATCCCTGTCCAGTGCTTGAAGCAAGCGTTGACTTGAGTACACGTACCTTTTGCCGACATTCGAAGAAGAACTTATAGGGATCCATTCCATATCTCACGGTACTTCCAATGACAGGGAACCAATGGAACACCACCGGGGGCTCATTGCGGCGATAGAAGAACTGTTGATTGACTATGTTGACAAAGACTGAGATAAAGATGATTCCAACCACGTAGCAAGTGATGCGGAGGATCTGGCTAGCGACCAGCTGAACAAGAAGCTCCATGATGTACTCGATATGTTTGGCGACAAGTATAGAGACATCTGGAAGAGGGATTCACCAAATAAGTACCAAGGGAGCAAAGATCAAATCAAGAGCTTGGGATTGAGCATTAATCATCATTGGGACAACAAGGTCTCGGGACTGGGGAATATCCTGTCAGGCCACAGTAGATCCCCCCGGAACACCATGTACCCGAGGCCAATAGGATCGTTAGATTTCTAATAGAAGGGGGAAAGAATTTAGTTTTTGAATTTGAGAATAGACTTGAGAATAGACTTGAGAATAGACTTGAGAAGGGATTTGGGGCAGATCAAGACATCAATGCGTCCCGATTATGCTTAGCGCATCGTATGACCTGTGTTAGCATGAGAGTAACCCGTGTTTACATTAAAGCCCTAGATTTTATAACGGGACAAAACTGGAGCCATGAACATTATTATTGACATCTGCCTAATTGGAGTCAGGATTTCAGGGATATTCTTCAATCTGATTGAGAGGGAAGAAAGGAAGGAAGGAGAAAGAGGTACATGCCGCCAGCGCCAAAACTCGCACAAGGACCCAAAAGCTCATCAACGTAAAAAAAGAAAAAAAAAAAAAAAATTCAATGGTAGTTATAACGTATGCGGAAATGTTCAGTCATTAGCCCGAGGTGGCAACCTCTCGACTATCCCACATGCGACGGATCATCATATCAGTCTCATTGACAGGTGGGTATTCTTCCTCCTGGTCGCCAGGGAGATTATGTGAGGCCTCATCCGAACTAGACAAGATTCGCTGTGAGGGGTGTGTGGACTTGGCCCCCTGTATGGTATCGTTGGATGATTCACCATGGCTCGTCTGGTCTTCGGATGCCGAGGAGTTCGGATCAGGCAACTGAGATCTTGATTCGGAGCTTGACGCTAGCCGGCTGGGTTGTCTTCCGTGCTGCAGAAGGGGCAATGAAGGGGCGGATTTTACTGGTTTGCCTAAAGCCGACTCATGATCAACATTGGCGAGGGCTTGGGATGCCCGAGTCACGGAACGAAGTCGGATGAAGCTATCGCCAGTCGGTGACTGGAATCGTCTGACTACAGTTAATTCAAGAGAGGACTTTTCATACGCCTTTCGAATGTGGCGTGCTTCGGTGTCCTGTCCTAAGGCTCCAACCCGATTGGAGCCATTCAAGGCCCTGCTGGGGTCGTATTGACCACTACCAGGACGGGTATGGCCCACTGCCATGAAATTGGGGTCAGTTGTCGACGGAGGTCCTGCCGTAGACACACTATGTGAGTCGGGGGGCGAATTATTCAGCGTAGCGGTGCGTTGGAGCCAGAGTTTCTGTTGCGTCCGCGACAGATCAGCACCTCTGTTAGGTGCCGGGGAAGCAGCTGACTTCCCCGATCCTCGGTTGGGCGAAGGTGGTGTCTGCGGATGATAGTGAGGAAGAAATGAGGATGGGGTATTTGGGTCTGAGTCGGTTCGTGATGACGCATGAAAGCCGGATTTGTTGCTTGGGATGAATCGAGAAACACCGCCTTCCATTGAGGAAGAAGTGGCACCGGCTTGATTCCCACTGGGTATACTGCCCAGCCCCATTGCAGAAGAAGAGAATGTACGGCGGACTCCCTCAGCGGCGAGATTTATAGAAGAGGCATTTCGCGATGCCGAGTCAGTCGGCTTAGCCATAGCAGATATAGATGACATGGCGGGTGGTGCTCTCGCAGAGTGGGAGGGGCTTAGGAGGCGGCTGGCGATGTCCCCTTGGTCGTTTGACTGAGGGTCTTCTTCGCTGTCCTCGTTGTCCTGTTGCTCCTCCTCTTCGTCTGCCTGCTCTCTGAGGTATCGGTTGGTGATTGAATCTGGCAGACTCGTTGCGCGAGGTACCTGTGGATATGGGCGTTTGACAAAAGTAAGAGGATCGACCAAAACTTGGGTATTTTCTTGACTTTGGTGAGAGGGGGCGACCGAGTTGCGCCTTGTGCTTTCAGGCGATTGTGTGGTGTCCTCCCATTCAGCATCGTCGTTGTCATCGTCGCCCAACTCAAACCCGACCGTCTTCTTTTTCCCGGAGCTCGACTGCGGTCGATCTGTAACCAGAGCTTTCTTTCCAAGAACCGAGTTATTTCGTCGGAGTACCGGAGTGGAGTTATTTCTTTTCATTGATTGATTCTTAGGATGGTCGTCTACAACCCCGTCCCAACGTACGTGACTGCGTTCCTTGGGGCTGGCGATAGGGGTTGCGGGGGCGGATTTCTTTCGTTGGTGATGACGGCCGGTAGTTTCGGGACCTAGCTGGAATCGTTGCAGCTTATTTATGTTCTTCCCGATCGACGGGTTACGGTGATGGTTGCGACCACCACCGACGACATGGGGCCGGTGGGCTTTATGAATAAGGGCCTTGGAGGAGGTCTGCGACTCCGACAGCTCAAGATTGGAGTTGGTCCGCGTGACAACCGCATGCGAAGAAACGGCGCGGCGGCCGAGGCCAGGGCGCTTGACGGGGGAGGAAGTGCTGGTGGGCATAGCGGCAAAAAGAAGTGACCAGGGAGGCGGGTAATCAGCTGCGTACACGGGGCATCGAAGGGGATTGGCCGAGGCAATAGGTTGGTATCACGGCAGATGGGCGTGCAGGCGAGAAAAAAGCAACGAAATTGGAAGCAGTCGAAATGCAAGCAGTGTCTACACCGCCGCGCTCGAGCCCGGTCAAGCGCGGATGAAATTGTGAAGTGTCGATTTGATTTTTGATTTTACCGAAGTGAATGAAGAACGTCGGAGGGGAAGGGAAAGAAAGGAAGTGAAGTCGTTGGCTGTCTCCGGCGATGGGTAAGAATCGTGTAATAATACCGTATTGGAGATCAAGTGTGGAGTTCACTGGCAACGGTGCAAACACAAGGTTGCACATTTGAATTGAATTACTAGTAGATAGTACAGTCTGCTCTAGAGAAAAAGAACTGGAAAATAAATAAAAAACCAAACTGAATCCTAAGGTATCATCTGGTACATAGCAAATGAACGCCAGGAAAAGAAGAATGCTGAAAGTACGCTACAGCTCAATCAAGCTCTCTTCCACTGGGGCGGGTTGGTGGGATGCGGGGGCTTGTTGTCCGGCGTCCGGGTACGCTCCCAGTTGGCCAGTACCCATCGGCGGGTATCCAGAAGGCACCGTACCAGGCTGCTGCGGCTGGTAATAGTATGGTTGGGGTGGAGGGCCTGTATGCTGCTGATGCAGCGCAGGTGCCATAGTAGAATATAGAGGTGTTTGTGCATGCTCGGGTGACTGCGGCTCTGGCGCATTAGGCGTGGGTGCCCCCGATGGCCCCGACTGGTATTGCGAGTCTCGTCGCATTATGGGAGATGGTTGGTAAGGTGCCTCGGGGAACTGTGATGTATGTGGATCTTGATCGGGTGTTGCTGCATAGTATTGTGATGGTCCAGGAGCAGCATGAGGCATAATGCCACTGGAGGGTGGTGGCGATCCCAAGGAGGGATATGCATTATGACTCCAAGCAGCAGGATGTGACTCGTTCGCAAGAGATCCACGTTGACCCTGTTGTGGGTACACGGGGCTTGTGAGACCACTGGGAGGTGCATCATACGTACCGCTATTCATCTGCGGTGGCGCGTAACTAGCGGTCGGCGGGTGAGACGGCTCAGCAGGATTCCCGTAGTAAAAATTCTCCGCCCCCGACTTTGCATCTGGCGAATAGGTAGGCAATGCGGACATGTTAGGGTACTGAGGCATGCCCGGGGGCACACCATACCCGTAATTTGTTTGAGGATAAGCACTGGTCAACCTTTCTTCCAGCATCCGATCGTAATATCGAACAACCGTCGATAGCTTCGCATGCAGATCAAGTAGTGTGTCTGCAAAGATTAGTGCGAATTTTAGAAATGCAAGAGAAGGATTTCAGCTTACCGTGCTTGCTCATCGTCTCTCCGTAACTGCGAGCCAATTTGGGTCGCAGTGCGCCTATGCTTTCATAGAGCTCTTGAATCTGAGGCTCACGAAGGATGGTTCCCGGTGGTTGATGTTGCAATCGATCGACCAAGGTAGAAAATAGATGGATATTCTCAGCCTCAACCGGACTGAGCTCGTACGGGTTCTTTGGCAATGGAGTTGGTGTGCTTGCAGAATCGCGGAACGAATCGTTTGATGGCACATTGTTTTTCAACGCGGCCGCATGTTTTTGTTTATGCTGCTCCATGTCACGCATAGATGCTTCAATCGCGGCCTTCAAATCGGCATCTTCCTCCTCCACGTTGGTAGGCCTGGGCGTGGGCTTTGCCGGTTCTGGGACATTGCTTGTTTGGGGCACAAATCCCGACGGCCCACGACCTTCTGCTTCCTCAAGGCTCATTTCAAGTGCACGACGAAGATCATCATCAAAGCTCGTATCTGCCTTGGCACCGCGAGGTTCCATAGAACTAGACTTGGTTATGGAATTGTTCTTGAATGCAGATCGGTCTGAAAGGCCCGATGGTGGGAACGGCTTCGATGTCAATTTAGCGTAGCAACCATCATCGACGCGAACAGGCTGCATGATTCCGAGGTGTGGTAGTGGGAGGGTTTTGCTGGAGCATTGTGCATCGAAAACGTTTCCGCAGTTCCGACAATGGTGTTTGCGATTCATAAAGCTGAAGGCGGTTCTACACCGCATACAGACCTCCGAGTCTATCCACTCCGGTGGCTGTTGATAGATGTTAGCGTCCTCCATAACTGAGAAAGCTATGATGACTTGAAGCTTACAGCATTACTTTCCAACATGCTACCACTCATTTCTGTCTTCGGGGGAAATTGGAACCCCTCGTTTTGTAGCTTGCGATATGTCTCCCCAAGGTAAACCAAATCCATGCGACCCTGGGCTGCCATGGCCCAATTCTGGATCAACTCCAGAACTTTGCGTTGAACATCGGGATTCAAAGGGGCCCCCTCAGCCTTGAGTAGCGATACCAAGTTGTCCATGAATTCACGGGAAGCTATCTCAGCCAGAAAATGAGTTCCTCCGTTTTTGACGCATGTATCAGTCAACTAGTGAGCGGCAATTTGTCAATATCTTTTATAGACATCGGGTGCCTGACTTTGAACAAACCTTCAATGTTGCCAACTGGATGTTCGGGTTTCGATTCTCAAGTCGACGCTTTAAGGACCTCATCGCATCTTTGGGCTGGACACCTTTTGAACGGACCATATCGGTAATTTCTAGATTCAGGGCAATATCTTCCCTGGTAGATTGATCAGTTCAGGAGTTGCCAAATCAATCCAGGCGCATTCAGGGTAGGCGATTAGTGCCTATTTGGGGAGAAGGTAGTAGAGCAGCGGTGGCCACGTACAGTGAGGAAGCGGTTGCCCGCTCGATCTGCTCATCGAGCGGGGATGAAGAAGAGAACCAGCCTGCCATGATTGGAGGCTTGGGCGAGACACAGTAAGTGCGCACAGTCTAATGAGTCCAAAGAAGTGAGTGTTAGTTGAAAGTGTCAGATAAGTCCAGGATGAGACGAAGCTCCTAGGCAGCGCCCGCCGTTGACTAATCTCTCTCCTGGCGTCATAGGCGGGGGCGGTGAATGGTATTGTCACCCCAGACCCGCTTTTGGTTCCTGGAATCGGCTTGGACTTTCTACGTAGTTACCTGGCCTCACTTTCTTTTCGCCTCTCGCTGTCGGGATTATTGGTACATACATTGGAAATAAATTTGCCTCAAGCCATGCGCTAAATGCCACACTCTTTTGCTGCCTAGATCATGCCCCCCGATGCAGCGGCCTTATCATCTCCACCGGACATACCACCGTGGAAGGACAGGCGTCCTTACTCGGTGGGGGGCGACATGCATTCCACCGACCCGGTCACCAGACTGGGCTCTTTTCAGAATGACTCCCTAGCAACACGACCACGATACCCGAATATTAAGGACCTGCAGGACCAGGCCGCTTTGTTGGATGTAAACGAGTCTACCTCGGTCGGTCCATACCCCCTCCTCAAAATCGCTGTGCGACCAACTGCTAACCTAGAGAGATAGCTCGACACTCTCCTCAGTACAGCCTCCGAGGCAATCGGGCAAGCCAGAAATCTTGCAGATGACGACAAATCTGACAAGGCTTATGTGCAATACCTTCGCGCTTCGGAGATTACCATCAACGTCATTCCCCACCACCCGAACTACAAGACGACGATCACCCAAAGCCGAGGATGGTACAAAGAGTTTGCGGAGTTAATGATGGTGCGTTATTGTCCTCTCTACTCCAATTATCCCGCTTGTGCTCGCTTCATTGGCAATCGAGGGACAGCCAGACTAACTGCATCACTTGGAATATTGTAGGCCGTACGAACTAAACAAGGAACAATGGATGCAATCAAGCAGGAAATCATTGAAGATAATCTTAGGAGCAACATACAACCCATGGGACTATATTCATCAGCATCCTCCGGACAAAAGCAAAGTTCTATCACCCCCCAGGGTCGTGAAAACCGCGAGTCGGCAACCAACACGATGAGAATGCCGAGCCCGACACAATTCCAACGAACGCCGGATCTCCAGAGCAACCCAAAAAGATTTTCTAGTCCTGTTGACGACGTGCTGGCGCAACGCTTTGCAAGGCTTCAAATGCGTGGAAACGAGCAGGGTGCAAGCATGCACTCTCCTTCAAGACCTGCAGGCCAGGTTTCCACATACACCTCCAACACTCCGCCAAGCGCTCATGGATCCGCTTATGCATCCCCACCCAGGCGACCATTAGGACCTCGCACTATGGGGTCACCATCCGTGATTCCCAATCATCCTCCCAAGATCCCTCTCACAACCTCTCTCCCACGTGCTCCTGATCCTGCGTATAGTCCGATATACACTGTACCTTCCCAGGTCCCGCCGAACCCACCAAGAACCTCGTCCGAAAGTGTGCGATCGATCACCCAAAGATACTCTCACTTGCCCACCTCCCCACGCGGTAGCCCAAGCCGGGGTCCTCCTGATAACCCCTACCGGTCACTGACTCCCAATGGTGTCAACTCTGCGCGAGAAACCCGGAGTAATTCACCCGATTTACCCACCAACTCTGCGATCTCAGCCCATGACCTTCTTGATTATTTAAGGAAATTCAATGTACTTGTGGTCGATGTCCGCCCCCGAGATCAATATGATAATGGTCACATTTATGCAAAATCCATCATTTGCATCGAGCCGGTAGCCTTGAAGGAGAATGTGTCTGCAGAGGAGCTTGAGGAGCGACTTGTTGTGTCTCCAGAGCATGAGCAATCATTGTTCGAGCGACGCAATGAATTTGATCTTGTTGTCTATCATGACCAAAGTACATCTTCGGTCAGCTATCTTGCAGGTTCGCCTGTCGGAACATCAGCGCCCCATTTGAGAGCTCTTCACGATACCCTTTATGAATTCAATGCCTATAAACCGCTGAAGGGTGGCCGCCCTCCTGCTCTTCTGCTTGGTGGCTTAGATGCGTGGATCGATCTCCTTGGGCAACAGTCCCTCGCAACATCTTCCACTGCTGCTGTCATTGGTACACTGCAAGCCAGGAAGCCTGTGCCAAAGCCCGGTCGCCCATTGGGTCGAGTGCCGACTATGGCTAGTGCTAATTCAAGCTTGGAAGTTCGCAAGAGGAGACTTCGGGAGTTCACGCCTCTGAATTCGGAGGAATTGACGGCGTGGTTGGAAAGATCTAAGAACGAAGAAATCGACACGAGCACTTACCTTGAAGATGAACAGTCCACTGAAGAGCCCCATGAAGAATTGGAGGAGCCCTCAACCCCGCTTGTTCATAATTACGAGGATTTCTTGCGCCGCTTCCCCGAACCACATGCTCAACAGTCCATGATGCACGCGGAGTCTCGGCCAGCTGTCATGCCTGTCCCTAACTATGCGTCTTCGGGTCCCGTCCACGTGGCTCCATCACGACCCCCTCCTGCAGTCCCCCGACCCAGCTATAGTGGGGTCTCTGATGGACGACAAGCTCAACCCCATATGGAACGGCAGAACTCAGCCGCTCGGACGGCATTATACACCCCTAGCTCGATTTTGAGTCGCCTCAAACTTCCTCGAACAGGGCTTACCAATTTTGGTGTCACCTGCTACATGAACTCGACGATCCAGTGTCTCAGTGCAACGGTGATGATGAGTAAATTTTTCATCGATGATCGATTCCGCCATTATGTACAAAAGAACTGGAAAGGGTCTCAGGGCGTGATGCCGGGGCTTTATGCCAACCTTATCCGATCGTTATGGAAGAATGACGTGGAAGTGATCATGCCAACTTCCTTCCGCAACTTCTGCGGTCGGTTGAACCGGGAATGGGTCATAGATCGACAGCAGGATGCCAAGGAATTTTTCGATTTCCTAGTGGACTGCCTTCACGAAGATCTCAATATCAACTGGCAACGCAATCAGCTGCGACCCTTGACCCCTTCTGAGGAAATGCAGCGAGAACGGATGCCGGTCCCCAAGGTTTCCCGGATTGAATGGGACCGATATTGCCATCGCGAGGAATCGTTCATCTCGTCGCTCTTTGCGGGGCAACATGCCAGTCGGCTTCGCTGTACGACCTGCCACCAGACCTCGACGACCTACGAAGCCTTTTACAGCATCAGTGTAGAGATCCCCACGACCGGCACGGGTGACATCTATCAATGTCTCCGTAGCTACTGTAAAGAAGAAATGCTTAGTGGGGATGAAGTTTGGAAGTGTCCGCACTGCAAGTGTAAGCGCATGGCCACCAAACAGATCATTATCACGCGTGCGCCGCAGATTTTGGTGGTTCATTTCAAGCGCTTCTCCGCATCCAAGACGCAGAGCGCACGAAAGATTCATACTCCGATCGAGTTCCCTCTGTACGGGCTACGAATGGATGATTTTGTAGTCTCCTACCCGACCCCTACACCGGGGTTGGACACTTCTGCACTGATCCCAGGAGCAACTGTTCCCCCTTTCAATTATGACGCCTTTGCCGTGCTACGTCATATCGGATCCTCCATGGGTAGTGGGCACTACATTTCGCTTGTCCGGGATGCCGAACGTCAGTCCTGGCGACGATTCGACGACGAGCGAGCAAATGACTTCAACCCACGCGACCTACGAGGTCGTGATCGATTACAGAATGAGCAAGCATACATAGTGTTTTATGAGCGAGTCCCAGCGAAATGAGCGGATTGGAATTCCCCCCCCCCCCCCCCCCCCTTTTCCTTGATGAATTGTTGTTGTTTCTATTCTTTTTTTTATATTCTCTGCCAAGGTTTTTCTTCATGAGCTTGTTTCTTTGCATTTTCATGATGATTCAAATGTTCCCCTGCATGTCACGATAAGCCATGGTATAGAGTGGATTGTTCCCAAAGGTTGGGTATATAGTATAAGGCGCATTTTCATGAATACCCCTTTAAATTACAGAAGTTCAAAATGATCATCAATTCCAAGTTGATGTTTTTTTTTTTTCAAGTTTGATATCATACTAGTAGTATCTTCAGAGATGAGGATATTACATGCATATCCCAACATTTGAAGATTGTCAATTGCAATGGGCGGGACTTGTTCCGTAGCGGAAAGCCGTGGGCCGTACCCGTGAAGAGACAACCGAGGGTGTACGGTTATCCAGGCAGTTGGGGTCGGTTCAATTCAATGTTGTTTTGTTCATGGATTTCTATACAATTCAAACATTCAATGTTGAATACTTTTTTTCAAAGTTGTAGGGAACATTGAATAGGTATTTGACCTCCTCACGTTATTCAATTGGGAATACATACTAGTAGGCATAATATAGTCTATCTGGCCTGATTATCACAATTCCTGCATATTGCACCGAGGCTCTAATAAGCAGCCGCTGATTCGCCCATTGCCTTTTTCCTCGGATCATATAAGTTATAACCATTTACTGTAACACTGCAGATGTAGCAAAGTTATGTGGACAAGATCAGTTGACTGCACCTTTTTTTTTGTCGTATTCCCCCTACAATTAAAGCATATATACATAGTATATGGTGGCAAGTCGGGAGTTCACAGCGGCATGGTCCCTTGTAACTCATTGAAAAAGGATCCGCGAGACCGCCTTAGCGCACGTCCCCCAGTCTACCAAGTCCGATTTCCGTCTCTTTCTGTTTGGCCTTTGGAATTCCATTTGCACATAATCTCTTTTTCTCTCTTTTCTCTCTTTTCTCTTCTCAAGCGCTTTTCTTTTCTCCAACTTTTCTCTCGTGAGTACTTGAATTCCTTCTTTCCTATTCGTTGGGGAAAAACTATTTCCATTTGCCTTCTCCGAAAAGGGAAGAAAAAAAAGACTACCTGTTGATCTCACTCTACTCGCCCCATATTTGCATTTCTGTTGGCCTATGAATATATCAAAACCTAGACTAACCTTGTGCGATCGCTTTGGTCTTTCTCTCTAGACTTCTTCAACCAGCCATCATGTCTGCGACTCAGGAATTCACCCTCAAGGAGGTTGAGGCCCACAACACCAAGAAGGACCTCTACATGGTCATCCACGACAAGGTCTACGACTGCACCAGCTTCGTCGATGAGCACCCGTATGTTTTCCCCTCAGGCCTTGTCTATCTACATTTCCCCTGCAAATGATCTTTTTCCATCTATGCCGGTGGACGGTTCCGCGATCGCGGGACCTCATTGCCCCCTATCGCAAACCTGTTGGCCCACCCGTACCCCTCTTTCCACTGTCTTCATCATATTATACTATAAATTTCACCATTTCGCCATTTCGCCATTTCAATATATCATCACTATATGACATACAGAACTTCCCACTAATATCTCATTCTACAGTGGTGGTGAGGAAGTCCTCCTGGACGTCGGTGGCCAGGACGGTTCCGAGGCCTTCGAGGATGTCGGCCATTCCGATGAGGCACGTGAGATTCTTGACGGTCTGCTTGTCGGCAGCGTGAAGCGCATGGTATGTTTGACTCTTCTGGTCCCTTCTCTGGATTATAGAGGCCAGGTCGCATATTTCCACACACGTTCTCATTCCTTTTTGCACCTCATCCATTCATCGTCAAACACAAAAGGCTAACTTATCTACTCTCAGCCCGGTGACCCCGCCCCCAAGGCCCAGGCTTCTACCTCCTCCGGCTCTTCTCCCTCCTCTTCTTCCGGCGGCTTTGGTGTCGGTCTCTACGCTTTCATCCTTGTTGGTGGTGCCATTGCCTACGGTGTCTACAACTACCTTGAGGCCCAGAAGCAGCAGCAGTAAATCAAAGTCCAGAGGTAGTGGAGGGGATGATGAGGTGGTGTGCTGTCATGTTCCTCGTATATTCCGTGGTTTCTATGAGAGAGAAAGCAAATTCCATGAAGCGAAACCTCTTTTGAGATTGCAGAGATCTTGGGAGTTAGACTAAAAGAGAACTATTTTGGCTGCAGCTGTGACTGCACTAACGGAGTGTGATATCATTTGCAATGTTCGGGTCTTGAGGGCTTTATTATTATTATTATTTACTATTTTATTAGATCGTTTTCTGATGTTCGTTTTGTTTTCTCGAATTTCTCGAATTTCTCTCATATCTTACCAAGTTTCTATCTATAACCTACCAATCTGTAGGTACATCGTTACCTGTACCTGTTATAATTCCCGTTGTGGATCTCTTTCCAAGGTTATTGTGGAACTTTTGAATATGCCAGTGGTATTTCAACTTGACATGTGTTCTTCTTCAATGTTACTAGAAAGGCTCGCCGAAAAAGTACCGGTTCAAGTCTTTTGCCCCCACCTGCAGTTTCGGGGCTTTTTTACTCTTTTGGGGTGGAAATTCCAGGTATCGTGAGGGGGTGATATTGTTTACTACTTATTCACCGTGTTTTAAAAGTGGATCCAGTTGCGGAGAGAGGGTCTGCTTTCTGTTCTCGATGCATTAATAGACCGCTTGACATTGGAGGGTTTTCATGTCTCCATCTGCCCCGTTCTCGTCCCGTGTCTAGGCTTACATTTGTTGAACTCCGCTAACATTGAATACGTGAGAAACTTGAAACTTGAAAACTGAACGTTGAATGCTGAATTGATCTATTTTGATTGTTCTTCACAATTTTTCAGAGGTTTATCCCTTCACCTCTCTTATAGTACATGGTATCTACCAAAGTAGATGATCTAATTAATCCATCCCTTAGGACCAGCCCAGTTACCCTTCACCATGTGGGTGTAGTACACCCATGGGAAGAAATCCTTCTTCAAGTGCCAGAAGGAGCGACGGGGCTCCGCCTGGTCAATACCGAACCAGTCACCAAAAGTCTCCTTGGGCTCAGGTCCATACTTGAACTCCGCCAAGAGCACCTTGCCGTACTCGGTCAATAATGGGCAAGAAGTGTACCCATCGTAAACGGCATCCAGCTGCTTACCCTCCATGGCGTTGAGCAAGTTGCGCACAAGAACAGGAGACTGCGCAGTCACGGCGGCGGCGGTCTTGGACGTGGGCAAGCTGGAGGCATCGCCAGCGGACCAGATATTAGCGAACTTCTTGTGGCGGGTGGTGGCATCATCCACATCGACGAAGCCGGCCTCGTTCGCGATTGGGGAGTTCTTAATGAAAGCGGGTGATCCCATCTTCGGTGCAACGTGAAGGAGATCAAAGTGCTTGATGACGGATTCCGCGCCGTCGGGGCGTGCGAAGATGGCCTTGTTTCCGTCGATTTCGACCAGGTCGTGCTGGAAGAGCGCGTTGACACCACGGTCCTGCTGCATCTTGGTCAGGGCCGCATTGTACTTGGGCACACCGAACATGACGGGAAGACCAGTCGCGAAGCTGATGTTGATGGCTGAGCTGGAAGGGTTGCTGGGGTTGTAGAGACCGGCGCGCTTCCAGTGATCCAGGGCGAGCCACATGATCTTCTGCGGGGCACCGGCGCACTTAATGACGCCGGCGGGTTGGGTGAAGATAGCATTGCCCTTCTCAAACTTCCTAATGGAGGGGAAAACCTTGTTGACGGAGTCGTAGGTGTAGATGGAGGATACGGGGGCATCGGGGTTCGCAAGAGCTTCGGGGAGACCCTTGATGTTGGCGGGGGAGACGGTGAGACCGGGGGCGACGATTAATTGGTCGTAGCCAATCTTGTCGCCATTGGAGAGGGTGACAAAGTTATTTTCTGGAGCAAAAGTCTGAACGCTGTCATTGTAGAACTTGAGCTTGGGGTCTAGGAGGCTCTTCATTGGACGGCGGAGCTCTTCCTTGGTCTTCAGGCCGCCGCCGACGAGGGTCCAGCCTGGCTGGTAGTGGTGCCATTCGGCGGGGTCAACAACCGCGATATCCTCGGCTGTGAAGTTGCCGGATTGCAGAAGCTGGTGGCTAATTGTCAGACCTGCGGAACCACCTCCTACCACAACGACCTTGTGGTTGCGGGAGGCCGAAACCGGGGCAGCAGTTGCGAAGTTTCGGGTACTTGGCACGGCCTGCGCGCGGGAGGCCGTACGAACGGCGGTTGTTAAGTGACGGTAAAGCATGTTGGATTTGGAAAAGGAGAGGAATTAATTGATGAGCAAACAGAGACCTCTTCCAAGGAATTAAAAGAAAAGGAAGAGGTTGGAATGGGGGTCATTGGCTGGAATGAAAGAAGCTGTGTCAAGGTCGATGATGTGATCGTCGGTAACTTTACTGTCTGTTACACACCCCGGTTTTTATACTTCAACAATTCCCTAGTCCCAGCAGTACAACAACATTCACTATGTATACTACAAAAAATACTTGTTGAAATCGAGTATTTTAAAAGAAGAGTCTGACATGCAAGCAATAATAAAAAAAAAAAAAAAAAAAAAAAAAAAGAACTTGGTTATGACTCATATATAGACAAATTCACCGGTGTATAACTAATATCAATCGGCGACCAACTGGCGATCGGCGACCATAAAAGCCCGATCATGCAACTTTAAAACTTGAACACCTCATCCAAGAGCAAAGTTGTTCTATCAAAATCGTATGTGCCATATGCGTTACGCCATGAAGTATTGTCGATGCAAATTCCCCAGTGATTGGCTATCGACGGGGACTCAACATCGGACGCTAGCTACTCGTACTATCCCTTCCTTGCCTCGACATCGGGCTCAGAGCCAGAACTTCAACATTCTAAACTCAACCAATAACTCCACGAGGGGATTCTCGAAAACATCTCTCAGATATCGAGCACATCCAACCCAAAATTTCTCCCTTCGGCCTACTCCTGCCGTCCAAGCATTGTCAAAGGGCCAGACAAGTCTTCATACCACTGCTACTAAGGAACCTACCATCCACCACATCTTCGAGTCTGTAACAGGGACATGGCAATACATAGTTGCCGACTCATCAACGCAGACAGCAGCTATCATCGACCCAGTTTTGAACTATGACCCTGTCACCCAGGCCATCACCACAGACTCTGCTGATGCCTTACTATCATTGATCGAAGAAAAAGGCTACAAGATCGAAAGAATCCTGGAAACACATGCCCATGCAGATCATTTGACCGCTGCGTCGTATCTTCAAAGGAAGCTCACTCGGAAACAAGGATACAAGCCGCCCATTGGTATTGGCAAACGTATCGAACAAGTCCAAAAGCTATTTGGTCAACGCTATGGAATCCAGAGTGAGGAGTACGAGACCGTCTTTGATAAGCTATTCGAAGACGAAGAATTCTTTCAAATTGGCAATGTGACTGCCAAGGCTATTCATCTTCCTGGCCATACGCCAGATCATCTAGGATATCAAATCGGAGGTATGTCATAGTATACCCGCAATTCGCCCTCGCCCTCGCCGTCGATCCCGGTACCGCCCAAATTCCAAACACTCGACTAACATGTTCTCATCCCATCCCTTCCAGATAATGTGTTTTGCGGTGACTCTCTTTTTCATGCTGATATAGGTACGGCACGCTGCGATTTTCCCGGCGGGGATGCAAAAGACCTCTTTCAATCGAGTCGCAAGCTGCTAGCTCTAGATGATCATGTCAAGATCTGGCCGGGCCATGACTACCCACCGGAGGGACGGGATTCCCCCATCCCATGGCTGAGCGTGGCTGACCATAGGAAACAGAACAAACATGTTGGAGATGTGGTTTCTGAGAAGGAGTTTGTGGCGTTGCGGACAGAACGCGATGCTAAGTTGAATGCGCCGAGGCTGCTTCATCAGTCTTTGCAGGTGAACATTCGGGCTGGTCAGCTTCCCAAGCCTTTGGATTCGGGATATAGGATTCTTCGTTTGCCCTTGAAATTAAACGGATTGGAATGGTAAAGGCCAATCGAGATAATTCGGGCTCAGTGCCTATATCAAATGTTGATGGTAATACGCATACACTTGAGATGATGCAATCCTCTCTCGCCCGAGTGGTTTTGTTTCTCGCCCGAACAAAGGCTTCTCGTCCGAATTGCTACTCAGGTACAAAGACAAAAGCACGTGAGGTACTACCAGCAATGAATTACTTAGATACAATCATCAACGGGGAAATCACCACTTCTTATAGATCCTTCAAATGTTCGTTCTTTACTAGGTATCCATACTAAAAATAACAAAAAGGCCCAATTCATATTGATTAGAGCTGTGGGTCCAAATTGACCAATGGAACTTTAGAACAACCTTAACGTTGCAGCCGAGATCGCTTATGCAGTTAGAACTCAAGTACTTAGGGAGATGTTGACAATACTGAAGGTAAAGGGCTTAATTATGTGACCATCAGATTCCCTTCAAAAGTGTATGATACTAGTATAATGTGTACTCAAGTGCTAGTAGATGTCACGGGCATCGTCAAACATTGAATACGGTCATCAACAAATCCCAAAATGCAATTTTCTCCACGTGAAAAAAGAAACCACCCCCGAAATGCTCCGATCCCTGGTATATCCGATTCGATCTCATCTACAAAAGAGTAAAAAAAAAGGAAAAAGAGAAAAAGAAACAAAACAAGAGAACAAGAAAAGACCCATCAACATCCCAAGACCTCATCTGTGAAAGGTCAAATCACACTTGGCATCTTCACACCCGAACACCCGGAATCACTCGGAGTGCTGCACAGACATGGTCGCCTCCGTTCTGCGCCGCCTTATTCCCGCGCGAGTCGCAAACACAGGCTCCCAACAGCGCGACCATCATGCCAACGAGCGCACTTTCCTCTCATGGACGCGAGCAGGCCTCGGATTTGCGGCTATGGCACTCGCTCTCGACCGACTAGAGGCTATTGACCGAGTGCTCTGCTCGAAATTTGGACTCGGCCCTCTTGCGCCGTCTATTCCAATGCAGTTGGAAGAGATGGCTGCGAATCAGAAGAACCAGAACCAGAATGAAAATCAAAACCAAAACCAAAACCAAAACCAAAACCAAGGCACCGCTGCTGCACAGATGGCACAACACCACCTTGCTGGCACTATTTCGGCGGCCAGACTGTGCCAGGTGCTCGGTGTCTGGTCTTTAGGTTATGGCTTCTTCCGTTATTGGTCTATGAGGCGATATCTTCTTGTGGGAAAGTTTGTTCCTGCATTTTGGGGCCCAGTATTCATGACCTGTGGAAGTTTTGGCGCGTTTATGGCCTTGGGGTTGCAAGTGGATAGGAAGGCGTTCCTTGTGAATATATGAGGATGCATAATTGTTTCATGGCCTTTTATGGACATGCAATGCCCACTGGGGTTATTATCGAGGAAGATGGATACAGTACTAGATATGGATCTCATTTGTATGGTATAGATGGATTTAATAGATTCAATAGCATAGGTATAGATTAGACGCCCGACTGTGGATTCAATGTTTAGAACAGAGCATCAGCGATCATACATAGTAAAATACATCCGGTTCCAAGGTCATCATCAAGGATTTATGTAGCGTTAGGAGAACTTAGGACCTTGGAAAGCACCCAGAGTCAACCTTGAAAGTGCTTGGATCATCTCCACTGCCCAGCATCCTCAACCCCCTTTGCAACCTTCTTCGCTCCATCCTCGACGCCCGTCCCTGCGCTACCCAGTGCATCGCCAACGGGCTTGCCTGCGCTGCCTGTAGCACTGGTTATGGTGTCCCCGACTCCGCGCGTCGCGGCACCAGTGACGCCGCCCACGGTGCGGCCGACTCCACCGACTAGGTTTCCGAGGGTTGAAGTCGTAAATTTGGCGGCGCCTGTTACGCCAGTATCTTGGGAACTGTTGATGGGCATTTTTGGTTTGGTTGGTTTGGTTGGGTTGTTGAGTTATAGATCAGGTAGATCAATATTGAAATGGAGTTGAACTCGAGTGAAATAGCTGCAGAATGGAGGACTTGGTAGGGCCAGAAGAATGTGGATGTTTTAGATGCATCAAAAGAGAAGGAAACGGTAATGCATCAAATGATCATTTTGAATGCCCCATTAGATGCCTGATACTTGCCAGTGGGTATCTGATCACACATATGATGTCATTGTTTACGTGTGTGATGATGGTGGAGGCTTTTTCAAAGCAAGGATCGTTTCGCAAGTGCATGTGGCGTTATTGTTTAATCTAAGTACGTGGCATTTTAATTTAGGTCGGACCAATGCCTTCCATTTCTGCTGTGACCGATCAAGTTCTAGTCAAGACTTTCTTTACCATAAGTAGAAACATGAACGTAAAAGAAGAAACCATTCTTTTTTGGAAATAAAAAGGAAATACAAGAAAATATCGTGGTCAATGAGGATAAAAAATAAAACTGTGAAAGAAACGCAAGAATGCCCAACTCCCACGCTGGAGAGAATGGTGTATATGCTCGAATTCAATATGTTCTGTCGTGCACTTCTCGGATAAGAATCTCCAAGAATCCAGACCCCTCAAAAAAGCGATTAGCGAGTAGACGCAGAACCATTCAAGCCATTCTGGACAGCCTCCAAGATCATCTGCTTGGCTTCTTCCAACCCAGCCGAGCTACCGCGGATCTCAATGGCCTCGCCACGGGCTTGGTCCTTAGGCACGTTGATACGGCAGCCGGTCTTCTTCCGGATGGCGTTGATCTGACTACCGCCTTGACCAACGACGTAACGGTAGGTCTTGGGGTCTGGCAGGATCAGGTAGCCAGTGGCGGACTGTTGGGAAGCAGATTCCAAGGCCTTGATAATCGCCGCGCGAGCCTTGGTGACATTCTCTGGGGAGCCACTCAAAACCCATGGGAAGGGAGTGATGTCAACATCAGCAGAGATGCTGTTGTCAACTACGCTCCAGGAGTGGGCGTCCGCAGACTCGCTGGGATCATCGGTGATCAGGGGAGAGAGTTGCCGTTGGCGGAGCTGCGAGTCTCCTCCGTGGCACGGTTGTTACTAGGTACAGCCTTGCCGGCGTGGTCAACAGTGACATGGTGGTCACTGCGCAGACGGCGGAAGAAAGCGCCGTTGTCGGCGATGGCGTGGTGCAAGTGAGTTGGCACAAATGCAGTCTCGGCGTGTTGATCCTTCATCATGCCCTGGATGTGCTCCTTTGCCTCGGCAACAGCACCGCTGGCGCCCTTGAGTTTAACATCAGTGCGACCAGAACCTTGCTTAGGAATGTCCAAGGTGACGTTAAACTTTGACTCAATACCACGACGAGTATCACCTCCACGACCGATCAGTAGACGGTGCTGGGCAGTGGGAACATCAAGGGTCTCAGAGACCTGGTCCGCACGCTCCTTGACGAACTCCTCAATGGCTGCAATGATACTGTCCACAATCTTTCCATCACCCTCGAGGCGAATTGTAGATTCAGTGCTATCGGCCTTGGGGAATCGGACCATACGAGCAGCGCTGCCATCACTGGGGCCACCAGCATCAATCACAATCTTGCGGATATTGGCACCTATTGTTTATTAGTATGGGTGTTTTATTTGTAAATTTTTTTATTTGGTGAAAAAAAGACGGGGACCCATGCAAGTGCGATGGGATGGAAAGGGATAACGTACCACCACCGCCGATCAGGGCCTTGTGATATTTCTTCTCGACCTCAATAGACTTGGTCACAGTAGCATCGAAGTCAGTGGCGCGCTGCTGCAGGATCTTCTTGGCCTCGGCCACCTGCTGCTTAGTACCCTTGACACGAATCTGGACACGACCAGATGCATCCGCTGCATCATTAGCGGCAGGAACATCAATCTGAGCTCCGGTGTCTGCTCGGACCTTGTCCATCTCCCGACCACGTTGACCGATCAGGGAGGCAACCTGACTTTGGGCGACCGAGATATTAGCACTGTGTGAGTGATCAATAACCCATTGCAGTAAGCTAAGGATCTCATCACGAGTGGCATCTGCGCCCTTGCTAGGTCCCTTGACCAGAACCTCATCAGCGGCCTGCTGGGGGCGGTTGCGGGCAACACCAGCATCGCTGCTAGTCTCACCAACTGACTGCTCATCAGTAGAAGCAGCTGCACGAGGGAACTGAACGCGAGTAGAGTAGCGGTCCTGCAGGCGGTTCACAAGGGCACCCCGCTGTCCGATAAGCTCACGGTGGTATTGTGCGGGAATCTTAAGGACGTGGGTAGTCTCATCTTCCCACTTCTTGCCCATGTTGATAATACGCATACGGGTAGCATCGGCCTTGGCCTTAGGACCCTTGACCTCAACCTTGCCGTTCTCAACCTTGATGTCCACATCGAATTCCTCGCGCAGCTTGTTGATGTTCTCACCACGCTTTCCGATCAAGAAGTTAGCGTACTTCTGGGGGAAGTCAAAGGTGTTCGTGTAACCACGCTCCAAGTCATCCTGCTCCTGTTCCACAACGAACGCCTCGAGCTTGGAAGCGAGCTCGGAAACCAATTCAGAGGGTCCACGCAGAGAGACTTCACACTTGGAGGCCTTAGGCTCACCAATGATAGCGCGTACGGGGATGCTATCCTCGCCCTTGGCGTCCTGTTCACGGATGATGAACTTGCGGGCCTTCTCCTGGTACTTGGCAGGGACAGAGGCCGACCCTCCAACAATGTCACTCTGGTTTCCAAGTGTGCTCAACAAGAAAGCCTGAGCCTCCAGCAAGGACTTTTCGAACTCGGCTACCTCTGCGGGGGCTGGACGCTGTCTTGGGACCTCAAAGTTGGCAGCAGTGGAGGTAGGGCCCTCGTAGACAAGCACAACCTCGGTGCTGTTGATATCTTCTGGCACAAGGAGATGAACACCATAGTCATCCTGAAGCTTGCTCGCGCCACGGGACCGCAGGTAAGGGTGGAAGTATGGATCCACCGGCACATGACGGAGACGAGACGGAGGGTGGGCTTGGACGAGGTTCATGATGTCCGAGCGAGCACGGATGGTGTTCTTACCATCACGAGAGTATACCTCCCAGGCCACGGGACCCTCGACACTCGGGGAGAGTGCGATATGGGCATCATAAGCAGACTCAAGCTGTTTGATCACCTGGCGACGTTGCAGGTATTGGGTCAAAGCACGTGCGTGGGCGTGAGGACCAGCAGGGGCAGTGGGGTGTTGACGAGACAAGTCAATGCTTGACATTTGCATGCTAGTCGCAAGATCCATCGCGTGGTTGATACCAGCTTCGATCTGGTCCACAGGACCAGTGATAGTGAGGAACTCGCTGTCATCTGAGGTAGGGGGTAGAATAATAGCACAACCAGTCTGTGCAACAAATTGGTGCAAAGCATCAGCCTCGTTTCCAAGGATGAACTGGTGCTGGCCGCGGTTGATGGCCAATTGGCGGAGGGTCAGCTTTTGCTGCAAATCAGCCGCCAAACGCTCAATCTCCACACGGGCTTCCTGAGCCGCGGCACGCTCTCCAGAAATGAGAATATGCTTATCCGCAACAGGCACAAATTGCACCTGGCCGGGCTGGGCCTCCTGGGGTGGGGGCTGCAGGGTCCAAGTGTCGTAACGGGGAATATTGATCTGTGCCTTGGTTCGCTCCTCAATCTGGCGCAATGCCGCATCGTGAGCACCCGCAATGAACGGGAAGAACTCTGGGGGGACGGTCTTCAAGCGGAAGCTCATGTTCGAGCCGCGCTCCTTGACAATCGCCTCAATTTCTCGACGCGCCATCTCGGCAGCGACGGCATCACCTTCAATCAGAACGTCAATGGTATCGTCATCATCCTCGGTGGCAGCGGCATTTCCATCAGCCCGGGGGACCTGAACACGGGCACCGGTGCGGGACTGAATATCTTGAACCACGGCACCTTGGCGACCAATGATGTGAGCTCGTGCGGAGGTAGGAATAGGAACACGGACGGATTGCTGTGAGCACATAGGGGTCAGCTTGGATAATGAAGTGGATAGAGCACTGGATTAACTACCTTGGATCCAACTTGTTGTGCGACCTCCTTCAGGGCCTGGCGAACGGAATCGACAGTTCCCTTACCTTCAAAGACAAAGACGCCATTCGGTCCACTGCGGATAGTCACAGTAGCCTTGGATCTCCGCGAAATGTCGCGAAGGATATCTTGGAGGGGTTTCTTCATCTGTCCGCGGGGGAGCATCTGAGAGGGGGCAAGACGAAGCTGCTCCATGTGCTTTCCGGGGAGAGACATGACTCGGGGAATATCTGTTGATCGTCAGAAACTCCAATTTTAGGCGTAGTTCGCTATTCTCCTCTATCTCTCTGCTAGGAATGGCTGCTTACCCATTGGCTTAGCGGCCTGGCCATGAGCCACGGCGGCAGCGGCAGATGGCTTCTTCGCACCCCAAGTAGCTGCGGCAGGAGCAGCAGGCTTAGGGCCACTGCCCAGAGCGGGGAAGAGCTCCTCTGACTGTACATCAAAAGCCGGTGTCTTCTTCGCGGGCTTCGGAATTGGGGCTGGGGTGGTGGTCTCGGCCGGTGTGGATGATTCCAAGACAGGGGCGTTGTTCACCAAAGATGACGGCGGTGGGTGCTTGAGATCTTCCTCATCGATGACCTCCTCAACGGTGGCATGGTGGTCTTGATCGCGAGTGTGTTGCTCCTCCAGCATGGCGGCGAGAGACTTGGAGGCAGCACCATTGGCGGTGGTCGAGGCGTCGGCAGCCATGATGAGCAGGCGCAATTGGAAAAGGTATGAGGAATCAGGGGGTAGGTGAGTGGATGGGACGGTGCAAGTAATCAAAACTAAAGGTGGATCAGTATTGCAATGAAAAGCAGTCACACCTCCGAGGGGTCTCAGAATGGTAGATCTGAGGGGGAGACAGATAATTTGAAGGAAAAGGTTGAGTGAAGAGGGAAGACTGACGGGTTGAGTGTTACCCTTTTGAATTGAGGCTCGGAAGTGAATGCGATACCTGGTGACTTGACAGGCAACTCCCCAGAGAATGAGGTGAAGCGGGATAAGAAATATGAGGATCCGGACCAAACACCCAGAAAAGGAATGTACAGAATGCCCGTAGGCAGAAACCCCAGAAAAGGGGAATGGAGAGATGTGAGGGGAGGGGAGAGGGAAGGGGAGTGGGTGGAAAGAGGAAGAAAGGTGAAGGTTGACACGAGAACCCCAGAAGTACACAAAGTGACAGAAAAGGCCAGCTCGAGGCTCCGGGGGGGTTTTCTCCGAGTCCGAATTCACCACCGCAATCCCGCCAAAAAAAAACCCCCCCAGATAAGCAATTGGAGTCGCAATTATGTATTATACATGTTGATTTGAATTGTGATTGGATAAATAATTATTTTACAGCATTTTATGCTCTTTTGGCAACATTGAACAATTTTCAAAGCCTTGAAAGTCAGGACTCAGGTGTGCACATGATGTCAACTGGTGTGTTGCTCAGGGGGAGAGTCGAGACCCTTTCAATGTTGCCACTTCACTCTTCTTGTGGCTTCCACTGGTAGAATGTCCCAAATTGCCACTCTCATCTAGGGACTGCCTTTAGCAGAGACACACATGTGGTGATAGGTGAACTCCAAGCTTCCAAGGTCCCAAGGTTTTTGGAGGGAGCGCATGAGGAATACCGAATATGTACAAAACATTTGAAGCAATTGAGAGCAATGCAAGTGCATTGTCAATCACACATTGTACTAGTATACTATAGTATATAGTATAGTATGATATACCTGTCGGGTTTTTCAAAAAGATCTTATCAACTTGAAAGATGTCGCGTTAGTATCAGTTCATTGGATCTTCAGTGGTAGATAAATACATTTGAATAGATGATCTGATTGATCCAATAGGGGTCCCGACTCGGAGTCTCGGACACATCCGATGTGGTGACCCCACACGGGCCACACCATCTGGAAGATTCCTCAAGTGCTTTTCTCAATATTGGAAGTGCTTCAACCTTGGAACCTTCCACATGTAGGTTGTAGAGATCAAAGAATTTCAAAGCTGTCCACTTCCATTAGCATAATCCCATTTGAAAACATTTGAAAGGAGTTTAATACAGAAACAGGTCATCTGGATCATACATAAGACAGTATTAATAAACTTTCTCAATTTCCACTAAATATACTATTACTTAGTAGGAACTATAGCTAGCAAGATGGTTTGAAAGATAGTTCAAATGTTAGGAGGATAGCTATCATAGCTAGGAGAATAGGTAGGAAGACAGTTCGGAACATTTGAATATTGAAACATTGAATAGTACGGAGGACAGAAAATTAGACTTAGTAATAAAAGGGTTCAAATGTTGTTTTTTTAGCCTCTACTAGTACATAGCACTCATTGAGGGCTGTGATTCAAATGTTTGAAGTTTTCAATAAACTCCTCAAAACATCAATGAAAAGCCCGACCTGTCTTAGGATCTAGATGACCTGTTTCTGTATTCAAAAAACTCCCATACATATATATTGTGGGTTTCAGAAATCATTATTTTGAAGATTGAATTCGAATTTGTGATTGATATTTTTGAACCTTGCAATTGAATGTTGTTGCCAACGATGATCTTGTTCCATAGCAGTATCTAATTATGAGCATCGCGGATAACTGGAGGGGGGGGGGGGGGGGGGGGGGGGGGCAGAAATGGACAAATCGACAGACTCACAAAAAATGAAGTCTAGCAACCAGTTGACAGCCAAGAAGGTGGGAATTTCTTCCAAGATCATGGACATTTCTAGAGATTGTCGGCGGAAAATTCCGATTGTCAGAATGTAGTACACACCTGGATCAAGACCGTGCAGAATACCAGGGGGGAATCTCGGCGACGGGGCATAACGCTCCCACAAAGTAACCTCGTACATAAGCTGATGATCATTCACAGCGGCCTGGTTGATCGACATGGTGGAGAAGCACCTGCGTACTTCGTCTCTTGGTATGATTGGGAAAGATGATCGTCTCGGAAGGCAGAAATCTTCTGAAGACTTTGAAGAAGCTCAGACTAATGTGTACGTCGCTCTGTTGAGATTTACATGCCAACCAATGTACTAGGTAGGCTGTAGCTAAGCTTTGGTGTATTAAGGGCCAAGACGATTAACATGGCGCACGTGATTGACTTTCAAGGTCTGAGTATGAGCAGTACTCAACATTTCACCAGAGGTCTGCACAGGTGAAAGAATTTCTTCTACTACTACTAGCTGCACCCGTGAAATTTGAATTTACAAAGTCATCACCACGGATACTACAGTATTTCTTACTTGAAACCCGTAAATCATATAATAAAATGTGCATTTCCTGGAATAAACAGAAAGGATTAGGATTAGCGGTAATCTGCCTGGGCGCTATTGCACGATCGTGCCAAAAGGTCGCACATGGGTATCGAGTAAAACGAGCACACAACTCAAAAGGTATGAGGACTTGACCATCGACAGAAAAAGAAGAAAAGAAAAAAACAAACAGCCGAGCTCCCAGCCGAGAGCCGACGCATGCAAGCAACATATGTATAAGGTTTATACGGTATAGTCAGACCACCTCCACTATATACTCAAAGTAGAGTTGGTTAAATTGATCACCAAAAGCTGGGGCATTATGGTGTGCTTGGGGCTTAGGCAGCGTTGACGACTGGCCACCCATCAGTAAAGCCCAACTCGTTCCATCCATAGCGGTATCCAGCAGCGCCGTCACCGCCAGCCTCCTTGGTAGCGAGAGGGTAATAGTGGTAGTAGAGAATAGGTCCAAGGTCACTGTCGTTCAGCACGCCCCTAGAAGATCATTGGTCAGAAATTACGACTTGTGGAGTGCAGATTGGCATCGCATCACTTACTCTCCACCGGGTCCATAGACCTGGTTGTGACTGGCCAATAGCATTGTTCCGCCTGACTTCAGACACTCAGTGCCGTCCTTATCCACCTGCAGATCATCGACCCCGTTAGCTATGACGCATATTTTGAAGCCATGCTACCTTATTTTTTCCCTTGTCGATGCGTTCGGGGTGAAAAAGAGAAAAATAATAAAGTTAGGGTGGGGAAAGAACAACTTACAAATCCACCAGTTCCAGTAGTGGAGCGACAAACACGGATGCTGTACTCGGCTCCCGCAGCTGGGGTAGTCGCAGTGTATGAGCCCGCAATACCAGCGCTGAAAAAGAGGTAGTAGTAGTCGTCGTGGTAGTAAAGGAAGGATCCTTCCTCGCGGTGGTTAAGAGAGGCGTTCCAAGAGAGCTGATAAGGAGTGTGGGAGCCGACTTTCATGGCGCTTGTGAGTTCAACCTGGTAGATATCCTGCCAGAAAGAGCCAAATTGGAGGTATTGCTTTCCACCAATTTCGATCCAGTTGGGGTCGATTCGATTGTAGTCTGTGTTTGCGGGGATGCCGACAGCGCCATGGTCGGTCCAGGAACCAACCTCCAAAGTGGTGGAGGTAGCAACACCGATCTCTGATGTCTGCGTACCAATGGCGGAAATCACATAGTACATGTAATAAGTACCACCAGAGTAGTGAACATCAGGGGCCTTTTTGCGTGAAAAGAGTCAAATGTTAGCTGAATGATTGGCGCCACCTCTGTGTTTTCTCCCAGTGTGTTTATTTGTTTACATACCCAGATGTCAGTGTGGTTTGCGCCAGCCAGGACAATGTTGGATCCATCAGGCAAAGCAGAGCCCAAGTCTGTCCAAGGTCCCTTCAGTGCCGGTGAGGACATGATGTTCACACCTGTGCCTGTAGAGAAACGGAAGTACTTGCCATCTGACTCACGCTGGATCATAGAAGGATCATGAGCCCAGCAGTTGCCAGTGCATGGCCCCCGAGCAGGGTAGGCCGCTGCCAACGATACGAAAAGAGAGAGGAGGCCGAGCATAATGTGAGGATAAGACAACAAGGGCTGTCAGGAAGGGGAGGAAGTTGTCGAAATACCGTGGCTATTATGTTTCTAGAAAGGAATGAGAAGAATGGCGGCGGAAGTGGCTCAATTTATGTTGGATTACTTCGTCGCCTTTGGCCCGCGTTGGAGGGTCATGCAGATGTCGTCTTTAGCGGTGGATTTTTCGCCTTGATTGAAGGTCTTGGGACCAGGGGAGGCCAATCACAACTTTGTTCCCTGCATATTGGTCCTATGAATGTAAGGCACATGTCAGTAGGAGATGGGGTTCCGACGTGGCTCGACGCCAAAATAGGGATAGCAGTCCAAGAATCAGCAGTAGCCGGTGGATCATGGACCATCTGGGACTCTGGGTAATTTGCAAACAGACCCGCTTTGAGGGATCAGAAAAATGTAGTTGCTTAGTAGCTACATCCCTTATGTGATGTCTCGCATCCTGTAATGCCTGGAACTGGTACCCCACAGGGAAGGCTCCACTATTGTCCAACTTGAGATTACATAGAAGAATTTAGTCTTGTCCGATTTGCTCGATAGCTTTCTTGTCCACAGGGATGTGCATGATTCGCAATCGAGAAGTGCGCAAGCGCATGGGTCCAACTCAAACCCCCTGCGGTTGAGTTGGGGCCGTAGAAGGTAAACAGTAAGGGATCATCGCTTAGGTGTCCAAGGTACTAAGAACTTGTTTTTTTTTTTTTTTTCTTTTTCTTTATCTTTTTCTTAATTTTTCTTCCTTTTCATCAGCTTTAATTTTGACAAATTTCCCTTTTTTTTTAAAAAAAAAATATATATATATATATATAATTAAATCACTGTACATCTTGCATTCAATGTTACTTATACGACTGCAGGTCCTTAAGAGGCGTTGCTATGCCAATCAAAATTCACCGAGAACAACGCCCAATGTCAGCGGGAACGCCTCTCGGACTATTATCAAATATGTTTTTATTTGTTGTTACTTAGTATTCCGTAGTCCGGGGGTTAATGATCGACACCCCATGTGGGACCCGGTATTGCCCTATCGCCAATAAGCTTCATTAAAGAGGCTCACCAGATTCCCCAGCGTGCCTCGACCCAGCTTTTCAGCCAAGGTTGGTTTTCCCCCGGATTTCTTTTTGACAGAACCCCCCCAGTGATCCCATGACAATTTCACCTCTCTTATTCTCCAAAATGTTTTGGAAGCGAAAAAGAGAGAAGAACCAAACACAATACCAAATAATACCAAATAATACGAATGGATCGCCAAATCCTAAAAAGGCAACTTAGGGGCAGCAGCAGGAAGTGGAACCTAAAAGAGGAAGCGAAAGCCGAGGCCCGACAACTGGAAGCTTGGAAAACAAGGCTACACATCCAAACAAGACATATCCACTCGTCTCTTTCTTCCAATACTGAAAAAAAAAAAAAAGAAAAAGAAAAAGAAACAAAAAAACAAAGAAAAGACACTTTCTCAGCTGCGAGCCTGAGACCATCAGCCCCAGTCCGTTAGTGCCTACACCGACTCTCGATCCCGATCTACAGCCTAACGCGAGAGCGACCGAGCTCCTAAAAAAAGAACAGAAAAGGTCAAGCATCGGCAATTCATAGCCCCGCCATCTTGGCTCTCGTCATAAATCGGGCGCTCAGATTTCCCTGATCGCAATGAAAACCCCTCATGACAAAATAAACCCCACAAGTCACGCGAAGAGGCTACTTCCAACGTAACATTACTTATCTTGGCCACCGGACACAGTGACGAAATAAAGAGGAACACATGGCACATCCAGATGTCTCGACTTAAACAAGACAACCCACTGGAATGATTCACACCTTCACGGGCCTCACCGCATTGCGAGCCTTATGGCCCCTTCCCCCAACTTGGAACATACTGTACTAGTACTAGTTTACTCTAATTTACTCTACTCTGGGGCTGACGGATGCTGCTCCTGATACAATCCTGACATGCACCCTCCAAGGTTCCTCGAAAGTCCATTTGCAAGTGACTATGGCCCCGGGGGTCGATGGCATGATGACACGATGGGATGGAATAAGTAAAATGTCCGACCGATTGTAAATCATGCCGGTTGACATGTACGGTGCCTGATCCGGACCTGTACATACATGTATACTCCCAGCCGTCCTTGTGCATTATATGGCGTTATTGTCCCTCCCGGCGCCGCTTTTACGAGGCAGGAACAAAGTACATGTAAAAAGTAAGCTCTGGACAGGATCACGTGAATCGAGTTGTGGTGGTCTAGCCTGGGTATCAACATTTGAAGTATCCAGAACTCAAGTGAGATCTTTCTCAGATCTATAAATACATTTCGCATCTAATCTTCAAATGTTCATTTCTACCGACAGGCCCTCAATCATCCCGATATGGCTCAAAACCTTGGAAAAGCCTCTACCTATCCTGCTGCCTAAATATGTATCTCAACCTCAAATTATAAGCACTAGGTAGATTGAAGCACTAGAATCTCTGTGCAAGGGTTAGGGCAATTTTAAATACGAACATTGATACATAGATATATGAGTGAGACTTTGCAAACTTTAAAACATTCGAACCATCGAGAAGCCAGTATCTTGCACATGGCGAGAATAACATTGAATGTTGACGGAAAAAACCACCTTTTTACAAGCACTTGAGCCTTCAAAGGAAGGATGGGCATGAGGACCTTGAGAGTTTCCACATTGAATCGTCATACCTACCCGTCTACATAGGTACGAGTAAGGCTGGAAACAATCAATTGATTGAACCACACATGTGCAGGTGCCAATATCCGCACGACTTCGGGAATTCCGAGCACTCAAGCACTTGAGTGGTGCTGTATCCGGGGCCATTCCAAGGTTTTGCCTGGGCTCCCACCTGGGCAAAATAATCTTATTGAATGAACATTATGACATCAATCTGGAACATTGAATCAATCAATATCTGGCATGGGTACTTTGAATCTATATACATACTAGGTATGTTCAATGTTCCTGCTTCAGATGCTCTTCAGTTTTTCCAGAGAGTACTGCGCAAGGTGCTATTTAACTGCGCACGGTAGACCTTGTTTTCATTAAGAATATACATCTGACCATTCTTACCGAAGGAAAAGTTAGAAGTGCCATTTTTCAGCAAAATCTTACCCAGCAAGACACCACCAGAAGACCACACATTCACACCGTCACCGCAGCCAGCATACACGTTACCATGCTGATCAACCTTAATTCCATCAGGGATACCATCGCTAGGCATTGCAAACACTCGGCGGTTGGTCAGGAACGGCTGTCCGCTGATAGTAGACAAGTCAAAAGCATAGCTAGATAATATCAGTCAAAACGTCCTTCAACTTCGGTAATACAGACATGGGACATAAGAAGAAAAAATCATCCCGGAGCTCAACTCACATGGTGGCAGGCTTTAACACATCAGTAGATCCATCACCGTCCGTCTCGGCAGTATCGGTTATGTACATGGTTTTCTCATTCGGCGAGAAAGAAATTCCATTCGGGCGACCGAAGCCATCTGCAACAACGCGAACAGCCTGAGTAGCAGGATCATACCGATAAACTTGGCATGGCAGCTGGGGTTTCGGCCTGACCCCCTGACGCCAGCCATAGATAGGATCGGTGAACCAGAAGGAGCCGTCGCTGGCGACAATCACGTCGTTTAGAGAGTTAAACTGGCGGCCGTAAAAGCCTCCCACGATAAACTCGGCCTTATTTGGCGATTGAGCGGACATTTGCCATAGACCACCAGTCGTGTTTTTGGTGCCCTGGCCTGTCCAGAGGATGCCGCCATTGTGGTTTACGCCGCCATTGGGCAAGGGGATGGTCGAGTTAATGATCTCAGCCGTGACAGGGTTTGCGGTCACGCTCACCTTGGAGATCTTGACGGTTGTTTGGTTGGTTATTGGGTCGGTGTACATGTTGCTCGACATGAAGAGCTCGTCTGTTGTTGGGACGTAGACGCTTGCCTCGTGAGCAAAGGGGAAGTCATTGTTCTCCAGAATGACTTCGAGTTTTGGGGCGGAGCCAAGAATGTTATAGAAGGCATTGTCGTACACGCTGAATGCGGCTGGAATAGAGGTGCTTGCCGAGGTGGCTGTGTGTGAGAGGGTGGTGGTCATTGCGTGTGTCTCAGTCTTACGCGAGAGATGATGGACTAACTTGAAGGATCCTGGGGATTTTCTTCAGGGGAAGAACCCGCTACCTTATTTACGTTTAGGGAGTATTTAAAGTGAGCTTAGTTTTTTTTTTTTTTTTTTTTTCTTTCTAGAATAAGATGATGTCAGAAAATCCACCTCTCGCTGGGTGAACAAACCAAATCATGGTGGAGTTCTATAGCTCCTGGGCGTTGAGCCAGAAATTGATTAGATCGACGCTGGTCCACGATCCACGGCTGGGAATTCGCCGAGGTTTCACCTTGTGCAGGTTAACCATACATGTAGTATGTGAAGCTTGGCGTTGGAAAAATTAGCTTGACTTTTGAGGAAACACCTTGGATGATTATGAGGCATTGGTCATGTTCCATTTCAATATTGACGTTCGTCACTCTTGCGGGCACTAGTGGGCACTGGTTTGAGTATTGGGTGTTGACGAGGGTCACGGAGTTTGAACCAAGTCTTGAGCTGTAGTATATATGGTTTCCTAGTATGCAGGGCGAAAGGAATTCCAGTCTTATTCGCTACCAGTACTGTAACAAGAAAGGTTTGGATCTTAAAGTCGCTGCCAAGAGTGTTAGTGCAAGCTGCATTTGCTTTTGACCATTCAGATTTGAACTGAGAAGGGATGTATATAGGATGACTGGATTAGAGAATATGTGCTATTAGATATCCTCATAGCCTTGAAGAAATTGATTGCTGATGCCGTACCAGCAAGTTGACTGTGAGACGTATGAATTGGGTTAATGGATATAAATCGGTCACAAAGCGCGACTCGAGTCTTGTGAAACTCAAGTTGGTCCCGATATTGTTTGTATCAGCAGAGAGTTCACAGAATATGGAGGGGTCGAGAGTGACTGTTGTAAGATCACGCTTAGCGACACGTCGAGATAAAGAATAATCAGAATGAAAACAATGGTCTAGTCAATAATCATGTTCATAGTGCGGATAGATACATGATCAATCACTTTGCCCCATCTCTTAAGGCCGCGTAGCCCCGCGGCAATCAGTTGTTCCGCTCTGCCCCACTCATGCCACTTTCTGATAACGGAGGAGTCAGAACTCAGGACCACTGGTCCACTGCTGTATCCCGACTCCCGACCGGTGACCATACTAGTCAAACATTGTGGACTTCAGCTCAATATTTCCTCATATTCATTTGGATTTGGGTCCGTCACCCCTCAGGCACAATGGCACCCCTCGTAACATTGGCCACCTGTGCTCTGAACCAGTGGAGTCTGGACTTTGAGGGAAATTTGAGGCGCATCAAGCAGAGTATTGTCAAAGCCAAGGCGGCCGGTGCAACTCTGCGTGTCGGCCCTGAACTCGAAATCCCAGGATATGGTAAGACTGCCCTACAGTGATATATTCAACTTCTGGAAATCTTCTTGTCGCTCTAACCTTGTACCAGGCTGCTTGGACCACTTCTTAGAGACCGAAGTATATGAGCACTCGTGGGATTCTTTGTACTCTATCTTGACCGATGAGTCACTACATGGAATCATCATCGATGTCGGTCTGCCTCTACTCCACCGGAATTGCAGATACAATGCACGTGCCATCGTTCTGGATGGGAAGATCCTGTGTCTTCGCCCAAAACTGTATCTCGCCAACGATGGCAATTTCCGTGAGATGCGCTTCTTCACGCCGTGGAACAGGCCCAGACACGTAGAGCAATATTACCTCCCACCGCTGATCCAGAAGCACCAAGGTGCCCGCCATGTGCCAATTGGTGATGTTGTTCTCTCCACAATCGACACTTGTTTGGCTGCCGAGACGTGTGAAGAGTTATTCACGCCTAACAGCCCTCATATTAACATGTATGCTTGAATCTTCATTCCCGATCTAGTCCAATTTCGACGCTAACATGGATATCTCTAGGGGACTCAACGGAGTGGAGATCTTTACGAATAGCAGTGGAAGTCACCACTCACTCCGAAAGCTTGATGAACGAATTGCCCTTATTCAAGAAGCCACTCGTAAGAATGGCGGTGTCTACCTATACTCCAACCAACTTGGATGCGATGGAGATCGGCTTTACTATGATGGCTGTGCGATGATCTTCGTTAACGGTGACATTGTGGGACAATCAAGTCAATTCTCGCTGAATGAGGTTGAAGTTGTCGTGGCCACAGTCGATTTAGAAAAAGTACGAGCTTATCGATTTGCCCCATCGCGTGGCTTACAGGCAGTAGCGGCACCGGAATACCAGCGGATTGAGGTGGATTACTCTCTTTCCCATGATAATCTCGATCTTGAGTTCGACTTGCGGCCTACTGCCCCCCGGCCAGCGCGGTATCACCTCCCTGAGGAGGAAATTGCTTTGGGACCCGCCTGTTGGCTATGGGATTACCTTCGGCGCTCCAAGGCCGCTGGGTTCTTCGTTCCATTGTCCGGTGGAATCGACAGTTGTGCGACGGCGACAATTGTTTATTCCATGTGTCGCTTGGTCATTACAGCTATCAAGGAAGGGAATGAGCAAGTCATAACTGATGTCAAGCGGATTGCCGCTTACTCATCGACTCTCCCTCAAACAGCAGAAGAGCTGTGTAATCAGATTTTCTGTACATGCTACATGGGAATGGAGAACCAGAGCAGCAAGGAAACTCGGGACCGTGCAAAGGCCTTGTCCGAGCGGATTGGGTCGTATCACACTGATGTCAATATTGACAATATGTTCAATTCTACGAAGAACATCCTCACTCAGGCCACGGGCTTTGAACCGAAATTCAAGGGTTAGTCATGCTGCCTTCACAGAAAGTAAACTCACATGCTGACAGATTCCAATCTTTTACAGTCCATGGAGGTTCGAACACATCAAATCTCGCACTTCAAAATATCCAGGCACGGTCCAGAATGGTGCTTGCGTACTACTTTGCTCAAGAGCTATGCGAGGTCCGCAATCGTCCCGGCGGCGGCTCTCTTCTGGTCTTGGGAAGTTCCAATGTAGATGAATGTCTTCGTGGATGTAAGTATTGCTACACAATCATCTTCCCTATCAGTGGAACAGAATACTCACGCCCGGGCAGATCTGACCAAATACGACTGTTCCTCTGCCGATATCAACCCCATTGGGTCAATCAGTAAAGTGGATCTCAAGCGGTTTATTGACTGGGCATCGAAGGACTTTGAAATGCCCATTCTTGTGGACTTCCTGGATGCCATCCCCACGGCGGAATTGGAGCCAATCACGGAGAACTATGTGCAAAGCGACGAGGTTGACATGCAGATGACCTATAGCGAACTCTCGCGTTTCGGAAGACTGAGGAAAGTGGATCATCTGGGGCCATATGGAATGTTCCTTCGTCTTTTGGACGAATGGGGCGGCGAAGGAAAACTTAGCCCCCGTGAGATCGGCCATAAGGTGAAGTTGTTCTTCCATTTCTATCAGATCAACCGGCACAAGCAAACCGTTGCCACTCCGTCTTACCATGCGGAGAACTACAGCCCTGATGATCATCGATTTGATCTTCGGCCATTTGTGTACCCACCTGGATTTGAGAGTTGGTCATTCAGGAAGATTGACGAACGGGTGGAAGCTTTGGAGCAGCGGAAGAAGCGACAGGAGGCGTAGGTTACTAGTATGTGTTTTTTTTTTTTTTTTTTTTTTTTTTTCTCTGAAAGTTTGGGGATGTTGGCAGGTGTGTATGTATGGCTTCATTCCAATATTTGAAGGTTGGGATGTTGAGATACTAACATTTGAAAGATTACACATGCACCTGCAGTGTTTGTAGCTACTATACTAGTAGTATTGAGTACCTACTATGTAGGATATGCACTATGTACTTTCAATGTTCCGTGTGCCGCAGTGGGGATTGCCAAGAAACCTTCAAATGTTAGCAAAAACCAAAGATTACCAGTCCTCAAGTTAGTATAGTAGTGTCATTTCCTGGAAATGCGTTTCAGCTTGTTTAGTCAATGATCTTATGGCCGAAATAACTAACTGAACTATTATGTGGACTGGTATTTTTTCTTTCCTTATGGAGATCAAGGTAATCTATTCAGGATGAGTGAGATGACGAAGCCTTTGGGGCTATTTATCCGAGTGGAAAAAAGAGATTCAAATATTGTGATTCAGTTACAGACACCAGACACTATACCAAGAGTACCTACATATATGTAATCTCCAAATGTCAGAAAACATTGAATGTATATTCTCCATTGACGTGTATATCCACTTTGACCCCCTTAAGGAAATGTAACAAATTCTAAGAAAATCTAGAATCTCGGGAATCAAAACGCCCCAATTCCTGACTATTTGGGGATTTGTGATAACCCGTGCATAAGAGGGGGAAATGAAGGAAATTACGTAGAATCAAACAATTTCCCCCCCAAAAAAGACAAAAAAAGACAAAAACCAGTGGACAAAAAGTGCCCAGTTGATATATCAACCGATTTCCATATACTCCCCCCGCGTCATCTCAATGAAAAAAAAACCAGCCACTCCTTTTTCCCATCTCCACGTGTGAATAGCCCGTTCATTGGCCGGTGTAACTTGTAGGACCCCCCTCTTTCCCCTGGTGTGATTCTCTTCTTTTATTAACATTCCATTCGAGAAGAACCAAAAGATTATACAGGAATTTGGGGAAATTCAAGAAAGGAAAAAAAAAAAGGAGAATCCCTAATCCTGGTTTGCTGTTGTGGTGGTACTCAACCTTCCGGGCGCCAAAAGTTCTGGGTTCTGGGAATTGGGAAAATTGGAAAATTCTCCTGACCCCTCGGCCCAATTTCAATCGGTGTCTCGTGTAGAGAGACCCTCCCCCCAAAAAATTACAGAAGGAAAAGAAAAGAGAAACCTTGGAAAAGAAAGAGGGAGAACACACACACAGAGAGAGAGAGAGAGAGAGAGAGAGAGAGAGAGAGAGAGAGAGAGAGAGAGAGGGAGAGAGACAGAAAGAGAGACATTCGCCATCATGAGTGACGGGTTCTCGTTGAAATTCCGTCGCCCTTCGAGCAAACTGCAGAAGGAGTCTCCTAGCTTCAGTTCACGCATTCTTCGGAGTCATCAAAGCACATCTTCCTTGAAACGTCATCCCTCTGCACCCGTTTATCCGCGTTCCTCTTCTAATAGCAGTCGAGAACATACCCGCACTCGATCCAACGCCTACGGTTCATCATCATCCTCGCTTGAGCAACATAGTGACGGTCCTTCCCCCGTCCAGAACGAGCATTCGTTCTTTCCCAACAGCCACAGTTCCCGCGCCCGTCAAAATCGCTTCTCCTACGATCAGCACAGTTCGGATGAATTAACTAGCACCCCCTTCGAGACACGGGGCATGCTCAGTGCTTTGGATGAGAATTGCGCTGAAACCTCCGACTCCCTCTCTCCGCCCCATAATCCCCCGCCCTTGCACTCCCAGCAGTCTAGCCCGATCAGCCCGGATCCACGACACCGCTCCTTCCTGCGACAGTCAGCCAGCTTCACCACCCTACCCTCCCGAATGGATCCCTTTGCCCATCGGGAGACCGAGCGCCCGACAAACTCCAAGCGTCATTCCGATGAGGGGAGTGGCCATACCCGAGGGGGGAGGAGCAAGAAGGCCAGCTTCTCCAGTTTTGTGAATAGCATGCTAGGCTCCCCCCGCAACATCAAGATCTCGTCTCCGGAGAACCCGGTCCACGTCACCCATGTAGGTTATGATAATCAGACGGGCCAGTTCACCGGTTTGCCCAAGGAGTGGCAGCGACTGCTACAGGAGAATGGCATTTCGAAGAAGGAGCAGGAAGAACATCCACAGACTATGATGGATATCATGCGATTCTATGAGAAGAACACCCGTGGCGATGACGATGAAGTTTGGCACAAATTCGATAACGCACATGGGAATGATAACGGCCGAGCACCCTCTCCACCGGGAAGCCCCCGTTTCCCCCAGAATCACGAAGGTAGCTTTGAGAATCCCCGGTCGCCGCCTCCCGTTCCGAAGGGACCACCAGGAGGACCGCCTCCCCCGGCCTCATTGACCTCCGCTGCCGTCTCCCCACCGTTGGGCAGCCTGATCCCTCATCGAGCCCCTCCAAAGCCCCCCGGCATGACACCCGCCCGACCGCCGCCGAAGCCTCCTATATCTCACGGACCAGTTTCTCAGCGCCTGCCCGAGGCCTATGGAATGGGAACACCACCCACCACCGAGCCAACGGCGTTGCCTATCGATACCCGGGGTCTCTCTGGTTCTCGAAATGGCACCCAGACTCACGAATCGAACGTTGTGGCCTCGCCAACCCAATACCAACGACAGCAGGAGCAGGTCATGGCGGCCGCCCAGGAAGCAATCGCATCTAAAAAGCTGGATCGGAGCCCGAGCCAGCGCCAACCTCCCCAGGCACCTCAACTCGCGCCAATTGCGACAAATGTTCCTCAGAGTTCTGCCGATGCCTCTTCTGCATCAGCCGCGCGGGCACCCCCGGCAGCTCGGCCGCGTCAGCCCAAGCGCCAGAGCAATATTATGGATGTACGAGCACGCCTGTTAACAATTTGTAATCCGGCCGATCCTACTCAAATATATTATAACCTCAACAAGGTTGGACAAGGTGCTTCAGGTGGTGTGTATACTGCTTATGAAAATGGCAACAACAATTGTGTGGCCATTAAGCAGATGAACCTGGATCTTCAGCCCAAGAAGGATTTGATTATCAATGAGATTCTTGTGATGAAGGATAGCAAGCACAGGAATATTGTGAATTTCCTCGAGAGCTACCTTCACGGTTTGGATTTATGGGTTGTCATGGAATATATGGAAGGTGGTAGTCTTACGGACGTGGTCACCTATAATATTATGAGTGAGGGTCAGATTGCATCAGTATGCCGAGAGGTAAGTCTTTATTCGTCATGACTCATTGATTGTTTCTGTGATAAGATGCTAATAGTTCTAAAAACAGACGTTGAACGGACTCCAGCACTTGCACTCGAAGGGTGTCATTCACCGTGACATCAAGTCTGATAACATTCTTCTCTCGTTGGATGGTAATATTAAACTGAGTAGGTCCCCTCACCCCCAAACTAACAAAAAAAGAAGAAAAGAAAAAAACAACCTTTTTTTTGGCTCACCTAAGAAGATTGAAGCTGATTGATTACTTCCAGCCGATTTTGGTTTCTGTGCGCAAATCAATGATTCGCACAACAAGCGTAACACTATGGTTGGCACTCCTTACTGGATGGCTCCCGAAGTGGTCACCCGCAAGGAGTACGGTCGCAAGGTCGATATTTGGAGTTTGGGTATCATGGCTATTGAAATGATTGAGGGCGAGCCGCCATATTTGACAGAGTCCCCCCTGCGCGCGCTCTACCTGATCGCTACAAATGGAACCCCGACTATCAAAGATGAACACGCACTCTCAACAACATTCCGTGACTTCCTGCACCTCGCCCTTAAGGTGGATCCAGAGAAGCGAGCTTCTGCCCACGATCTTCTCAAGGTACGTTTCAATCCCTATACCTCGTTTCTGTTGGATAATACATTGACTGATATTCCCTACAGCATCCCTTCATGTCCATCTGTTCGCCCCTTACCCACCTAGCTCCTCTGGTCAAGGCTGCTCGTATCAGCCGTGCCCAAGAGAAGGCGCAGAAGGGCGGTGCCTAGATGATTGGCTTCTTATTCTTATTATCTTTGTCTCGTCTTTGTTTTTCCTTATACCACTCTTCCCGTCTTGTTCAGATACCCCCTCCCATCACACCCGATGATACTTCTAGATCCCGGCATGCCGACCCCCCCCCCCCCCCCCCCCCCCCCCGGAACTGCGAGGCAGTCCCCGTTTCTGTACCGATTTTGTTTTCCATAATATTTCTTGATGAACATCTCCTTTTGATGAAAAATGATCTGATCTCACAAACCTTGTTTTGACCCCGATCTGTCTTCCTCTCTGCTGGTCTATCTTTCTCTTTGTCATTCCCTCGGGGGCGTGTATGTGTGCACTTTGTAGCACCATCATGTTCGTTCTACGACTCCACCCCCTTGTTTTGAATTTGGTCAAGTGTGGTGATTCAGGTGTGACTTCGAGCTGTCTACTCCTTCATTATATTTGTTCTTGGACCTTGTGGGATTTAAAATGCGATTGTCCCATCGTATTCGGCGTTTTGAATCGCAAGAGGTATTTACTGGATTTGTGTTATATCACACTCATTCTACTTTTCCCGCATCTGTTTCAATGCAGGGTGTACTGGTCCGGTTCATGCTGGACGAACATGTTGATAAAATTTTTGCATAAACTTCAACATCCATAATACAAGCTGTTACAATCAACCAGACGAGACTGTTGGTCTGGTGACTGTTGGTCTGGTGGAGTGTCAAGATTCAGCCACGGGAGCGCATGAGCAAATCACAAAAAGCGAAAACTCCGTAGCCTATACTAAAGCAATAATATCTCTGCTTCAAAGGTTCCGCAGTAGAAAATTCTCCAGGCGATGGCCGGCGAAAGAGGCAATATGATTACTCGGTAGAAAATTTCGTTTCTTGCCTAGGCAGACACAATTATAACATTGGAATACGAAAAATCCCCTTATTCCAATCCGAGATACGAGCCAAGATGGGAATTATGGAGCTTCCAGATGCCCCCGTTTCGCCATCGTCATTGCTGACTCAACTCCATTTCCCGCCCAGACACAACATTGACACCTAGAAAGCCCGTCTCTCTTCTGCTCATCGATCGTGAACTGCTCGGGTGCGCGTGAGCTGTGAATTATTCGGCTCTTATATTTCTAATCCTCGTCTATCCCAATATACCCTCAACAGCGTCATCCTGACCTCAGCTCAGCCCGCACTTTGGAAAATCCCGACCCGCTCCCCGCATCGAAGGCCCAACTGACCATCGCTACGAACCGCATAGCTGACGAGACACTTCCCGTCAGTACACTGATTGATAACTGGGCTTTCCACCCCTCAATAATATCAGAAATACGTCACTCGTTGATTTTCAAGCCGAAAACTAAGCAATCAAACCGCCATAACGCCAGAGACCGGTGCCCCGACTTCCTGTCCACTCTACACCACTGTGACTGTTTGGCCTTTCGGGCGATACAAATCTGGCAATGTTTCGCGCTCAGCAGAATGCTTTTGATGATGCGGTCGGTAAGTTTGGTTGACTGTTTCTGTCGGCGTCGTGGTGCTACTCGTGCGCCTTTATGGGTACCGTGGAAGCCTGCTGGACACAGGCACTAGTCAAAGATGATCGATTGCTGACTACTGGAATTTCCAATATAGCGAAGGCGACCGATGAGAATCTGACTTCTGAGAACTGGGAATACATCCTTGTGCGTTTTTATTTTCTTTTCTACTTCTTCCGCCCCCAACCTTGCGCCAAGCTGGGTATGCCGCGATCGGGTGATTCAGACACGGAGAGCTAACTTGGTGCTCTTTTATGGTACAGGATGTCTGTGATAAGGTTGCTGCCGAAGAATCAGGGTAGGTGGTATCCTAAGTTTCTAGGACTATAATTTTATATCCTGGGAAAGTATATGCTAATGTCATATCCATTGTATAGTGCAAAAGAGGCGGTTGCTGCCATGATCAAAAGGATGGCTCACAGAAATGCGAATGTGCAACTTTATACGCTTGAGGTATGAAACTTCATCATTCCACTTTCTTGGCGCAATCGTTTGATTTCTTTCCTCCTCCCCCTAACTAACATTGGATTGTAGCTCGGCAATGCGCTGTCGCAGAACTGTGGCCTTAAGATTCATCGCGAGTTGGCATCAAGGAGCTTTACTGATGCGCTCCTGCGCCTGGCAAGCGATCGTGTAAGTGTATTCATTTGTTGGACTATGGATAACTTAATTGCTGATCACAAAGATCTTGTTCTCTAGAATACGCACCAACAGGTCAAGTCCAAGATTCTCGAGCGAATGGAAGAATGGACTGAGATGTTTGCATCTAACCCAGACTTCGGGATTATGGAACAAGCCTATATGAAGTTGAAGACCTCAAGTAAGAAACTTCGTATTTTTGGATATGCTCCATCGCATGTCACTGATGTATTCGCAGACCCAAACCTTCAGCCCCCTTCGAAGCCAGTGAAGAGCGCGATTACGGACGTTGACCGACAGAAGGAAGATGAGGAACTGCAGATGGCCTTAGCTCTGTCTGTCAAGGATAAGGCTCCTCCAATTCCCGTTGCTCAGACCGGGCCATCTGCTGCGGCTACTGTATCGAGGCCCGAAACAACTTCGCCTGCAGCCGAGTTACCAGCAGCTGCAGCTGGACCTGTGCCATCCGGCACATCGGCTGCTACTGTCTCGCGTGTCCGCGCCCTTTTTGATTTCCAACCCTCGGAGACTGGAGAGCTTCAGTTCCGCAAGGGTGATATCATTGCGGTCTTGGAATCAGTATACAAGGACTGGTGGAAGGGATCCTTGAGAGGCCAGACGGGAATTTTCCCTCTAAATTATGTAGAAAAACTTACTGACCCCAGTGTCGAGGAGTTACAGCGCGAGGTTCAAATGGAAGGCGAGGTCTTTGGCCAGCTGAAGAATGTCGAGAAGCTTTTGACCCTGTTGAGCACACGGAGCTCCGATCTCAATGTGCAGGAGAACGAAGAGATCAGTAATCTCTACCATTCAACCGTTGCTATTCGACCGAAGCTTATCGAGTTGATTGGAAAATACTCGCAGAAGAAAGGTTGGTATGTTTCCGGTGACACGAGAAGATTTACTTGCTCACAACTTTCTAGATGAATTCACTCAACTTAATGAAAAGTTTATTAAGGCGCGCCGTGACTACGAGTCGTTGTTAGAGGCCTCTATGGCTCATCCGGCACAACCCTATCCACGACCTGGACAACCCCAGTATGCCTACCCAGGTTCCAGTCAGGCTGGATACCCTCCTCAAGCGGACCAGCGATACTTTAGTCCTCAGCCCCAAGGTTAGACCAACCCTAAACTACTAGCTATCCCAAAATTTAACCATCCAACTTTTTTCTATAGAATCTCAACCCCCACAGGTCCAGCCCAATGCGTACTATGGCGCGGAGCAAACAATGCCCTACCGCCCTGCATCTCATTCTCCCGACCCTCGTGCGCAGTTCCCGGGCGGGCCTCAGCAAAAGCCGATGACACAGCAGGCACCCCCATCCGACCCTTACTCGTCTGCTGGACACCGCCCCCAGTCTACATATGATCACCCGCAAGAATTGAGTACGTCTGTTTATGATTCCCCCGTGGAACATCCCGTCGGCCAGCGCCCAAGTTACCCTCTCAATAGCCAAGCACCAGCGCTGGGCCACCAGCATTTTCAGCAGCAGCAGCAGCAGCAGTCGCAGGGGCATGAATATGCGCCTCCAGCTCACGTGGGTGAAGAGGCAAATCAGCAGCCCCCTGCATCCCAGTACCCTCCTCCGCAACAACCACAACAGCCGCCATACCCCGCCTCACCGGCTGTTCATCAAGCTCCCTCTCACCAGCCTCCTCCGGTCCCTGGCTCAACACAACAATCCGCACAATACACTGCTTTCAATCCCGCCCCCTCGGCTCCCCCGGGTGCAGAGTACCAGGCATACCAGCCTGCACAGGGTGGAGCTTCTCCCTCAAACCCAGCTACATTTTACAGATAGTACTCCGGATTCCATTTTTCGACAGCTGTGTAGTGAATACTGAAGTCACTGGTATCATTCTTGTTATCCGCTATCAAATGTTGGGTGTTCGATTCCCATTGTCTCGAATGTTGCTTGCTCGACTCTTTGTGTCTACTACTACCTACCCTGTATTTAGCCGATCATTCTTCCCAGATAGACCAAGCTGTAGTTTGGAACCTTTCAAGGTTGGAAGCATTATGTTGTCAGTACATACCTACTAGTAGGTGCCCATATACCTGCCTATGCCTTCAATGATTTATATCACCTCCGACCTTCGAGTCGTATATTATCTACATTCGGTATCAACCATTCCACTGGAATATTACGTAGGTAGTACTTGAGTAGCAATTGAGTCTACCCTACCAGTAGATAGGCACCTGGGCACGATGTCGCTCGAATCAATGCTTAATTCTTCCCAATCAATTGAGGTCTATTTCCTTGAGATTTTCCAGGTCATGATCTGTTGAAGAATACACCCCTGGAATCTACCTGTGGACTTGAATGCGATGCATCCAGGTAAATCTTTCTTCAAATGTTTGGACGGGCTGCCAACCTTAGAACTTACTCAACATTGAATAACATCTCCTTGAAACTATACCAACATTGAAATAAATTCCAAACTGAAATTTTGAATGTTTCCAACCCTTGAACACATCTGTGCAGTGGAGGTTTTTCTTTTTCAGTCTCCAAACTAAATCTATATCTGGAATATCTCGTTCCTCACGTGACCTACAAGCGCGCCGACGTCGCCACGTGACAAAGTCGACACCTCAGTCCCGCAACAAGTCGCCAGGCGGAGGACAGCAGGTGCCTCGCACTTTCAACGGCTTGATCCTCAGTCTTGCATTGGCATAGGTTAAAGCAGTCATTACTACATATACCCAGCTAAAATACGACCGCCTAATTATAAACCCTATATATACGACGATCAGGCCCTTCACCAGTCTGGCTGCCCAATAGCTCCCACCTTCCCCGCAGTCGCGTCCTTGCCTCGCAGACGATGCCCGGCTTTGGCGTATTCCCACGAGGGTGAAGGGCACACTTCATAATCCTGTTGGATTCGACAGCAATTTCCCTACCGGCGACGCCAATACTATAACGGTCTTTTGGGGTCCAAACCTTTAGTGCGGACCGCCATCATGGAAGCTGATTGGGATGAGCTGTCGCGTATGCAGATGCCACCGCCCAGTCCGCATGGCATGCCCACGAATGCGACGGCGGTGGCATTTGATGATGTTATGGAACTTTTATGGGCGGGAAATGAATATGTGAGTTTGATTCTATAGTGCTGCCATCTAGCAGAATTGGGATCGACATGAAGCATTTGAAAGGTCAACTAATGCTTTGATTTTCCGTTTTTCTCTCTCTTTCATCAGGGCCGCATCACTTCTTTCTATGGACCCGAACTCCAACGATATACCTCTGTACGGGCGCACCCGGTCGCTGAAGGGATGGTCCGACAAATTGCTTTTCATGAGCGCGGTGTGATCTCATTGTCGTCGAAAAGTGTGCATATGATTACCCGACGCGGTTTGACGCAGTGGCATATTGCCGATGATGAAATGCTTGACCTTCGATGCATGAGCTTCACTGCACAGACAAATCGAATTTTGGTGGCTGGCTGCCAGCGTGTGATGTTTACGATCGACATAGACAAGGGTACGATTGTCGACAAGTTGCCCACCGAGCACAACTATACACTCATGAAGAAGAGTCGATATCTCTGTGCGGCTACAGATAACGGCTCCATTAATGCCCTCAGTTTGTTGGATTTCAGCGTTGTCAAGTCTTGGAAGGCCCACGGCACTGCTGTGAATGACATGGACGCGCGAAATGACTTATTGGTTACTTGTGGTTTCTCGGTTCGACAACTTGGTTCATCAATAGTGGACCCTTTGGCAAATGTGTATGATTTGAAGACACTGACTCCATTGCCTCCAATTCCGTTCCATGCTGGTGCGGCATATGTACGGATGCATCCGAAGCTACATACGACGAGTTTTGTGGCGTCGCAGACTGGGCAACTCCAAGTTGTAGACCTGATGAACCCAAATGCTGTCAATCTACGACAAGCCAACGTGACATTGATGTTGGGACTTGAGATTTCACCCTCGGGTGAAGCTTTGGCTATAAACGACGCAGAATGTGCTATTCATCTTTGGGGCTCACCGACCAAAATCCACTTCAATGAGATGAGCAAAGAAACAGAGCTTGCAGACGTGCCAGCCCGCTCACCAGCGGTTGACTGGTCCCCTGAAACCCCACTGAACATGATCGGAATGCCATATTATCACGATCGACTTTTCTCGGCATGGCCCAGTCACCTCATATTTGAGATTGGTAGCCCACCCGTACAACTTGATCAATCCTTACTTCCATACTTGCGTCCGGCGGAGGTGGGCCATGGCGCTCCAAATCCACGAAAGACACGCAGATACCAGGTCGAGAATACCCGCGCTTTGGCGACAGCGGAGCCAGCCCTCATCGCGCCTAAGTTCCTGAGCGAAAAGGCTCGGGATCATGGCAAATCAAAGTCCGATGGTTCAATCGCTGATGCGGCTGAGGCATTGGCGGGGGCCAAGATCAATGGAGAAAGTGACGACGATCCGCTGCTTAAATACAGCAATGTTGAGATCAAATATAGTCGCTTCGGCGTTGACGATTTTGACTTTCGGTAAGAGCTTCTTCGCCAGAATACCCGTGGAATTTATACTGACTTTGAATATAGATTCTATAACAAGACCAAATTCTCTGGCCTGGAAACCCACATTGCCAATTCCTTCACAAATTCTCTCCTTCAACTGTTCAAGTTCATCCCTTTGTTCCGAAACCTTGCCCTTCACCATGCTGCAGGCTCTTGTATCTCTGAATATTGCTTGTTGTGCGAGCTGGGCTATCTGTTTGACATGCTGGAAAAAGCAAATGGTCAGAATTGCCAAGCAACGAATTTACTAAAACTATTCAGTAGCTTCAGAGAGGCTTCTAACATGGGATTATTGGAAGAAAACCTCACAAACAAGTCCCTTTCTACCGCCATCCAAGCCGTGAACCGCTTCTTCTTGACTCAAGTATCGTGTGACTTCCGCACTATCCAGCCCAATTCCGAAGAGCTGGATCAGCGGCTCTCAACATTTGCTTCCGAGTCGATCCGGTGCATGTTTTGTCAGAATGAGACTGTTCGCCCTGGGAATTCTCTCGCCAACGAGCTTCTCTATCCAAATATGGACATGAAACAAGCGCGTCGCAACCCGGCCTTCCGGTTCTCCAATATCCTACGCGCTAGCATTGAACGCGAAACACAGAATCGTGGGTGGTGCAACTACTGCCGACGCTATCAGCAGGTGATGATTCGAAAGACTGTACACCGGATGCCTCTGGTCTTGGTTCTCAATGCAGCAGTTTCAACCAATCCCATCTGCCGCAGGCTATGGGCTATGCCTGGATGGTTGCCGGACGCTGTGGGAGTAATTATTGAGAATGGTCAAGTGATGTGTTTCGAAGGCGAAGATCTTACCCTCAGAATTCAGAATAAAACTTCCGGCTTGGCAGTGTATGATTTGGTTGGCCTTGTGGCAGAAATTGATATTGCAGAACATCAAAAGCCGCACTTGGTGTCCTTCGTTAACGTTGCTGTTTCAGAGCAAGAACCCCAAGAGCCAAGTAAATGGCATTTGTTCAATGACTTTTTAGTTGCCGAAGTGGAGCGCGATGAAGCATTGGGCTTTACGCAGAATTGGAAACAGCCTTGTGTGCTAGCTTTCCAAGCACGAGATCCCCGCCATGCTGTTGATGACTCATGGAAGAATGCCCTCGATACCACACTACTCTTCCGAGGAACATCATCGAATGATGGTCAGCAAGTTGAATCTTGTCAAGCCCTTGATAAAGAGGAGAAACCTAAGCCTGGTACGCCTGTTGCGCTCGACACCGAGTTTGTCGATCTCGAGAAGGCCGAGATAGACGTCAAGGCAGATGGCTCACAGGAGATTGTTCGGCCCAACAAAAGCGGCCTTGCTCGAGTCTCTGTTTTACGTGCTTCGGGGATCCAAGAAGGCGTGCCCTTCATCGATGACTACATCACCATTCGCGAGCCGATTGTCGATTATGTCACACAGTATTCTGGCATCAAACCCGGTGATCTGGATCCACGAACAAGTGAACATAATCTCGTGCCCCTCAAGACCGCTTACAAGAAGCTATGGCTTCTTCTCAATCTGGGATGCATTTTCGTGGGCCATGGTCTGGCTTCCGACTTCCGCAAAATAAACATCCAAGTGCCCAAGTCGCAGACCGTTGATACCCAGTATCTCTTCTTCCACCCCGGCAAGAACCGGCGACTGAGTCTCCGTTACCTCGCCTGGGCCGTGTTCAAGGAGTATATCCAAGAAGAGCCTAATCCAGAAACCATCCAGGGTCACGACTCCATCGAAGATGCGCGCATGGCCATGCGTCTATGGAAGAAGTTCCAGGAGTACGAGGACGCAGGCGTGGCCAACCAGATGCTGGAAGAGATCTTCCGTGAAGGATCCAAACTTGGCTTCCGGCCTCCTCCCAAGAATGCGACTGTGACCGTTCTTTCTCGCCCCGGCACCGCCGTGACCATGCAGAACAGCGGCACCAACACCCCCTCTACCCCCGATGCTACTGCTGCGGCTGTATCTGCTGCAGCTACTGCCGCCGCTAACAGTGCCGCCGTTAATGCGGCACCGATAAGCGCTCCCAGCACTCCTCGTCAGGCTTTCCGGCGATCCATCGCCCTCACCCCGAGTAATGGTAGCTTTTCTGGACCTGGAGCTGGTGATTTCTTTGGTGGAAGCCCATTACGATAGATTCGAACCCCTCCCGGTCTGACTTGGCGACCTCTCGTTCTTAGTACCCTTTTTGGTGGAAACAGGACCTACTACTTAAACTACGAATACAGAAATACATACAATCTCAATATTTTCTATTGCCTACTACTAGTTAACTAGTAGTTAGTAGTAGTGTTATGACTATCCTTGTCTTGAATTACGTCATGGAAGTTTAGGAGTAATACGCATCCACGCTAGTCCTAGTATGGTATAGCTTTAGTCATAAGAGAAAACGCGGTGTTTTCAAATGTTGACTGGTAACAGACCTCGTTACTTGTTCTTGCACGCCATTCCTGGCAACAGAAACCCCTCCAATTCGGTGGCCCTTCGAACTTTGCAGCCACGAACTCCTGGCCATTCCTTTTCTGTTTTGAAATTTCACACCCCGAGAAAGCACTTTGGGACTACCCCGCCCCCACCGCCCCTCCGCACCATAGCTCACAGCCTTTTTTGAGCCTGACCGCCAACCAACACCGCCCAAATGTCGAGACACCGCGTGAAGAATGTCGGATACGACGACGACGATTATTCGGACGATGGTTATGATTCACCCGACCCGGAGGAACAAGAACACCTGCAACGGTGCACCGATGATGTTCTTTCCCAGCTCCGCGCGGGCACCTCGCCGGTGATCGCCACGAAAGACGAAGTCCAAGAGGCGCTTTGGCATTATTATAACGATGTAGAAAAATCGGTCAATTATCTACGAGGTACATCCAATTGTTTCTTTTTGTTTTCCTACCTTTCCTACCTATTGCCAAACTTCAGAAACTTTGCGTGATGAGTTTGTCTATCGGGGTTTGCTTGGGTCATTCAAGGAGTTCAAAGCATTTTCTAATTGGTGGTTGGTTTCTAGGCAAGAAGGAGAAGGAGGCAAAGAAGCCGCAGACGATCACCACTTCGCAGAAGAGCGAGGTTAAAGGTAAGCTTTACGGTTTATTTGTTTCCTGAATATCACGGTTGTATGGTTGGGCTCGGCATTCAATGCTTAGATGGTCAAATGGTATATAAAAAGGTGTGTTTAAACAGGTTCCTAGTGGACTTGCAGATCATTTCAAACATTTAGGACTCCGCGACTGACTCCAACCATTTGAAGTATTGGCAAATGTTCTAACTGGTTTTCCAGTCCCGGGATTTCCGGCGCCTATCTCGCCCCCGATTGCGCATTTCTCGGCTGCCGATTTCTTTCGTGATTCTCCTTGGCTCAATATTCCGCCTCATCGAAAGGCCGATATCTTGATAGAACCTTTATATACTCGAATGGGTCTGTTGGGTGGTGCACCTGAAGCCGGTAAAGTTTCCAAATTGGCTGCATTGGCTGCGGCCCGCAAGAAAAGGGAGGAGAACACCTCGTCTTCTCCACCAGAGGCTTCGCAGTCCGTCCAGTCAGAACGGCCACCTGTTGAGTCAAAGGTCTCGTTACGCGAGAGGCTCGCTGCAAGCAAGTCTGCGAAGTCTGCGAAGTCTGCGGATGGTCTTGGCGGTTTGCGCCGACTGGCAAAGCCTGCTCCTACCCCTGCACCTACTGCACCTGCACCTGCATCTGCACCACCTTCACCCCCAAAACCGGCACCACCTGTTCCCTTGGTCAATGTTCCAACTGTTGAATCCAAGCCTGCAGAACAAGCTGAAAAGGAAGCAATAAAGGAAGAGTTGGAGCCGATTCAAACTGCACCTGATATACGCGCATCCCCCTCAATGTTTGCTAGTGCAATTGTTGGCAATCAACCAAGATACACTAAGGCCGAGCCTAGCCATATACCTTCGCAAACCGTTGATTTGCTTCAGATTTATGGTCAGGATCATGCTGAACCATTTGATTTTGCAGGCCCGAGCCCCGATGATGTAGTGCTCAATGCACAAAATACAGCTAAAGGTTTGGCGATTCGCAGAAAGGGTTGAAGTCCATTCACCTAATGACGTGTAGGATTTAAATCCCAAACTCCTGTCTCCAAGGCAGCCGGCAACAAGAAGAACCAAGGTGATCTTGCTGGGGGCATGAATAACCTCACAGTGGAGGAGAAAGTGACCGTCAAGAGCAAGAACTTGGATGTCTTGGCAGAATACAACAAGTCCACAAGAAAGAAGTCTGCCAACTTTGTGGTGATTGGTAAAATATTCTCGTCATAAGGCAGTTTTGGAATTATCACTGATCGCGATATAGGTCATGTTGATGCTGGAAAGAGCACATTAATGGGAAGATTATTGGCAGACCAGGGAGCGATAGACCAGCGTACATTGGATAGGTATCGCAAAGAGGCGGAGAAGATCGGAAAGGGTTCTTTTGCCCTAGCGTGGGTGTTAGATCAGGGATCAGAGGAACGTGCACGGGGCGTTACAATCGATATCGCGACCAACCAATTCGAGACTGAAACCACGGCGTTTACCATTGTCGATGCCCCGGGACATCGAGATTTTGTCCCTAACATGATTGCCGGTGCTAGCCAGGCCGACTTTGCGGTCCTGGTAATCGATTCTAGCGTGGGCAAGTTCGAATCTGGCTTGAAGGGCCAGACAAAAGAGCATGCTTTACTAGTGCGCAGCATGGGCGTCCAGAAGATTGTGGTGGCTGTCAACAAGATGGATACTGTTCAATGGGACCAGTCCCGATTCGAAGAGATTGAGCAACAAATTTCATCATTCTTGACAACTGCTGGATTTCAGGAAAAAAACATTTCTTTCATCCCATGTTCGGGTGTGCTAGGAGACAACATTAGCCGACGGAGCGATGACTCTCTCGCATCATGGTACACTGGCCAGACATTGATTGAGGAACTGGAGACTTCGGAACCTTCGACACACGCGCTTGACAAGCCACTTCGCATGACGATCGGTGATGTCTTCCGTGGCGGCGTGCAAAATCCGGTCTCGATATCTGGCCGTCTCGATGCTGGCAGCTTACAAGTGGGAGACCAAATCTTAACCATGCCCAGTGGAGAGACAGCATTGATCCGCAGTCTGGAGGTAGATGGAGAGTCTAGTGAATGGGCTGTGGCCGGACAAAATGTTGTGTTGAACTTGGCAAACATCGACCCAACACACTTGCGCTCGGGCGATGTAGTATGCCGTGCATCTTCGCCTATTCCAACCATCACCAGCTTTACTACCAAGGTTCTGGCCTTTGAACATCTGATGCCTATGCTCGTGGATGTACACCGTGGTCGTCTACATGTTCCAGGTCGCATCAGCAAACTGGTTGCGACTCTGGATAAAGCCACGGGTGCGCCTATCAAGAAGCGGCCTAAGATCGTGGCTCCGGGTACGGTGGCACGTGTGGTTGTGGAAATGGATACGGCAGTTCCCCTCGAGGCACCGACTAGGATTGTTTTGCGCGCCGGGGGGTCGACTGTGGCGGCTGGGTTGTTGGAATAGATCTCGGGATATTCAAGCAAAAGCATTAGCAACCCTTGGAAACCTTGGAAGAGACCCCGATGCCCTTCATAAGAGAGGACTGTAAATATTCAATGTTTTGACTATGGGGTGGTCTGGTTTTTTGTTCGTCTAGATATCTTCAATGAGTATCTTCCTAGGTTGAATTAAATCTTGCCATGTCCAACATGTTGAATGTTACAGTATTACCCATTGCTGGGTAAAGAGGGTTTCTGCACAGTCCCTGCGGCTCTGTCGATCCCTGTTCTGGGGGGCCCATGCTTTCTAATCGGCATACCCCGAATTGTCGTAACGGATAAGGATTCGTGTATGTATGGGGGTTTTCAGGGTTACGTACTTCATTTCCAGGCCATTATTACTCCTCTTTTCTTTTGTTCTTACATACAGTACGTGTTCAAGTACGTACCCGATAGTGTATCAGGGCGTTTTCTAGTAATTTCGATTATTTATTTTACTTGGTTCCCGGACCCACTAAACAACCACCTTCCACCAATCACCACGCGAGGAGTGACCTGAACGGCGTCCACTGAAAAGGACAGCATGGCGCTATTCGAACCCTTAATACAAGTAACCCTCTTTGCTCCGTTTCCTCTTCTCTCTTCTTCATTCCTTTCCTTTCGACCAACCCACCCCCCATACCCTTAACCCACTTTCAAGGGTCATTGAGTACAACACGTCTCTGTGTTGAACTCTGCGCTGTTACACCAAGCGCGCGTGAAGCTTCGATCTCGATAGCTTCTTTTTTTTTTCTTTTTCTTTTTCACATCTTCCCCTTGGGGTGATCCTGCTTTGGAAGGAATCTTAACTTCTTATCACTATACATACATTCGCAATGGCAGGAATTGCGAGCCGCGATGGCGCCTCCAAGCCCTTCGCTTGGACTACCGTCTTCTATCTTCTCATGGTTCTGCTTGCGCCTTTAGCCCTGTTCAGTGGCAGCGCGCAGGCTCAAGATAACGGTGTCGAGGAATACGGCACCGTCATCGGTATTGATTTGGGAACTACCTACTCGTACGTTATCCCTTTGCCTCTTCTCTGCGGACTAAAACACGTGGCTAACCTTTCAACAAAGTTGTGTCGGTTTGATGCAAAACGGAAAGGTTGAGATTCTCACCAACGACCAAGGAAACCGTATCACTCCCTCCTACGTGGCTTTCACCGATGATGAGCGCCTCGTTGGTGACGCTGCCAAGAACCAATATGCCGCCAACCCCACACGTACCATCTTCGATGTCAAGTGAGTGGCGAGAACCTGCTGATGGAACGAAAGACGAAATTGTGTGGCTAATATTTAATTCAGGCGTCTGATCGGTCGCAAGTTTGACGACAAGGTTACCCAACAGGACGCCAAGAACTTCCCCTTCAAGGTTGTCAACAAGGATGGAAAGCCTAACGTCAAGGTTGAGGTCAACAAGGTCAACAAGATCTTCACCCCTGAGGAGGTTTCCGCCATGATTCTCGGCAAGATGAAGGAGATCGCTGAGAGCTACCTCGGCCACGCTGTGACCCACGCTGTTGTTACCGTCCCCGCCTACTTCAACGATGCTCAGCGTCAGGCTACCAAGGATGCCGGTGTCATTGCTGGTCTTAACGTCCTCCGTGTTGTCAACGAGCCCACCGCTGCCGCAATCGCCTATGGTCTGGACAAGACTGGTGACGAACGCCAGGTTATTGTGTACGACTTGGGTGGTGGTACTTTCGATGTCTCCCTTCTCTCTATTGACCAGGGTGTTTTCGAGGTTCTGGCTACCGCTGGTGACACCCACTTGGGTGGTGAGGATTTCGACCACCGTGTTATGGACCACTTCGTCAAGCTCTACAACAAGAAGAACAATGTTGATGTTACCAAGGACCTCAAGGCCATGGGTAAGCTGAAGCGTGAGGTTGAGAAGGCCAAGCGTACTCTCTCTTCCCAGATGTCCACTCGTATCGAAATCGAAGCCTTCTTCGATGGCGAGGACTTCTCCGAGACTCTTACCCGTGCTAAGTTCGAGGAGCTGAACATGGACCTGTTCAAGAAGACCCTTAAGCCTGTTGAGCAGGTGCTGAAGGATGCCAAGGTTAAGAAGTCTGAGGTTGATGATATTGTCCTTGTTGGTGGTTCTACTCGCATTCCTAAGGTCCAGGCTCTTCTTGAGGAGTACTTTAATGGAAAGAAGGCTAGTAAGGGTATCAACCCTGATGAGGCCGTCGCTTTCGGTGCTGCTGTTCAGGGTGGTGTTCTCTCCGGAGATAAGGCTACTATCGATATCGTTCTCATGGATGTCAACCCTCTTACCCTGGGTATTGAGACCACTGGTGGTGTCATGACCAAGCTCATCCAGCGCAACACTGTCATCCCCACCCGCAAGTCCCAGATCTTCTCTACTGCGGCTGACAACCAGCCCACCGTGTTGATCCAGGTCTTCGAGGGTGAACGCTCCATGACCAAGGACAACAACAACCTTGGCAAGTTCGAGCTGACCAACATTCCCCCTGCTCCTCGTGGCGTCCCTCAGATTGAGGTCGCTTTTGACCTGGACGCAAACGGAATTCTCAAGGTCAGCGCTAGTGACAAGGGCACTGGTAAGGCTGAGTCCATTACCATTACCAATGACAAGGGTCGCCTCTCCCAGGAGGAGATTGAGCGCATGGTCGCTGAGGCCGAGGAGTTCGCCGAAGAGGACAAGGCCATGAAGAGCAAGATCGAGGCCCGTAACGGTCTTGAGAACTACGCCTTCAGCTTGAAGAATCAGGTCAACGACGATGAGGGTCTTGGTGGCCAGATCGATGAGGACGACAAGCAGAGCATCTTGGACGCTGTCAAGGAGGCCATTGACTGGCTGGAGGACAACGCTGCCACCGCCACTGCCGAGGACTTTGAGGAGCAGAAGGAGCAGCTCTCTAGTGTCGCTTACCCGATCACCAGCAAGTTGTACGGCTCTGCTTCTCCTCCCGAGGATGACGAGCCCTTGGACCATGACGAACTGTAAAATTATCTCGTTTTTTGAGGCATTACCTATGGAGTTTATTATCTGTTTATTTTTGTTATGTTTCTACTCCTGAACCTGCGCGAGGTTGGTATCCTTCGCCGCACGAGTCTTGAGACTCTTCCAAATACCACGATACCTTCTGCATCTACCTTCTTGAACTCTTCGGGATCACACGTAAATAGTACGCTTGTAGATTCTCTAATCAAAGGACCTAGTCCTAAGCTATAAAGTATACTATGTCATCCCTGTTCCAACATTTTCCTCATCTAATTTCCCCGCGCAACAAGCTCGTTAATCGTCTCCACCACAACCTGGTGATCATCCTCCTGCTTCAATCCACTAACAACCACAACGGCCACAATGGCATCAACCCCACGCACACGGATAGGATATCCACCACCATGGATAGCGTAGTCATCTGCAACAGCTCCGCCATTGCCACTCGCAAGAGCAAACTTCTTCACAAATGAACCCTCAATCGCTTCGGCGCTCGTAGCAAATCCAAGTCCCGAGGCAACCTTTTGCCGCATCGTCCAGCTGGACACGCCCCACCGTAGGACGGTGTTCCGCTTCCGCCGCACCCAGTTCTCATTATCGAGGATGGTTCCGCTTTCTGTGACGGACTGGAAGAGTGTGTGCAGGGAGCCACCGGCGCTTGGGGCAGTGGCCAAGGCGATGGAGATCAAGGCGGGCTTGCGTTGTCCGTCGGGGAGGGATAGAATGCGGGTGCGGATGGCGTTTCCAAGTGTCCAAGCTGTATCGGCGGTGAAAGTGCGGAAGGTTTGCTCCGGGCTGGCTTCTAGATCGATGAGGACTTGGGCCTAGTAGGTTTGGTTAGCTTCCAAGGGTTGGAACCCTGGAATGACTTGGGAATTCCGAGGTTGTGTAGATTGAAGTTGAATTGGAGTGACATACGTCCGTGCTGGGTGCTGAAAGAGACATGGCCGGATATTTTTAGGGGAAAAAAAGGTGAACAATTGTAGACTGAGCGTAGCGGGGTGGAAGTTGGTATGGGGATTTGCGGAGGTGAAGTGGGATGCTGTTACTAGTAGCCAGTGGACCCTGCGGATATAGTCTACTCCGTATGACTCGAGAAGAGAATGAAAGATGAGTGATCACACGGTCACACCCTTGAGAAATTGGTGAAGAATTTTGTTTTTCTTCACCACTTGGGGAGATGAATTGGACTTTATAGAATTGTCTGTGATCTACTAGTATTCCATGAGTAAACGCTGCTTAGATGACAGAATCCACATCTCATTCAACGGAAGGTCCAGTCGACTCGGCAACGTTGGGAAAGCTGCGGAATTACCTCATCTTGTCACCGATGAAATAAGCCCCCGCTTTTCACTCCCGCAACAGCATCAATTGATTGGATGTCACATACACCTACATACACCTACACATTGTAATGTCCATGTGGAACTGATGATCTGATTTCGAATAAGAAACCCTGAAGACAGACAACAAAAAAACCGAATGTTTCTGCAACCTATTACAAATTCTCTCTAAACAGGACTCTCGGCACAGAAAATGACTTATTAGACTGTACCAGTTGATGCGTAACGAGAGATGGGGCAGCTTCTATATCATCATTGTCTCTTACATGATCTCGTTGAGGTGTATGCCCACTTCGTCGACTCTCAAGAAAAATCTCATCGGTAGCTTGCTTCCGTAGCCAATAGCTTCTCATGCGATCAAGAGCGGTTTTGAAGTCATCAAGAATGACTGTATCACAGAGGCATTTGAAAATGAAAGACAACTACCAACACAAAAATGGTTAGATATATGGTGCCAAAATCCATGTCGACATGCCTGGGTAGGTACCTATTGGCAAAACATGATTTCCAAGATTGTTCCAACGTTGGGGGAAGGGTGGGCTTGATCTGGATCAATTACTTACTTTCCAAAAAGGCTGGATCCCGATAGGTAATGTATCCTTGAATACTTGGTAGGCACTCAATGTATCAACAATAATGAATGCAATGGAGAGACACATTGAGACCAGCATTACGCCAAAACGCGGACTGATGAGGATGAGTTCCCAGATGCCGAAGCCGTATTCACGTTTGATTGTCCAGAAGAGGGAAATGGTAGTAAACACCCACCAAGGATCTCTATAGAAGAAATTGAACGGGCCCTGTGAGCTTCTGAAACATTGAGCCCCGGAGTAGCGCGGGGATACTGACCTGAAAAATGGTTCGAGGGGTCGAGTGTGAACAAATACATCGTTGATATTATTGAAGAAGGTAAAGTTGGCGTATATCTCGAGGACCCAATATGGCCAACAGAGAGCAACGGTGAAGATATAAATTCGCGAAACACGTCGAGACAGAAATGGTCGATTCTTCATCCATGCAATGACATTGTGCAGCGCCCAAGAGATGTTGAGGCCGATTGCCGTGACAGACAAGTACCAGCCGTATGTGGGCTCATGGGGAAAGATGAAGGTACCATGAGGCATGGCAAGTATCAGCTATGAGATGTTATTGGCGATCTAGAATACTCGATTTGGCTTTTGCGAATTGCGAGTTGCCAAATCTCTAGGTCCGGATAGATGGGGATGGCCTGCCTCAGCTAGAATCAACTTATGAAGAAGAATGTGTTTTTTCATGTTCGACACGGTGATAGCAGACATAATGAGAAGGCTGCCAATCATCAGGCCTTGACCCCAAGCTTCGATGACCAGACCATCAGGCTGGGTGGGTCGGCCTTGTCGCTGCATAATGAGCTAGCTCATGGGGATTTCGAACTCAGAAACTGCCGAGACAGACAAAAGAGACGAGGCTTTTAAAAGGAAGGGAAAATATGCGATTTTCAACGGAAGATCGTTGCACACGCTGCAGTGATAGAGTTTGGCCGTTTAGCCATCTCTCACTAGGAAGCACCTGTGACCTGGGGTATAATACTTTGCTTGGCAACTTAGCTCTCATCCATATCTTGAGTAGGACGTAAGCTTTGACCAGGCTATCCATGAGATACAGTCACTCCAGAGATCACCAAAAAAAGACTATGTCATGGAATGCTCTGCACGAAGTACCGGCTTCTGGCGTGGGGTAGCCCATGCTAGGCCATGAAGGGTCTTCTTTAAAAGTTCGAACGACAACTCGGTCTTGGGAAACCTGACTTTTCTTAAATGATGTGATCTTTACATTCTGGCACATCAAGGTCACCTTAATAATTTGGTCTGCGTTACGCGGAAGTTTTGAAAGGCGTCGCTTAGTTAAAAGTGAACTACTACCCTTTGACGGCTGCAAATTGCAACTTGCGCCCATAGAATTCAAAGAAACATGCAAATTAGTGAATAGACCAAGGCAGGCTAGATTTAAGCTCTCAGAGCTCCCGAGGCAAATATAATTGTTTTCTTTCATCGCCCTCCCACTTTTGTCACAAATTCAAGCTCGGGCGGCCTCGGATTCTTCGCGTGGCCCACCTGAGTACCAAAGCTTTTTGCGGCTCATTCCACGAACCTCTTCCTTATATGGGGGGGAACTTGGTAGTATTTTTGGCGGGGCATTTCCAGGATCAGAAGAGAGTCCGGGGATCATGTGAAACGAGAAGATGTGGCAGTGTTCCGTGTCTACAGGGAGGCTATCCTCTTGATTCCATGTTCAGGCCACCAGTATTCGACACCATGTGACACAAGAGGTAAGAAAGAGATGAGAATTGTGAGATATCAAGGATAGGGAAAACAGTCAAGATACTGTGCATGTGCCTTGACTCTTTGAGCATGGATAGATGAATTGGAAGAAAGTGTAACTAACACATGGTTTAAGTACAGTTTACTCAGCGGGTAACGGGTTTTATGAACATTTGAACGAATTATGTAAGTAGTTATGTAAGTAGTTATGTAAGTAGTTATGTAAGTAGTTATGTAACTAACTAGTTAGTTAACTTGAAAAAGGGATGGTTAGTAATCTGCTCTGCTTAGTTCAGCGGGGATTCTGCTACTTGCCCGATAATTCAGGTGTCCAAGGGCCTTTTTGCCGCCACGTGGGGCCTGAGACGGCTGGGGCGGTCGCGGCTCTGGCCGGGACCGCCGGGCTTGTTGCTGTTGATCCTTGGAAGTTCATTCAAGATTCAAGAGTCAAGACCATCTGCGCAACTTTCTTGGCATTCCACACGCGCCAAAAATATTGTAGGGAACGATGGAATCTTCGTCAAACCCATTCTGGGGCGCACAAACCTCTTATCTCAAGTAAGTTTGCCTTTCAGACCAAGTCATCCCTGGACCGGCGATTAACTTGTCTTAGCTTCTGCGAAGAGGTATAAAATTATCTGTCCATATCGGGACATGTGCCTATCTTTGCCGCTCGCTCAGCCTCTAATACCAGAGTTCTCCAAGTAGGACTATGTCATCACTCGGTTTGTTGCTGAGTTCATCAATACATTCAGTAGCTTGATATACAGTACGTTGACCACGAACTTCGGCCACCTCGGAAAGGACCCGTTTCACTGATGACCAAATTCAGTGATCTTTGGAATATATGGCTTGGTTCAGCTTCGAAACAAGCAGCAGGCTGGTCTTCGCCGCATGTCTTACTGCGGTTTGATTGGAGTTGGCGTCTGCTCCGCTGGCTACCACATGACTTTGAAATATCACACCCAGATGTGTATGTCTTTCTCCACCCTGGACACGGATCACGTATATCTGACACACTCTTTAACCACTAGCGGATGAGCTGTCCATGCATCTCTTAACGACGCCTTTGTTGTATAGGATCCTCACGTTTCAAGCTACCCCGCAACGTACCAGGATCACAGGAGCTATTCTCCTCATCCTGTTTACCATTGTGATGTTTGTGCACATGGCCATGGATGAGTTTATTGTGCATGCTGTCGCTTTTGGGCTCGCAGTGTGGTTGATCGCAAGATACACGATCAAAATGATTCCTCAGCAAATCCCGGATCTTTTCCTGCGGAAGAAGATTCAACGATTCTCGTTTCTTGGCTGCTGTATGTCCCCCCTCCCCCACGCCTGCTTAGGAATGGAAAGAAAAATCCGACTGATCACCAATACATAGTCTGCTTCGTTTTTGGTTACTGCGTGTGGCTCATCGATGAGTTTGCTTGCCATCACCTTACTAAAATCCGACACACAGTCGGTCTACCTTTGGCATTTTTATTTGAATTTCACGGATGGTGAGTTCTGCAACTCCCACACCTATCACTTATCCAATCTGAAATCGCACTAATAATTTAAAGGTGGCATTTTTTTACCGCAATTGGCGGTTATGTCGCTGTCGCAACCGTGGACCTTATCACATCAGGCGAAGTGCACCAAGATCCCACTGACAGCCTTGCCTGGCCAGCTCCATTCATGGCAAGGCTTGTTGAGCCGAAAGCAGATTTCATGAAACAGAAGTAATCCATGCAATGAGGGCCTACTGGATGCCTGATTTGCATCGTCCGGTAAAACGATGGTCTTCCAGGATGATACTGGAATCATTTGATGATACCAGGGCACCGCCCCCGAACTTCCATGTGTGTGACGAGTTCATTCGATCGAACTCCCTGCACATGACTTGCATTGTCAAACATCGCAGATAAGCGCGCTTATCTCTGTTATTAGAAGAATAGATCATTTGGAGCGAGATAGATTGGCACTGGAATATGACTTGCTTTTTTGCGCCACTGATTCGAAGGAATTCTATACCCAATTTCCTAGGTAATGTGTTTGAGACCATACACCCAACATTTGAACTAAGAGGACTATATGACTGGGTTCTTTTCTATTTGGGAATTTAAGCCCTCAAATGTTAGTTCAAGACCATGAATAGATACATACTACCTGCTACATGGAATGAAGGCGCCCCTTCAATAACCGGCACCTCAAGTGCTGCCAGGCGTGGTCGAGTTGGCAAAGCCCTCCCACATTACCCAAGTGGTCGTTCAAGGTTCTCGAGGTTTTGGTAAATGGTGATATGTTAATAAATCAATCACCTGGGCAATCAATGTCACTATGAAATGTCACTCACTGCAAATTTTGCAAATTTTGCAAATGCCACTGTGTTACATTGTACAAAGTCGGAATCCATGGATGTCAGAGACTCAGAGTCATTATATGGTTCCACAATTTGGAATCGCCAAGCTTGAGGAATGTGAGTTCAAACGTATCAATTGATGCGGATTAAAATAATAGTCCAACCAGCGACCCTTCCTTCAACATATCTGTTTTCAATTTTCGAAGAAAGCCCCTATCAAATATTAAGTACTGCCAGGACATATCCACGCAGTCGAGAACACTTGAGTGCCAAAAACGAGCTTCCATTGACAGCCGTGGATCCAGCCCAGGCAAAATGCATTTCCATTCTCATCGCTCTAAGTGATGCCAAGAAAATCCTGAACATATGCACTTTGGGCGGATACTCAAGTATCTGGTTCGCATAAGGTCAAAAAAGAAGTGGCAAGGTCATGAGCATCAAAGTGAATCCCAAACAGCGAGCTATAGCTACTAAGCATCTGGAGAAGCTATATTTGAATGTTCCTAAAAATGTCAAGATGCTTTTTGGAGTGGCGCTCGAAGTGTTGCCGAGGTTGGAAGAAGATATTCAACGGGGAGACCTGCACATGTGGAGATCGGGAGTCGTTTGACTTTGTGCTTGTTGACGCAGATTAGACTAATCATCGGAATTACTTTGAGCTTTTACAGAAGTTCAGGTGCTAACAAGCTACTAGTAGTAACCTTGGAATATCTTCCACATTCAATGTTCGCCAATTGAGGATACTCTTCTATCTTTCTTCCTCGTGCAGCCAGGTCATAGCCTTTTCAGAGCAAAGGGCTTATTCCGGACCTTCCGGACCACCGGCGGCTTCCATGGGGAGATGAATACATGTCGAGGAGTGAACATGCGAAAGTGTTGATCGGATAATATTTCATGGCAACATTTGAATATGTTTCGAATTGAGGGTGCATAAAGACCTCAGCGCCGGTGGTCCGCCCAATGGAAGCGGTCAATCCTGTCCCTGCAAACTTCCGGAGGCTTTTCATCCCATGGATCAAAAGAAAACTCCAACATACCATCCACCACTTGCTCTCTGTTTCTCTCCATGAGTGGATTCTCCACGGCTACTCATTGCCGACACAAATCCGATAATGATCACCAGGTTTCAAGTCTCATGTCCATCAAAGAAGAGATGCCACATGAGCTCTTCGCATTGAAATGAATCATTCAAATGTTAATTGCAAAAGGAAATCCACCATGTACTTGCTTCGGTCTCTATTGAAGTTTTGTTGATATAAGTTATCTTACCGTTCTCTATTTCCTGCTTTTTACTGGGAGAGCGATGACCTCTTGGTGGTATATTGCCAGCAGTTTACTGCTGATATCAGTGAACACATGTACTGCGATCTGGCCTTACTGGAATTTCCGGTCGAGTAGTTTTAAGCCTCCCAAGCTTAGGATCAATAATACTGGCCCAACTGATCCGGGCTTGATCTTTCTAGGTCCTCGTGGAAATGTACAGTCAACTGGCCAGGCTGCACTCATCTACGACAATCTAGGCAATCTGGTCTACGAAGGCCCCGGCTATACTACTTCAAATTTTATGGTGCAAACATTGAATGGCTCCGATGTGATTACTTTCTGGGCTGGCGAGATTATCGATGTTGGCTACAGGTACGGCGCCGTTCATATTCTGGACAATACCTACCAAGAGATCTATACTGTTACCTTGACTGCGGACTTCCTCACTCCGGACAATTCAACAAGGTCTTCATATATTGACTTGCATGAAAGCCAAATTACTTCAAACAACACGCTTTTGGTCACTGCATATAATGTCACTCAACATGACCTAACCTCGATTGGCGGCACATCATCTGGCTGGATGCTGGATAGTCATTTCTACGAAATTGACATTGCAACTAATGAGATTATCAACTCGTGGAGTGCACTTGGTCATGAAGATGAGATTCCATTGACTTCCTCTCACCAGAAGCTGGCTGGCACCACCGCTGGCACCCGGCATAACCCCTACGATGCCTATCACCTCAATGCCATCGCACCCACCAACAATGGCTACTTGATCTCTCTCCGTCATACGTGGTCCGCATATTATCTTTCTGAGAACGGAAGCGTGGTGTGGCAAGTTAGCGGCGAGGATGGGGCTGACTTTACTCAGGTTGGCAAGGCGAATTTCTCTTGGCAGCATGATATCCGTGTATGGAACGAGACCGACCAGGGGATGGTTCTGACTTTATTTAATAATGCCAATGGCCCCAACGACAGCGAGAGTCCCAGCACTGGTGTAAGCCTGGCTGTTGATCTCTTGAATAAGACTGTCACTGGTCTTCGCTCACTCAGTGACCCTGATGACCGCATTTTCGCTGTAAGTCAGGGAAGCTACCAGGTTCTCAACGAGGACGATGGCCACGTCTTCATGGACTACGGCGCCATCTCCAAGATCAAAGAATTTGACGGAGCTGGAACTGTTGTCTTTGCCGCCCAGTTTGGCCTGAACAATCTTGTTGCCTCTTATCGTGGGTACCGCTTTCAGTGGAGTGCTATTCCTTACTGGAAGCCTGCGCTTACTGTCACTCGGACCTCAACTGGTGCCATGGTCTACATGAGCTGGAATGGTGCTACCGACTATGACGCCTGGGCTGTCTACTCGGCTTTCTCGGAGAACTCGACGGATAATCTGCTACTCTTGTCTTCGAATCGCACTGGCTTTGAAACTGCCGTTAAGGTGACCAACTTGACAACAAAATATATTCAAGTGGCTGCGCTTCAAGGAAGCCGTATTCTCGGTTTCTCGGACATAATTTATTTTTAGACACTTCCAATGTTTGATATGTACATGTATGCACATACATGTATTGATAGTTCAATGTTTGCACTTGCACACATGCAGCAACCAGTGTCGGTCGTTCAAATGTTTAATTATATGTGTGCATACAGATGTGTGCGGTTCAAGAGTCCTAGCAGATGTACTCAAGTTGAATTGTCGAAATAAACCGATCGGTATTCAAAATTTTGTTACATTTGACTTAATTCCAGATGATGGAAAATACTACGAACCATGCTTTTGCTCATTCCATGGCTTTTAAACTGGGGAAATCGAAGCGATGGACCGATGGACCGTGATACCAAGAGTGAGATGTCACATTCTCATGATGCAAGGTGTACTGAGTGGAGACAAACAACACCTCCATACAATATCGATAATGTCTGTGATTGGGCACTGAAATCATTTTGATTCGAGTCTAAAAAAAATTCAGATATGTTTTCAAGGCAGCAAGATGGAGATACTCTAAGTGTGCAATATTCAATGTTTTTTATTTCGGTCATGGTAGAAATGCATTCGGAACGTTGGCCATGACCTCAAGTGCTTCCAAGTAACTTGAATGTTCAGGTGTGAATCCTTAGTCGTGGGTATCTCCCCGCAGCCAAGGTTGCATGCTCAATAAGATCAATCCCGAAAGGTGTAACATTCTCAAGGTCCTTCTTTGTTAACGTCTATTTGGAGTTTCAATTGTGACACTGTATGACTTGAGTATCCCTTCATTGTGCTTCATGAGAGCACTAGGTGGCGCCAAGCGCTTCTTTTGCCAGAAAGATCCCTAGAATGACCACTACCTTGGGAGCAGCAGAATGTTGCTACCTTCTACAATGTGAGATCAAATTCGAATGAACAGTGAATGATTTGAAAGCTCCAAGAAAACAGACAAATGCGAGTATAAAGCTTGGAGTGAACCCACCCGCCAAATTTCTAACCACAGACATCTGGAAGCTTCAGTCAAGTGAAACCCACGAATCAAGGGAAATCTACTAGACAATTATCGTGATGAAGCTCTCGAACCTTTTTGAAATCCTCTCTCTGGCCACGTTAGCAGCCTCCCACCCGGGCACCAAAACAAAGAAAGATGGGGCAGATACTCCCTGGGGCGCTTTTCCGTCACCAGCTCAGTCGTTTGTGCCCTGGGTAGAATCAAGTACATCGCCCGCCATCTTACGTGTCGGCCAAGCGGTGATCAACAACCACTGCCCTTTCCCCATCTACATTTGGTCCGTCGGCAGTGTTATTGGGCCAGAAGTCACGACCGGGCCAAACGGGCGCTATGTTGAGACGTTTCGTCACGATCCCAAGAGTGGTGGCATTGCGATCAAGATCTCCACTTCGCCCAATGGGTTATTGACAAGTTCGCCGCTGACTGTATTTGCGTATAACTTGTCCGGTGATGGGAAAGTGTGGTACGATTTGTCAGATGTATTTGGGGATCCGTTCAGGGGTCACTCTGTTGTGTTGGAGCCATCACAGCCGGGAATATCCTGGAGAGATGGCTCCCCCCCTGCTGGCAGTGGTATTCGCGTACGCGATGCTTCGAACGATTTGGTCTTGACATTGTGTTGAAAGGATCCTTGTAAGAGTTGGACCTTGAATATTTACGTTTATAATGGGAAAGATTGACGGTTGAAAATACGTTGGGGCCATGGGGATCATGTCAACTGGTAGTAAAATCTTTTTTTTTTTTGGAACTTTTGTGAGCTTCCACAGTCGGTTGAACGGAACACGAGTAGTAAGGATAGTAACATTGAATGGATTTACTCTCCGAACACCAAATCTTTTTCCGAGGTTCCAGATGTCCTAGTAACCTTAGTATATGTGTATTTCTCTTTCTCCAATTTCAATATTGGGGAATCTGATGTCATTCCCGAAATGCCTCGGCTGCTAACGGACGAATTGATCAACATTTGAAAGAATTACCATGGAATAAGTTGAGAGGAAGCAAGTTTTCGTTTTGATTAGTTGATATGATTCATTGAACCAAGATATCTACTTAACTCCTGGACTATAATTAAATCTTGGAATTCTACTTAGTTACCTACTACTACTAGTAGTATCATTTCAATGTTGTACCTCGGCCAGAAGACCGAACTGACTAAGGCTTTTAACCCACACAAATCTCCCCCGCATTTACTCCACTTCTCCAATTCCCACTCGAGTGTCAACTTCCCTTTTACATATCTTACAACTCTCTCATAAACGCTGCTTAACATTTAGGGATTATTTCCAACGCATATTGTTCAAAAACTGCGGAAACAATGGTCGCACCTGCAATTCGAGTGGCCCCGTCGGCTGCCAACCGCGCGCTGAATCTATTGCGCACGGTGCAATACACCCACCCACCCAATTGCCCTTGCCACTCCAATTCCAATCATCACCACCACCACAAGACTCCGTCGATGTTGAAAAATGTCCGTCGTCATCTGGCCACTCCCGTGGATCCTTCGCGCGAAAAGGAGTATGCCTTTGAAATGGCCGCATCCAGTATTCGGTTTGGACCTGGATCTACCAAGGAGGTCGGCATGGATTTCACAAACATGGGTGCCAAGCGAGTTTGCATCGTAACCGATTCCAATGTGGCCAAACTAGATGCCATGAAGCAAGCTGTTGAAGGACTCACGCGAGAGGGCATTCAATTTACCATTTTTGACAAGGTCCGGACGGAGCCAAAGGACAGCTCGTAGGTGCTGATTATTTTGAAATGATACTCAAAACATTTGTGTCCCTGACTAACCTGACGCGTCACAGTATTAGAGAAGCTATTGCATTTGCGAAGCCGTATAAACCCGACGCCTTCCTTGCCGTCGGTATGTACTAGTATACAGGACTCGTGGGGGTGGTATTCTCAGCCCAACTAACAAAATTCAACAGGTGGCGGATCTGTCATTGACACCGCGAAACTCATGAATCTGTACACCGTTTTTCCGGAAGCCGACTTTATGGATTTCGTCAACGCCCCACTTGGCAAGGGCCTCCCAGTGACCAAACCGCTGCTCCCTCTTGTCGCAGTGCCCACCACCGCAGGCACAGGCTCCGAGACAACCGGAACAGCCATCTTTGACCTGGTAGAGAAGAAGGCCAAGACGGGCATTGCACACCGCGCCCTCAAGCCCACACTGGGAATCTGTGACCCCCTTAATACTCGTACAATGCCCTCGGCGGTCCACGCTGCTTCCGGTCTTGATGTGCTCTGCCACTCACTCGAGTCGTGGACCGCAATCCCATATAACGAGCGCACGCCACGCCCCACAAATCCCATCAATCGCCCTGCTTATCAAGGTGCGAACCCTATCTCCGATATTTTCTCCCTCGAAGCCCTGCGCAGCACAGTCAAGTATCTTCCTCGCGCCGTGAGAGACCCCGATGACCACGAGGCGCAGTCCAACATGCTTCTCGCGGCGACTCTGGCCGGTGTTGGGTTCGGTAATGCAGGTGTACACCTGTGCCATGGCATGAGTTACCCGATTTCTAGTCAGAACCCTGGCTACAAGCACAGCGGTTACGAGGTTGATCACCCAATAATTCCCCACGGTGTTTCCGTCGCCGTAACCGCGCCCGCTGTGTTTAGGTTCACGGCTGCATCAAATCCGGACCGTCACTTGGCTGCTGCTGAAGCATTTGGCGTGGATATTACAAATGTAAAGCGCGAAAGCGCGGGTGAGGTTCTTGGGGCTGCCATTGCCGAGTTCTTGCTTAAACTGGGTGATCAACCGCGTGGTTTGAAGGGGCTGGGATTCAAATATTCGGACCTTGATGGCTTGGTTGAGGGGACTATTCCGCAAAAGCGTGTGCTGATGCTAGCCCCGAATTTGAGCGAGGAGCTTCAAGCAGAGAAGGAGGAGCTGAGGCATCTTTTGGAGGAGTCTTTGGACTACTAGAGATGTCTTTCTTTTCCTATGATAAGAATGTCGGTAGTTAACTAGTATGAACAAATGTGATTCGGTGGAACTGTAAAAATAAATATGAATGTATCACACTGGACGACACTAGTAAAAAAAAAAAAAAACTGGAAAAAAAAAGAAAGAAAACGATGGATATTACAAAATTCGTATGTAAATGCATGCAGATATAGTAAGGGCAAATGGGGACCTGCTACAATGCCAAATCGTCGCTGAATCAACTGGTTATCTAGTACCTCACCCCCTCAAACCACCCTGTGCGCCTTCTTCGATGCTTTCCGTAGGACTCACATTTTCCGAAATCAGTTTGGTCCCTATCACCCCCATCGATGAAGCAACACGATCTAACCAGATCACTGCACGAGGGTCATTTCGGTCCGAGGTTTTGGATGGACCACGTCCAAGCTCGGAATATATTCGGAATGGCAATGATATGGTATCAGAACTAAGAGGCGGTGAAGGTGTGTCTATACTTCCATCGCTCAGAGTGCTCGTTCCTGACCCGGGGGAGGAAACTTCAATAATCTGACAACGTCGCCTGCCTTCTAGATGATCGCACAGCTGACGGAGAGTGCCCTGAATATTTTCTGCCCCACGAAGAAGCAGCGAAGGACCGGTTTCCGGGAAAATTTCGGGGACGGGACCGACAAAGGTACCTGGGCGTCGAATGATACCTTGTTGGCGCTGGCTATGAGCGCTGATACAGGTTCTTAGCTCGGAACTGAAAATGTACAGTCGGCGAGAAGTATCTTGGATGCGCTGTATAAGATCTTCACTGTCGGCTTGTATTGATTTGGAGGAGCTGGACAGAAGGGACTTTCCTTCGCTAAGATATCGAGGACACTTGGCGATTTCCATGAAGACTTTGTCGGAGATGACAGCATATGCGGCCCACTCACCGAGCTTTTGTGAATCTTCAGCCATCATTTCAAGAGCGTAATCTTGCCATTCATCCTCATCGAGAAAACAAGGTTTCCCCTGGTAGACAGCCGTAGCAACATGAAAGCCTCGAAAGGCAATCCAGCAGGATTTTCCAAATCCTGTTTTGTGCCGACCGGCTCCACGACTCGTCATAAGTCTTCTTACTGCATCGGAATGCACAACCCAGGCATCAGGGCTCGTCTGAGCATACATCTCATAGACGCTGAGCATCATAGAAGCACAAAGCATATTATCAGACATGGCCTGATCAGCAATTGAAAGAGCACGAACCATCTCACCCAGCGAGACCCCATACATCCTTCGACTAGTCCGAAGAAGAACAGGATCCTGCGTGAGATGCGCCAAATAAACCGAACTCAAACAGCAAATGGCCGAATCAAGATAGGCATCCTGCCCAAAATTCAGAACAATATGCTCGGCAAAGCCTTCCCTACCCGCGCGGAACCGATTATGAAAGTACAAAGTGGGGAACGATGCACTGATAAAATCCAGGAACAACTGTGGCTGGGCGGCCTTGAACGACTTGCGCACTAGCGAGGGCGAGATATTTTCATCCAGCGCGATTGCTGCTGAGTGCCGACGCATTAGCGCAATAGCGCTATCACGCACGACCGTCGCAACCCCGGCGCCTTCTTCATCGGGCTGCTCGACGGGTCCGAGCGCCTCGATCTGCCGTGAATGTGGAGATGAAGCTCCAACTGTCAAAGCGGGGGTCTGGGTGGCCACGGCTGAATTCTGGGCGCGACCTCGTCTGCGAGGGAGAGAGCGATTTCTTCGCGCGAGACTGGGGCCTTCATCTTGGAATCGGTAGGTGCGCCGGTATCCTGGACAGTCGCGGCCGTATCGCTGACATTGGGAGCAGCCGGGAACCGCCTCGTCGCACTAGCATTTTGAGACGGGAGGGTATTCTCAGCAGGGATGCACGATAAATGGGCTGGTCAAGAGAAACCTGATAGCTTTGTTTTCTTACCTTGATGTGTCTTTCACGACAGAGAGCACAGCCTGTACTGTGTGGTACCCCCACCATGGTTGGGTGTTTGGAACTCAATCAATCAGCATGGTGCTTGGAGCTCGCATCGCACAATCCGTCGATTGACCTTTTTCCTTTTAACAATCGGTCTTTGGGCAAGCTGGAGGGAAGAAAAGTCGAAAGAAAATTAAGGATTATTGGGGTTAGGTTATAGCCGGAGAATGTCCGGTATTGTGTTCAAGAGTGGAGAAGTCTCTCTCTCTCTCCCTCTCTCCCTCTCTCTCTCCCATGCCAAGTGTTTGTATTGCCGTTGCGTTCCACTTTTCTTTGGTTAGTTTTGGTTAGTTTTGGTGGCTAAATGTTGATCTGTTGAGAAGCTCTTTTTTCTGCCTTAAGAATCGAGACCAAATTTACAAATTAAGATAATTCCAATATATGCTATTCTTGCTTTCCAACAGGTGGTTTCCAGGGGGGGTTAAAAAAACATTGTTCAACGGTCAACCTATAGGAACACTATAAAAGCTCACATACATCGTCCAGAGTCAACATTGAATAAGAGGATATCTGGCACCCGAGATTCCTGGCAATAAGAATGGAAAATAAGTATTTTCCAATACGAAAGATTTCTTACCCATTTGCAGTTTCAAGAAATCCGCATAGTTGATAGAAATACAATTACATAACTAATCTATTCTCCAGTACGCGTAACTCGCATTAATGGTTTTCCCGTGCTGATCGTGCCCAGGCATTAAGGCTCACAGACACGGACTCTGGGGGCAATGATATCAGTCAGCGAGAGCCTCGACTCCCTCTTAACACTCACACTCACACATACTTCATCATCATTGTTCCAACTCAAGATTATTCGGTTTGCCTTTTGACCCCCTTTTAAAATCTATTGTGTAACACCTATTTGCCTGGGTATGCGATCGTATCCTTTACGATGACCAGGCTCCGCGGAGCTTCTCTCGATTCCCCAGACGCCCAGCCCGGCAACGAGCGACAATACTGCCGGGCCAAAGTTCCCCCAAATGCCCCCGAAGTCATTCTTCAGAACACCATCGAAGTAACGGATTCGTCACGAGTGCTGCCATGGTATCGAGATGAGCGAAGGCGACGCTTCAACACACTAGTGCGAAGGTGAGTAGTCATCGCTGGGTCCCCAAAGCTTCGCGCAACTTTCGGGGAGAAATATCTCTGATGAATTCCTTGGTTATAGATATAAGAACCAACTGCTATATGGCTGCGAGGACCCAGGATGCCGGACTCCTACCTGCGCGAGTCGCCGTCGCCGCGTCAGTGAAGGCCCATACCGTCGATACACTGATCTAAGCGCTCGAACGCTTGCCTGTTATCTTGCCAGTTTGGACGACGCAGAGAGCGGACTCTGTTGCAATACCCCCAAAATACCATCTGATTTAACGGCACACGACTACCACCGCATATCTTTGCAACCATCCCGCACTTCCCAAGCAAAGGCAGCTGCCGCCGCCGCCACATCCGAGGAACAGGCCAGTCTTCCCCGTAACCAGGGCACTGGCAGTGGTAATGCATTCAAGCAGCAGGTTGAAGAATCCCAGTCAATTGACTCGCTATCTACCCCAAGCGGGCAAACCAGCGGCTCCCATTTTCCGGACCTTGACTACGCCTCTGAGCAACAATTAAAAGACCCCAAATCATTCACACAGAATCTATTCGACACAATATCGCTCCGAATGGTTGAGTGGCTGCCACTTCGTCGAACTACGGACTCTTTTCATCCCAAATCCAAAGAGCCCATGTTGCAGTCTGGGACTGAGCTACCCCACCACGACAAAGAGCATGAATCAAAAAATAAAGGACTCGAAAAAGCGAAGCCAAACAATGATAAACCCACACCGTCACTTCTTCCAAGCTCAAATCCCCGTACACCTTCATCGCGAACCTCAGGACCCCAGGCTTCGGCCCTCGAGCTCAAGTTTCAAAACCAACACGTCAAACGGCTTTCACTAACTGAGATGGACCATTGGCGACAATCACCCCGATCTGGTTTGGAAGACAAAAAGAGACCTGAATTTACGAATAGAAAGGTGTCTGTCAATTCGCATATTGCTTCAAGTGATATTGCGAGTATGCCTTCTCCACCGGCCTTGAAACATCGACCACAAAAGCACAGAGGCAGAATTGGCGAGATGGATCCTACCAGAATAAACGAACACACCAAGAAGCAGCGCCGGGTTTCTTGGGATAGTGAAAAGGTCCTCAACGAAGTCTGCCGGGAAGAAAGTCTTGGAAAAGGTCCTCGTAGGGAACCTTCACAAGAGGAGCTGGGCAATGCATCCCCAAGCAGCCGCAAAGTCAAACAGGGCTCACGTCATCGCTCACTAGATACAACCCCATTCGCACAGACGGTAACTCATCTTACTTCAGAAATCATCAATGGTCTTGGTCAAATCATGATTGAATCGCCAGAAGAAGAAGATACCTGGAAAGAAGAGCTAGAACGTATCCAGTTGACGGGGAGTTTTGATAACCCTGAGTGGCGATTCGCCACATCTCGCCAGCGCCTAGCATTTCCATTTGTTGCACAGAGTGTGTTTTACGTATTTGGCAGTGCCAGGCACATCCTATCTTCCTTCCGAACTGATGAAATAAGACCCGCGTCACCACAAGGAACGACGGATAGCCACCTCGATGTTCCAAACCTTCGGGACTCGCTCCAACGCCTTTTCAACACCTGTCCCTGGGATATCGCGTTGCATAGTTTATGGAGCACGTTGGACAATCTCTTTGTACCCCCAACCAATTTTTCTTCCTCTACTCGACCTTCGCGGCGTTCTTCGCGCAGTTCAACCATGACTGGCTCAGTTGCAGCACCGCCAGCAGTTCGACGAGCCTCCGAGTCCATAAGCGAAGAACATCTGTCTGACGTGGATGCCGCTTATATTGCCACAGTTGTCCTCTTTGTATTGGTTAGCTCTATACCAGACATAGATGTTCGAACTTGGCGTCAGATCCTTCGGATGCGCTCTTCGGGAAGTGTGGCTTCACCCTCTGCCATGCAGCAATTGCCTGCGGGTCAGGTACAACAAGCTGTCGAAGCAACAGATAGACTTGAACATGATCTTGGCCTTCGCCTGGTCAATCGCCTTGTACGTGCTCTTACTGCTCGTCTTGCATATCATGAGATATCCAAAGCACGTCAGGTCTATACGCTTGACCTTCCCAAAAAGGGTGGTGTCAGTGTTCTTGATCGAATTATGGATCATCTTAGTGAACACCATAACTTTCACCAATCCGGGGTCGATGAACATTCTTATCAGCCTACCGGTCCTGCTCATGTCATTCTGGAATGGCTCAGGACCCTCTTCTTGCGAGAATGGGATGGCAACCCCGAAATGGCTCTCAGCAGCACCACTGGAGGTGCGGTACAAATATTGGCATTAATGCACAGGGAGAGAAATAGGCTGGGCCTTTGTCCTGAAGATTTCCATACACCCATTCTCGCAGAGCGGCTGGACCCTCTTGAGATGCCCGTGGCATGGGTGGGCAGCGTCCCAAATAATCGTACGATGCATCTTATGTCATATTCCTTCCTATTCCCACCGGCATTCCTGGTCATCTATTTCCGAGCCCTCAACTACTCTGCCATGTCAAAATACTATGAGGCAGCCATGACCACAACTAGACACGTTACTCAAACTGCCTACAGCAACGCCATTAACGTCACTGATGACTCTTCGCTACTGCAACGAATGAAGACTTCCATGTCGACCTACCTTGTTCTTAGTGTACGACGAGATAACGTCTTGACGGATTCCTTGAACCAGCTGTGGCGGCGAGAAAAGAGGGAGTTAATGCGACCACTGAAAGTGCAGATGGGTATGGATGAAGGCGAGGAAGGTTTGGATCACGGCGGTGTTCAACAAGAATTCTTCTGTGTCTTGATGGCAGAAGCCCTTGACCCATCCTATGGCATGTTCACAATGGACACCCGACACCGTCTTTCCTGGTTCCGGCCTTCTCCATTAGAACCGCTGTACAAATACGAACTCCTTGGCCTTTTGATGTCCATTGCCGTGTATAACGGTCTGACTCTCCCCGTCAATTTCCCCATTGCGTTCTATCGGAAGCTTTTGGGAATCAAAGTGAAGCACTTGGATCATATTCGAGATGGATGGCCAGAGCTCACTCGAGGTCTTGAATCACTTCTAGCATGGGCAGATGGTGACGTTGGAGATATCTTCATGCGCACTTATGAGTTCAGCTTTGAATCTTTTGGCGGTGTTGGAACTGTCGATATGAAGCAAGTCGGCCGTGATGCCACCTGGCCAGCTCCCTCGTCAGCTTCCTGTTCCAAGCCTAATGCTGATCCTCCTGAAATGCCTGATATGCCTCAATACGTCAGCTCGTCGGGAGCGAGCTCGAGTCCGTCCATGGCAAGTCAGACAACAACATGTCACAAGCTCTCATCGGTCCCAGATGTGACTTCTAAGTCTACCTCTGGTTCTTCATCATCCCAACCTTCCGCTCCTGCTTCCGAAGAGGCGCCCTTGGTAACCAACGAAAATCGACATCAGTTTGTCAAAGATTATATCTTCTGGTTGACCGACAAGTCTATTCGACCTCAGTTCAACTCCTTCGTTCGCGGCTTTCACACCTGCCTTGATCGGACCGCCCTGTCGATATTCACACCCGAGGCACTAAAAACAGTGGTGGAAGGTCTGCAGACGATTGATGTAAAAGAGTTGGAGAACCACGCTCGGTACGAAGGTGGTTTCGGGCCTGATCACCGTGTCATCCGGGACTTCTGGAGCGTTGTCCAGGAATACTCGGCCGAGAAGAAAGCACAGCTGCTGGAGTTTGTTACTGCAAGTGACCGAGTCCCTGTTAATGGCATCTCGAGCATTATGTTTGTGATCCAGAAAAATGGCGTGGGAGATATGGTAAGTAATATTTTCTGTTGTCAACACTTTTTTTCATTGCGACTCTAATTGATTGGTTTTTTTTTTAGCGTCTTCCGACTAGTCTGACATGCTTCGGTCGTCTGTTGCTTCCAGAGTACTCCTCAAAGGAAGCTTTGGTAGAGAAGCTTGACAAAGCACTTGCAAACGCCCGAGGTTTCGGTGTTGCATGAAGTAATTGTAGTGTTAGGGATTTATCCATACATACCACATACCCATTTATTTTCTTTTCGCCATGCATTCAAGAGTCACGAGGTCACCGCGCTGTACAATATTATTTACGAGGTTCCAAGTGCTTACTACTGGACATGTTTGGAAATTCCGAAGCTGACCTATATACTACCGACATACCTTTTTCGTATGAACGTACATATCGATGCTAAACGCTTGGAATTGGAAATGAAAAATGCCCACAACATTGAATACGCTCAAGCACGTTAACTCGAACGAATAAGACCGAGTCAGTGGCCCTCGGCTTCAATCCTGTACTTCTGGTTCGCCATTACAGCGTGGCAACCATCGGATTCTCCAAAAGGCGGAGTCCTGAAGTCCGGTACCTATGACTCAAGTGCTGATCTTCTGATCTTCACTTCCTCCATTTCAATTCTGCTTTACGAATGCTTCATAATCTACCGTTGGGATTTACTTGATCATACAACCTTGCATCAGTGCCATTGATCTCATGTGAGGCAACCTCCAGTCTCCCTACAATGCTACCCCCCGCTGCCCCACGTTTCGCCGCCGGATAAGAGTCAACGGAGTCCACGATCTCAATTCAGCCAAACCGAAGCTAACGACTGCAAAATCAGAGCACAGCAGTGATTTAATCTTTCAAATTTATCATGCCACCCACCATTCACTGCGTCCGCCACGCCCAGGTATGTGCATATATGGATCATGCTTACCATCGGCATGCAGCCTCTCCGCCTTCCCCCGCCAGTAACGCGAGGACTTTTCAATTGTTGAGCCCCTTCAATGTTTGGTCAATTGATTTCTGACGTATATGCGCTTCCAGGGCGTCCACAATCTCTGCACCGCAAACCATGTCATCCCGGATCCTCTACTCACAGACCTTGGCCACGAGCAATGTGCCAAGTTGCGTGAGGTCTTTCCTTACCACGACAAAATCGACCTGGTGACAGCCTCACCTCTGCGCCGCACCATCTACACGGCCCTAGAGAGCTTTGGGCCTGTTTTCAAATCGCACCCGGAATTAAATCTCATTGCGTTACCCGACACACAGGAGACCTCCGATGTGCCCTGCGACACCGGTAGCGAGCCCGCGGAGCTACAAAAGGAATTTGCGGGCAAGAATGTTGATCTAAATCTGGTTCACGAGGGCTGGAACAACAAGGTGTGTTTCTTCCGGAAGTCTCTTCTCGCGTTGGCTTCACGAAAAATCTTTATGTGAATATCTCTTTTAACTCGCCACCACGTACCAGGCTGGTCGTTACGCACCTACCAATGCCGCGCTCCGAGAGCGCGCCCGCGCCGCCCGCCACTGGCTGAAATCCCGGCCGGAGAAGGAGATTGTGCTCGTCACCCACGGCGGATTCCTACACTACTTGACCGAAGACTGGGAGGATCACAGCCAGTACCAGGGCACTGGGTGGTCGAATACCGAATTCCGCTCCTACACCTTCTCGCAAGAGGACCACCGCGACGATTTGGAAGGTCGCGCACTCGATGGTGGTAACGCCACGCTTGTGGAGACCATCGAGTCACGAGAACGCCGTGGCAAGCCCGGTCCTACTCCCGATCGTGAAGAACAGAAGAAGCTCTACCAGCTTGGTACCCAAAGCTGGAATGACCAGCTTAATGGGGTGGAGCGTGACTCGGTGAAGGTACCTGAGGGTGAGGAGGTTGATGGAGTGAGAGTATGATTGGATGTGGGAAATGGACGTTTGATTCAAACTTCCACAAAGGCCATTTAACGTACATTTGATAGATCCCGTTAAAAATAGATCAAAAGACATCAATCGCTTTCAGTCATGCATGAAAAGCGCTAGCCGTCTATACTGTGCTTTGTTAATATTGTGAATATTAGCTTTATCTTACTCGCCCTCTTTGCCTATTACCATTTTTCTTTCATACCTACTAGGAACCACACCACAAAGGGCCTCGGAATGCCCATTGTTGCCATCATTGTGGAGGGTCAGAATGTATTATTTCTTTCGATCATTTGAACAATTTATATTCATCTCGAATTTGAAACGGGCACAGTCCACATCGACCGGGCTCGAACAAAGGATACTCGAGAAGAAAGCTGTTGTCGCAAGTGGTCGAGGAAGTCTATATAACTTGTTATGATCCCCACCTCGAAGGCTATTAACTCATCAGTACATAATAGTATTCTCTTATCAAATGGCCTTGTTTACTGAGTCCTTTTATCTTTACAATTTCCATATTAAGGAAGCTAACGTATAAGAACAGGTCCTCCCCCACCTTGCAGAGGTTGTCACCCATACAATTTCAATGTTGATTTGTTTAATCATCTCCACGTGTGCATATTTGAGAAATATGGGACATTTTGACCAAGTATCCTCTTTTCGAATTGACCAGCGGCAATGGCTAACATTGCAAACCAGGTACCTTCCATATTTGCGTCCAAGGTTAGACCATGCACAGATGCTACATATTTCTATCTGGGCAAAAGTTGATATTTATTCTATTTAGAAGCAACATTGAATGCTGGCTGGGTTTCTTCACTTTTCATACATATGTACAAGATCGTTGCAGATGTTAAGGCTAACTTGATTATTAGATTCATGCTTGGGGATGTCACATGCATTGATTGCACACACACATACACGATTTCATACAGTCCTTTCACATTCTAGGGTCTATTGTCAACATGGAATGAATACTACCCAAGGTTTCTTGTTAAGTGGAAAGTCTCCAGGGTTCCCTAAAAAAGTGCTAATATGGTCATAGTCGTGGAAGCTCCCCGGAGAACTTGAGAACATTGGTTTTTATATCTCTTTGCATTGTGACTTCCTCTCCCTTGGGCAATTAGAGCTAATATGTTGCAGCTCTCAATCAGTACATAGATTTTGCAAGTCCAGAAGAGTTGACCGAGGGCCTGGGCGATGACCTAATAGGCCGAGTTATTATTTCTATGTCTATTTCTATATCTACGCCTTTGAAAGCAACTTGGACTACAACATTACTGACTAACGCTGATCAGGTTCTCAAGTTGAATATCCTTTGCCGTCACAGCGAAGTCTAAAACCTTGGATATTTTTTAGGTAAGCCTTCTCCTTACTAACTGAAATCATACTAGAATCCAACAGTTTACGCACCTGTACACCTGAGCAGTGATGTCCACATGTGCATGACCGAGGCTTCCAGATGGGCCCCGGGGGGATAGATACTTAACATCAATTGATTGTTCTAGTTTTCAGATGCCCAGGTATATGGAAATTATCACTATTCAATGTTAGCGGCCTCAAACAGAGGACATGTCTTAATTTGACTTCGGAAACCAATTCAATGTTTGAAGCTCCGACCATAGGCCGGACTCCTCTCAAAAATGATTCCATTCAGGCACTTACCTACTAGGTATGTACTAGTATTGGGCACCTTTTCCAACAAAATTTAGATTGATCCTGAGCACTTGAGGTCGAGGCGGGTCACTGCATGCACATGTGTGGGCATAATGAGGTAGTGGGTGCATTCAAATGTTCAAATTGATATTCAGACACATCCATTTTACGTGCGGTACGGGAAATTGTTGTACACCACTAGTAACTTCTAGTCAACTGGTATGTAGATACATAGAACTTTTTCAACAACAGCAGGTGCCTAATCCACTATAAGTATTCATAGGCTCCATGGACGAATCTTCGATCGGGCACACATGTGCATGCTATATCTAGTTCGGTTCCCAAGTAGATACAAATGAAGTAAGCTCCATGCCGAAAGAAACCAACCACCTCATCCAGGAATCTCATCCTAGTCGATGTCGAAGTTACTCTGAGAGTCTGCCGAGAGTCGCTTTTCCCGCGCGGCTGTCGTTGACCCTGCCTAGTTCACCACTAATCCAGGACCCAATACGCGACATCTCTTCCAAGCTGACACCAGTGTGCATACCAAGGCTGTGAACAGTATGGATAAGATCTTCCGTTGAAACATTCCCAGTTGCACCCTTAGAATATGGGCAGCCGCCTAAGCCACCGACACTGCTATCAAAGATCCTAATTCCGTGTTCCAAGCCGACAAGTGTATTCACCAAAGCTTGTCCATATGTGTCATGGAAGTGGAGGGCCAAATCAGTATTGGCAATGCCAGCTGCCTTCAGTGCCTGTAGAAGCTCCATCGTCCGTGGCGCCGTGCCCATGCCTGTGGTGTCGGCGACCGAAACCTCATCGGCGCCCATCTCCAACAGAGTCGCAGTTATGTCCGCCACGGTTGATGGATTCACTTCAGGTCCTTCATAGGGACAGCCCAGGGCCACGGAGACATATCCACGCACCCGAATATTCTTGGTCTTCGCCAGTGCCACAATTGGTTTGATACGCTCGAGAGATTCGGCAATGGTGCAGTTTGTGTTTGCTTTTGAGAAAGCCTCCGTTGCTGCTGCGAATAAAGAGACCTCTGTCGTAGTAGCAACCTTTGAATCAACCCCGGTCGCATCCGCTGAAACGCCTGTCTCTTCCATGATTTTTACGAGGCTCTCAAGCCCCTTGATGTTGGGAACAAGATAGTTGTAGGCAATTGTATGTTGAGCGGGAGGAGGAGATGTAAGAAGCTGTTCACAGATTTCTGATGTGCTTGCCATCTATAGGGATTGATTGAGTAGCGTTAGTGTGTTGTGACGACCACAGCTGTACCTCAATCCAATGGTCCGCACCTGTGGCACCCATTTCGCTGGGACAAAGGACCCGGCCTCTATGGTGGTGACACCAGTCTTAGCCAGTCGTCGGATCAATTCAAGTTTTGTGTCCTTTGAGATGGACTGTTTTTCATTTTGCAGTCCATCTCGAGGACCGACTTCAACGATACGAACATGGTCCGAGGCTAACCGCGACTCGGTCGCAAGTCTCCGCGTACATATAGGCGATCGAAGAGCCGTAAAGAAGCGCAAGCGAGGACGAGTGAGCATGATGTAAAGTTCAATGATTAGAGTAAGCAAAAGATTCGGTGGATATTGAAATAGTGTCAAAGCAGAGCGTAGAAAACTGGAGTAGAAGTGAAGAGGGGGAAGAACTGTAGCTCATGAGATGCGGAGAGCACTTAGCCTTATTGAGTCTAGCGTGGATTTGCTCTCGTGTGATCGTTCCACCACCCACACCGCCTTTGCAGAAAAAAAGAGATCATCGCGGGGGGAAAAAAGTCATCTTATCGCCCCTCCATCAGTTGACTGGAAAGGAAAAACATTCACAATGGACAATACGCTACGTCAGCCAAAGAAGCGGTTCGTCGGCAGACGTACTGCCGATGCACAGGCCCAGTCTAATCCAACTGCTGGAGATGTCGAGTCCACAGCTGTTGAAAAAGGTAAGTGCCACCCCTCATACATCAATGTGAAAAGGCAGCGCTAAATTGATATTCCTTTACACTATATAGCTCCGCCACGCCGAACCCCGAGAACTCTGAATCAGGTTCCTCCGGAAATCTTGAATGACCCCGACATTCAAGCCGCGATCGAATTACTTCCTTCAAACTACTCCTTTGAGATCCCCAAAACCATCCACCGTGTTCGTTCATCCGAAGCCAAGCGTGTGGCTCTACAGTTCCCCGAGGGTCTATTAATCTTTGCTACAACAATTTCCGATATTCTCCAGCAATTCTGCCCCGGTATTGAAACCTTGATCATGGGTGACGTTACCTACGGCGCTTGTTGCATTGATGATTATACAGCCCGCGCTTTGGGCTGCGACCTGCTCGTTCACTACGCGCACAGTTGCTTGATTCCTGTGGACGTCACCAAAATCAAGACCTTATACATCTTCGTTGATATCAGTATCGATACCACCCACCTAATTGCCACCCTGGAACGCAATTTCAAGCCCGGTCAAGCCATCGCCACAGTTGGCACTATTCAATTCAACGCTACTCTTCACGGTCTCAAGCCTGTCCTCGAGCGTGCGGGATTCCGTGTCATCGTCCCACAAATCATGCCACTCTCCAAGGGCGAGATCCTTGGCTGTACATCCCCACAGCTATCCGAGTCCGAAATTGATGTCATTCTCTATCTTGGAGATGGCCGATTCCATCTTGAATCCGCTATGATCCATAACCCGACCATTCCCGCATACCGATACGACCCTTACTCGCGCACCTTGACGCGAGAGAGCTATGACCACGAGGAGATGCATACAATTCGACGTGATGCAATCGCGACCGCAAAATCTGCTAAGAAATGGGGAATCATTCTTGGTTCCCTCGGCCGTCAAGGAAATCCCAACACTATGGCAATGATCGAGCGTCATCTGGCCGAGCGTGGTATTCCCGTAGTCAACCTGCTTTTGAGTGAGATCTTCCCGGGGAAATTGGCATCCATGTCAGATGTGGAATGTTGGGTGCAGATTGCTTGTCCTCGACTCAGTATCGACTGGGGTTACGCATTTTCCCGTCCCTTGCTCACGCCTTATGAGGCACTTATAGCTCTTGGGGTTCGTGAAAACTGGGATAAGGAAAACAAGGGAGTGTACCCCATGGACTTCTACGCCAAGGAGGGATTGGGCCGGACAAAGCCCGAGCAGGCCATTCGTGGTACAGCTTAATTTCCGCAAGGCATTTCAGTCAGAACATACTATCCATGACAGGAAACTTATATACCCTCAAACATAGAGCTTAGGACAGCAGGTCTGGCCTTTAGTAAAGTGAAATGAACATACTAAAATTGAATTGATTCTGTCTCCGTACTTCGTACTGACATGCTATACTTCCGTGAGTCCCGTCGATCTAGTCGATAACGCCAAGGCCGCGCCATGTGGGGAAACTCCTCAAAGAAAAACGAACAACAATATCTCTCTCAACTTGCTATTGTTCTCAACCCACCACCCCTGATCGCAATGGACTTTACAGCCCATCTATAAAGGGCGCTTGACCACTCAAATCCCGCGCGACAGAAATCAGATTCGTCTCATTCGATTTCCCCTTCCATCTTCCACCCGGACCCTTTCACAATGGCTTCAATCACAAACCCCATAACATCGGGCTCAGAGCCTCATCAGGGTGACCCACGTATATCCTGGCCAACCGAGCGCATCAGACGCCCAAATCCATCCCAAGAATGGCACCCATCCGACCTCCTAGACCGCCGAGCTAGCAACACCTCCGATGACTTCGAGAATGACTTCGAGAATCCCAGCTCCGCGCTTCGACACACCCACATCTCAAATTATCCCAAGGGCACGAAATCGCTCTCGGGAATCTCCCTACGAGCCTTTCTCATCGGCACATCCCTCGGCATTACAGCCACGGTCACAATTCTCCTCATAACCGTCTTCCCAACACCCCTTTGGCGGGTACCATTCTTTATCGCTTCGCTCAGCGTGTTCCACTTCCTCGAATTCTACACCACGGCGACATACAACACCCCGGCTGCAGATGTGAAGGCTTTTCTCCTTTCCAGTAATGGGTGGGCCTACAACGCTGCGCATGGATCCGCTATCGTGGAATGTATTGTGTCGCACGTGTTCTGGCCTGGACAGTCCAAACTGGGGAAATTGGTCTCTTTCACGGAGCCTGTTTTAGGGACATCTGTATCGCTGGGTTTGGTTGTTGGCTTGCTGCTAACTGGAGTTGGTCAGGTTGTGCGGTCTATTGCTATGGCGCAGGCGGCTAGTAACTTTAATCATCATGTGCAATCGACGCATAAACAGGGGCATACGCTTGTTACACATGGGCTGTATAGGTTTCTGCGACATCCAAGCTACTTTGGATTCTTTTGGTGGGGATTAGGGACGCAGTTGGTGCTTGGGAATGTGGTCTGTTTCTTTGCATATGCGTTGGTCCTGTGGAAGTTCTTTTCTACAAGGATTAAGCGTAAGTGGCCCTTCTTGTTCTTTATTCCTGGGGGTTGATTTGCTAACCTTTTCGATCTTTTGTTTTTATTTGGTTCTATAGGCGAGGAGACATTCCTGATTCAATTCTTTGGCGCTGAGTACGTCGGGTACAGGCAGTCGACACCGGTTGGAATTCCCGGAATCCAGTAATGCGTTCATATTGATCATTGTGTCTTTCTCACAGAGACATTGGGTCTCAAAATGAAATAGATGGATTGGATTTGGTACGGCTCATTTTTCTCTTCATAATTTACGCGATCTATTGTATATTTAATTCGATTCTTTATATTGAAAGATGGCACGGACTGCCCTTGATTGCCAATCACTTACTAGTGATCCTATTCCGTGCATTGCTAAGTCCTTTTTGGAAGGCAAAATCATCAAGACAACAATCTAGTGACAAGAATAAGCAAAACACAGCAACATATAATAATCTATGCGCTAGCTGCGACCGGCGCAGCTGTTTTCTCGGCAGTTGGAGGTGGGGTCACGGTATTCTTCTCGGCACCAGGAACTTCCGGCTTCTCAAAGCTCTTCATGGGGTAGTAGCCCCAGCGGTCAAACATCGCTTTGTCCTCATCCCATCCACTGCAATCGGTGGTCAACATCTTCTCACCGGTGAAGATAGCATTGGCACCGGCCTGGAAGCAAGCAACCTGCTGCTCCTCGGTCAAAGCAATGCGACCGGCAGCAAGACGAACGATGGTAGCGGGCATCACAATCCGAGCGGTGGCGATAGTTCTCAGCAAGCGATCAAACGGAATCATCTTTCGATCTCCCAAAGGTGTTCCGGGAATCGGCACCAAAGCGTTAACGGGAAAGGATTCAGGGTGGGAAGGCAAGCTGGAAACGGTGTGCAAAAGGCCAACGCGGTCGGCATCCGTCTCGCCTAGACCCAAGATACCACCGGAGCAAACGTTGATACCGGCATCACGGACGTGGTCCAGGGTTCGCAGACGCTCATCGTACGAGCGAGTGGTGATGATGGTGGGGTAGAACTCGCGCGAGGTGTCGAGGTTGTGGTTGTATGCGGTGAGACCGGCCTCCTTCAGCTCCTTGGCCTGATCCTGGTCGATCATGCCCAGTGTGACACAGACCTCCATGTTCATGTCACGGATACCCGATACCATCTGCTTGACGTTCTTGAGACTGGTTTTGCGGCCGCGCATATCGCGCCAGGCGGCACCCATGCAGAATCGGGTGCTACCGTTGGCTTTGGCGTTGCGGGCTTTCTCGAGTACCTCGTCCACGGGGCTCATCTTAGTTGCCTTTAGGCCGGTGTTGTGCCGTGAGGACTGGGCGCAGTATGAACAGTCCTCACTGCATCCGCCGGTCTTGATGTTCATCAAGGTGCACATCTGGATAGCGGATGGGTCATGGAATTTACGGTGAAGTGCTTGCTGTACGCTATCAGTATTGATAAATTTGATTGTGGTTGGGTGTTTAGGTCTTTATCCGAGGCTATCCCCGCGGGGGGGGGGGGGTGTGGGACTACCATTGGTGTGATAGAGAAGGATACGGCAACTTACAGATGCATATGTGAGCTGGTTCAGCGGGGTGTTGTAGACCTGATTGACTTCATCGCGGGTCCAGTTGGTGCGGGGGGCGGTGGCAGCTGTTGCCTCGATGAGGACATTGGGGATGCGGCTGGCGAGTGAGGTAGCGCTGGGGGGACCTTGGACGGTGCCATAGGACCGCCAAACGGACCGTGGAAGGGCCCGTGGAATGGGGAGAGACATTGTGAATGATGTATGGGAGAGGAATCAAATTCCAATGGAAAGGGAAAGGGGATTATAGGGAGAAAGGAGGGGAAGATTCACCGGCTCGACGGTTACGATAATCATGTGGGGAAAGAAGAAGGGAGGAATTGACCGAACATTTGAATCTCATTGGATTACATGGGCTAACCTTAACCTCTTTAACTTAATGCGCATCACTCACGCCGGAAATATTCATTACACACGGGCAAAGTAGGGGAAAGGGTTGAGTCGTCCCAACAAGCAAAGCTTCCCCTCGGAGACTCGGAGAGAGACTCAGAGAGCCTTTCGGAGATTTAATCCTCTTTCTTTTTCTTTCTTTGCCTTTTCTTTCCCGTCTTTTTAAATCATTACACGGATCTTCACGGCCGTAGGTAAGCGAGGTTGGTCTCCCGAGGTCTAAGCTTATTTTCTTTTCTTTTTTTTTTTTATTCCAATGCAGCTTTTTCTCCGTTCTGTTCCTGTGCCGCTGTGCGCATTCGTTGAGATGTTCCATTTGCGTCATTCATCAGGATCCACTGGGGGACTTTAGCCAATGATCGACATGGTATTAGCCAAGGTATCCGTGGCCCGTGCAGCAATCGGTTCAAGGGAAAGTCCAGAAGAAATAGCCGTAGGAGTGGATTCTCCAAATGAAGCTATTGCCGAGGAGAAATCCGGGGGTGAGATTGTGTCCAGGGATTGACATTCTAAAATTCAGAATAGAATCAAAAGCAATTGCGTGACTCATTCTGCTTTTGACTGAAGACGCAGATCGCTTCCAATGTCATGGGAATCCCTCGGTGTTATCTCGGTTAGATAACAACCAGCTGTAGGTTACTAGTATTCATACTTTGGACTTGACTCCAGATCATTTGAATGTGATAGTTGCCAAGGGAGAATACTTGATACCATTGAATTTGTTATTCAAATGTTGATCTGAGTAGTTATAACTAGATATTGGATATTGACCAAGTGGGGTTTACTACTCAACAGGAATCTTTGATCGACCCTCCCCTGTTGAATTGGTGGGCCCCACTATAGACAATCAAATTCCCATCAGATCTACCTCCGTATGTCCTATGGGGACATGCGGCTATTGACATATGATCCGTGAACATTGAACTACATACAACTTCCAAGAGTTAAAGTGCACGTTCTATAAGTCAAATGTTTAGTTATTGTGATTGACCATCTATTATTAACCACTGCACGTGATCCATTCTTACATAATCGGCTTCCTGAAACGTAAGTGGAAGCTTCAAGTTTGGGAATAGACAGCAAACTGATCTCTCAAGTACTTGCTTTGGATGTTCTTTTCTTTTTTCAGCCCAACCATATCATATAAGAACTCCGCATGTCAGAAAGAGAAAGGAAGAGAGAAGAAAAGAGGAAAACAAATAGCCCCTCACGATCAGCAGTGCACTCTCCATATAAGACCTCTGACCAACATTATAAAAAAAACATCCGGTGACGTGCAGCATGACGTGTGGGCACAAGCCACACACAATCCACCTGGTACTGGAAACATTTGAAGACAACTCGTTGTGTTCAAATGTCATCGAATCAGTGGCGGAGAATAAATTAAATAAATTAAAGCTCGTCATGTCACCCCCACTGACGTCATTTCGTACAACACTTGAACTGGAAGTGGAAGTGTGCAAGTTGCGATAAAACCACCAGAGCCTCCAAAATCAAACCTTTTCCAGTGTGTTGCCTTCTGAAGCAGAAAAATTGGCAAGATTGTGAATATTCCTCAACTTCTGGTATGTCTTCAAAGTAGAAGGTCAGCGGCCACATATATCTGATCCACTAACCGTTTTGCTCGACCTTAGAATCATTCGCAACAATTGAACTCCCCACTTCCACCATGCCTGACATCCACGACCGAATCCGCGATGAAGTCTCCGATAAAGAACTTGCACTCTGGACAGCTGTTACATGCGCTGACCCTGCTTCTGAATTAATCAAATTGAGCAACCCAGACGCCAACTTCATGTTCCCGAAAAAGGAGGTCTTGACCCTGCAGGACCATGACAAATTCCGAAAGGCCTTGAGACCTCCATTTAATCGGTTCGATAGTTATCGCATCGACGAAGTTCGCATTTTCATCATGGGTCTGATGGCTGCGACGGTGACCTGCAAGGTTCATGCCGAAAGGGAGAATAAGAAGTACACAATCACCTCGCATACAACGTGGAGTCAAGCTTCTGATGGAGAATGGAGGATTGTGACTCATGGGGAATGCCGTGTATAGATATCAACTTGTTATAATTTTTTTTTTCTTTTCGATGAGACATGCAACATGAATGAAGCTTAGTTATTGATATTCTTACTTTTTTTGGTGATTTCAGATATTTTATGTATTCAAATCCAAAACCTTTAATGTTCAACAGCCTAGTGGAATGAACAACTTGTATGGAGTAGTTTTCAGTGTGAAAAACCCCCCCTATTGATCCATGGCGGTGTTCCGTGCGCTCGTGAAATTGCATGGCGCTTTATGAGGCGCTGGGCGCGAGAGCTGGCCCCTGAATACCCCACCAAATCGAACATCTCATTGGTCTCCAAGTACTTCCAAGGTTTAAATCTGATGAGTTCACACTCCTCTGTACGGAGTAAATCACAAGGTCTTCGTATACATGCATGTAGGTCTCCAATAATTTAGGATGGGGCTCTAGATTTGGCTATTCTCTTTTTGAATGCAATAAATAGACAGTCCATGCCTTTGAACTCTCTTTTCAGTGTAATACGTTAGGATTTTTATTTTATTTTCCATACTCTCAACAACATTGAAAGACTACATGATAGAGGGAGAGAGAGAGAGGCATCAATAGAAAGAAGAAATTTCAATGGAAGAACCACAGGACTCCAATCAATGGTCCAATTCCTTCTGGGACTGCTTCTCTCCCTCAAGCATATGTGAAGCCCCAAATTCTCCCCATCTCTCCTCTCCCACTCAAGTTCACTAACAAGATGTCTAGGCCTGCTGGCGACTTTTTGCCCTTGTGCACTTCTAGGGAGAACATCCTCTCGACTGCGAGACCCTGAACTCAAAGAGAGTAACTACATAAACGGTGATGTGTGTCCCAGATCCGCCTCTACCCCCGATCATCTTGGAGGCCATCATGCTAACAAAATACTGAGAACTTCAGTGTTGTATCTACCTTGCATCCAATTACTGTTATTTGTGCTGGGTTCCCCTTATGTTCAAACGTCGCCATACCCGACAAAAATTCGGTATTAGTGGCTCTGGTTGCAATGATTGCATGGCGGCCTGCTTTTGCCCATGCTGTCTGCTTGTGCAGCAAGAGAAAGAGGTGGAGACTCAATACACACGCCTTCAATCCAAGTATCAAGCCCCTGAAGCGATGAAATATTCTCAATGAGCTCTGGAGGGCATTTCGTCTAGGATATTCAATGTTTAATTTAATCAACATCGGGATCAATATGAATAAAAAACCAGATCTGCTTCAAATGTTCGAATGTTTTGAAGTACATGAGAAACTCACTAATGTTCTGTTTCAACCCCCCTGGGTTATTGCAAACATGCATCAAAGGTTAACCTTCAAATGTTGGTCCTTGGAAGGGTGTCATTGAAAAGCCGCAAAGTCCACTAGCCTTTCTGAGACCCTTTTTTTTCTTCTCGGCTTATTGACGCTAGTGAAATTTTTAGGACCGAGCGTGCCCGGAGCGGGTTCTAGCGCCGACAAAATAAATATGAAACATTTGAAAAGAGCTTGAACAAGTAATATGTGGGCCCAAGGGGTCACTTACAGGCACCTGGGGGTCATCGTATCGCTAGTAGCCGCCACATGTGCACATGTTGTACTAAACATTTGAATATATAAACTTCAAAAAAGGTAGGTTCAATCAAGTTTAAATGCCTGCTTGTGACTAAATATCATTCATTTGCAAACATCTGAAAGCATGAAACTGCAAGTAAAACTTCATACATATAAATCGGGCATCAAGGATGAAATATTACCCTCGGACGCGTTTAGACAGTGGATTGTTTCCGACATCTGGACGTGCCATACTTGGACTGGTAGCGGTTACCAAAACTTCATCATAGTTTATCTTTCTTTGAAGTCTTCTTTAAATGTTTGTCTCTTTCTAGAGTCGGAGCTATACTAGTAGAAGTTTGAAAACACGAATTAGGAGCGGAGGCCTAAGTTTACGTCACCACAAGCTAGGAAAAAGTAGATAGGAAAATAATTAAGAATCTTCTTGATTCATCTTGATTCATACAATTGATCATATTCAAACTACAAAAATGCCATTTTGGAATCAACACCCATTACAACCAGACTTGATCAAGGAGATGGACGCCGAGGAAGCCCGATTAGCAAAGTCCGGGAATGTTCATGCCCTCCAGAAATACCGTTATGATAACCACTTCTGCCCTCTCTGGCCCAGAAAATATATTGATGACTCGCCTAAACTTCTCGATGTGGAACAAGAACTTCGCGAAGTGATTCAAGAAGAGATATCTATCAGACAGAGAACTCATAGTTCAAGCGGAGAGGCAAACATTTCGAAGGAAAGACTACGTATGTTAAACATCAGATTCCACGTCCTTAGCGAAAGATGGTTCTATTACCGGAGTTCTCTGACCAAAGGGTTTCAATCTCGGGCATTTGTTCTATGGAGATCCCATCCTAGATGGTATATGCACAAAAGACTTGTTGAGGATTGTGCTGGCCGGGAAGGCTGTTGTGCTCGGAGTTGTGGCTGCTGTCTCAATCGCAATGTTGATCAAACCCGCAAGCTTGGAGTTGGACATTGTACCCTTCAATGTGGATGTTGCCAAAGAGCGAGAGGCACCCCGGTGATTCCTGAAGAGGATCGGAGATTATTGCGAAAAGAATTCAGCTGTAAGAACAACAGTTATCGTTCGATTTGGTTTGCGCGTGTCTCACTTTGGGGGCTTCTCCGCGATGATGGTGAAAACCCTTTTGATATGATTCAGGCACCACCAAGCTCTGGGCAGATTTAAAGAGCATTTGAAAGGTTTATGGCTTCAGAGTGTTAGAAAAGAGGTACTAGCTACTGTTTCTTTCATTGGCTAACTGGCTCTGGTTTAAATGTTTATTACCCTGGGATTTTAATACAGAAACAACCCAAGAACGATACAGAAACAACCCCCGGTGATTACTACTAGTCACCATGGTTTCTTATTCTTCTTGTACATGTGTATTCACTATTACCCTATTAATACATATAATTCGTCTTCGCCTCTAGTGTATAGCTCGAACATTTGAATACAGAGTATGCCAGGTAAATTGATGGTGGTATGTTCTCTGGTACAATACCTACTAGGGACGTACCATCTCAAGTACTGAGTACTAGTATACTGTCGGATCAGCCGATGGGTCAAGTGAAATGGCTTGTCAGAAATCTTTATCTCATGGTTTATATTGAAACATGTCGCTATCTCCGATCGAGTCTTATCCGTTATTAGATCATGGCTCTTATCTTTTGCCTATCAAGCCATGATAACGTTTCAAACTGCGGATGCTGCAAGTACATATGAGCTTCTTCCCCTCCATTCAAAGGTTCCCATGAATTACCGGAGTTCAATTTCAATGTTCCTAACATAAATGCTAAAATGGTGAAAGACGTTTTCGACATCTCGTCCGATGAGGATGTTGCCCTTGAGCACCTCGGCTACCAACAAGGTAAGAACCCCCCCCCCCCCCCCCCCCCCCCCCCCTCCACATCATGGAAGAAGGATTGAATCCTAAGAAAGCGCAAATATTGAAGTGATGATACTTACCTTCAAGCTTAGAGTTCAAGCGCTCATTTGGTTTATTTGATATGGTGGGCTTTAGTTTCAGCATTGTGACTTGGTATGTACCCTCGGTGGACAACGGTTGCAATTTGGTGGAAAACTAAGTTGATATCTCGTTTCAATCAGTTGGACTGCGTTGAGTGGCGTTTTCATCATTGGCGTTGAGGCAGGTGGGCCACCAGTGATGATATTTGGCTGGATAGGAGTCTGCGTCATCACAATATTTATTGCCCTGGCCATGGCTGAGATGTGTGCAAGATGGCCAGTTAGTGGAGGGCAATACTCATGGGTGGCTATGCTAGCACCGCCCAAAGTATCTCGACAATTGTCATACATCACCGGGTGGTTCATGCTGGTTGGTAGGTAGCCCCGTCCTTCAACATTTTTGAATGTTTCAATGTTGGCTGCTTAGTGGAATCCCCAGAACTTCAGGTATTTAAGAAGCTAATTTCTTTCTCAGGTATTTTGGCCATGGGCGCAGTAAATAATTCTGTGGCGTCCAACTTCATTTTAGGCATGGCCAACCTCGTCTTCCCAGAGTATACTATCGAGAGATGGCATACTGTTCTTGTTGCATGGGCCGTGGCATTATTGGCCCTCGCTATCAATATTTTCGCTCCCCATGCATTACATCGCTTGTCGAGGATGATTTTGGTGTGGAATATTGCATCATTCATTATCATCATCATCACGCTTCTCGCGACTAATGACCATAAGCAGAGTGCAAATTTTGTCTTTGGTGAGTTTCGCAACACGACTGGCTTGGGCGCGGCCATGGCGACGATCGTTGGCATCCTCCAAAGCTTTTTTGGTATGTGCTGCTATGACGCCCCCAGTCATATGACGGAAGAAATGACCCATGCGAGTCGAGATGCCCCAAAGGCCATCATTTTGGCCGTCCTCATGGGTGCCGTAACTGGTTTCTTCTTCATTCTTACCTTATGCTTCTGCATGGGTGACATTGCTAGCACGGCAAACTCCACGACGGGAGTACCAGTGATTCAAATCTTTTATGATTCGACTCAAAGCAAAGCCGGAACCTGCATCTTGGCTAGTATGATGACTGTGATCATTGTCGTCGCATCCGTGAGTCTCGTGGCGGAAGGGTCCCGATCTGTGTATGCATTCGCGCGCGACCACGGACTACCGTTCTCGAAATTCTGGTCCAAAGTCGAACCGAAGCAGAAGATACCTGTAAGTGCCATTTGTCTGACTCTGATCGTTCAACTGGCTCTGAACGCAATCTACTTTGGCACCGTCACGGGGTTTGAAACTGTGATATCAATTGCCACCACGGGTTTCTGTAAGTCAACATCCAGATGGTATGACGGATTTGAAGGAAGAGGAAAGAAAAGCAGGGAAATATGAATTTACATATGGATGAGATATACGCTAACCAAATTTGGGAAATGACTATTAGACGTGTCCTATGGTCTTGTCCTGCTAGCAAGACTCCTTGGTTATATTTTTGGTCACTATACATCCACCTTCACCGGGCCATACTCACTTCCCACGTCCGTCTCTATCGGAGTCAATACGATCGGACTAATTTTCCTCTCATTAGGGTCAATTACCTTCAATTTCCCCAGTGAGGCTCCAGTCACCTCAAGTTCAATGAACTATACCTGTGCAGCAATTGGACTCGTAACACTGGTGAGCTTTATAACCTGGTTTACCACAGCAGCCAAACACTTTTCTGGACCTTCTGATGTGAGGGACTTGGCGATCTCACCTACAGGGGTAGAAGCTGCTTCAGAAGGGCAATTGGCCGAAGAAATAGATTTCAAGCCAAGCCAGTAGATGTAGTACCTATTAAGGTACCTACTACATAGTATGCCATACATATAACTAGAGAAAGGAAAAAAGGAAAAAACATGCACATGTGTACTCCGGAACATTTGAAGACTTTAGTACATAAGACTCTTGGCAATGATGTCAGGTCTTCCCTGTCAAGGTTGTACTCCGTAGCAACCACATTAAGACCCACTTATAAGCCGTGCTTGTGACAGCCAGCTGGCCAGTCATACCGAGGATTTCCAATCTCTTTCCCAATTTTTCAAGCTTGTTTATTGTATTTTTATAATTTTTTTAAAAAAAAAAAAAAAAAAAGGAAATATTATGCTTAGAACCTTGTCAACACCAGCTGGCCTGTACAAATATGAAGAGCGGTCTAGGGCGCGTGGAAACAAACCAAAAGAAAAAACCCTGCAGCCCTGGAGTGGCGCAAAGCTGACCATTCTGACGAAGCCCATTGCCCCTTGGGTGGTCGCACTACAGCCCGTGACCCAGATGGCTGCAGATGGGATCCAGGATTGTTTGTCCCACTGCCAATCTTGGTTCTGATCGGCATTCAATCTGTACTATTACATTGCGATCGTGCCGATCTCCACCAGCTAGAACGAACCGATGGTGAACGATGGGGGGTCAGTGGGGGGTTCCTTCTTCTTGACCAACCCCCTCTCACTTCTGATGATTGGTGTACAAGTATGATCTGTTGATCGCAGGGGAGAACAACCCCACACCAGCTGAAGATTGATGGATTTAGCGTGAAAGCTGAGGGTTTTAATGAGGTCCCTGCTCTCCCCACCCCTTAGGTACATTTGGCTATTTTTTTTCTCTCCCTCTTCATTTTTGGCTTGCTTCTCACTCAATCACAACCCGTAAGGCGAGTTTGACGAATACCAGCTGTCCTATTTCATTCGTCTTCCCTTGCTCTCTTGTATAAATACTAGTACTTTCTGGTTTTTATCCTCTTCCTGGCGACAACATGTCTACTGAAATTCCTGGCCCGCCCGGTATACCCATTCTGGGCAACATCTTCGATGTTAACCCCAATGAGACATGGAGTTCTCTGAACAAGTTGGCCAGCAAATATGGTCCGTTTTGAACAAGATTGCATGGTTTATTGGGTTGCAAAACTAACAATCACTATTCAGGTCCTATTTTCAAGATCAACGTGCTGGGTAACCAACTGGTGTTCATATGCAGTGTCGCTTTGCTCGACGAGATCTGCGATCAGACCCGATTCCGCAAGTGTGTCAAGGGCCCGGTCGTCGAGATTCGGTATTCTGTGCACGACAGTCTATTCACCGCAGATAACGACGACAAGAACTGGGGGGTCGCGCACCGAATCATGATGCCCCTCCTGACCAAGGAAGCGACCGATAGTGTATACAATGATATGATGGAAGTCGTCCCCGATCTCACAAGGAAATGGAGCGCAGGCACTAAGCAACGTGTCAAGGCAAGTGACGATCTCGATCTGATCCTGCTGGCGTCCTGCATGAAGTGCTTCTTCAACGAGCGAGTACACGTGCTGGGTGAAAAAGATGAGACTCAGAAAAAGGCGTGGGCCATGGTTGAGGCATGGGAGGGTGCCACCATGGAAGCGTTGAAGCGGCCGAACCGACCAAAGCCGCTGAACTGGTTATACCAGGGCCGATTCTCAGCCTTCACCAAGACCATGCGCAACTACGCCACCGATATTGTGAACCGCCGGAAGAATAACTCAGAACTGGCGCGCAAGGATATGATGGATGCATTGTTGAATGGTGTGGATCCTGAGAGTGGGCTCAAGCTCACAGATTCGCAGGTGGTGGACGAAATTATCTCAATCTTCATTGGTGCTGCGACGGCTGCCAACCTACTGACCTACGCGGTCTACTACCTCAGCAATAACCCCGAAGCCCTGAAAAAGGGACAGGATGAGATTGACTCCGTCGTTGGAGAAGGTCCAATTGATCTTTCCCACTTGAAGCAGCTCAATTATGTCGAGGCCATTCTTCGAGAGACAATCCGTCTCTCTGCCGCCGCACCTGGCTTCAATATTGAACCTATCCCACGCAAAGACAAAAAGGATAAGACCCCCGTGCTCCTCGGTGGGGGAGAATATCAGATTCCTTACGACCAGCCCATGCTTGCCATTTTGAGTGCAGTGAACCGCGACCCGGCTGTATTTGAGGACCCATTGGCCTTCAAACCCGAGCAGGTGATTGGCGACAAGTGGGACAAGTTGCCCGCTGCCGCCAAGAAGGGCTTCGGCAACGGCAAGCGCGAGTGCATTGGTAAATTGTGGGCCTGGCAGTGGTCGTTCTTCACTCTGGCTAGCATTCTCAAGGACGTCACGTTCGAGCTGGAGGATCCGAACTACGAGCTCCAGGTCAACGGTGCCTTTAGCATCAAACCGATGGACATGTATGTGCTGATGTCCGGTCGCCGCAAGTAGGCTCTTCGCTCTTGGAAGACCGACTTTGGAAACTGCCATCATTCTAGAGGAGGCATAACGAGAAAGATGAAGATGAAGATTGGAAGCCAGTAGGATGGGATATCCGTCATTGAATCTGTACATTTGGCGAATTAGCGGACCTCGAGGATACGAAACTGTCAGTAATGAACTTTTGTCTATATAGGATTCACTTGATTATGACTCAACAATATTCAAACATTGTTGAATGAACTCTTTGAACAACCCAACTTGGAACGATTGATACATTGAGTAAGCCAAGACCACAAGCACTCAAGTGCTTGAGTGCTAATATTCAATGTTGCACATGTGAAGTACAATCAATTGATCCATCAATCAATCCATCAATGGATCAATAGATGCTTTGGTTGATTCCGATACATAATTATATTTGATCGCGTTCAAATGTTCGAGAAATATTTGAAACGTATCTAAGAAAACCTAGTATTCCGTTCCAAAGGTTATGAGAAGACAATATTTGAATTGTTGGTAGGCTGCACCGATCTTCACCATTTATGTATATATAGATCCGGTCGGGACTCTTTTGGGGGGTTTTGTCATTCTTGACCCAATTGTTACTGAAGGATGTTCAAGTGTCCAGTCGGGGCGTATCATAATACAAGGACCGTTTCCTCAAGTCGTAAAGCAAAATATGCACCAGGTAATACTTACTACTAGTTGTAGACTATGGGGGTGTCCAGGTTGTGGTTCGGATGAAGGTGGCATGAACCAGCTGACCGGAGATAACGGCTTTACTCGTGGATCGTCCGGATATTATCACGTGCCAACATTGTCTTCGCAATGTAAGTGACGTGGGATGATATTTGAGTGTGTCCCAATCAGCTTCGCCATGCCTCCTCGTCGGGCGCATACAAAAAGCCGTAGTGGGTGCGATCAATGTAAAAGACGGCGTGTCAAGGTCAGTGAATTTGTCTCCCCAACATGCAGAATACAAAGTTCCTAACGGTCGTAGTGTGACGAGACGGGGCCTCCTTGCGCCAACTGCATTTCCCGCGAGCTTGACTGTACCTACGTGAAAGCTTCACCGAAAGATGTGTCCAGCGTGGGACGAAGAGCCTCGGCATTGTCCATATTGGCGAAAGAGAAAGATCCCGCTTCTCCACGATCTCTTGCTCCAGGCAGTCCATCCTCGACTTCCACATCCACTGTGTCAGGCGTGAGAGAGTTGGAGTTAATGCATCGTTTTGCTACGGATACCTACCGTACTATGAGTACCAGCGAATCGGAAATGCAAGTATGGCAGATACATGTCCCGCACTTGGCCTTGCAATTTGAATTCCTGATGAATGGCATATTGGCGCTAGCGGCATTGCACATCGCCTCCACCTTGGACCCGCCAGCATCGTTCGTATACATGGACACGGCTTTACATTATCATAACCTCACCTTTGCTCCATTTCGTGCCTCCATTGATCACTTGACGGAACAGAATTGTGAAGCGGTGCTAGCACAGTCTATCATCACAACTGTTTTTGGTATTGCCTTGCCGCGTGTCAGTGCGACACGTGGGGAGAGCTTGAATATGACGGAGAATATCATAGTCCTGTTCGAGCTCCTCCAGGGAGTGAAGAACATCATTACCATTGGTCAACCTTGGATTAAGCTCGACCTATACCCGCACCAGAAGGGCATTAAGAGCGATGTGCCAGCACTGGACAGCGTGACTCAAAATGCTCTGGATCGACTCGCCATGCTGAATGATGAGACTCTTTCCACTATCGATAAAGATCAGTATCGGATTAACAAAGATGTAATCTCTCATCTGCATCACTGCTTCACAATGTATAGCAATGCTAGAGGGCCAGCAAACACACTGTCTTGGCTCGCCGCTGTCGACAAAGAGTTTGTTGACAACGTGCGGCGCCGCCAGCCATTAGCCCTTTTGATACTTATGCACTGGGGTGTACTACTAGGGGAGCTAGATGGTCAGTGGTGGTGGGCTCGCAACTCGGGTCGGGCGCTCGTCTCTGAAATTTTGCTTATCTTGCAACCAGGAAGTAATCAGTGGGCAGATTCGTTGGCCTGGCCTCGAAGAAAGATGGGCCTTTAATACCGATGAACGTATATGGAATTTGTCTGGAATAAGCTCGCCCTGTTATAAGTTTGGTGGATTTGGAAGTACCATATCACCAAACCCACACAAAAAAAAAAACTAGAGAAGGTTTCTCACAGTACCTGAGTCCCGATACTTTGAAGTCATTTCGCTAGTAACCGACATTACAGGGACATCGCCACTCATACCAGTTGACGTGCGAATGATTCGAAAACAAATCAAAGATAGTGGGGGGGGGGGACGCACAAGAGATGCAGGTCCATTCGGTGTCGGGCCCATGTACAATAATTCGGAAATATCAATATACAACCTCTTCTGCACCTATTCTCCAATAAACATAAATGGAACGTTCAATTCACCGCACGCGTCCGTTCTGGACTCATCGTAGTCCCAAATTTGCACCATCAATCCTCGGGGCAAGATTCCCGGGGATCCCCATCATTGTGATTACGCTAGGAAGTCTGGGTTTCAAATGTTGATTCTCGTGGTCTGGGTTCTCAATCGGGTGCCAGCTTTATATAGTAAATAGATATGAATAAGATCACCATTAGTTCCAAGATTTAATTTATTTATAATCTGTTAGACTGCAGGATTACTCTGCACCCTGGAATGTCCAACTTCGTGCTGGATTCAATGACCTTACTGCCCTGGAGCACTGGTTGGGAATATGTGATAGCCTTCTCAGACATGGCACCAAACGCGTCGGCGATAACTTCAAGGTGCTTTTCTTCTCCATTGGCTGCTCCTCGGGCTTGCAGTTCTTCGGGATCCGAAACCATGCCAAAAGAGTATGACAATCCTTCTTGACTCTCGAGCACAAGGGATGATGCCGATTCTACTGCCACAAAAAACTGGATGAAATCTCCTGGATTGGCAACCTGGGAGAGATGGGAAAGATCCTCTCCGATCAAGCCATTTTGCAGAAATGATGGCATCTTCAGAGGTTCATTGGCACTGGACTCTGATTCAAACAGTTGATCCAGGCTGGCAGCCTTGTTATGGCGAGTGATAGCTGGGAAGGCAACTTCTGGATCCAAGGAGAGAAGGCCCTGCTTCTTTCCCCAACCACCTCCACCACTCATGACGCGATGCAATTTACCTCCCTGCGACAGTGACCGTGTGAGCCGATCTGGGATGGAAGAATTGGGATGGGCAATCTCCACGTCAGGTGCCTCGACCAAAGCCCAGACTGAAACTCTTCGATCGGCAATATTATGATCTTCAATATACCGTGGAAGCTCCTTCTCCAGCTCAGTGGAGGCAGGCATTGGTTCATTTGAAGACCCGTCAGTCGATTTTGCTAGCTGTCGCAGGATATTCCCCATTCCTGTTATCACCTTTCGTCGCTGAGTGACCGGCTCTAGCGGAAGCATCATCCTCGGGCGAACATTTCCTTGTGTAGATCCGACAACACAGCTTGCAAGATCTGTACATTTTTCCAAGACGTATTCATCATTTTCTGTAATCCAGCGCATACCCATGAAGGTTCGTTCGCTTCCATTGATGAAGACGGTGTTGGTAAGGCGTAGGCCGACCGCGTGAACGGATGATTCATCCCTAACAGAGACCGTAAGGCTAGCTTCTTCGCTAGCTGGGCTTCCAATTCGACGAGGTGGCGTGGCTTTCCATTGTACATCGTCTTCCCTGACCATCAACATGGATATGCCATCATATTCCCCTACCTCACCATCTGCTAATAAGGGCCCAAGCTGCGGTTTTGTGGCATTGTTCGGAATCCGGTCAACAACGGCCGCGATCGCATAAATGGTATTCGGCCCTTGAAGAGTATTTCGAAGTAGTTTGTTCATAAAGTCGCGAAGGAATGGAGATGTTGGATTGAGCAAATGGGCGAGATTCGGCGTGACGACTAGGAGGGGGACATGGCATAAGTTGCTCTCGTGAGTTACTGATGGTAAAGATGAAACAATATCATGTGAAGTCTGTGGAGCTCGATTAATATGAAATAAATGAAAAGAGATTCGCTTTACTCACAATGGCTTCCGGTGTTCTCGTGAGCCAGGTGTACGCGCTATTCCATCGCTGTCCTGTAGTATGGCGTCGTGCGATTTGTGAAGCTCGCAGCAAGCTGGGGCTTCCCGACAGGCATGTTACAGCCCGTTCACTGGCAAGCTGCCACAGCATAGATTTTGGTTGGTACTAGTAGTAAGAAGAAGATTGGTGAATTGCGGATCTTGCTGGAAGCCGCGGAAAATCGCGTCAAGCACAGGAGTAAATGCGACAGAAAATCCAGACCGCCAAACTCCCATACAAAAAAAAGATCGTCGCATACATGGATGGTAAAACATCTGAGATTGCTTTTTTCACATGGTGTACTAGTAGCTACAATGATTTTTGCGCGAATGAGGTTTGTAATCTACTCGGAAGGAAAGATTTAAAAGTAGATGTTGTAATGGCGTACTCCGATTATCTAGAAGTCGTTTTACCCTAAAGAGCGTGCGTCAGCTTAAAGACGTTGATGAAACTCTGAATTCGAAATTAGACACAAAAAAGTCTGATGGAGACCTGCACCGTGGGTATTGACACAACAAAAAGGAGAGATACAATATGAGTGGCTATATATGTGTGAGACAGTCGACCGGCGATCCATGCAGAAGGGGAGAGAGAAAAGAAAGGAAGGAAAGGAAAGGGAAGGGAAGAGGAACAAAACACCTCTCATCAAGAGAACAGAAACATAAGGAAATAGAAGGTCAGTGGCCCCTTTGAATCAGATATCTCCACTCCGGTCAGATTCCTTGATTCTCCTCTTAGTGGCCATTGGTTTCTATGTTGACCCAAATCGTAGAATCCGTCCTCATCATATATAGGATGATACTTCCCGGCAGTATCAAACCTAGATCACTTTGAGAACACCGAAGACATCGCGGCTTGTATCCTTTTCGGCCTTCATGTTGGGTCGGGAGCGCTTCTTATTCGGGTTGACGACGACTTCGCCCCAGTGCTTGGGCACTGCGCCTCCCGAGTTAGGGCGACTAGTTGTCGATGCTTGATCAGAGGTCACGATGAGATTTTGACTTCCATCATTTGTAGCTGGGGATGAGGATGTAGATCGAGGGACATGAAGCGTTGCATGTGGTTGGAGATGGGGTTGGGGTTGAAGGGACCAGATATCGATGACAGAGCTAAAAGGAATGAGACGTTTGATTCGTGAAAAGTGAGAAGAGTCAAGGGATTCATGGGCATTTTTGATAGACAATTAGACTCACTCCGAAGTTCTTTGGCAAATGGCATCCAACGCCTCTCTCTCGCGCCTCACATATTCCGGATCCGGCTGATTTGCCTGCTGAGCTTGGTTGAGGGCTCCGTAACCATACCCAGCCTGATATGGATCCTCATCCAGCAGGCGGGATGACTCGGGCTAGAAAAAGGGAAACACAGCACATTTTAGAATACAATCCATATCATGGGCATTGAAAGGCTCGATGCCGACCGCTCGGTATTGGAGCTCACCTCGGGGGATTCATGACGATTGCCGCCCAGGCACGAGGCACAGATACCCATTGGTGGTCGGAATCTCAGAACGAGTGAAACTGAAGCAGTGATTGTCACTTATATTTTTATGTTGGAGGGGTCCCAATGCGACCGGCACGAGGTACCTAATAACTTCTCAATTGTCAAGAATAAAGGCGAGACCCGGTTGCCCTCGATGGGGCGGGTAAGACGAAATAGATTATGTTGATAGCGTAATGAACGTGAGGGTACGTAGGGACGAAATAAAACTAAAGAAAGCTTCTACAGCGATGGAGAAGGCTGGGGCGTAGAATAGAAGTGACGAATGGTGAGTGAGACGTTGCACACCAAAAGGTTGGAGGCTTGGGAAAGTCCGTGCGATGTCATTGATAACACTATCGTGTACTAGTACGTACGATGGGACATATAGTTAGGATTAAATGGTAATTTATCAACTTTGAGATTGGCAGAAAATAAGTAACAGATCGAATTTGTGTGTTATGTCTTTGGTATCGATCTATAACAACACCAATGTTTTTGACTGTCAACTACTGTCTATTAAGCTCGAATATAAGTGGGAATGGCTTCCAAAGTTAAAGGATGGTGGAAGTGGAGAAGGTGTAGTAGTCCTAGCAAGTATGTACTGCAGCTGGAACATTACGATACTGGGCAGAAGGCGGTGAACAAGAATTGATTTGGCCCACCATGTGCCCTCCGCAATCGTGGCCGTAACTTTGGAATCCGTGGCATTATATACCGATAACCTATTTTCTTCCCTTCCCGCATGTCCAATTCGACAACCACCGAAGTTTCACCCCTTCATATAACAGAATGTTTGATTTACCAGAGGCTATCTGGTATGTTGGCTCTATCTAATAGCTAGTAACTATTGGTGGATCCCGATTTGCTGACAATCCTCAAGCGTGCGCCGCGATGAGGTTCGGTCCCCGGCTTCGTCTCGCGCATCGTCTCCAGTGAACGAATCGGATCTGCAAGATGCTCGTGCCCGGTTAGGGAAGCTACTCAACCTTGACGAACTGCTTGGAGCCAGTGTGGAATTGGACAACATGAACAATGTACTGGAAGAACAAGCTGGTGAGGAGGACGAGGAAGAATTCGAATTTCGACTGTTCAACACCCCAGCAAACCCTCATGACGCCGTTCAAAAAGACGGAGATAAACCCGAAAACGAGAGCAATACGACAAGCAAGACCCTGGGTGATGGCAAAGGGCAAGTCAATATAGGGACACAAAAACTGCGTATCAGATTACGATCCCCGACACCAGGCTCAAGCGACCCTTCAGCAGGTCGCTTTGTGAAGGCTTCCCGTGGGTGGCAGTATTACTTTTCCACCCCTTCACTATGGGGTTCAAACGTCGAGTCAGAAGAACAAGAATTTCAACCGGAAAAGGCCAGGCAATATCAGGATATGGCCGTCACAGGAGAGTATATAAAAACCTTGGCCAAGTCACAGCCATGGGTGAGTTGAATTCCCTACGCCCTCCAAATGCCGGCCCTAAAAGGTTACTTATACTGGTATTTTCATTAGCCCGGTTGCCATCTTGCATGGAGAGTGGTGCACCTTAAACGCCATCAAACGAAATTACCTCGGAAAGACAAAGATGTTCCGGTTTATGTGGTTGAGAGTGAACCAACTTCCAAATCACCCAAGTCTCGCAAGAAGCCGGGAAAGAAACGGCGTGTTTTACTGCGGAAGCGAGCTGTGGCAGTTCAATTAGCAAAGGAGGCGGATGCGGATAAGAGGACGCGCAAGAATCGTGAGCGCAAGCTTAAACGTCGTCAGAAGGCGCGGGAGCAAAAAGCTGCTACTGATACGGCTGGAGGGGATATTCACATGACGGATGCTGATGGAGCTTCCTCGGGAGACGATTGAATTAAGTCTCGTCATGTTCATCTGTATTCTGAAGTTGCTTCCAACCTTGGCTTGAATATTATACCCTTGATAAGCCCAAAGACCTGGTGAAGTAATTCAAAGTCAAATCCATTCATCTAAGTAGGAATTGTCATATAATCCCAGGCATGGATATCCCGGGGAGCGTTCCAAGACTTTCAATCTTTATACAATTGGGAACCATCCATCTTCCTGACTTATAGATTCCCGTTTAACCTTTTATTGTGGATATCAACGAAGAGAAAGGCGCGCTTCAATTGTCTTTTGGGAGTGGTTTAACCCAGGGCTTTCATGGCAAGCTCGACACTAAGAATCCAAAAATTAGTCAATGATGATTCAATGGGAGGTGTCATGACGACGAGGAAGATATATGGCAACATACACAACAAAAGTGCCGGCAGAGACGGGCATAGCTCTTAGTAAGGTGGGGCCAATGCCTTTCCAGAAGCCAGCAAGGCCCTCGATAGCATATGTCTTCTTGAAGCAGTCGCGCATGCTGGCGAACTTCTGATCGGCACCAAACCCATCGGTTTGCATCTTACTCTTCACAACGTCAAGTGGGTAGCTGGACAGCCAAAGAGCCTCACCAGCGAGACCACCATAGGTAGCAACCTTGACCGCTCCAATATCCTCGCGTTTCACGTTGTTGCGCTTGGCATCCTGGTTCATCATGTATTCAAAAGCCATGAACCAAGTACCGTACGCCTGCGCCTCACGGAGGACAGTCACCGCCTGGCCGCGGAAAAGCCCCCGCAAGGCACCCTGGTGAGCGGAGATCTTCTTGACACAGTCAACCGGGCCAGAGTACAGGCGACCAGAACCGTGGGGCTGTGCCTGGAGACGAATACGGACATGCTCAATGGGACCCGAGAGAACGGAGTTGGTGACACCGGCGAAGGAACCGGCCATGTAGTATTGTGCGTATGATAAGGTGCCATTGGCATATTTCTTTTGATTCAGTTCCTCCAGCTTCCGGCGGGCCTGGTGGAAGGCTCCGAATTGCACGCTCACCTGTGATAGCAAGGAGGTTAGATTAAGGTCAATTCGAAATGCGGGGCAGCAGCAGCAGCAGCAGCAGCGTTATGGGAGTTGGGAAATGCAAATGGCAATGAACTTACGCAGGCACCAATTCCAATCAAGGGAGTCAGAGTTCCCTTATAGAAGGCCGCGGGACCTTCCTTCTTGAAGATCTGTGTTGCGCAATCCAGCGCACTGGAGTACTGAGTGGTCGTTTGCAGGCGGACCTTGACAATATCTGGGGTTGGGTTAGACCACTTCAATGCAGGTGTTCCGGACATTACAAACCGAAAGGTTGTCCTTGAAGAATGTTAGCAAGAACTATCCATTATACTCCATGTATATCTGAGCTTGATGAGAGGGTTGAGAGGCCTCAATGCGTGTTCCGGTGCTCTCTCCGGGTGCTCTCGTGCGGGGGGGGGGGGGGATTTAACACGGTGACATACCCAAAAGGACCTGTGCCATGCCGCCCGCGGCGCCTGAGGCCAAATCCTTGATGGTGCGCAAGGCACCGCCGCCCTTCTGAATATCCTCGAATGCTTCGGATTCCATGTTGAGCAATTGGGTGAGTTGAAAAGAAAGAAAGACGATCTCCAAAGTGATATCAGGAACAAGGGCCCTTATCGCGATGGCGCAACCTTGGGAAATTGTGCTCTGATTCGACGGTTTCGCCGACGGGAAACGGAGAACTTTAGGTCTGTGCTTACCGACTAGCATTACTCTTGGCATTAATTGGAGCAATTTGAACTTGGATATATAACAAGTCAAGGCAGGCAGGATTTACTTTGGAGTTTAAAAATATATAGAATGAATCTAACGCCACACATGTGCAGTCACAGACCTATTCTCAGGTGTCGGCATAGCGAAGGTCATCGGTCGGATCTGCTGCATCTCAGAAAGGACTTCTTGTTTTCCCGGAAGGGACATTGAAAGTGGGACTTTCACCGCGGGATTGTATGTACTACGGGCACTTCTTAAGTGGGTCTCAAGGTTGATCCTCGAGAAATTCCAAGGTGCATGTAATTGATCCAAGCCGAGCACTTGAGAGCAGCCTTGGAAAGTGGAATTTGATACATAGGTATGTTCAAATGTTACATGTAGAAGTATCAATGTATGTATATGTAGCACTTACTTCACCTCGCAATGTGACAATAACTCCATGAAACAACTCCAATATTCCCAAGCCAGAGGGATTCACTATTATACATTTACAAAAACAAAGAGCTGTTTGGAGATAACGAATCCAGTTCAGACTCTCCAACAAGCAGTGGGAAAAGTCGGCGAATGCGATCCTCAAGGATGGCCTCTTCAGCTTTCCATCGCCTCGAAACCTCGGCTTTCTTATTAGCGCGACGTTCACCACCATACCAGGCCTTCTTAGCCTGCTCCAAACTTTCCATCTCTTCCTTCTGAGCATGCTTGACAAGTGTAGAAACCATGGTCTTCCAGTTCTCAAGCCCAACCTTTAGGCACTGTGCACACTGTCCACGTACGGCCTTTTCGTCGGAGCCGAGACTTAGCATGGTCGATTCGGCAAGTTCAACTGCATCACGTGTCCATGCGAGTCCCTGATCATGGGACGAGGAAGCATAAATGATTTCTCCGATATACGTCATTAGACCTGCTTCCTCACATGGGGAACTGGCTGATCGATGAGGTGGTTGATCGCCTGATGGCAGGGGCGGAGGGTATTCGACGGGGATCAGAACTGTTTTGAGGGATTTGAAGAGAGCGGAGAAAGGGTCGGTGGAGGATTTAGTAGGCGGGGCTGGGAGAGAAAATTGAAGAGAAGGGTCTGTGGAGAGGGGAAGGTTGCGGCGCGCTTTTAGGATAGATGTGAAGATGGAGAGCGCGGCAGAAAGGTTGCCCTGGCGAGCATTGTGAACGGCGAGCGCAGTCGACACTCGAAGAATGTTCTCAGATGGCAGATCTGATGTATTGTTTCTCAGAACACCGGTTTTGAGATCCACAATCTTGCTGGCGTCGCCTTCCAATCCGCCCGCAGCAATATCCATGGCCCAAACATACATATCACTGGCTGTGTCTTGCAAACCCTTGAAGCCTAACCAGTCGGCATAAGCCAGGGAAGCATCAAGTTTTTGCCTTGTATCAAATCCGTTTGTCGTAAGGATCTTCATGTAAAAGGTCTCGGGCGGTGGTGACGCAAGCTCACAGTCCTCCTCATGAATCACCTTCTTCTGGCCAGCAGGCATAGGCTTGGGTCTGGGGTTGGACGGTCCAACAACATAATCTGCTGGTGCAGAGATCTTCCGTTTTCGATCTGTCACCCATCCATCAAGATTTTCGGCCGCTTTAGCAGCACCCATAAGAGCCTGGAAATATCCTCGTCGCCATGGCTCACTTTTGGCAGAGATATCAAGACCCGTGCGTCCGACACCCTCGACAAGAAGACCACCATCATATTGTTCAACGACCCCCCTACCTTCACCTTCAACATCCTCTAGCCGCTCCAGTAATTCCGCCATGTATCCGGCTACCATAGGCCAATTGGTCATCAGCTTACCTATATAATCAGGATGCTGGAGCGCCTGGGCAGACCGCAGAGACCAACGGCTTTTCCAAGACCATTCTGGAGGCGTGGGCCATTGGTGCTCGATATCTTCTTGGTAGACACCGAGTTGTATAACGGAGAAAAGGATCAGGATGGCGCCGAATGAGATGCCGACCTTTAAGCTACGGCCAAAGCGACGCTTGTAGCCTTCGCGACTTTCAGTGGAGATAAGACGACCAAAATGCTTGCGCAGGTGAATGGACAGTGGCGGGAGAGGTCGTGATGGTGCTAATGGGGACAAAAATGGTAGTTGAGGTCGGCCTGGTGGCGGGGAGACAAGGAGTTGTGTGCGGTGTGTGAAGGGTCGAAGCTGAACATTGGGACCTCTTGTTTGCGGGGAAACTAGTCGGGCATTGCTCGGTATTCGACAGATGACATTTCGCGGTGGCAGCATGGTGTCGGGAAAGAAAGGTTCAAGCAGTTTCGTGGATTTCTGCTTCAAGCGTTTGTACTGCCAAACCATGCTGGTCTTGTACCAAGGGCGGTGAGTACCTTCCGCGCTGGCAGAAAGTGATGGCCAAAAGCCGACCTGATTGGGGTCCGGGGAGTACTGCTATGGTGCTACCTACTACTCAATCTCATACTACTGGTACTGATTGATAATCGATTCCACCAGTTGACATCTCCCGAGCAAACCATGGAAGGTTATTCTATTACACTCGCTCCTCTTCAAATTCTAAGAATCATTCCACAGAGGGGCAGAGAATTTCACCCATCACCTCTTCGCTCGGGAAGTCTAAAGGAACATCAAGCGAGAAAATCCCGCTTGGCTTTTGGCGGCTTGTAAGTTTCTGACCATTGAAAAAGCTGGTAAATTGTACATTGTACATAGGTCAGTGAAATGCAGAAGAAACAAATATATAGCATATGTACGGGTGGAACAGCATACCAGTCATGAATCTCACTTGGGGCATCACCATTTGATAGTGACTCATCCAAGTCCTGAAGACAATTCTGTAGATTTTGCTGAGCCTCCATGTGACCATCAGCACGATTGTCTAGCTGATATGGGAATATTCCCCATTCTATTAGCTCAAATAAAACTTCTGGGAGCATTCTCTCCCCAAACCCCGTAGTACCCATGGCCTGCAAAATTTTAAGGCACCTGTAAATATTATCAAACTGCTTCTGGTCTGCCGTGAGGGCAAATGATGCCAAGAAAATATGAAGAATGTCCAACGCGTAGTAGAAATCCATAGCAATAAGTTTAGAGTGAATTCCATCATTCACCATGCTTTGCAGAATGGCTAACATCTGCTCCGCAGAAGTCAGACAGATGGCGCTGAAGGTGTCGAGACTGGAAGATTTTGGGGTCTCTGGTCCATTTGCCTGGAACAGCAGTTGATACAGTAGAAATGGACGGGCGATGAGCAGTCGGCTACCGTGGTATCGGAGATGGAGGAGTGAAATTGGTCTGCGATGTAAGGGTGCAGTTGGGACCAACAATCGCAAATGTGGAGGCAGGTTATCGGACCATTGCGTCAAGCTAGCAAGGATTTCCAGAAGAGCATTTATCTCTATCTCATGGTGAAGCACGAATGGATCTTTGTATAAACGTTTTTGGGTTATGCTCACCAGCAGACTGAGTTCTTTGCACGCTGCGAGATATTCCGGTGGACTATAAGCGCCAGATGGAAGAATCTATAAAATAGATTAATAAATGTGATTTGGAAAAAGAGTAATGGCCAGATTACCACTTCAGATGGTAACGGTGGGCACCAGGATTCTTTCGTTGCAAATGGCTTGCCTAGGCGCAATGAGAGATCTTGGTCGAATACGATAAGAGACCACCAGACACGACGGGCTTGTTCCTTCTCAACACCACCGTACGAAGCACAATATTTGTCGCAGTGCAGACCTAGAGAGCACGCTATCTGGACAGCGAGACCTGTATAAAGATATGCTTGGTTTGAAAATCCATGTGATTGCATAGCGGTTGCCTAGAATCCCGCCTCGAAATGTTATTATGTACCTCGGATAATTGCCAAAAGGGAGACTACAAACCAAGGCAACCATGGCCCGAACGCTATCGAGGCTTCCTTCATCACATACCCCCGAAACAAAAGTCTTTGCCTGCTCAAGATAATGGATTGGAAGAATAGTACTTTCACGGAGGTCTTCAGAGGCTGGCGATCCTAGGGCCGCAATAGCAAGAATAGAATAGAGAAAGCACCTCCATGATGAGGTCAGATCATGCCATGAAGCGCGGTAGGTTTGTTCGAGCTGGTCGTAAAATCTCTCCGATGAATAAAGCCAATAGAGACAGTGGACCTCTTCAAAATATCGCATCGCCAGCCGTCGACAGGTCGCTTGAGAGGGCAGGGGTGCGTACTTTTCTATGAGTATTGGAGCAGGAATTGGCATCCCCACGATGACCATGCCCGGAATCACATCTTGAACTCGACTTGTATGGACACCTTGAACCTTGAACCCTCTGATAAGGGTATTGAAAGACACCCCCGACTCTGCGCCCATATACCCTAGAACATGAATCAGTATCGGAGTTAACATAACAGGGCCTTATTCTTGCTCACGGTATTGGCCTTGAGAATCTGCCAGTAAGCACCCGAGCTTCTGATTCAATTGAAAAGCGTCCTGTATAATGGTGATTTCCGCATCACTGCCAGAGATACTGTTGGACTGGGGTAATATGTGATCATTGTGCGGAATACCCTCGCTATAATCGTGTATCTGATTATTGATCAAGTCTGGCAGTTGGTCCGGGGATAGGGAGGCGGACGAATCCGAAAAATCATGGGTTGCCTTTTTGCATTTCGACGCGATAGATCGAAGGGCTTCTGGAGTGAGCTCAGTGCCGGGCTGATAGTATCTCACTATCTCCTGCAGGTTCCGGAACTCTTCTTCGGAAACGAAGTAGAATGGTCTTTGACGTCTCTTGGTTTCATCGATATGGCATTCGAGGCCAATACTGTGACAGTAATCACATGGGCCGGGCACTGGAGTTTGGGGGAAAGGAGGATAAGTTAGCCCTCGGAAAGCTCAACCGGAAGAAGAAGCAGTATTGTATTAAAATTACCTGGATTGTTGCACTGGAGATGCAGTCAGAATAGACGCCCAAAACAAGCAACCAAGGGTAGAGGTTTTCACCTTCGTTTTTCGACGCCTGCAACGATCACAGCTAATTGCCGTCCGATTTTTTCGTCCCAGTGATGCCTTTCCAGCCATAGGGGGCATTATGTGACGATAGGAATAAGTCCAAGAAGACGAGTTCCTAGACTCCTTTGCGCCAGAAGGACAAATGCGGAATTTGTGGGGTTTTGCGGGGTAAGCGTAGGAGTGGAGAGCAACATGTGGGGAATCTCAAATAATACCCGCTATACCCTTCTTTACTTCTGATTCAATCAAAAAAATCCAAAATAGACTCATGTCTATAGTAGGTAATGGGTACCCAAAGAATTGACAATCCAGAAACCTTGAGATGTGAGAGCGTTCAAGGCTAAGATTTCAGTTGAAGTCCAAAATTCGACTTTCCGATTACATGTCTCTTGAGTTTCCTTATTCTGAAGCCTGTCCAGATGATTGCCATAAAAACATTAGTATGTAAGCTGTAGTTAGTCAGAATCTCATTCGCCCGATATAATGTCAGCGAAGTCCACTGTCCAGGTGATCTTTTGATTATGTAGCTGTTTTTTTTTCTTCCAATGGTTTGGCTTGATTAGCTTATACGGAGGCTGGGAGAGACCTAAGTTGCTACCTCAGATGAGAGGGGCCAGAAGAATTCGAAAAGATGACACTCATGGCTCATATCTAACTGGGAATCGGGTGATTAAAGCCGAAGTGATCAGGATCCACAAAAGTCCACGGCAAAGATGATAGATAAAATGCCGAGTTCTGCGGGGTTAGATGGATCTTGGGGTTATTGGCAAACTTCACCATCCCATAGCACAGCTTGAGTTACACACATGTGCATCGGTAACATAAAGCGATATGTTATGACTTGTGCAGACGGAGTGGGGTAAAACCAGTCTCGGTCAGCGGCAAGAGGGCTTAGCCTTATTCTAAATCCACTTTCACTTGACTAAAGGCCATCGCCGGTCTCCACTTACATGCAAGTCTACAATAATTGCTCCAGGCCCCGGATTTTGAGACCTTGTCAGAATCGAAAAAATTACGAACAATTATGGCTGACATCAATCAGCAACCAGAACAAGCAGGCAATGTTTTTGGTCTCATCTGGGCCGAGAAGCGAGTCGTCTGTATCTCTGTCTTCATTGCTCTGGCCCAATTCCAATATGGGTATGACTCTGCTGCCGTCTCCGGCTTTCAAAGTATGCCCGGCTTTCTATCGATTTTTGGATACATTGATGTGAGTTAATGGCCCTCCAAAACAGGACCAGCTCCATTGCTGATAAATTTCTTTCAGTCAGGGACTGCTCTAGGGTATAACATCAGTACATCTGTTCAAACCCTCATTCAAAGCCTGATGCAGCTTGGTGGCCTACTATCGTCCCTATTCATCTTCAAATATGGCGGTTCAATCAGCAATAGAAATGGGCTTTGGATTGGCAGTGCTCTATCATGCCTGGCAATAATCCTACAGATTACCAGCCCCCATGTCGCCGCACTCTACATTGGAAGGCTGTTTCTCGGTGTCTCCAACGGCTTCTACCTCACGTACTCCGCAACATACCTGAGTGAGATTGCACCGACATCCCTTCGTGGCTCCTCAGTTGGATTAGTCACATTTCAGACATCCTTCGGCGCCCTCATTGGGATTCTGATTGACAACTATACTGCCGCATATTCATCTCGAGCATCGTACCAAATCCCTTTGGGTGTGATGTTTATCGTCCCATCTTTTCTTTCTCTCGGCTTGTTATTTCTTCCGGAGAGCCCACGTCATTATATACGCCTTGGGAAGACTGCCAAAGCAGAAGAGTCGATTCTTCAAATTCGGGGGAACACAAACAGCGACAAGCTCAAAGCCGAGGTTTCTAGCATTCGAGAGGCTTGGATTATCGAGAATGAAACTGCAAAATCTATTCATCTTATTGATGCCTTCCGTGGAGCTGATCTGAAAAGGACAGTCCTCAGCATATGCTGCAGTGTTGGTCAGACTGCCAGTGGGATAATCTTCTTCTCCGGGTTTTCCGTCTACTTCTATGCCCAAGCAGGCGTAAAAAACGAATTCGTCTGGGTCATAATGAGCTTGGCCATTGCTCTTACTGGAAATATGGGAGCCTTTGTCGTCATGAGATTCGCCGAAAGAAGAGTGTTATTAGGAGTGTGCTCCACTATAAACGCTGCTCTGATGTTTGTTATTGCTGCTGTTTACACCAGGATCACGGTTGGCTCATATACTGCTGCTCAAGTCCTTGTGGCCATGGGCACCCTTTTCACCTGGACGTACGGACTTGGCCAGGGTCCTGTTCTCTGGGCATTGACCGTAGAAATTCCTTCTCAAAGGCTCCGCTCAAAGACAGTTGGCCTGGCAACCGCCTTTAATTATTTGTTTGGCTGGGTTGCAACTTACTGCACCCCGTACTTTATCAACCCCGGTTCGTTGAATTGGGGACCAAAGTATTGCTACATTTGGGGCGCCAGTAATGCCCTACTGGCTATATGGGCGTTTACCGTCATTCCAGATTTAAAGGAAAAGAGTCTGGAGCAAATTAACTGCTCTCTGGTGCAGCCGAGTGGGGGAAAATTACAGGAAACGGGGGCTCTGGGAGAACACTGCGAGAATATTGAATTATGATCTATTGGTTAAGAGCCTACCAAGTAAATAACGACTAGTGCAGTTGAACATACTACCCAATCTATATAGAGGTCAGTAGAACCTCGGGGAAAGACCCTCAATGATACAGCTAATGTTACTGCGAATTAGACCTTGGAAGGTAGTGGATAAGTATGGAGTTACTGATTCCAATGTTGGACTCACGCTTAGATCCTTCAATGTTTAAATTTCCAAGGTTATTCGTATGTGGGCATATACTACATATAATGTGTATATTAATGGATTGAAATGGGCGTTTTGGAAGGACTTACCAGAAATATTTCTAGATTCCTATATGTGTGTACCTAGTACATATCTCGGTAGGTACTGGGGGGAATATTGGAGAATTAGCACCTGGCCATGCAAATACACACGTGCCGATCCTTTATACATTGACTGATCCTCCTCCAGTCTCCAGTGTGGCCTACAAAATCTGGAAATACGATATCAGATCCAGCATAATATTCCAGGACCGACGTCCAAAGTAAATTCCACATCATCAGGTAGATAGTGCGACATCATATCTCGCTAGCTATCAAACGAGCCTTGAATAACATTGTATTCAAACTTCCAAAGGAAGCTTGAATAGTTTGATTGCATTTGTTCTCCCCACCAGCTCTTTTGTAACTGCATCAATATCAACACACCTCCACCAGGCTTGGGCCTCTTCAATTTGATCATAAGGCGTGTCTGTATTGAAGTTAGATAAATGGAGATGATATTGAACACATGTGCAGTGAAAATCACTAACCAATAGAGTATAAGCATCTCTCAGGCCCAAGCTCCTCGATGCAAAATTTCAGGCCGGGGGTGGAAAAGTTTCCAGACGTCGTTATGAAGACATTGTGCTGAAAGTAGTACTTGTAGTCATGTTTTGAGGGACGGGCTATTCTTTTACTCGGCTTGTTATACCAATGAGACGCTCGCCATAGATTAAATGGAATACTATGACAGCCAGGCAAGTTAGTGTTTTCTCTTTTTCTCTTTACGAATCTCATATGTATGAATCCTTACTTTTCCCCGAGATGACCGGCTGCAATCCTGACCCCGGGAAAACGGTCAAAAACACCTATTTGCAATTCAAATGTTCGTTAAATCACACGAGTTTCAAAAACAACATCATCTCTGACTCTCGGACTTACCAGAAGAACAGATCGCATATATATGGAACGATAGATCCAAGTGGAACTGGACGCCAGCACCGAGCAAATGCATTCTTGAGCCATAAACTGAATCTTGTGTGCCAAGATCCCTTGTTGTGGGGTAGCGAGGATGCATGTAAACCGGAATATCCAGCTCTTGCACCTTTTTCCAAAAGGGGTCGTAAAATTCGGTGTCATAGTACAGTTTTCCAGTGCCGTTATCACCCGCTGTCTGGTAGTCATTGATCATGCAGCCGTAGAATCTCAAGTCTCTGACGGCTCTCTCCAACTCCGCCGCGGCCTGGGAGGGATTATGCATAGAGAGCGCTGCTAGTCCACCAAAACGACTGAGGTTTTTGGACACTTGTTTAGCCAGCCAATCATTGAACTCCGTAGCCGTTCTCTCTGCTAGAGCTTGATCATAGATTCCTTGACAACCTGGCGAAGTCAACGATAACAGCATATACTCGACGCCTTCGGCATCCATCATCTGAAGTCGCCCTTCATGAATGTCCAGCAATCGGGCCTCGTGAGCCCTTAATGCTTCATTTCCTGCATTTCCAGGTGTGAGGATCTGCTGAGATTCCTCTAAAAGCCACAGCGTATTCGGGCTAATGACTGCTTCCTCAACCGCAATTGTGCCTTTTGAGTGCATTGCTAGTTATATGTGAATTAATAGATGACAGATTTGACAGAAACAACTTCACGGAAATACCGAGCTTAGAATCTCTTTTATATGCCCGCCATCAATTACTACTATGCATAAGAGGGAAAAAGGGTTCTCTGTATTCGGCAGTTATCTGATCGGTTTTCAGTTCAGGCGTCGGGATCATTTCGCCGACAAATCCTCCTCACTTTCCAATTTTATTCTCAATAAACGAGGATATTTGTGATTCCTTGTAAATTAACGTAAGCCGGAGTTGCACCTAGGTAGTTGCTGATATAGAGGTCTCCCAAGATCACTGCCGATGAATCGGATATCATGCCGTGTGCGGGGTACCTTTAACCGGGTGGCACGTTGGCCATGACTTGAAGCTCGGAACAATGGTACCGATGCAATATCTCTTGTCAGATGACAATCTGCCGGGCTGAGCTTGCCATCTTTAAGCAAAGTGCAACAAGTTGACAAAAATCCAATATTTAGGGAAGATGGATTCTTCTGTCTTTGAGCAGATTAGCCATTTGAATTCAGCAAGAGAACTTCAAGATGACCGTGATTCAAAAACCAAAGGTCATGTCCTTTGAAACACGACTTTTCATCAATGGAAAGGTTGGTTGGTATCTTGGAGATCATGATTTGGTTTTTCTAAAGGGGTGTATACTGATCTTTACTCAAAGTTTGTAGAGTCATCCGATGGACGCAGATTTGATCTGGTATCTCCGACTACAAACCAAAAGTTCGCAGAGGGTAATTTGTTTTCAATTTGAATATTTACGTGACGAGAGGAGAACGAAGAAGCTGACTTTGGCTGTCTTTTAGTGTCTGAAGCAAGTGAAAATGATACCAACGCAGCAGTTGCTGCCGCCAAGGCTGCCTTTCCAGCATGGTCTTCCCTTTCTCCATCTGAAAGAGGCGTCTATTTCAAAAGACTTGCCAAGCTAATACTTGAGTCCCACAATGAGCTTGCTGAGTTAGAGGCCTTATCAATGGGTCGGCCAGTACCCGGGTACTTCGAGTCATTTGCAGCTGCAGAGAATTTAGAACACTATGCGGAGGCAGGTTTCCAGGCACTTGGAACATCAAGCCTCAATACTCCCGGATATGTCAACATGACTATGCGCCAGCCTTATGGCGTTGTTGCTGCTATCATTCCATGGAATGTTCCCATTCTATTTCTGATTAGCAAGTCGGCACCTGCCCTCATAGCCGGCAACACCGTGGTTGCTAAAAGTAGCGAGAAAGCACCATTGACAGTAAGTCTTCTAAACCCGACGCATTACCATCGAAACTATTAATTATTCAAAATTAATGTATCTTTTAGTCTGCCAAGGTGGCTAGTCTTATAGATCAGGCAGGATTCCCTCCAGGTGTCTTTAACATACTATCAGGCCACGGGGAAATCTCTGGGAATATTCTGTCTCATCATATGGATGTTGGAGTGCTGAGCTTTACTGGATCTGGGAGAACCGGGCGTCTTATTCAACAAGCTGCTGCTAAGTCTAATTTAAAGAAGGTTATTCTAGAGCTCGGAGGCAAGTCCCCCGCTATTATCTTTCCAGATGCCGACATTCAACAAGCGGTGGAAGAAACCAAGTACAGCATTCAATGGAACAGCGGACAGGTATGTATGGCAAACTCCAGAATATATGTGCACGAGTCTGTGGCATCGGAGTTCATCGAAAGGTTCCGAAAAAGCTTTTCGGACATCAGAAGTGGCGATCCATTGCTACCTGAGACAAATCATGGACCTCAGGCGGATGAGGTTCAGTTCAAGCAGGTTCAAACCTACATTGAGGAAGGGAGAAAAGTGGGAAAATTGGTTCTGGGAGGGACTGAAAACGACCCCCAGGAGGGCCTCTTTGTTCATCCCACTGTCTTTCTCGAAACGCCTGAAGATGCCAGGGTAATGAAAGAAGAGATATTTGGGCCTGTGGTGCACATTAACACATTTCGTGACGAAAATGACGCCCTAGGAAAGGCAAACAATTCCGAGTTTGGTCTCTATGCCGCTGTTTATACCAAAGATATCAGTCGGGCTCTCCGAATTGCGCAGAAACTGGATTCGGGAACGGTTGGGGTGAATTGCACCAGCCCAAGCGGAGCTAGGGATATGCCATTCGGAGGATATAAAGCCAGTGGCCTTGGACGCGAGGGCTGGACTGTCAGTCTCGACAACTATCTCGAAGTCAAGAGTGTCCTGATCAAGGTCGAGGGGCTATAAACGTCATGACAAGGAACTACTAGCAGACTTCAGAGATTTGATAGGATAGAACATTTAGTATTACTTTGTTTTATTGCCTCAACTCAACTCAATTCTGTGATGCCTACATAATATCCCCAATCGTGGAAGGAGCCGTAAGTAAAGAAAAGAAAAAAAGGTAAATAATTATCGCTTGAACGGAGCGAAGCGTAGTGAGAGCATATTTTTCTTGCAGTACCAAAATTTTTGGTAGGTACGTACTAGGGGGATACTGAAACTGAGATTACTTATCGGGAGGGCCCTTATCGGAGGCATCTGATTCGTCTATTTTAGAGCCCTCTGATTGGCTTCTGTTGGTGGTGTCAGGTGACTTTTATAGTATCATGTGACTTATTGTAGTCACGTGATATGTCCCCCCCAAATATGACCGCTGAGTCATCCTGAGCATCATGTGACCAGTCCTATCATGTGATCTGCTCTAGATAAGGAGATAAAGCCTTATCAGTCTTATCTATCACTATAAGTGGTGCTGCATTTACACCTACAAGGGGGGGGGGTCTGGGGGGTCTCCCCCCAGAATGGAATATTGTAATTCCTTCTATATTGAAGCCCCCAAACTGCATTCTCTGCTGTATTCCTGCAATTCCTTCTATATTGAATCCTTAAACTCTAGGATAAGAGTCAAGACCCCTGCCGTAGGCAGGGACTTGGGGGTCTGGGGGGAACCCCCAGGAAAAGAAGTTCTTATACATATATATAGATTGATCGCTCTGTTCAGGCGGAAATCAACAGTTTATTCTAAAAATAAACTAGGCTAACACCTGGTATCTGCGTAGAAAGGTGGTCAGAAGACTGTACAGGGGCAGGCCAAGGAAAAGTAAGTTGAGTGGAAAAAGTCGATGTCAACTGGACTGGTGCAAACAAGCCACTTCCAACATTGAAGGTTTGGGTACTTTTTGAGTTATCGCCGTTTTTCACCCCTTCGACTCTCGATGTCTTCTCTCTGTTTTGTTTTTGCCATGATGGGAAAAAAAAAAATTCAACCTTGCACATGTGAATATTGATCCCAATGTCTATTCAGAGTCTACGCTTTCATTGTCGTTATGGGCCAAGTTGAAAAAGTACAACACAGCTCGCACCAAGGAGAAGATAAACCTCATTAACAGCGGTGGCTTGGGTTTATGCGGAACTCGGTATTTGGCTACTAGTACTAGTCATATGATGGGATGTATTGACATGCATGGTGGACTTGGAGGTAATCTTGAAGGCCTGATTGCTTCAAATGTTTCTAGTTTATATTTCTTTTCTTTCATGTTGTAAATTTGTTTATCTGAACAAGGACCAAGCTATCTCATATTCAATGTGCGTGATCCAAGAATTGAACAGAATGTGACCTGGCAATCTCAGGGCGGGTTTAATCATGGGATTCATGGCCAAGCCGCCATTCTGCTGAGAGCCACACGCATGGCTCAAAACATTCCGGCGACACAGCTTGTCAAGATTCCTGTGTCTGCCCAGACTCCATTTATATACGTGGGAGTCAAAGACAGAGCATAACTGGTTGCGAAAGATCCAGCCGCCCATCCAATCCATCCCAAGTAAACATCGGCATTGCTACTTTTTACCCGCATTTTGCGTTAGATATGTGATGGACTGCCATTGAATCCAAATCATGAGGCAGGACTTACTTCATCCAGCTCAACTCAGCGCAAAGATCTGTGTAACAAGAAGAAGTGCTTCCGCCACCAGTTTCGGTCAGGAAGCTGGTCAGTATAATGTTAGCACTGCAATTAATATCCAAGGGAGAAGAATTAAGACTGTAGAGCGTGACATACGCTTGTCGCCCGTTGCTTCGCAACCAAGTTGCTAGAGTGCCAAGGTTGCTGACTCCATTGGTAGTGCACGTAGTGCTGGTACCGCTTCCATCTGAATCCAGATACTGATGCACGTCAAAGATTAAATTTGTAATACTACCATCGGGGTTTGTCACGGTACTGAGAGCTGAAGCAGATCCGTCAGAGATGAAGCCGCCGACAGACGTATAGCTGGTACCCGGAAGCAATATCATTTGGGATCCTGCGCCTGCATTGCGAATCGAAGTGACAGCCTCTTGAGCGCTGGTCGCCCATTCTGTGATATCAAGATCGTGAGGCTGTGGGGGTAGGTAGAAGATGTTAGCGCCACAACTGGCTTTCGGCCTCATGTGCTTATGTGCTCACCTCATTCATCACCCCAAAGATCACCTTGGATGTTGATGCATATTTTGCTGCCCTAAAATAAAGTCAGACAAAAATTCCACATTCCACTTCTTCCTCTGCTCTTACAGCTGCCACCACACGCTAGCTAATTGGTCGCTCGTTACCGCCCCACTCGACTGCCCAACAATCTGATCATTCCAACGAGCATAGTTGTGGATGTCAATGACACAGTAGGCGCCCGTGTCCAAGCAGGACTGTACCAGCTGATCATAAATACCGAAATTGGTCGCATCTAAAGTGCCCCCAAGGCTGCTGTTGACCAGGTACTGCCAGCAAACCGGAAGACGATATACATTGAGACCATATTGACTGGTAAAATGGCTCATCTGCCCAGCCCCATCGGCCCCTCCCTGAGAAAGAAGTGGCGGTGTAACCTCAGATGCAGTATAAATTCCATTAGTATCTCCGCAGCCAAAATCGAAGCCAGCTATGTTGTGCATTAACCTGTCAGAGATGACCTTCATAATGCAATTTACAAGATATAAGACCCACCAATATTCACGCCGGCTATGTTTGATTCTTATTAGCAGGAATTCAAACCATTATTCGGCATAAAGTATAGAGGTCAAGCATACCTAACCAGACATTAGCCACGGCTAACCGGGCAAGAACTGCAATTGCAAGCAACCTTATAAGCATGGCAACTAAAAACGGCAGTATTTGTCCGTTCCTTATATATTCAATTGCAGATGTCATAAATGAACAGTGATATTGACACATTTACTAATTACATGTCTATCTTATAAAGTTGAGAATCCATAGAGCCATATACTCTAACATAATTGCAAATTAAAAAACGAAGGAAATACTACTGTCCACGGAAAGTTTAGCCCAATCTGCCACGGGGACGGTCTCTTCGGCATTTTGAAGAAATTTCAACGTCTAACTCTAACTTATATCTTTTACTTCGGCAATGACTGGGCCCCTTAGTCTTGTTTCAGGGGGTCCTAACACGCTGGCTTTTAGTTTCGCAAGCTCAAGTGCTGGCTTTCATCGATACCTTCCAAAAGCGACTTAGAAAAGCATGGGTATACGGGACAGATGTTCGAGGAGTCCGGTAGATCAAATGAGGTGTGTCTGCTAGGAGAGCAGCAGTTTAGTCCTGATTATAATTGGCTAAAATACTTAGGTAGCGGCGGGACGGGGGACTTGTTTATAACCCTTGAGTAGTAATCTGTAGTTCCGCTCAAATTGCTTAAAACGGTTTAGGGCGTCGAGAATATCCAACTCATACCATCCATGCACTATTATTGAATCTCCGATAGACAGTCTCCGTGAAAGGACAATTAGGAGTTAGAATGACAGACGAAACACCGCCGATAGTCAAACTATAGACCCTAAATAACTGGCCTTGCTGTTTTGTCCTAAGTATAAGTTTAAACGTTTGGTAAAACTCCTATTTTCAGGCGGATGACCGTTCCGAATTAGGCAAGGTGTAGGATTGTGCCGGGTGTCGCTGCTCAGTGGCAGGTTACATCGATATCTGCTTGAAGACCCCGGAGATTAAAATCAAATGGCGTTTATCTCCGGTCTTGAAATGCAGACTCCAGTTTGCAAAAGTATGTTCATTACTCAAAGAATTAAAACAAGGAGGCAGACTAGTATATTCAGTTGAGTCGGGCCATTTGCCATTGAACTAGGCCCTCAACTAATACGAAGGTGAATTGAGTCAGTAAATCAGATACCAGCAAAGTAATCCACTGGTTGCTTGATCTCGAGAAAGGGGACACAAGCCTTACTCAACTCGGCCCCAAGAAGGCTGGATGAAAGACTCCAATTCCCTGTACTTTTTCTTGCACCGGGTATATAACGGAAATTACGAAGGCTTGTGGAACCCATGGCTTGCTTCTATCCTGTTGGGATGGTGTATGTCCCCAATTAGGACTAGCTCCCTATCCCCGGCCGTGTAGATCTTCTGTACCGCCACTTTACACGAGCACGGTGTATTCCGTGCAGGGGTTACAATGGTATTTGAAATTACCACGCTATGCTAGGCAAAAAAATAGAGGCCTCGAAAGCCGAATGGCCGCGCCACTTGTAGAGGACGCGGATTTATTTGAGGGTGTCGGCCTTGGAATTGCCCGAGCAATATTCTCCTCGTCACCGAAGTCGACAAGAGAAATGAGGAAGAACGGGGTGAGATGATTGAATGAACATTGAAGAAGATAAACAAGTCGGAAATCACCAAAATACCGAACATGGAGGCCGTAGTACTGTTGCTTCTATCCCAATTGTTGGCCTATTGTCACAGGACTTCCAAGGTTGACAACGTCTTTATTCTTTCACATGTTTACACTTCACCATTCACATCATGGAGGATTTTGAGCTGAAGAAAGCATCCAAGGAACAACAGACTTTATCGACTCTAGAAGCCAAGTCTTCTACAGTCCCTGGCCAGAATAATCCGTATAGGCAACATTTTCCGTCCAGATTCGACATGCACTCTCACGATAGTCATCTCGCTCCATATACAGATTCAGATCTTCATCAGTGGCATCAAAAACAAGATTCGATGCTGAAGCATTATATTCTCTCCATTTTGGAGATGAAGTTCCATCTGCACCAGAAATTAGCCCTACCAGCCTGTTTCAAATGTTCAATGACTCCAAATTTCAAACCTCAAACGTTCATCTAAACATACCTCTCAACTCGTTTGGATTCCTTCTTCCCGCAAACGCGATCCACCGTCGATTCATTTCTATCGACAAAGCTACGTGCCCAGAAACATTCTTGACCGGTGGATAGAACCCAATTGGCGTTGTTAGACCCCCAGGCAGTCCCATTTCGTACGACAACTCAGCTCCGTGGTTCGCAAATCCAGGCCCCAGGCCGTAAAAATATTGTATCGGGATTCCTGTCGTGACCGCTTTGAAGTGGAAGGTATATGTAGGCAGACCGAGTCGCGACCACAGCTGGGCCATATACCGTCGGGGCGCGTGCGAGACGTAATCACCCAGCAATGCCGCAGCACGGCGGTATTGAGATCCGCACGGGAGGTTGACGGCATGCATGGCCTCGCACCAGGCGAACCCTGGCGGCAGGGAGTACGGTGGTGCTTCTTCTTTGCCATCTTCAGGATAAATATCTAGCAGCTGCTCGATAACCGAATGCTGCAGAAGAGGGAAATTGCTCTCCAGGAGGGTCCTTGTCTCATTCGTCAGGTTAGGAAAGTAGCCAGACGCTGTCACTTTGATCAGCCCCTCGTCCGAGTTACTGCCCAAGAGCAGAGGCACACGAGCACAATTCCCATCATGAATCTCCCAAGCAGGAGGTCTCCGTAGAAAATCACCATCTATCACTGGCCCCCATCCTCCTTGCATGCTTCCCTCAATGGGATACAGATTATATAATGAGGTCGCGCGAAGACAATTAAGCTTATTTTCAGCCATGGTACAATTGGCCCCATCTACCAGCTTGTTAAACCCAGTCTGCATGTCCTCCATGTCAGGCAAAGCAGCCCCCGTAGCGAAACCGCTGACCGCAATGGCACCACTGAACAGCTCAGTGCCGCCCTGGCCACCATATGCAATTAGCTGTTGTACAACACTAATTCCGCCTGCAGACTCGCCCCAAATTGTCACTCGGGATGGATCACCTCCGAATGCGACTATGTTCTCTTGGATCCATACCAGAGCCAATCGCTGATCTTTGAGTCCCAAGTTGGTCACCCCAGCATTCAAGGCCTCACGTCCTCCTGGGAATCCGAGGAAAGAGAGACGGTAGTTGATGCTAACGGCGATAAGTGGTTGTTCCTCCTTTACTGATCGTTGGACAATATACGATAGGTTCCACATTGGATCCGCTGAAGAACCCTGATGCAGTCCTCCGCCGTATATCCAGAATATGACAGGAAGAGAGCTGCCATTTTGGTTGACTTTTGCTGTGGAGGGGCGGATGATATTCAGATTCAGACAGTCTTCGCTTTGAGTCAGTCCCAGAAGTTCATTGGAGCCGAATCCATAGCAGGTGTTTCCGTAGCGGGAAGCGTCAAATGGCGTGTCAGGATCGTAGGTGGTGTTGATAGGCTTGGGATTGTCTAATCTTGGGGCGTATGCATATGGGATTCCCAAGAAGAGATCCTGCTGGAAGGAGGGAAGGTGTACGCCGCGGATGGGACCATTTCGCGTAATGGCCGTCGGGGGTGTAAGATAGGTGCAGTAAGTTGAGACGACAATTCCAAGAACGAAAAGCCACATACGGTTGTCCATGATTCTAAACCAATTATTAATAATAACTGTCTTGCCGCCGAATTCGAAGGAAGTTGTCATAGGAAGGAAATTTCATATCCCTTCAATAAACAACATCAATTCGAAATGTTCATGTGGGTACGCAAGGGGTACATGAGCAGTGTCCACGGGTTATATTTTTGCTATGTAACCCTTAATGGCCACAACATTCAACATTATGTCGACTCATCTATACCATGAGATAACTCAGACAAGTACGTTCCTATCATGTCTCCCAAGTTCAAAGAAGCTATCAATTAATGGTTATCCCTTCAAATGTTCGCAATCAATGTAGTAATGTATGATGACTAACAGATCCACAATGTAGGTCTAGCAGATCTAGTCAGGGACTTGCCCCACAGCGGGGCACGGCAGCAGAGTATTTGATTGTCCGACTGCGCTTAGAGCCCGTCTACTCCGTACCATCCGGATCTCTGCCGCTTGTGTAATGCTTCACTTCGACACCCATGATTCGGTAATTTTCACCATCGGACAACATGATGCAAACAATCCTCTCGCCTGTGGACGTTTGGCCTGGCGGAATCCCAGCTGCCGTAAGACTACACCCCGACAGCGTTTCGGATGAGGATGGCCTGCAAGAAGAGATTAAAGGATGGTGCCGGTACTTGAAGGTAGGAGCCTCTTTGAACATAGCAAGGGGTTTTATTGACCTCTAATAGGAATTCCGAATTCCCAATTCTGACCCAGCAGAGGATATGACCCAACGACGAGCTTTGATAGAAAGATGGGCATATGCAGATCAAAGCTTTCGTGATGTACGAATTCCTTCCTTTATACTCTCTTGTCTTTTCGGCTGAATGTCGATTTTAATACCGAATCGACGTTTTCTAGTCATATCATTCAAATGCTCCCCTGCCGAGCTTGATTGGTTTCAACGGCCCACGCATGTCCAAACGCTTCATCTGCCTTGTCGACAAGCCTTTTGATCATGAAAACTACCCCCGCATAACCAAGTTGTTGATTCTCCTCTATATCCATCTTCAGCTGACGAGTGGCCACCCGTTTAGCTTTGATCGTGGTCCTATCCCACAGGTCCCCGCATTCATGCTGGACCCAAATACTATCACAGCATCTGCCGATGACCAGTACGCCCAGCTCCTAACAACAGAGAATATACCCGTGAACTATTACCTTGAAACCGCCCAATTTTCCACAATGGCCATGACTCGCTCAGGGACTGTCGTCTTTCCACGTCTTGATGAGCATGCATACTTTGTGATTGATAATCAGAGCTGTCAGGACGGGCGCCTCCGCCTACTGATCTTCGGACCCAATGGACAAATCATCAACCAGGCGCGAATGACCCCGTTCACAATAGGCCCTCTCACGCTGCTCCGTCATGCACTAGGCCATTCCTGGGATGAGACTTTTGAGGAGAGACCAGACATGGATGCGCGCTGGAACCAACCGTATGTAGACTCGTTTCTTCTTTTGCTCCTCCCGTACACGTAATACTCTTTCGCAGCGGCAATAGGTATAAACCTTGGAACAGCTAGTAACCAAAAGAACCATGACAATAGCATCGATATCCATCTACCAATCCTGGAAATTATGGCGGGGTTGAGCCAGCGTGGGAACTTGGCGCCCCTGAACGACTACACTGCAGCTGAGTGGGCTGAGGAGTTTGAGCGGTTCGCGCCGGGCTACCTAGCCTTTGAGCGCCAGGGCCGGGTGATTGAGTATAGCTGGGATCAACTAGTGGATGTGTCAAACGGCCCGTTTTTAACATATGGCCATCTTCGCTATGCCCGACAACTAGCCGCATTACAGGGGAGAGGTTAGGTTGAAGAACAGAGGAGAATCTATTATCTGTATTTAGAGGAATATATAGTAATAGACTAAAGAGAGAATTTATGATCGCTTGATCATCATGATCGCCGGCGATGACCGGCTTCATGTGCTTCTTTCTTGCTCTAGATAGCAGGCTGCGTCTCTCTTGTTCCTTCCTCTATCTTCTTCTCTTCGCTACACAACACAATTTATATTCATTCCATTCCTTGTTCCGCTCTTCCTTCGTTAGATTCTATGAGCAACTGTGTGTCGCGCCCACGCAATTCGCACCATCAGCGCATACCAAGTGGAATACAGCCCCTTCGCGCTTGAAATCGAGGGCGAAAGTGAGCTCTTAAGCACTTGTCGCGAGTTGGGAATTACCGTCGTCGCCTATAGCCCTATTGGCCGTGGCATTTTGTCCGGACAAATCAAATCGATCGACGACATTCCTGAAATGGACTTCCGCCGCATGCTGCCCAAGTAGTCCGCAGAGAATTTCCCCAAGATCTTAGAGCTGGTCCAGGGTCTGCAAGACATCGCCAATGCGCATGGCAGCACTTCCGCTCGTTTGATCATGTGATCTGTACTCTCACTCCACTCTCCTGTAGATAGTCTCTTCCTTCTCTTCTTCTTCTTCTTCCTTTCTTCCTTGCAGCACACAATACCATTGCATTGCGTTCTAGCCCTCTTCCTTCGTAGACTTCGTGTCTCTTCACCGCTCAGGTCTCGCTTGCTTGGTTGCAGGCTCAATGTCCTGATATTATTCCGATCCCGGGAACCAAGTCTATCCAGCGCATGGACGAAAACGCCGGTGCTGATTTGCTTCAGTTGACTGAGAAGGAAGTGCAGGATATTCGCAAGTGGGTGAGGCGCACTGAGGTTCCTGGTGCCCGCTACCCTGAGGCGTTGTTGAAGTAAGTTTCCTGACTCGAGGTCAATCATGGGATATCTGAACTAATTGATGATATAGTATTAATGGACAAGATGGATCCAATACCCGCCTCTGTGAAATGCTTTAGGCTCGCTTATTATTCCTCGCAGCTATTGATCATTACGATAGTGAATTATTACAAATTATACTACCTTTTATAGGGTCGCATACGACCACAGGATGTGGAAAACAATGTGGAAAACAGGGCTTTGTATAAAATAAAGAAGAAAGCAGATTTAGCAATTTGGATATAAAATGATCATGAACTGAGTGCTTATAGTCCCCTTGCCGCCATTGCTTCAATGAGTGATTTGTGCAAGCCTTGAACATGCTTCGGGCCGAACACATTATGATGCTTGCCTTCAAGCCCATAGAACTTTATTTCCTCCCTTGAAAAGTCCTGCCATTGCCCAAGGCGTTTCATCCATTCCTCCTTGGTCGCCCCTACCATTTCCAGCGGATCACAGAAGAAAACATCCATATGGCTGACCGACCCACTTGGCTCATACTGCCTTGCAATGTTCTGCAAGCTTAATGTAACATTTGCCCAATTTTTCAACTTGCCTCCATCGAGCGCTAGTTCAGACAGACGAGATGAGTCTGCAGAATGGAGGACACGTGCAAGAACGTCCTCTTTGGGAAGGTCGGCCAATTCTTTCAATAGGGCGTGGAACACGTCCTCTGAAATGACTTCGATAAAATATATCAAATTCAGGAGACAATCCGACCATTGTACTGCACGTAATCGGGGGTGCACGTATGGTGGACGATTGACACTGGCTAAAAATTGTACTTTCTCGCCGTCACGTTCAAGGACTTTACCAATTTCGAAGGCAAGCATTCCGCCGTACGAATACCCAGCAATTGCGTAAGGTCCCTTGGGCTGTTTCTTTCTTAATGCCGAGCAGTAGATCTCTATACATTCCTCGAGATTGCTGAAGTAAGGTTCATCAGGGAAGAACCCCCGGGCTCGGAAGCTATACACCGGGCGATCGGTAATGAGTTTGGTCAGATTGAGAAAGACCATTGCCTCGCCAGCTGCAGGGTGAATCAGCCAAAGTGGAGACTTTTCGCCTCTCATTTGCAACGGCACAACAGGAACATAAATCTGGGGCTGTTGTACGGCCTTCGCTAGATTGCGCACTGTTGGATGAGCCATGATAGTTGCGATAGTGATTTCTTTGTCGAGGCTAAGACGTTTTCTAAGTCGTCGCTGAAGTTTGATAAGAGTGATTGAGGCCAACCCCATTTCGAAAATGTTGCTCTCCACGCCAATGGATCCTCGCGGAAGGTCTAAAGTATCTGCCACTTCCTCCAATATGGCATGTTCTAAGTCGCTGTTCGGTGGAGAGTAAATCAAGCGTTGGTATTTCTCGATCATTTCATCATTTGCCGTTTGTTCCTTATGGTATTGGCCATCTTCGAATGCCTTCCTGATGGCAGACCTTGGTAACTTTCCTAAAGTTGTCCGTTCAATTGACTGCACCGGCAGTACTGTCGGCCGGCTGGTTGTTACCAAGAGGACTTTTTGGACGATAGCGTTCATCGTGTCATACAGTGCCTTGATATCGTCGGGCTTGTACCTAGGTACATAAACAACATATAATCGTTCAGTAGGGGCTCCAGGGGCACGCTGGGCAAAACATGTCAGGCTTCCTGGGGTCACCCCCGTGATACCTGCATTTTCAAGGATTGTTTCAACTTCTTGCGGTTGATATTTGATCCCGTTGATGGAAACGATGTCTTTTGTGCGTCCGACAAGGACCAGCCTCCCATATTTATCCGTAAATGCTGTATCCCCAGTCTTGAACCAACCATCCGAAGAAAAAGCCTCTTTGGTTGCTGAATCATTGTTATAGTAGTTGGAAAAAACGATGGGTCCTTTGACATCGAGGTTTCCGATCTCCCCAGGGCCGGCCAATGAACCATTGTCAGAGGTGGTGACTCGCATTTCAATTCCAGGAGCACAGAATCCAACAGAGGCAAACTCATACTTTTGTTCCATGTCATGAGAGGGGAAAAAGAGGTTGTAAATTGATCCCGCGCAAGTTTCTGTCATACCGAATCCAGGTACTATGACATTGGTGGGTGTTCCATATTTTTCAAGCAAGTTTGATACCCGAGAGCAGGTCTGCACCACATTTGCCTCTCCTCCAGATACAATATATCGCAAGGAACTTAGGTCGTACCAGGTGTTTGTTTCGGCAACAGAGTCCAGAAATTTTCCAAGCTCTGAAAGAAAGAAGTTTGGAGCAAACGTTCTCACAACTCGGTGGCGCTCGATAAGACGGAGGAAGACAGACGGATCAGATATCACATCTGTTGGTTGCACGTGAACCTGGTCCGTGCCAGTGAACAAAGAATGAAGGTGTATCTCAATAAGGCTGCCGACATGATCAAGTCGGATCCAGTTTAAAAATGAACGATCATCCTCGACTGGTAGCATGGCACACTTTCCTCGAAGAGATGCCATAATCTGGCGGTGAGTCAGGCACACTGCTTTGGGTAGATTGGTGCTCCCAGAGGTCAGCATCAGCAATGCATTATCTGGAGTCTTAGACCCTGAATGACATGAAATGTCCTCATTCGAATCTTGTCCAATACTCTTTAGACTTTCGACGTTGAGAATTGTCATGGAAGTCCCCTGGGGAAACTCGGGCCGAATGCTCGCCCTGGTTAAACACAGTGGGTTCCGAAGGAGAGAATTCAGGTGATCTAGGTGTCTCTTGCAAGCATCTGAGTCTCTGGGAAGAGCGATTGACATGGCAGGGATACATCCCGCGTAAAGGACAGACCACATCCAAATGATGTTATCGAGGTGATTATCAAAATGAAGAAAAATGATAGAGCCTTGATAGCAATCTTTGAGATTTCGCAAAAGACTGCTATTTCCAAGAGCCAATTTATGCAAGTCCTCATAGCTCACTCGTTTGGGTACGTCGTGGACGTTGCCAGTAGGGTACGCTATAATCCCACGATTGGAATGAGTTCTCGCAGCGTAGCTGAGAATATCTCGGAATGATTGTATGGTCATATTGATCTAGTGTGATGTAGACAATGGGGAATTTCAAAATATGTTTTGCGGATGAGGAGGACATAAAAGTTTGTGTAGCTGATGGAAGTATGATTGAGAAGCCAAACCGAATGAGTCCTTGACATATTTGTATATACTGCCTGGGGTGAGTTAGAAAATTGATCTGCGCGAATCATCGGTTGATGTGACATCATTCAATATTGTCATCTCTTCAAGAATTCAAACAGAGGATAAAGTTTCAAGAATACACGGAGCTGATGAAGAATCAAGAATTTGAGCAACATTTGTGACATGACCTACAATCGATGCCTGGGAGTCATTGGTCTTTCGACCGCTACCAGCCTGGATTGAGGAGGTCCATATCAGTAGAATTCAGTCATCTTGTGTCAGTTCTGCATGCCGTTCCCAATAAGGAAACTTGGTAAAATCGAACGTCAGAGCAAAATGCATGCATGATCGTAAAGATCATGAAGGGAAATTGATGCGTTGATTGACGCGGCTTGACTTCTCTGATCGCCATTGAAAACGCCACGTCATCATATTACAATTTCTTGAGGCAACTTGAACCATGCATATGGAGAAGAAACATAAAATAGAACAATCAGGTGCTTGGTTGTTGATTGATTGAAGAAGGACGCCGAGCAAAAGACTAAACAAAAGTGGCAGGGATTGGCGGCATGCAACCTCAGGCAAGGGATATATATATCAACACAATTGGATCTTCGCACGCGGATATCTGATCAATTAGACTCCAGCCAATCGGCATTCTGAGAACGATCGAAATTCCAGATGTCTGCTAGTAAACTTGACTCAATATGCAAGGAGTGAGAAGAAATTGTTGGGATGCCTTGGGGTTCACAAGTGACTTCAGTCCATGATGCAGGTGGCGGTCGCTTATTACGTGGTTGCCTCTTCTGCTTACTTTCTTTCCTAATATGTACCCTCTTCCTACTTCCTTGCTTGACAGAAAGGATCTGCAACAAAACACTTTGTCACGATTCTGTAATATATTATCTAATCATAATCATTGGCGGAAATATTAGACAAGCTCATGTCGTACTACCGTCCAATTCAGCCTCCAAAACAGCCCCCGTTCCTTGAATGACGCTCTCAATAGCCGCTGGTAGCAGGTTGAGCAATTCCTGCACAGTGGATGCTCGATTAGCCCATAGGTTGCCACCAGCGGCACACTGAGCAATGCCCGAATAATCGGGGCTTGGAGAGAAGGATGTGGCGAGGTCTTCCATACTGGCGTTTGAGCCCTCACCATCAGGATGATACATCAGTAGGCTTCGGCCAGGCGCCACCCAACCTCGGTTATTCAAGACAATGGTGAGTATTGGCAGTTTGTACCGACCAGATATCCAGTAGACAGAGCTAGGAATGGAAAACATGTATCCTCCATCACCGACTATCTGACAAATGAATTTATCATGTTGGCCTAGATGCTTGCTAGCAAGCTTGACACCCAGTGCAGCCCCGCCAGACCATCCGAGTCCACTAGCTCCACAGTTTATCCATGTATGTGGCAAAGTTGCAGAGATGCCTTCGGCAATTGTCTCTGTAAGGGTCACAGCCTCAACAACCCATATTGTATCTGGAGGACAATACTTGCGCAAACGAGAAGCGAGATATTGTGCGCTTATCGAAGCATCATCTTTGCGACTATATGCGGCAAATGACTCGATCGATGTTCTCCACTCTTGATGGGCGGTACAACGAGAAGTACGGGCAGTCACAGAGTCGGGTGAACTAAGTATATCTCCGAGTCGCTCACTCGAGCTTATGAAATTCACCAACTGCTTTAACGCAGTCGTAGATTCGGCTTCGTACGTCGCTGTTGAATTAATGTAGAACAAAGACATGTTCTGTTTCAGAGGGTCAACATCGATATGATAAATTTTCGCAGCGTCAGAAGGCTTGCATCGTGTAGGAATCCAGGGAACGTCACAGTCGATAACCAGGATGACATCAGAGGTCTCGATGGCCTTGTGAGCGCCATATTTAGTACCAAGGGCAGCGGGGTGACTGATTGGAAAACACATGTCACTTCCACCGGCATCAAGAACACGCATTCGACCGTTCAAATCCGCTAACGCGATAAGAGCCTCTGTGGCGACTGCTGACCGACCGGTACGACCAACAATGATAAGTGGCTCTAGAGCTTTGACCAGATCAGTTGAAATTTTATCAACGCCACTTTCTGGCAAGGCAGCTGAGTGAACCGGATGCATAGGGAAAGGAGAGTAAGGTTGTAACTCTTCCTCCATAACCTCCCGCGCTGCGCAAAGATATGTTGGGCCTTGTGGATTGCTATTAGCAAACTGAAGGGCGCGATTCACCATCTGTTTAATATTCTTGCCGGACTTTATTTCTGCTGTATATCGACAGTACTGCGAGATGATCTGCCTTTGGTTTGGAATATCTTGCAGCCAGTGTTGGAACTCGTTGCGCGATCCCAGCATCTCCCCTTCTAGTGTGTAAGGAGATAGTCCAGCGAAAACTAGAACTGGTGCTCTTCCACAGGATGCATTATGCATCGCAGGTCCCAGCGCCTGGGTGCCCACGTCGACATGGACCACAACTGCTTGAGCACGGCCTGTCAATCGGCTGAATCCGTCCGCCATGGACATTGCAACCATCTGCTCAGCATAGTCAATATTGCCATTCGTTTATCTGTGTTATGTCGAGAGATACGGGGCTGTGAAAAATTCACTTACCTCAGTGGGACATGTTACAAAGGTGGGGAACTCCTTCGGTCTTTCTTTCTGACCCTTGAGCATGGCTTCCAAAAGGGGTGCATGGTCAGACCCCAAATTAGCGAACACATAAGTGACACCGGCCTATAAAGTGTGGGTAATATATGTAAGTGCTTGATTGGTCGCTTCAAAATGGATGGCTAACTAACTTCCCAGAGTGCCTCAAGAAAAGCGAAGGATGCGGTGTAGGTCCTGCATTCCCATAACCCAAATTAGAAAACCCATTCTGACATCCAAGTCTAAGGCAAAACAAATTTAAAGATAAAATATTGAATCTAGGGGCCTTACATATTGCGAGAAATGAAATCGAAGGAAAGCTTGAAATTGAAGCAAATGGGGCAGTGCTGGAGAAAACGACAGAACGATGATACTAAAATGCTTCTATTTAGTCTTATAATAGTGAGTAGGGTGTTATGTGGAATGACGTCAAGCTGGAAGAAATCGAAGAGTTTGATGTATACTCCGTATACCTACTGGAGAAGTGTTGAGATGTATAACGTTCGATTTGGCAAATTTTAAGGTTCCAAAGTGAAGGCCAAAGCGAGCCCTGTGATATGCGATTACCGCAGTAATGATCGACATGGAAGATCTTCATGCAAATTAGAATTACGCAAAAGAAAGGTTTACAACTATGACCATCTAAAACCGGTTTTAACTAAAATGAGCGGTGAAAGTGGTTGGAAATTATGAAACACAAGCAGAGAGGGGTGATACAGTAGGAATAGAGAAAATCTATCTAGTCACTTATCTCTTGTGATTGACGAGGACTTGAAAAAGTAACTTGAACACCTCTTTCGAGCCAGAGGTCTATGTCAAAAATCGATAGCTCACATCATGGCTCCTAATACCGCATTTAAGGAATACTCATTAGTTGAAGAGGCCCATCAGATCTTTTCACTCCTCTGTGATCACTCTGTGGAATTGAATATACCCGCGGCAGCAGTAAAACACAAAGAGAGGCTTTGCTTTGATTCGACCCATAATCAAATCTACTACCCAATTCCGCTAAAAGTCACAGAAACCCTGGCTGCCCTTAAAGGTGTGGAAGGTGTCGTCGCAGCTGCATTAGCAGACATTCGGTTTGGGCCGTCTCAGGAGCGAAAGGTCAGGGTGAATTTAGAACGGGCAACCGTTTTCGGTTTTCAGGCGCTGATTGCAAAAATGGACAATGTGTCAAGGGCATGTCCAGAGGTGAAAGCCAAGTTGAAAAGTGTGGTGAAGTCTCTGTTTTGCTTTTACGGGAGACCAGATTCATTGACAAAACAGATACCGACTTCCACGCCGCCCAGTCCAGTCTCTATCGCCGGTTAGCAGCAAACCTATATCGGACAAAGGTCAAAGAAGAGTTTTTTCATCTTCATGGCTCTCTTAACCCTACCTCAACTCTGAACATGATCGGCCTAGATGGTCACCGCAGCGACGTTCAAGATTACGAAGAAATAATTCAACTTATCGAGCGTCACGTTCAGCAATATACAGCTCAAGAGCTGGAAGAAATGAACCGCGATCGAGGGCAAGCAGGCGTGACCGCATACCGATATGAAGACTTTATCCGATCTCCACATGTACGCTCTGCCACAGTCATTAATGCTCCACCCTAAACCCTTGTGCTGAAGTATCCCTAACAGGGAATGGAAATAAATCAACAACCATGTTGGACAGTCTCACCCTTTGGTACAGATCTGCCTCCTACGCCATTTCCAACAAATCGTAATTCGAAAGTCTTAGAAGGGATTAAGGTCCTCGAATTGACTTGTGTGATTGCTGGCCCAAGTATTGGACGTATACTAGCCGAATATGGGGCAGAGGTTCTTAGAATCACTGGCCCAAAGACGCCAGATGTGCCTTTCTTCCAGATCGATGGTAACATGGGCAAGCATGTTGCTGATCTTGACCTGAAAACAGAAAAAGGACGGGCGCATTTCACAGCTCTTTTAGCAGACGCCGACGTTTTCATAGATGGATATAGGAAAGGAGTCATAGAAAGTCTGGGTTACGGGGCGAGCTTGCTGGCATCAATTGCTAAAACACGAGGCAAAGGTATTGTCTACGTCGACGAAACCTGTTTTGGTCATATCGGGGATTGGGCCGGACGACCTGGGTGGCAGCAAATTGCAGACTGTGTGAGCCTTGGGATATTCCCACTCTGGCTCTTTCTCCTTTGCATGGCTAATAGGATGTAGGTGACTGGGCTAGCATGGATACAGGGTGATTTTATGGCTCGCGGTACACCCATTGTATCTCCTCTCCCGATAGCCGATCACGGTGCCGGCTGTATGGGAGCCATCACCGCTTTGATTGGCTTATACCATCGAGCTCAGAGTGGGGGATCTTACCACGGAAAGGTTTCCTTGGTACAGTTCAATCTTTTACTCCTTGGTCTCGGTCAATACCCAGATTACATCCAAGCCGCCATGCGAGACTCTCTACCACCTCGATTTTTCGATTTGCGGTATTGCGATAATGTTGAAAAAAGCTCATCATTAGCCCTATCTATTATACAGAGCAAATTCCAGGAGGGTTTGGCTCTAATGGGAAAGATTTCGGGGCCTGCGGTCCTAACCGAGAAGTGGTATTCCCACAGTTATAAGGCAGAGATAGACGTTGCTAAGCCTGTGGTCGATATTGAGGGCATAGAAAGTGGTTTTGTAAGGGCTAGCCGACCTAATGGAACAGACAAGCCATGCTGGGCGGGTAATGGCGTGCTAAATCTTGATTACAAAATTGAGTGACTGGGGTAGAGGATGGAGGATGAAGAAGTATAGATAGATCTCTGGAGTCTGTGGTAACTTCTAATATGAATTCTATAGGGCAATTTACGACTTTGACATACCTTCACCATTTCACTTTTTTGATTATTATTTTACATAGATCAATAGAGCTGCTTTTCAGGAGCATGATACTACTCTCAGATATTTTATAGCATATCTGTAGCGTGCAGGATTTGTGTTTGAAAATCATGAATTTTCGAGGTTTTGGATGCCTTTTAGCAGAATAGTACCACCTTCCTGACTGATTTAGGGTGTTGTTTAGGGTGTTTAGGGTGTT